TTACTTGAAGTTCAAGAATTTTTGCAAAATAACCTAGATTACTGTGAGTTCTTCCAGCTCATCGTTCCAGGACCTTTTTTCGGAAAAAAAAGATTTTTAAAATTTTAATGACAGGTTAGCGAAGAATTTAGTTCCTTTTCTTTTTTATAAGAAAACTTGTTCAATTTTAGGTTACTATAAATCCTTTCCGTTTTTCGTTTCAGGACCTTTTACCGGAAAAAGTCTAGAATTTTATTCATACGTTTTATACAAAAAAATTCCGATGAATTGAAAATCCAAATTTTACTTAATCGACTCCGCAAAATATCCTAGGTTACTGTAAGTTCCGCTCATCGTTGCAGGACCTTTTTTTTCAAAAACTCGGTTACTTTCTGAAGGAACAGCGAATAGATTTTAAAATTTTCATGATGATCCATGAAACCTGATCGATTTCTAGCCTTCTATAGGAAAGTTTGAAGTTTTTTTGGAATCTTTTTATACCTCACCTGATAGTTTGAACCAACACGGTTCACTAAAAACACAAATTTCAAACCTTCAGCAAAACTCTCAGAGAAAACCTCACCTAGCAACAAACTGAACTTACCGAGAACCTAAAAACTCTTGGAAGAAATGAGAAACGGCGGCGGTTCCTACGCGGAAGATTACCTTTATGAGACGCATTCATTCAGTCGGACTAACGATTCAGATATCAAGTTGAGGGACATGAAAAAGAAGAGGAAACGGAGGATAACGACGGTCATTCAGAAAAACATGATGACGTAATCAGGAAGCGTCATGGTGAAGGTGGGATGAATTGCGATAGTGGAGTTACCAAAAGATGAGTCAGAAAGAAATTATTTTGGTGGGGAATGAAATCAAAAAATCAAGTTTTAATTGCTTTTTTTGGGTGTATACTCAAAATTGACTGGAAGAGAAGTACAAGAAGTTATGGGATTTTTCAGTCCTCGATTGAGTTTTTGACAGAAGTTATCTGCACTTTATAGTCAATTCTGTAGTTTGCGAGCTTTGAAACATCATTACTTTGAAACAAATTCGATTTTTTCTTGTTCCGGATTCCAGAAGTACACTTAGCCAAGTTTCTTCGAAAATTCAACCGGGCGCTTGAAGAATGTCCTTTTCAGTAATAATTTTTGAAGATTCTTTGAAATATAAGTTACAAAACTTTTTTTTTCAACAGACTAACCAAAGTTTTAAACACGATTGATTTGTCTAATTTTGATCATAGATTCGAAATCAGCGTTAAAAACTGCTTCTGCAACTTTTTCAGTTAAAAAATACTCCATGAGCCAAAAAAATATCATAGTCTTTTTAGAAAAATCCACGAAAAAATTGAAAAAAGGCAAATATGGAGAAATGACAACCAGAAATGTTCTGAAATAACATTAAAAATGACGTCAGGCTCGAAAAATGTCGTGAAACGAAAAAATGTCAGATAATTGAGTAAAACAATAATTGTTGATTCATCGTCAGCTTGGCTCAATTTTTAAAGGTTTTCCATGGATTTTTATCAAATCTTGTAACGATTGACGAACTGTTATGTAAAAAATAGAAAAAATCTACAGTAACCTCGGAAAAAAATTTTTTTGAAAAGCACTGAATGAGTTATATATATATTTTTACAACTGAATGCGCTCGAATTGACCAGCGCTTTTTGACGTGAAAAAAATATTTTTTTGGAAAATGATATTTTTAGAACTCGTCTGACCATTAATCACCAATTTGAAAGTCGTGCAGACGAAATGGAAAATCAGAAAGTTTTTCTTCGCTAAATAAATTTAGGACTAGAGACCATTTAATCAATCAATCAATCAATAAAAAAAAGTGTTTTTAGAGGTGCTTTTGAGACACAAATGATTTCAAGTTCTTCGAAAAAAAAAATGAGAAAAATTTTTTTGTCTGGTTCGAGAGGGTTTTCAACTGTTCTGTGGAAATAATTCTATGATTAATTCAAAAAAAGTGGTTTATTCTTTTTGAAAAAAAGCTTCAAAATTTAAACCTCCTCGAAAAAAATTGTCTAGTAAATAATATCAAGACTATTAAAAAAATACTTTTTAGGCTATTGATAAGCCTTAATGACTTGGGAATCCCCTCAAAAAAAGTGAAGAAAAAAATATTCCCTAAAAAAATAAAAAAAGTCTTGATGTTCTCAAACGGAGTCTGTTTCAAGACAAAAAATATATAAGGATCTTTGGAAAAAAAAACTGAGCAATGAAGACTGTTAAGAAAAGTACTCTTTTAGGCTATTAATAAGCCTGAGCGGTTTGGAAAAGGTCTAAGAAAAAAGAGAATCAGAAAGGGGAAAAGACGCAACGGCGGTTTCATCGGCATGTGGCCTCAGCAGACGTACTTCAATAAACAAAACCTCCGACATTCCCTTAGATTCGCTCGTAATCCTAAGCTCCGCGTACTGTTTAGACATTTAGGAAGGAAATCTGAGATCAAAGAGATCGACGAACAGAGTTTCCAGTTATCTACAAACCACCGCTAGCATGTGAAGATTAGAAAAATCAAGAAATCACTGAGAAAATTGCTTTTCGTTTTCGATCCTGTCCCAAAAATAGCCGATAAAGGAGAAAAACCTTGGCTACTTCATTTTAATATTTTTTCAAACAAAGAAAGGTTGCTTTTTTTTTTGTTTTTGAAGGTTTTGAAAATACTTTTTGGTTCTCAATACAAAAATCCATCTTTCAGAAAAAAAAATGATCGAAAAATTGCTGGATCTTAACAAAAGCGCGACTTATTTTGAGTCTGTGGGGATATTTTTGAAATATTTCGAAACCTAACTCTAGATTTCTACTCGAGCAAAGTCGGAAGGCCGCTATAAGGGAGAGGCTCAAAAAAGGCCGCAGTAAGGCAGCAAAAAGGCAGCAAAGAGAGTTCCTTTATCGAGCCTTCTACTTTTTTCTGGGATTTTGAAGGCTTGAGAAATGGTGGAGAAAGGGAGAGGCAGCAAAAATGTTACACATGGGCTGAGAAAATGGCGCAAAAAGGCAGCAAGAAGGGAACCTTCGTCACCCTAAAAGGAGCATTTCTAGGGAGCCTTCCAGCAGCCTTTATGGAAATTGAAATTTTTTCCCAGTTGTATGTAAAAATAAGACAGAGACGTAACACATTTCCAAAAAGGCATGAATCAAAAAATTATCAAGTTTTCATTTGTTTAACAGTTCTCACCAACCTGCGGAAAAAAAAGTAGATTTTCGATTTCAACGCCCTTCCAAAATTGTCCTCCGGTATCAATTTTTCTGAAATTTTCCCGTTATCTTATGATTTTTGGGCATTAAGATAGATTGGTACAAAAAACAGACGAAGTGATGAAACGAGTTTTGACACGAAAAAATTGAACGATTGCCGCACTTCTTTCTTTCTTCAGCCATTTTTTTTCATGTTGAAAAAAAAGGAGAAGAAAAAACTTCAGGCCTCTCATTTGGACGGTCATTCGGCGCGACGGTGTAATATTTTTTGGGAAAAAACAGCAACAGTTTGACAGATTTGGACCAAAAAAAGTAACAAAAAAAGTTCGTTCAATTAATATGAGAATATATTTGTCATGAAATGAGAAGAGAAAAAGTTTTTCTGGGGTTTTTTTAATGAAGAATGAGCTAATTTTTTTTGTTGATTGTGATTTAAAAAAATTATGTTCTCACTTCAAAAAAACTATAGTGGACTCTTCGAAGTTAAAAAAACACGTTCAGTACCTTAAAAAAAGGGATGAAATTTCTATTGGAATACAATTTTTTTCAAAAAAATGACGAAAAGTTTGTTTTTCTATAATTTTGAACCTAGAAAACTGACTTTTTTTTTTCGAGAATCTTTGCTTAAAAAAAAACAGTATTTTCTTTACAAACTGGAAATTTCATATTTATTTTTTTTACTTCAACCATTCAGAAAATTGGAAGAAAAATACCCGCCTCTTTTTTTCGCGCGACAGTAGATTTTGACCTTATCTTTTGGCCCGAAAATTCAAAATCGGCTCTGATCAGAAGCGGCGATTCAAGTTTGAAGGTTTTGATCATTTCAAGGCGTCCTAAATCCTTTTTTCATAGAAACCATGTCCTGAAATATATTAAGCCTTTCAAAAACTTCAATTATCAGTTCCAAAACCTTTTTCTATGCAATTTTCGACAATAAGGTTATTAATACTTTTTATTATGGTTACCTTAAAAGTAAAAAAAAAACTCGTGACGGCTTTAGCTATTATTCGACAAGAGAAAGTGAAAAAAGGAAAAAAAAAGAAGCGATTGGAAAGAACGAATGATTGCCGTTCAAGACGTTTCAATGTGTAACCCTTGCAAACTATTGGCTCACTGTTTGACAAACTTTTTTCCGCCCCTCGGTATGCTAATTGGCTTTTTCAAGTTATAGTGACAATGAAAACCGGAAGAAGAAGGTTCAGGGAACACTTTAGGGCTTTTCTTCAAAAGAGCTTCTTCAGGCCAATAAAAACTGAGAGAGAAAGTATTCTAGGAATACTGTAGATTTTTTTTTCTGTAACGGGCTGCAAATTGCCTCTGATATCATGGCCCATTTTTCAATTGTGCTTTCGATAAGGGCATGAAAATTGAGCGAATCGAGAAAATTTGCTCCAATTTTTTCAGATGAAAAATCTGGAAGGGCGGAAAATGCCAATCAGAAACACAGTTTGCTCGAATTAAATAAAACTCAACAAATACAGAAAAGGGGATTTTTCATGAAAAGGCTATGAAAAAAGACTTACTCGTGATCGATAAACACCAGATAATGAGAGAAATATCAAAACGAGGAAAGAAAAGATAGTCATTCAAAGAAGCCCGTTGAAACGACTGCGATGATCCGGAGGATCGACCTGAATTCGATGCGTTGAAAATAGGGGAAATAGAACAAGGAAATATATTTAAAATGACATATTACAAGCAGATAACAATCATATTTTGAACAGATATAGAAATTATTAAGGAAACCGAGATTAGGCCAAAACAAAGAACTCGGGAAAGAATAGTACAAAGATTCGAAGAGGATGAGGCTCAAAATTGGGTAAGACCGAGAGATTTTCGCTGGTACTGGAAGATGAGGGAGTGCATGGCTTCGTAGAGTTGCAGAGAAAGCAGCATGTTCCGGGATTCGACCTCTCGGCAGACGCTTTCGATCAGACGTCCTGAACCGTTTTTTTTTGTTTCGTTCAGGAAATTGAGTCATCGTGAACCGGAGACGATCAGGCTTTCGAAAAATATCAAGCTCTCGGTATACTAACTGCAAGCCGATGGCCGCATTTGGAATGGCTATAGCGCGAAAGATTCATTAGATTGATTTTTGGATACTGTAACTTATTTCAAAGATAAAATTCTTCGAAAAATTGCTTCTTAATCTTGAAAAAATCTAAAAAATCCCCAATTAAAAAATCCTGAAATCTTCAATTTTTTTTCCATGCAGAAAGCAACAAAAATATTTTTCATGCTGTTCAACGCTCGTACTTTCCGATGTATACTTCGTTTCTCGTGAGAATATTTTACTAAGCCAAAATATTTTCAAAGGGCTGAACTTTAGACCCTTTTTGGTTCTGATCTCCATTTCTTTTCAAAAAAAAAATGACCGAAATTGTACTTTTTTCACGGATTAAGCTGGTTTTACAACTTCACATCTATTACAAAAATCGCACTGGTTTTTCACAAAATAAGATCTTGATTCAGTAAACTTTTACCCATTAACCTGTGAGCTTGGCAACTTTTTCTTTTTTCCTTCTTAGAAACCTCACTAAGGAAAATTTTCAAAAACCCCAAAAAGACAAATTAGGAGACAAAAATCGTGTATCTTGTCTAACTCATTAATTGTCTTCCTATCTGGATTTCGCGTCTCATATAAAATTCGGAGATACGAAAACTATCGTTGATGGCTGCTCATACGAACCTAAGCAAGCCCATTTGTCGGCCTGTGGCTCGAGAGCCGGCGGAGCAGGAGCCGGGGGATTGGCAGTAGCTACAGTCAGGACAGGCTTCTTCTCGAGAATCGCCTTGAGCGAAGCGCCGATGGAAGAGTTCTGGAGGGTGGCCGAGCGGATCGGGACGCCGTTCGCCGTGGTGACGGCCATGGGAACAGGAGATCCCGGTTTCAGAAGCTGATGGGCGGCGGGGGAGGATGGCGGACAACGAGGGGGCTTTTGCTGACCCTCGGCCGTCATTTTCGACAGGGCAGCCTCCATCGACGAACTTCCCAACTGGAAAAAAGAAATTCGTTTTGAATAAACTGAAAGTTACAAAAAAGTACCCTACGCAAAAGTTCAGAGGACTCTAGAGCTTTTTCAAAAATCTTAGTGGGTTAAAAAAAGCTTCGTTTTTTCTAGTCAGTAACCTATAAGTTGGAACTTTGAGGCCACAAATTTATTTATTTCCCTAGATTAACAATTGAGGAGCTTCATCCAGTATTTCACAAAGATTTTTTACTGAAATTTCGGAATTGTTTTTTCCATTATCAAAACAGAAAGTTGATAAATCGTATATAGCCCAAGGTACTCTTTTGAATGGACAAAAAAAATTCAAAAAAATTGAAAACATATCATCGTATCCTTTCAGATTTTTTTCTAAAATATTATCGTATTTTTTTCAACTCGAATTCATGACTCAAAGCTCACCACGTCTAGTTTCATCATCCGTCGATTTGCACTCATCTGATCGGGGTCTTCTTTTGGCGGAACCCACGTGGAAATCGTCTGAATGAAACTGACGTTGAAAAGCTTCACCACAAAATTTTGTTATCAAAGAATTCTATGTTGAAGCAACCTTCAGAATTATTGAAAAACTATAAAACGAAGCTTTGAAAATTTCCAAAAACTCGTTTTGAAAGTTGATACTTTTGAGAGCTTTTTTGAGTTAAGTGAATATCATTTTTGCGGATTTTCCTAATTTTTTTGAGTAAAAACTACCGTGTAGCGTCCCGTGAGTTAAAAAACGCAATGAAATCTTTAAAATGAATTTTACGAAGCCTATCGTATTCACTAACTTTTATGAAATATTTCCTAGCGTTTCGATAATTTATCGCCCTTTTTCCGCCACAGCAAAGATTTTAAAACTTTAAAGAATTCATAAAAAAGGCCTTTTCACCGACTTCCAATGAAGAGAAGGCTCAAACAGACTAAAATTTTGCTTTATAAAAGCTTTTAAAGCTCCTTTTTCGCTCTCTACTTCCCTACTTTTTTCTCTTCCAAATGATTCTCAAAACTAACAGTTGGCGTTTTTCCAAAATCATTGATGAGGACATAGTTTCCATTGGAGGACTGCTGACCGGGGCTCATCGCCATTTTCTTGCTCGGCGGTCCACCTTCGAACTCCCTAGAAATACAAAAGCCTTGCAATGATCAGGTGAGATCTTATTACTTATTCTCTCTCTTGTTGGAGAAGTTGGCGTTGAAGCCGAGTTCAGGACCATCGGAAGTCGTTGGAGAATCCGAGGGGGCTGCGCAGAGAGAAGGCGACGTCGAGGAAGAAGACGTGGAGGTCGTCGCGACGGGGACCGTGGCCATAGCGGCGAGCTGTCGCGGAACGATCGCCAAGGCTTCGGCGATGCTGCGATCACCACCAAAGTTGGCAAGCAGGGCGGCGATCGCTTCGCTCGCTGAGGTCGACGGGTTGAACTTGGCCATCAGCGCCTCGTTGGTCATCGTTATCGGTCGCGGCTCCGGTTCGGGGTCTGTAACGAAGAAAATGAAGGATGAAGGGAAAAGTATAAAAAAATATATATTCGAATCCCAAGTGGGAAAGTACGGGACTCAATTAGTTCAGGAGACGGGTACGAAAGTTTGAAAAATAAGGTTTAAAATAATTTCAAGCCTCAGGAAGATATTTTTGCTCTTAGTTTAGAAAGTGTGGGGGTGGAAAATGTCCTCCCATCTATGAAATTGTACAATGGCTTGAAAACGAAACGATTTGAAAAGTCTTGGCTCGGCATCTTTGCGGTTGTAAAACGGCCATGAAGATTTTTTTGTTGAAAGATTGTCTTAAATTTTTTTTTTTTCGAAAAATGGCTAGACGTAAGAAAGGTCGCTTGAGATCTTTATATACGAATTTTTTCTTCACAAGAGGATTTAAATATTATAGAATGATACCACAAATTTGAGTATTCAAAATGTCTCCAAAACTCATTTTGGCAGCTTTTAACTGGACAAAAAATTTTAAAAGGGTAAAAAAAACGGAGTAAAAAGGTTTTACTTGACGACATTTCAAAAAAAAAGTCAATTATGATTGATTTAAAATAATGTTTTTTTTATATAAATTCGATATCACACATTAAAGTATGACACGATTACAAAAATTTCCTTTCAATTTTAAGCTTTTTTCAAGGCTAAACCTAATCTTATCGATATTGATCGAATTTTCGAATTCACTTTTTAAATTTGGGCGAATCAGAAGAGAAACTTTCATTTTTTCTTTGTAGAAACATAATCATGAGTGCCACCAAAAGAGCCATAATGTAAAAATAAAACGGCAAGACGAGGGTTGGAAAAAAATAATTCCATGCGATGGGACCCAACCGCTCAAAATATTCCCACACCAGGACTTTTTGAAACGACGCTTTCTCGCCAACGAAATTCAAAAGGAGGTGGGCGAAAACAAATTTAATATTTCTCAAAAAACTAGTGGAAAGTCGGAAAATGATAAAATTTCTAGTAAATTGATCGAGAATAAAGTCTTTTTTGGGGCCAAAGAAAAAACTACAAAAAACTAGAGCGGAAACATCATGAGAACTGGCGCCAGTGGTGCCAAAATGGCGAGAGCTAAGTCGTTCACACGAAGAATATTTGCTTTCACACGCCAAAACGCGGCGGCCTGGGCCCGATTCGACTTCTTTCGCTGCTGCCCTTCAGCAGTCAAATTCAAAATCTTTTGGGAAACAGAGGAAATGGGAAAATAAATGAAGCTCTTTTCTCGTTTTTTTTGGGGCAGTATTAAAGGAAAGTTCCCCAGTTGGCACAACATCGTGCGAAAAAGACTTTCAGACTTCTCTGTTGTATTTTTTGTATTGATGAGCGATAATAATTCTATTTTCTTAATTTCTACGTGTCGCTTATTTATGAAGAAAACAAAAGGACGTTTTAAATTCTTTCATTCCTTATTCACGTGTATAAATCTTCGCAAAATCTGGTTGAGGTCCAACCTGCTAGAACCTTCTCTCCCTTAAGAAACCCCTTAGAAAAATTCATTCACTGATTATACATTTTTCAAACGAACTAGCGACTCCAGGAGCAGCTCCAGACTTGGGACGGTAGCTGTAGTTGCGCGGAACGGGACGCGGGACGATGTCCTCGTACATGCAAGCCTGCATGACCTGCGGCGAGAGGAAGTGCAGCTCCTAGAACACTTTACTGGTTTGACTATCCTGAAAAAGGAGCACCTTGAAGAGTTCCCACGTCGACTGCTGCCCAAAGTTCTTCTCCTCCTCTTGGAACTTGTCGGAAAGGTAGTCCCAAGCTTCGCTCATGGCTTCTCCTGTAAGACGGTTCCGAATATTTCTGCTCTGTAGCTTTTATATGGTTCTATGTCAAGAGCGAGTTTTTTCTTTTTTCAAGGATTACTGTATTTGAAAATCCGCAATCAGAGGTGAGCTGTTTTTGTGTGTTGCCTATCTGAGTGGTCAGAAACATCTCACAATGCGAACTGTCAGAATACTGCGTTCCGTCGGGGAGAGTCACGTTTTGAAAGCACAGCAAAAGTAAAGCTACCGTAAACACAGATTTTTTGCATTATCTTTTCTCTATTGATGGTAGCTTTTATATGGTTCAATTTCAAGAACCAGTTTTGCTTTTTCAAGGATTACTGTATTAAAAAGTCCGCAATCAGAGGTGAGCTGTTTTTGTGTGTTGCCTATCTGAGTGGTCAGAAACATCTCACAATGCGAACTGTCAGAATACTGCGTTCCGTCGGGGAGAGTCACGTTTTGAAAGCACAGCAAAAGTAAAGCTACCGTAAACACAGATTTTTTGCATTATCTTTTCTCTATTGATGGTAGCTTTTATATGGTTCAATTTCAAGAACCAGTTTTGCTTTTTCAAGGATTACTGTATTAAAAAGTCCGCAATCAGAGGTGAGCTGTTTTTGTGTGTTGCCTATCTGAGTGGTCAGAAACATCTCACAATGCGAACTGTCAGAATACTGCGTTCCGTCGGGGAGAGTCACGTTTTGAAAGCACAGCAAAAGTAAAGCTACCGTAAACACAGATTTTTTGCATTATCTTTTCTCTATTGATGGTAGCTTTTATATGGTTCAATTTCAAGAACCAGTTTTGCTTTTTCAAGGATTACTGTATTAAAAAGTCCGCAATCAGAGGTGAGCTGTTTTTGTGTGTTGCCTATCTGAGTGGTCAGAAACATCTCACAATGCGAACTGTCAGAATACTGCGTTCCGTCGGGGAGAGTCACGTTTTGAAAGCACAGCAAAAGTAAAGCTACCGTAAACACAGAAGTTTTGCATTATCTTTTCTCTATTGATGGTAGCTTTTATATGGTTCAATTTCAAGAACCAGTTTTGCTTTTTCAAGGATTACTGTATTAAAAAGTCCGCAATCAGAGGTGTGCGCTTTGCGTGTTTGCCTATGAGAGCATCAAGCAGAGATTTAGGTCCCTAAACTCCTAGAATTCAGTATAGTGTGTTCCGCGCAAGACGTTCAAATTTTATAAAAAGAAGAAAGCTATCGTAAACACCGATTTCTTTGCACTTTTTGCTTTACCAAACTGCAAAAAAGGTCTTGAAGCGAATGTTAAAAAAACTATATCATTTCGATAAAAATAAAAAAACGGCTCCTGCTGTAGCGCCTACAATGACGGTTCAGTGAAATAAATGAACAAATGAATAATCGAAAGATCTGAGAGATGGGCATAGTTCAAGCAAGACCTGTGAGAGCACTGAGGACGGAATTCGGAACGAGGCCGGACATGAGAATGCGCATCTGCTGGACGATTTCTTCGAAGATGGCGATCCTCATGTGGGGGACGTTGCGATTCGGATGTCGCGTGTGCCAGAGCAGAGGCTTGTGTCGCACGAAGTCCGCCAAGAACTTGTACATCGGCTCGGTAAATCTTGAAGAATACTTCATGAAAGTTGAGCACGAATAGAAAAGAGAGTATTAGAGAAAGATGATCTTTTGTGAATTTAGCTAGAAAATAATTGTTTTTTGCAAATATTTTCCTTCGAACCAAAGTTTTCATTCGTGAACTTTTAAAAGAAAACTTTTTTTAACAACGGCTAAACTCTAGTTTGAAAGCTCGATTTTCCCGAAAGTCAATGGAAATTTTTCTTGCTTTGCACTATATAATGTTGTCAAATCCTAAATTTATAAGTTCTCTGAAAAATCGGAGAAAAAAACATCTTGAAAAACAGGAAAAAAATCGACAAAGCCTTACTAACTTTTACCTTCCTAACTTCCCAATATCTTCAAAATTTTTGAGAATAAAAATCAAAAATTCACAAAAGAAAAAATCGAAATTTTAGTCGGAAAACATCGACATATTCTGACAATTAAGGCAAACATACTCACTTCACTTTTCCATCAGAAGGTTCTTCTTCAATTTCGGCATGAGGAAGAGCCGCGGAGCTCGTCGGTTCGGCGTCGCCCGCTTCGGACTTCACCTCACTTTCTTCCTTCTATTTTATTTAATCATCTTATGTTTTCAAGATTCATTCCAACCTCCGCAGGTTCCTGCTTCACTGGTTCGTCCCGAACCGGAGTTTTGGATGGCCGGCCACGCCCCCTTTTAGTGGGCGGAGCAGAACCGTTTGACTTCGGTTGGGGTGGCGATGGAGAGTCCTCCTTTTTCTCGGGTTTCTGATGAATATCGAACTTTAAAAAAGTTACCCAGAACTATATGAAACTCTAGTATGACTATGAGAAAATTTAAACAAACTAGAAAAACTAAAGTCAAGGAATTTTAAAAAGATCTGATTTTGCTCTGAGATCCTTTTCATATTGGAAATCTTGAAAAAAGAAAAACTTTTTCGAATTCCGAAGTCGAAGAGGCGGAGCTGAATCGCTTCGGACGACCTCGCTTCCTCGGCTGCAGCGGCGGCTCCGATTGCTCAGGCGAGCTGTTCACTAAAGGGATCACTTAGATGAAAACATGTGATGCTAACGTACTGTTGCTCATCATAGCCGAGTATTGCTCGATGGCCGCGGCAGGAGTCAGGTGCTTCGAGGACGAGTTTCCATTGGTCGAAGCCTGACCATCCGGCTCCGCCATGGCGATTGTCAGACCGTTCTTTCTTATTTTATCTGTAATCTTCGTTTTCGATTTTATCTTATGAAATTTATTATTTCATAGAAAGTTTTCTATGATTTGTACAAATTTTGGTCGCATTTAGATTGGCTTAACGCAAGCACTTTCGCACGACGATATATCGAAAACCTTACGAGAAACGTCATTTCCCTTTGCGGAAATTCCTGATATTCGATCAGAAAACTCCTTGATTAAAGTCCTAAAGGTCTCGAACTGCGAAAACCTGGTTGCGACACGTCAAAATCCTGAAAACTCATCGAAAATCGCAAAAAATGGGCTTTTGATAACTCTTTTTTCTGAGAAATTAGTTGGTACTTTTAAGGTTATCTGGTACCTTCAAAAATAGCCTGCCCTTCTTGCAATTTTCTTGACCGCAAAATATAATGCACTTTCTTTTTTGGTTCATCGACCCTTCGAAAGCTCAAAATTCTGCGCGACCGCAACGCGTAGAGCCATTCTCAATGCGACCAGAAAATTCAAGAACACGCACCCAAGACGGATCGGACCGTGAGGGTCGGATCTTGTCGATTTTCAGCAATGATGGCCATTCTCTGAGCGTAGGCCTGAGCATTTTCCTTGAAGAGTCCGACCGTCGAGCCCCCTCGATCAGCTCTGTCTACGCATTTTAAAGGCTTCTGTAAAAGAGACGTTGTTACCCAAAAACTATGTGGAAAGTTTATTTTCAACTTGATAAATGTTCGAAAAGCAATTGTTACCTCTCAGTAGTGTTTTAAGATTAAACTACCTTTTTCATAATTTTCAAATTCAAAGTTTTTTTTCTTGAAAAAAAAGTCCTACAATTTAATCTATATTTTTTTCCTTGCGCTACGTCCGAAAAATTCCGCGAGCTTTGATAGTTTTGGCGCACACAGAACGGCGCAAAGTTACATACTTGTTATAGTCGAAAAAAAAGACTTTTCAATTTCCTTGTTACTTCATTCAAAAGTTATTGACGCCATTCAGAAAAAAACATCCAGAAACGCGATTTGTGCGTTTTCAGTTCGAATAGATTGCAATAAAAACTTCAAAAAAATTATAATTTGAGCTCAAAGAGATGACATTTTATAACTTCGTTTTGATTCTTTCTTCCAGTATTTCTCGTTAAAAACATGAGGATAAATCACGATTTTTCATAAATTGTTCGCAGTAAAAGGGGCTTTAAATTTTCGTGTTATCTTTGCTTTCCTTAAAAATATTGGTTTTTTTCATGTCACTCGAAGAATATAAATATAGTTCATAGATTTTACAGTAAAAATTTTTTTAATGTCTTTTTCAAAAAAATTTCCAGTCAAAACCAACCGAAAACTAAAATATATGAATCATAGATTTTCCTCTTAATATTCACAAAAAAAATAACTTTTTCCTTTCTTTTCCTTAAAATTCTCATGTAAAAACCAACCGCCATTGCTTCGATTTCCTCGTTTTGAGTGGCATAAATCGCGGTGAGGTGTACGATACGCTCCTTGGGAATGCAGCTGAAATATTTGAAAATCATTAAAAACATTTTCGGAAGCAACAAACTTCAAATATTGATAACCGCATCCGATGAATTCGCTGAGGAAACTCATGGCGCCGGTGTAGCGCCACGGAAATGAAGTTTCTGGGGAAACTGCGCGCAAATAAACTTCCACCAGCCAACACCATTTCTCCAAAAGAGCCCATTCTGGAAACAAGGAGAAGTTAGCCAAGTACAAAGCTTGAAAAAAAAAATCAAAATTTCAGAAAAGATTATAGATTCTTGGCGCAACGGGGTATTTCGATGAATAGAAATATTTTTTTTGATGAAAAATTCATTTTCCTTACCAACTTTCATATCAGAAAAATGGAATTATAAAAAAACAAGAATAACTTTTTTTCTGCTGGAATATCTTAAAATAACAAAAAAAGAGTTTATAATGAAACGTTCAAAGCCAGAATAATTATCAAACAATTTTTTTCGATTGAACCGGTTGAAAGTCCTGAAGTGAACACTCGATGAAGCGCTGAATTTCGTGAAAATAATTTTGAAGCGCCGATTGCTCAAAAAAATTTCTTCTGAGCAAACTCCTCACAACCTCCCATCAATGCTTATTATCAAATTGCACCATTTCAAATAAAAACAAATAATTTTAAGCTTTGAAATGTTTCCCTTTTTCTAAATTTACCATTCATTCGCTGATCCTGAAGAACGAGGGTGTTGGAAACGTCTTTGAAAAGTTGCATCACACGTTCCTAAAAAAAGTTCTCTTTCAAATTTCCCTCCTTTTCAAATAAAAAACCTTGGCCACTTTGAAACGAGAATCCCAAATGGCGCGCCGGTCTTTGACCAGAGCGATAAAAATGCCTCGCGCCTGATCCGTCCATTCAGGAATGTCTTCTTTCTTGAAAAATCAATGGAATTATTGACTAAATATGATCTGAATTGAAATTGAAAAGTTTCAGAATTTTACGAAGAGAAAGATAACTTTAGTTTTGTAATTTATCCGAAAAAGCCATGCTGGTGTTTTTTTGAAAGAACATGCTCCAGAAAAAGAACATCTATTTTTCGAAAAATCAGAGCAAAGAACTTTTTCAAACTTTTTCCAGTTCTTCCAGGATCTAAGGTCTTCTCAAAACTAACAGCAAAGATTTTACAAAATAATATTATTCAGAAAAAATAGAAACTAACCACTTCCTCAAGGCTCCGCACACGTAGAAGTTGATCCGTTCGCATTTTGACGATGTTTGGAATCGCCAAACAGCCAAGTATTCTTTGTTTTAATTCAGTCTGAACAAAAAAATATGATTGAGATAGAAATAGCTATATTAATGGTAGGAAGTAGAAAAAACACGAAGAGAGAGCTTCAAAAAGAAGTGCGGCTCAGCATTTTCTAGGACAAGAAATATTTTTTGTAAGTTTCTTTTACTTTTCAGGAACAGCTGAAAGGATTGTGCTTTAACAGAGTGAATGAACTTATTTTAACGTTCATCGAAATAAAATGGCGAAAAAACATAGTAAAAAAGAAAGGTAGTGTTAAGAAAGTGAAAAGGTTAAGCGTTACAAAAACATCAAATTTACTTTTATCGGCTGGAAAATAATAATCCTTATGAACTTTTATTACGGTAATAGGATCAACTCACAAAAAAAACCTTGAAAAACTTTATCGAAAGAAAATTTTTTTTCAAAATTCGCTTGAAATTTTAAAGGCGCAGCTTGTGGGCGTGGCCAATCTTCCAAAAAATTTCTTGTCGACAAGACATTTCGCGCCTTTTCGCAAATGGATATACTAAATTTTTCTTGGCATACTCAATAAAATCATTGGGGAATCAGCTTCATTACAATGAAAAAAATGATGGTCACCGACTGTTGAATTTTACGATAAACTATGATTCCCTAGAATAGCGCTCCAAAGTTTTTCACTTTTCCGCTTTCAAACTTTGGCAAATTTCATTCACATTCACTGATACGACTTTAACAAAAAAAAGGAGATTTACGTACAAAAAAACTTCACAGGAAAGCTTATTCCCTTACTTTGGACCACGCCTCGTGTGAAAAAAGCGTCTCTCACAAAAAAAAATTTAAATATCAACAAAAAAGCTTCAAGAGATTGCCGCGATTTCCGCAGTTCGTTTAGCCATTTTTTTTCAATCAAGTTTTTCATATAAAAAAATTAATCTTTTTAGGCTAACAGTGCAATCATCATTTTTAAATCAGGGTGTTTTTTTCAAATATAAATATTATAAAAAAATAAGCTTAATTCTTACCAAAGACTAGCAAAGGCGCTATTAACAACGTCTAAGTTCATAAAAACGAAATGGAACTGCGATATCCATTCGGGGTGGCCAGAGGCCCGCTGGCGAAAATAGGCCACGCCCACAAGCGCGAAATTCGCGAGGTTGCTTGCGACGTTTTGGAAGGTCTACTAAGCGACTGATGATAAGAGATTTTTTTTCAGTTTTTTAATCAAGACCATGACGAAATTTAGTTCAAAGAAAAATGAATCAGAAAGAAAAAAAATGTTCTGATGCAAATTTGCTCGACGGATAAAATTTTCTGACGTTGAGACATTTTCAATTTAAAATCACTTTATTTTTTTGTTTGAGGATTTCAAGGTTTTTTTCAAACCTCTTTAACTTGAAAAAAGTGTAAGTTTAAAAAAATGTTGATTTCAACAGCGCACATTTAAAAAAAGTCGGAAAAAAATAAAATTTTTTTAAATGTTTATTTATGTATCCCACTGATCGAGTAAAAAAGTGAACAAAAAACAACAACAAAAAATTAAGAAAGAAGGTAGATCCTATGATGAATAGAATCTTCGAGTCGTCAGGAAAAAATTTATATTTTGAATAGGCGAATAAAATCTCAAAAATATTCGAAAAAGTGTCGGAAGAGATCAAAATATTTATGCAAACAAGAATATACAGAGCAGTTCTCGAAAACCAAGAACGAATTCAAGGAAGTTTTAATTTCAAACATTCAAAAATTATTCAAAACGCGTTGAAAAAACTGGACCAAACGGAAGGAAATCATTCTCATTAGGGAACAAGGTTTCAATAAAATGCCAAAATACAACAATACCAGCAGTCAGTCAAGAAGGGACCGAGAGAAAAACGAAACGAATCGATGGAGGTGGTGGGAGAGGAGTAAAAAAGGGGGCGTGGTTCATGGCCGACCACGCCTACTTTTTTGGCGTCTACCGACCCTGCACGCACCCTCCGCGGGGCCGCACACTCTCTCGCTTTAGGAAGCGCGACCAGGTCGGCGAGAGATCGGAGACGCAGAGACACGACCGCGACTCGACAACACGGGCCAAAGCGTTTTGTGTGCGTTTTGTGAGCGTATTTTGAGCTTTTCTAGAGCGTCTCTTGTCGTGAGTTGGGTCTTCGATGCTCCATCGGCCTCGATTCCAAGCTCTGATCCTGTTTTTGAACAAATTCTCGCCTGCAAATCAATAAATTTACTTGAAAAGTTGACTTTTGGTGAATAAGAACCGCTTTGATTGAAGTTTTAAGTCTAAAAAAGTGACGCGTACTATCTTTTTCTGCTCAAACCAGTTCTTTCTTGATACATCTAAAAAAAGAACTCCGTAAACTGGAAAATTTTCGGCGCAATCCAGCAAAATTTAGGAAGAATATATTCCGTGAATCGGGGTCTTCGATTATAGTTTAAAGTTAAAAAAAAAGTGACACGCCGTGTCTTTTCTCCGATAAAACTCGTCCTAGTTCTGTCCTGATAACTTTCCAAGAAAAAAGCCAACTTACTAGTTTTTTGAATATTTCGCGAGAAGAAGAGTTGTTTCGGAACTCGAGGCCCGAGCTGTCATTCAAATAACTGATAAAATGGGAACTGAGGCCGAATTATTGTACTTTAACGGTCTTTAAATGAGTTAACGAGGAAATTATTCCAATTTTCGAGAAAAAAAAAATCATCTTTACCACGGTGTAAGCTTGTTCTTTAAAAAAACAATTCGATGGGCCGAAAATAAAATGGGACGTTTTGGAAGGTAACCCGAAAAAGAAACTCGAAAATGCATCATCATGGCCTTATGTGGTTTTCCACAACTCTGGTTGAAAGTTTGAATTATTTGAAGGTGCAAATTTTTGTTTTCCATGAAAAGTTTATTTATAAAGATGCAGGCAGTAAAATTTTGAGTTTCGCGGGAAGTCGCGGAAAACGCGCTCCATTGCTAATATCCTCGAAAAAAGTCTGAAGTCACTCAAGTGATCCCTAGATGGCCGAGAATCTTCGATAATGTCTGTAGCTTCCTTATTTGTATTTTTTTCTAATGGAATGAGAGTTCAAGAAACGCCCTAATATTGAGAATATTTAGCAGCAAGTGTGCTCAAAAGCTAATTTTATTCACGTTGAACTCGGCTTAACTGTGTGGCAATGTCCAGAACAGAATATCATAATTTTAAAATTTCTTTTTTTCCACAACTTGCAGAATTTTACCTTAATCGAAATTAATTTAAATTCCAGACAACTAAATCGCTGCACATTAATTTTTTTTTTCTCGTCCAGACATGTCCTAAATTTTTTTCTGGTTTGAAAAATGAGACAAGAAAGACGCTCTCCGCGTGTGAGTCTTTTTTTTTCGGGAGCTGTGGCCCGCGAGAGCGGCTTCGATCAGACTCCGCCCCCTTTTAGACGCTGTTTTTTGTTCCAAAGTCGGAGTTTTGAACTTTTTAACTCGGAGAAGCCGACGAAAAACGAAAACAGTGGGGTGTCCTTGTGAAGAATGCATTATTTATTGTTTTTTTGCGACAAGTCCTTTATCGGAAATTTTGCCGTTCCTGTAATAAACAGGAAGAAACAAAAAACTATATTTTAAAAATAATCTCAAGAAAAATTATTATGGTTAAAGTATATATACCACAATCCTGTGTTCCAACGGAATTTGGCGAAAAAAATTAGAAGTAGAAATTTTCTCGATTTTGTGGATCCTTTTTAGGTTGTGCGAAAATTGAATATATCTCGTTAACAGGCAAAAAAACTTTCTTCAAAAATTTTTTTATCAATTTTTTTGTAGCGGACAATGGCCCAAAAAAACAACGAATTGTTCAGATATTTTTTTATTTTTTTCGTTTCTTTATTCATGTAATCTTATTTTTTTTCATGTAATAAAAATTAAAAATTTTTTTCATGGGAAAAGTTTTTTTCTCACAGACGATTCTTTTTCGCCTTTCAATAAGCTGTCAAATTGTTTTATGTATTTTTTTCAAGAATTATTTCTTCGCTTTTTTTAATATTATTTGAAAAAGCTAAGAGTTCAATTCCTCATTATTATATTATTGAATTTAGTGACTAAACCTATAATTATTTTTTTAATATTTTTTTATAATAAGTGAAATGTTTTTTTTATAGAAAGCACAGAAAAAGCGAAGAATTTTAAAAAAATTGACTAACTTTTTAAAAATTTCGTTTTGAAACGGGAATCTGACGACCGAAGATCATATATCGAAACAAATACAAAATTCCCGATTTTCTCAAACTTCTTTGTTTATAGGCATTACTCCTGATAGTTAGAACTGAATTTTCGGATTTTTTTAATTTTTTTGAACATTTTCAAAGGAAACTAGATGTAAAAAAATCATAGAAACCCGAAAAATTTTTCCAATTTTTATTTGAAATATTTTTGTTGGGTGTTAAAATTTGTTTTCATGTCTTTTTTTCTTTTTCCGCACGGAAATCTTCTCCTTGGTTTTCTTTGGTTTCTTTTTAAACTTACTGATTTTTCATATTTTCATTTCTTGAACCGTTAAAAATGCATTTTTACCAGAAAATGTCTTTTTCGGTGGAAAAAAAGGCTGTAATAATAGCGAAGGACAAAAAAACAAATCTCCAGTTGGTGTGGGCTGTTGAGTGCGAGTGAGACAATGAATGATGAGCGGAGAGTCGAGGGGCGAAAACAAAAGTGGGCGGAGTCGAAGTCGTCCTCTGCGTCCCTGACCTCCCTATTCACTGGGAAAATTTTTGGGCCGACCACATCGGATATCATTTTCTTTTTTCTTGAGGGGTTGAAAGAAAAAAATAAGGAAAAGACGTTGGGTGATTGAAATTTTTTTCTTAAACTTCAAAAAAATAAAATTAAAAAAATATTTAGAAAAAGTTCTTTCAAATTTGAAATTATAGTTTAAATTTTTAATAAACTTATGGATAAAAAAATAATTTGATTTTCAGTTTCCGAACCAATTTTATTTACTTTTACTTGCCAATAAAAAAAGCGACTAAATATGAAACTTTTTAGAGAGCCTTTACCCACTTTTTCAATCGTTTCAAGACCTTTAAAAAAATAATTCTGGATGTTGGAATTTAATATTAACGTATCAAAAAGAGGAAGGGTTACAGTTTCGAATTCATTTTTTTAAGAGCCTAAAATGATTGACAACATTAAGAAATTATAAAAAAATTTGGGTGTCTTCAGAGTATAAATAAAACATTTAGCAGTTTTTCGAAAACAAAGTCATCTATTTCAAATAAATGCAAAAATTAGTTCGTTTGAAAATATTTTCAGTGTGTTTCATGTCATTTTCAAAGATTCTTCACACCGCTTTCGCCCTGTTTTAATTTAATTTATTTGTTCTTTTGAAAAAAAAAGACTGTAATCATATTTTTAATATGACGTAATTGCCCTCATTTTCTTAAAACTTACTCGAAATACTATGGAATATCGCATTTATCAACGCGAAAACTTTATCCCCTCTCTTGTTCATCCGCCGACCCGAACTAGCTTGCGCCTTGGGATATGAGTCATAAAAAAGATTTTTTCGCCGTTAGTTGTACTTTTTTGGAATAGGAATAGAGAGAAGGGGAAAACTCAAAAAAAAAATCCAAAACTCTTGAATCCATAAAAAAAAACAATCCAAGAAATCAATCAAAAATGACGTTCTTATTTCATAATCTTCAAATCTCTGTTTTTAGAGGTGAACTGCGTCATGAACTTCTTGAGCGTCATCCTAAAGCTTCATCCTGTTTTTAGGGTGGGAAAAAGTCCGCGGAACGATCCTCTTTCCCTTCGCAGGTGCAGCTGGTCGTTTCCAAAACTAGACGAAAAAAAATTTTTTTTTCAGTTGCGCAGATGGAAAAACTCGCATCTTGGGAAACAAGGTTTTGTGGGAGGTAAAATAAAGATCGACCAAGTGAGAATGCTGAATTCATATGGTGCTAGAGCGCCAAAACGTCAAGAACGCATATAAATTCAGGACTCTTCAGTGGTCTCAACGGGGGTTGTGAGGGATGGTTTTTGGGTGGTTGGCAACTTGGGGATATTGATAATTTCCTTGAATCTTGAGAAGGATATCTATAGGCTTGGAAGGAAGCATCCGATTCTGTTGTGAATCGAGGAAAACGTACCGAAGGACGGCACGAGGCGAGGCGACGGCGCTGGGGAATCGAGTGAGCATGACGTTTGTGATAACGGCTAATCAGCCGTGTTATCAGTCGGCGGCAGGCACCGCCGCCGAGCCAAACCCTTTTTCGGATTCGAGACCCCAGCCAGAAATATGTCCTTTAGCAATAGTCAGAATACACTGAAAAGTTGCTACAGCTGTTCAGGCTCAGGAATACAGTTAATAAAGTGCAGAACGAGATCCAGGAAATCTCAATCTGCACAGCCTGAACTTTAGCTAGTTCATTTGAACAGAACGAGTAAGAACGACCCTATATTTTTAATATTGTTAAATGCAGTAACCTTCCACCTTTTCAAACCTTACTGAATAGAATGAAAGACTTCATTTTAAATCTTTGGCTACGAAAAAGACACAAAGTCCGCTTAATTTATTTTGAAAAATACTCTCAAATTGACGAAATCGGAAGAAGACGAAACAAAAACTAGACTAGAACTTCTAGAAGACACACGTATTTATTATCTAAACAAATTTTCTTTCACTACAACATCCTGACAACAAATTTAGCTTGCAGCATACTGAAGGTGAAAGAACTTTTCTTATATTTGAAACAACAGAATTTTTTTGAATCGAAGACCAATTTGGAAAACAAAAGGTCTGTTTAGAAGTTTGAAAAGAATCTAAATGAAGTTAATAAATTTGAATGAAGGTTCGAAAAATGAGATCACTTGGTGGGAAAGAAGGAATTTATTAGACTAATCGCTGCGATTTTTCAGCTTCTCATTTAACCACAACTTGTGGTCCATTCTACGAATAAGTAAGATTTCCATTTGCTCTAAGGATAACTCCTCTTTCGAGCGAAAAAAAAAGGAAAAAAAAAACTAGTTTTATAAGTGAGGAAAGGGTCTATGAAAGCGTAAGAAAATTTTCTTGCCGAATTTAAAGGCTTTGAGAATTTGATAAAAGCGAAAAATGGATGGAAATCGATCGGCAGGACACGCCGCCGCCGCACAAAAGCGATATTTGAATTGGGCGCCATCGTTTTTTTCCTTTTTTTGTTGCCGCAAAGGAAGGAAAACCGTTCGACGATGGTCGTTTTGCTCGCCTCAAATGGCTTTTATGGCGGTGCCGCCTTTCAAAAATCGTCTTTTCGAGTTTATTGAAGGCATTTCGCGAAAGAAGAAGCTTCAAAGAACGATTTTGTATAAAGTGCACGTGGAAACGTAGAAAAGGTCCGGTATCCATTGGAAACCGTGCCAGCAGCATCTGTTTCGCTGACAGATTATGACCCAAATATGAACGCCTTCCATTTGGCTCCGAAATGGAAGCCCCCCATTCAACTAATGCGCCGAAATGACTCCCGTTTCGGAGATTTTCCGAAAAAAGCTTTTCTTCGGAGAGATCTATGAGTATGAAATACTATAAAAACGGCCGTTGTTTGAAAATTTCTAAAAGACCAAAAGAAGATGATTGACTTTGGTTTCAAAATTAAACGTTCTGTGAAGATGAGCTCAAAAGCTCTGAGTTTATTTCGGAGAAGGCATTTTTTTCATGCTGTCACTCAAGATAAAAGTCCGAAATTGGAGAATTAACATTTTGCAACTTATTTACAAACCTTAAAATTCCATAAATAACGATTGGCCTTTGATTTTGAGTTTTTGGAAAATTGGAAAGAAAGAGAGAGTTCATCTGATTAGATAAGAAATAGTTCACCTGGGAGAGTTAGCTGTAGATAAAAAAATTCATGAACTTTTTAGAGGAAAAATGTTCGAATTTGAAAAAAAATTGACTTAAAATAATTCAAAAATTTTTATCTGCTGTTGGGTCTGTAAAGAGCGTAAATTTTTTAAAAGCTCATTTCGACCTCAATATTTTTTTGTTTTTTTAACAATCAAACTTGAAAGATTTTTTTAGAACTTTTTTTCATTTTATTTTCTTCACCAACTGCTCTTGAAACCGACTAATCGTTTGGTGACGGCATTTAGAAAAAAATAAAGACTAATTTTCAGAATTTTCGTTCCAAACTTCGAATAAAATTATCCCAAAAAAGCAAAAACCGAAGTCATGATAAAATCATATTTTCTTTGGTTTCCCAACAATTCGTTCGCTAATCCCTTAGAAAAGCGATTTTTTCAAGTCTAAAACGTGAAAAAGACACCTTATAAGCTTAACTTAATCCCAAAATGTTGAGATTTCAAGGCTTCATAGCGTTATACGGACTGTAAATGATAACGCATTCAGTTCGTTTCTAAACAATGGCCAGAAAAGCAACCAAATCTCCATACAAAGGCAAATGAATAGACGCGGGGATGGTTTGAAGAGCAAAATGGAGAAAAAGAGAGGACGCGGCGGATGGAAGTTCCGCCGGTTACCCAGGGAGACCGGCGGAGGCCGCCCTTTTCGTCCGCCCACAGGAACTTTTTGCAGACTCCACAGACGGCTGCTTTAAATAGTGTTTTAATTGTTTACGAACAAAATGGATGATAGAAAACGTTTCGAATTATCATGGGATGGGAAATTCGCTTCCTCTGGGAATTACGAGGGCAATCGCAAGGAAATGTATTATTTATGGAACGTAACGTGATTTTTTTAGAAAAAAATTTATTTTTATGAAAAAAACGAGATTTTTGACAGAATTATTTTTTAACTCTTGGAACTTTTGAAATAAAAAATTTCTTATCTATCTCTACTTTATTGAGAAGATATTCTTTACAAAAACAAGAGTAATAAATTATAAATTTGAAAAACGGAAAAAGACAGAGAAAAAATTCGAAAAAAAACCTTTTTTAATAATAAAAAACTTACTATTTGTTCAAAGTAAAATCGGCAAATTTTTTTATCGTAAGCTCCTATTCAATGTAGGACTGAATGGGCACGCAATCCTCATAAAGCGTGAATATATCTGAAACTTGAAATGAAAAATAAAAAAAGTTTTCAGATAACTTCATAAAAATATGAATATTCGGGTAAATGGAATTGCACATCAGAAGTAAAAAAATAAGTATTGAAAGATAAAACACAAAACTTTAAAAAAATGCAAAACAAAGATGAGCTCGCAAAAAAAGGTTGTAGCAAAAAAAGTTACTTGAAAAGCGTCAAAATATATTTTTCGAATATATATCAAAAATAAATGAAAAAAATATTATTATATTAACATTAATATTAATTATTATAATATAAATTTAAAAAAATTCAAATTCAAATTTACGAATGTCGTGAAATATTGCGCTTGCTGTGCAAAAAGTGTACACGTATTCCGTGAAAAACAGTACCGTCTTGATCAAAAAATGACTTTTTCTAGAAATTTAATTTCTTTTTTTCCTTTTTTTCCGGTTTTCGAATTTTTTTGCTGGTTTTCTTTTTCTCGAAACTTTTAATTTGCGATTTCGAATTTCTCGGAACAGTTTCAGGGATTTTTTTCTACCTCTAGTATTTCGAAAAATCATACCATTCGAGCCAAGCCTACTATATTTTTTTATCTCACAAAAATGTTCAATGTAAATTTGATAATTATAAATTTATATATTTTCAAAAAAGTTCTGAACTCACCTACATCATTTTTGCTCATCTATATATTTTCAAACAACACAATTTTTTCTAAGAGGCCGCTCACCTTGCTAACAAAAAGTTGAAACCAAAGTTTTTAGTTGGATAAAAGGGCAGAAACCGATCAGCGCCAAAAACGAGGGAGAATATCTGGGACTGAAGCGCCGCGGAGCACTGTCAAAATTCGCGAGGCGATCCATTTTCGATGCGTTTTGAACAAATATTTGCATTTGCAAACGATCGGCCCTGAACACGTCACAAATTTTGATGGCCTTTCATCGAGTTTCTGATTTGTTCTATTTTGAATCGGCTTTTTCGATGATTTTTAACTGAGTTAGCCGAGAACTTTTGTTTAATATTTAAAAGACTGAAGCTATTTGTCAGTTATTTCAAAAATCTTCGCAAATTCCCAGGTAAAAGTGCGAGAAAAAAATAAAAATTTTTTTTAAGCTTATCATTTATAGTTGTTTTTTTTGTTTTCAAACTAATGTTCCTTGAATTTCAGTGTTCAAAGCTGCCAGGTTTTTTTGTCGTTTTTAATAATAAAAAATTCTTTTAAAAAAACCTCTCCAGGACTTGAACCAAGGACCTTTTTGACTTGAGATTTTTGTCTTACCAGTTGGGCTAGGTTTAAATCGTACTTTTTCGGTAGGTGTTGAGGTGTTTCATTTTTTTTTTCGTTCATAAATTTTTTATTCACATTTCACAACATAATAAGCGAATATCTAAGAAGCGATCAGGTCGTTTTTTTGAACTTTTTCAGAATTTTCACGTTTGACATATGCAAGCGACTAAACAGTACTACGTTTATACATCGGAAAAAAATGAAGAAAAGAGAAAAAAATTTGCAAAATGTTTTTTTATATTAAAAAAGAAAAATTTGGCAGAATAAATTTGACGATTTTATAGGAGGATTTATAGAAATCAGGATCCATAATTGCAAACCTTGAAAAAGTTTAAAATCAAAAATGTAATGATGAAGACCTATTCGAGATTACGAGTTCAAAGCATGTAGCTGAGATGAATTCGTTCGAAGAGAAATATGGAAGAACCGATGAAGTGAAGCGTCTTTCCGGGCTTGATGGCGATGAACCGATGAAGCTCGATCAAGCGCGTGAAAAGCCGATCCGGGAGTTTGTTGTTTTTGTATAACAACACGGATGTTCTGAACTTGTGCACGTGCGAGAGATTCGCCTCCTTGTCCCGGTTGAACAGCACCTGAAACCGTTCTTCCAACTTTTTTTTAAGAAAACTGCGTGATACTTGCACGGAGTTAATAGACTCATAAAATCTTTCAAACCTTCAAGAGCTCCATAACTTTGTCGACAGTGATCGAGGAGACCGTTGAGCCATTTATGTAAAGCGAAAAAGGAGTCGTCTCATTTTTATTGAGTCTTATCAAATGATTCAAGCTGGTGTTTGAAATCTTCAAGCTCCGATTATGGCAAGTAACCCTGAAATCTCTGGATTACTAATTGTTTCAATTCATCGACCTACCTGAGCTCCCGACATGCGTTCATTACTTGCACCAGTTTTTCAACATTCAGAACTTTTTTGTTGTAACAGTTGCCACGGACGGAGAGAGAAGATAGGTTTGGCAAAAGTCGAATCGTTGCTTGGATTTCTGCGACTGGCACGCCGTCGTTTTGAACGACCGTCAACTGAAATTCAGACGGCTCCGAAAGAGATTCGAGGAAAAATGACTTGAAGCGGTTATTTTAACTTTTTTTTCCCTTATTTCTATGCACTCGCTGTTTAAGCGCTGGTATCTTGAAGTTGGAGACAACATAACTGTTAAGAATTCACAAATTTTCTGCCTGAAGCACGAAATACTTCACCCGGCTTATTTTAAGACATAGTATTACGGTATCAAAGGAGTACGTGTGGACGATTGCACAGCGAACGTTGCATTCGACGACACGTCCAAATTGTGTAATTTTCAAGCATTATTTTAGTTTATAACTTTCACTTATTTGTTTTGTTTCAATGTTTTCGATTTAGAGCTTTGGAGACGGAGGTTTCTAAGTTTTTTGGAGCTTTTTGTGTTGAGGGCTCACCAGTCGGTCTCTGAATCTTTCTTTTTTTTGGACAACGCTATCCTTGTTTTTTTTTTCGTACCTTTTTCATTGATTTACATCGCGAAGTTCTAAACATAATGAAAATCTAGCGCCTACTTTAGTGAAGTCTTGCAGGAGGTCGTCTGTGAAAAATCCGGCATTCATCTGACGGCAGAAGCCTGCCGCCAGTACCAACGAGGGAAATCGAAGGTATTTGGTCAGTTCGTGGAAGCCTTCGAGAGTGCAAAGCGTGAAGTCGCGGCTTTTTTCCTCCGGAATCTCAAATTCAATCATTCACAAGAGGTTTTCCTTTGGTAGTTATTTGGAAACCGCCGAGAATGCTCTTTAAAGTACCAGATAAAAAGCTAAGCAGTGTGGGGCCGTAGCGCAACAAGTTGGGGGAGTATCTATGGTCCACAGGGTCACGAGTTCGATCCCCGCTGCGCCCTAACTAAAGAGTTTAAGGAATATTGATATGCGAAAACTATGGCTTGGGGCGCCGACGCGCTCAAACTATAGGAAGGCGTGAGAAGACGATAAAAAGCCGCCCAACCTACATAATTTTTTCTCTTTTGTCATCAAAGAAGGCTCAGGCAAATCTCAAAATCTTCTGTGAAATGCTCTCTGAATTGCGATTTTTTCGTACCCACCAAGTATTCTTCATCGTTCTCCTTGTTGGGAATCTTGATTCGAATTCCGAAGAGTTCTTTCGAATAGACGTACAACTCCGTTCTGTGGGAGAGAGTCCTGGGAGAACCTTCATGATTTAAAAAAAGTCCAAAAAAAGCTTTACTTGATATAGGAGCCCACACGACCTAGCCAGCACGGACAGGAAAGCAGCAGGGATATTTTTTCGAGTTCTTCTAAGTTTTCGAACATTTCGCTCACGGCCAATGCAGGAATCCGACACATCCGACAAGGCTCTTCTCCGTAGGCGGAATTCTTTGACATGACTTCTGTAAAAGACTAATGAAGAGATTTTTTAATTAATTAAAGCTTCTAAAAAAGTTATACTCTCTTCCACGACAAAAAACTGCTTGATTCTCGTAAAGCGGTTATTTTTATCTATCGCGTCCAACGGAGAACTACTTGCGCTAGGTTGCATCCTATAGAGTAAGAGGAAAGTCACTAAAGGTCTGGCGCAGCTGTGTGATACGTACCAAAATCATGAGTACATTTCACAAAACGCAAAGCAACCGTGGCGGTTTGAATCAAGTGGTTTAACAAGTCGGGAAAAATCGAGTATTTCCAAGAAAGAAGAGCCACGAAGAATACAGGAAAATGAGAATGAGACAGAAGACCACCAAGAGAAGTGTAACACTGCGTCCGATATGATTTGACAAAAAAAGCTGATGATAACCGCCTTCATCGAAGAGTTTTCTAGAGAAGGCGAAAAAGTCAAACTTTCTCCAGGTTTGTCAAGGAGAGAGAGTTTTCTCGATTTTGGAAAAGATATTGGAAACTTTTCATGAAAAGAAATCTGTCAGTGAAAGCTTCTCGAATGTTTCAAATTCCATTACGTTGGAAAAATGGTGGAAATAAACCTTGTAATTGTTCCGAAATGTAGAAAGCGACCACCAATATTGTTGTCGGTGAAATGAAAAATGTCCTACGGCCGGTGCCGTTGAAAGAAAAACATTGAGATTTTCACCTCCTGTCGAAAAATGTTTCAAAAACTGTCAAGAATCTATATTTTATTGCGTTTTTTTTCATGGAAAATTGAATGACCATTCATAATCTAAAAAATGCATTTTCACTTATAATTTGAAGCTTAAAAGGGAAAATTTAATCAGAACATTGAAGGTTAAAATTTTATTGACAAAGTCCTTGATTTACTATACTTCTTTACTGTGTAAGAAGATGAAACTTTGAGGCATCTTTTCTCAGAAAAATAGGAAATTTTGCAATTCGCGTTTTCCAGTAACTCAACTGAGAGTTATCAACCAATTTCCAGAAACTTCCAGTTTGGAATCAAATTCTTTCCTTTTAGTTTGTAGACGTCTTCTCTCTCCTTTTACCAAGCCATGATGGATCTGTAGGGTTGTGTCCAACTTTCCAGACTGTTAAACAGATAAATTCTTCTCCTTTACAAAATGATGAATTTGTGCGCCGTTGGGAAGAAAAAACACCTGTGGAAGGTGCGAGAAGACGTTTTGGAAGTGACCACCTGAACAGCCCATCCGAAAATTGAGAAACTAGGTGAGAGATGCGTCTAGGGCGTATTTTCGAGAAGAGGCAGCGGAGAAAAGGGGGCAGGTAGCAGGGGGAGACAGGAGACGCAAAGAAAATGTTTCACTTTGAGCTGTTGACGTGATAGAAATATATGATATTATCATTTTGGGGAAGGGATTTGAGCGTTTTGAGTTCTGTTTTTCGAGCTCGGAATTTTCTGGACTGAGAAATAATTTTATTAAATTGATAAATTTACTCTGAAAATTCCTCTCAACTTTCTAATTGATGAATCACTACGAGAAGTGAAATTTTTGAAAAAATCGTTTGAAAGGATTTTCCTTCTATTTTTCATTCATAGCCACTAAGAATAACTGACGAGATAAATGCGAGCTCGGTGGCGGTACATTGACTAACTCGCAAAAATGTCGCTTTTTTCTAGGCGCGATCCCGCATTTCTCTCGGCGCGACCTCGCATTTTTCTCGGCGCCATCTCGCATTTATCTTGCATTTCGGAAATTTTCAAATTGCGAGAGAAATGCGAGCTCGCGCCTAGAAAAATGCGAGCTCGCGCCCAAACAAATGCGAAACCGGCGCGAGATGTTTGCGAGCTCGTCAATGTACCGCCAGTGTCTCGCGTTTATCTCGGCAGTTATTCTTAGTGGCTGCATGAAGGCTTCAATTTTTGACATATATTCTTCCAAAAGTTGAATTTCTTTGATTTTCAAGCTAAGTTTTTCTCATTTATAAAAAGTGTAAAGTTCTAGCGAAGTTTTTTTCAACCGAATCTGAAAGAAAAAAACAGTCGACTGATTTTTCAAAACATTCATTTAGCAACTATCTTGTCTCAAAAATTGCTCTTTATTTTTTCTTTTATTGTTCTTTTCCTCATTACAAAACCAATTTCCTTCTTCAAAAGATTTTAAAAAATTTCTGATTTCGCGACAAAATGGTTGAGCATTGAATATAAATTAAGACATTTAGAGACATTTAGAGACATTTTGCCCTTTAGAAATAAATTCAGATGATTTCGAGTGATGAGAAATCCTTCTTGTTTCATAGTTTTTGTTTCTCACAATTTGCAGGTTTTCCCGATTTTCCGATTCACGTGGACAAGATGTCGTACAAGTCTTTGAGTGAACACGAGGACCGGCTTGTGAGGAAAGGCAGAAGTTGTTGATTGAGGCTATTGTCGCCTCCCAGCTACCTTTTCTTCCAATAAACAGGTAGAATAGTTTTTTCTCACCTGGTAGGTGTCGGAGATGAACATCGTATACCTGGTACCCACTTAGGATCCCCAAGTCGCTAAAGAGGCTATGGGGGAAACAGCCTTTATAGGCGTCCTTTAATTTTTTATTCAGACTCGGATTTTTTCAGTAAAACTTGTTCGAATAATTCTCTGTCGATATTTTTCATTCAAATCGCTCATTTATCGAGTTTTTCGTATGGAAATGCTTCTTCTCATAGAGTTTTCCAGAGTGAATGACTAGCTCCCCTAGAGTAGCCATTTTTGCAAGCTTTAGGGTCCCATGGCTACCACTTTAGCAACCACTCTGGCGTTTCTAGGCACCAGAGCTGAGCGTCGATTTCGCTCATGAGGGCTTTTTGAAACCGGTGCTCACTTAACTCTTATTGAAATTGCCGATTTTCACCGCGTTCTTTGGACAATTCGGCAATCGTTTTTACGTATTGCCGGCAATTTATTTTCAACTTTTTTGGCGAACTCTCTCTGCATCTCATTCTGTTTTAAATAACTGTTTTATTGCATTTTCGATGTCAGAATACCTTTCATTGATTTTACTGTGTTTTTAAACGGCTACAGGAGCTGTGGCTTAGGCAGAGAAGTTGAGAATTTCGCTCGTAGAACATCAGGTAGGAAGAAGTACGGTGCCGGCTTTCCAAAGACCGATGGCAGAGATTGAGCCTTTTCGCTGCATGCAGCTCCCATCTACCCCGGAATGAAAGGCTTGGTCGGCCTCGGGGGGACCCGAACCTACGACCTCGCGGACGTTAGAAATGAGTCTTTACCAGCCGAGCTATGCCGCCCCCTTAACTTTAACTTGAACGCTCGAAATTGATATTAAAAATTGCGCGTCGCTGGAAATCTGCAGACACCGTTTTCTAATTCTAATTCTACCCTAGCAAGCTTTTTTTCAAATCCACATTATAGAAAATAACTGCATCATAGTTTGCCCAATGATATTTCTTCATGGGCTGAACTTCAACAAAAAATAAGTTGTTCCAAGAAATAGAATCGTTTTGAGACACAAGGTGGAATACTCAGTTTAGGCTCCATAAAAATGGCAACAGAACTTTGCCCAGCTTTTCCAGGTTTTCAATATTCATTTTTAGCTTTTTATTTTTTTCAGCTATTTCGCATTCTTGTGCTAGATCTGTGGCCTTCGATTCTGTTTCTCCTTTTTCAAAACTGCAAAAAAAAGAGGAATTTAGTGCTGCAATACCTTGAATATTCTATTCACAGACCGCAGAGCCACGCCCACATCGCTAGTTCAAAAAGAGCCGAAAAAATAATTTTTCTCACAGAAAACTTGCTCTAACCTCGATAACCGGCCGTTTCTGAGCATTGGTAGTGATCACTTTAGCGAAGTCAGTTCTCTTGGGCACTTGTCCGGCTTGCGTTACCAAGGCTCGAGAGAAACAAAAGTTGTTCACTGGAGCGAAATGGACAATAAATCAATGGTGATTTCAACATATCTTCTCCTTGAAATTCTTCAGAAGTTTCCACCGGAGCATCCAGAAAGCTTTGACACACTGAATATAAAGATAACCAACAAGTCGAATCGATTCGACGGTTTTTGGACGGCGGGGGGCGAGAGAGTGCGCGAAATGCAGACGACGTGGCCTCGATCCCGTCATTCTAGGTCATCCTCACGCTTTCGCCATCCGTTTTTCTACTGGCTCCAGATTACGCACTCTTCTTTGATTTATTAAGTTAGGTTAGCTGATAAGGTACACTATTGTTTTGACTAAGTTTTTCGTTTTTTTGTTTTTCCATTCATTATTAGTACATCTAATTTATCGTAACTTCGTCAAATCCCCAGAAAAATTTGTGATGCTTTTAACGCTGAATGTAGGAAGTTTTCAGAAAGGTCACCCACACGACTAGAGAAATAGCATGCTAAACGTAGAGGTTTAGACGTATATGTAGCGTTTTTTGACCCCAAGCTCTGCAGTATGATCTTTTAATACTGATTTTGAATCAATATTCGTCAATTTCAACTTAAATTATGACTAAATATAGCATTTCCGTTTTTTATTTCGATTCTGTAAATTTTAACTCGAAGTTTGAAGACGTTGCGAACTATCTTTGGATTCAAATATATTTAGGGACCGCAGACGAATTTTCAAAAATTTTTTTTCAGCATTGAGCTTTGTATGGTTTGATAGCTGTTTCGATTCAAAACTCAGAACCGTTTAGTTTTTCAAAAAAGATTGAGGATGAAAAAAAGTTATGACGGAAAATGTGGCGCGCCGCGCACCATTTTTAGTACTGAAATTTTGGTATTATCCATTTTTTTGACATTTTTTTCTCGATTTTTTTCTTCTAGAACAAGTTTTTGATACTGGTCTATTATGATGTAACAAATCATAATAGAGTGCTAAAATGATGCAAATTTGCTAGTTTGCCGAAAAATTCGGTATTTTCCAGAAAACAAAAAACTGCCGCTTGCGGGCATCGAACTCGCGACCTCAAAATGAACAATCGCAGCGCACGCGTTGCGCCAAGCTGTTAGGTCCAACGCGGGGAGCTTCCATCCGCCATACCCTTGAGCCGTTTGGATAGCACAGATTGCCTATTTCAAAAATAAAAATTTGAAGTAATTTAGCTATTTTTATCAGAATATGTTCGCAAATCTTTACTCAAACTTTTCGTGGAAATTCACTTCGAAAAAACTGTTTTTTTAGTGCTTTTTGCCTCGTTTAACGATCGCTGCATTAAAACGGCCCCGTAAATTTTTGGCAAAGACGAATTTTTTATTTTATTCTTTTAATTGAAAGATTTTTTACTAATAAATGTATATAATCGTTTGAGAAACCTGCGTTCGACCGCTTTCTGTGTGATAAACGCCGCTAATTTTATTCTCTATTTTCAAGAGCATTTTTGCGTATTAAACAACTTTTTCAAGCAAAGATGCTGTAGAGAAATATTTAAAGTAAGCTCATGATCTAAATTTTGAAAAAAACAAAAAAACTCGATTATATTCGCTTATTAACGATATTTTTGAATTATGACTTTCGGCACTCCCTAAAAATTTTTTTGGCAAAGACGAATTTTTTTATTTTATTGTTTTAAAAATTACCGTTACTTGGATCAAAAATCATTTTATAAAAAAAGAAAAGAGTGCGTTCGACCTGAAAAACACATGAAAAAAAGCAAAAAAACGACAAAATTTTTTTAGTTCCATTCACGTTTTTTTGTACGACATTCCGCGCGAACGCATCAAAAAAACGTGAAATATTTTTTTAAACGAAAGAGGAAGCTTTTTCTGTACATGTGTGTCAAATTTTTATTCGCCAGTTCCACATATTTTACAACTACAACAAAATGAAAGTTTGAAAACCAAAAAAAGCCACTTTTTCTATCGCGAAAAGGGGCGTGGCTTTGCGGTCCCTAAATATATTTTATTCCCAATTTTTTTCAACAATTTTATAAAATTTGAGTTTATTAATCGATAATTGATCCTGATCCGAGTTTCAGCCTTCCTATACCATTTTTTTGATTTTTCAACTGATTTTCATCTTTTTCTGAAAGCTGTTTCTTTTCGTTCTTGATGTTTGACTTGAAAAGATTTTTCTATTTCCATTTTTTTTTGTTTTGAAAGGCGATTCTTTCATGAGGGATAGTTCAACTTCAGTTCTATTGCCTTTGTGAAAAACAAACTTTGAGAACTTTGAAAGTTCCCATAGTTGGACACTACTCACTACTCGAGACATTTTGTTTTCATTTTGTCCATCTCCGACATTAGGAAACCGGGAGAAACGGCGTTTCTTGTATTCCCCTTTCAAAAACCTGCTTTCGTGGACCGCGTCAGAGAGAAAAAGTTTCCCTCAATTTCGTTCGTTTCTGAATTTTCAGCGAAGCTAACTTTTTCTGTATAGTATTTTCCAACACACTTTTTGGGCCTTCAGTAAATCGAGAGTATAGGCGGAAATTTTGAACTGCTGAGCTATTATTTCTTCATTTTTTCAGCTGGGAATGATTAAAATAGTGTAAGACTTGAAGCAAAATATGAATTGCGCCTTTAAAAACACCAGAAAGTAGTCTCGAACAGACTTTAGTTGAATCTCACTTCGATTGTTATCAAATCAAGGTAACCCGGTCAATTTCTCCGTTCTCGTCAAGCTTTTTTTTCACAACAAAATCTTTTTTCTTCCGAGAATTTCGCTCACAAAACATTTTCAATTTTTATTGTTTTCCCAGGCCACGGCCATCAACGCCTAAATGTAAATCGTGTGTTTGCTGACATGCAAATCGCCTTTTTTTGAACAATACGTTTTTGACTTTTTCTTGGTTTTCAATAAAATTAGATTTATTTTTAATTTTTTAGGTTTTTAAAAAACTTTTTGTAAGACTTTTTTGGTCTTCTAGCACAAGCTCAAGACTTCTTAGGAACGCCAGAGTGGTCCCTAAAGGGGCAATATTAAATATATAAAAATCCCCTTAAGGGGCTCTTGCCCTTTCCACTATGGGGGCCACGAAGCTTCCAAAAGTGCCCACTATTGGGTTTTAGTTAGTGAATTTTAAAGTAAAATGGAAAATAAATTGCCAATTTTTATTCCAATTTCTAAACCCTCTAGAAGAATTTTTGACATTTTTGAGCGACTATGCCTTTTTGATCAAAATGTTGAACTTATGTCTCGTCTGCGCTCTCTACTCTCTCAAGAGCCCTCTCTTGTTTGCTTGCTATTTTCATGCTTCTCTGGTGAGGGAAAAGAGATTCAGACAGGTCAGAGTGTTTCAGAAACTTCTGGAAAAAATTAAACCGCTTTCAACTGCTGAAAAACTTGGAATGAAAAAAAGAAGAAGAATAAGGCGATTCTCAATAAAAATAAAAGGCGTTTCGACGTGAGTCACTTGGTGCAACTTGTCGCGCGCGTTTTTGTGCTCGAGACCCTCGCTTCTCTTTCTTCGAGCAAACACTCGCGACGTCGACGTAGCCGCTTTGCCCTATAAACTTTCCGTTTCTCTACTGATTTCCGCCTTGCCTTCACGCACGTCTTCAGCTCTCAAGCAAGCCTATTTTTGGCCCTCTTCCTTTAAAAATTCTGCCGAAAGTTCTAGTCGGGTCTATTTAATTTAGAACAGCTCTCTGTGAATTTTATCATAGTGGCTCCTATCTTGCAGTATTTTGCAACAAGTTTTTGCTCGAAATTATGAATTTCAACCTCTTGGCTCAATAAATTCTCAGTTGCTCTACTGAATTCCGCCTAGCCTTCCTGTACGTCTTCAGCTATCAAGGAAGCCTATTTTTGGCCCTCTTCCTTTGAAAACTCTGCTAGAAGCCCTGCTATGCTCTAATCAAATTAGAAGAGCTTTTTCTAATTTTTTTTTTTATCATTGTGGTTTCTATCTGGTAGTCTTTTAAAACAAATTTTCATACAATATTATGACTTTTACCCTCGAAAATTGTCTTGGATTTTTTATTGGTTTTTTTTATTCTTTCCTTTTCTTCCTGCACGTCTTCTTCTTCCAAGAAGCCCTATTCTTGGCTGCGTTTCCCTTAGAATCTGTACTAAAAGTCATATTTTTGGCTCCTTGAGAAAATTTTTTTTCTTTTGCCCCTATCTTTTGATCTGTTTCAACTTTTTCATAACGTTTTGGTGATCAAATCGGCTAAAAAAAGGCTTCAAAAAGAGTAGCTAGCAAAAAAGGGCTTCTCCAAATTTTATTTTTTGAATCTTTTTAAAGGATATATTAGCTTCTTCAATTCATATGTCATAAAATTTCAGAGTGAAGAACTATTTACAACATTATTTCAAATCAAAAGACAAGAACATTTTTTCTTCGCTTCAAAAAAGTGTCATGGAGCCTTTTAGCTGCTCTATTAGAACAGACTTTTTTGAAGTTGAGTTTCGTAAAATTTTTTTTTTGTTTCTCAATAATAGTGGGATTTTTCAAATGAAGAAGTTCAGGCTCAAAGATGGGCGCCGCAGGTGTGATCTCCCTGACGGCAGTACTTCTGTGGACGCTGGCATCTGCTCAGCAGTACAAAGAAGCCGTCGACTTGACCATGCAGAACCACGACCAGATCATGGCCAGCGCTCAGGTTTGATTTCAGTTATACTGACCGGATTGCTTCCTTAAGGTTCTCTCAAAGTTTGAAAAGTCATGAAATTCTTGAAAAATTTTGAAACGGTTGGACGTTCCATTATGGCTGTATTTTCGACACTAAAAAAACCATTTTGAAAAAAAAAGGGAGGATTCCTGTTTTCATTTGATCTTGCTAGTGTATTTGGACATGAAAGAAGGAAGAATTTGAAAAATAGAGGGGATAAATCTTCTTTTTTTTGTGCTTCAAAAAAAAACCTTCAGTTTTGATTGGTTCACTTTTATTTTAAGCTTTCAAATTTTTTTTTTTGAAAAGAGTGACACTGGAAAAATGCCGCTGAGTCTGATGAAACAGTTTTGAGAAAGACTTTGTTTTCTGATACCTTTTTCTAACTTATGAACTTCCTTGAAAGCTTCTTTGTCGCAAGCCCTTAATAAAATTCCTTGAAGGTCGTTTTCGTGGCATTCTGCGCGGATTGGTGTCCGTTTTCAAGACGACTCAAGCCCGTCTTCGAGGAATCGGCCGTGACGTTCCATCGCGAGAATCCGACGGCTTCTGTCATCTGGGCCATCGTCGACAGTCAACGTCAAGTTCGTTTCCTTGGGGATTTTTTGGTTCTTCTCCTTAAAAACTTCTAGATGACGTCATGGATAGATTGGAATGACGTCATTGACAGAAAAAATAATAAAACTTACCCATGAACCCATTTTTTCCAAACTTTTATTCTGGTTCTTCTCATTGTTTCAAAAATGTGCTTAGTTTTTTCTAAATGATACCCGAAATCATTCTTAATGACGTCATTGATAGAATGCTTAAATTTTTCGAAATGACGTCATGAATTTCTTTTTATGACGTCATTGACAAAACCCTGCTTGAGCTCACCCTCAAATTCGAATTTTTCAAACTTGTTTCATTAGTTTTCTTTTTTGAAGAAATTTTTTGAGATGGTGCTTGAAATGTTTTCAATGACGTCATTGACGTAACCTGGGCAGTTTTACCTTTAAATTGAGAGTTGTTCTCATCGATTTTTTGGCTGAATGCACCTTTTTGACGTTTTATTATCTCCATAAATGGCTCATCAATCATCCAAAATTTTTCAGGCCGACGTTGGCGAGAAATATTTCGTGAACAAGTACCCGACAATGAAAGTCTTCGTCAATGGAGAGCTCAATCAGAAGGAGTATAGGTAAGATTTTCCCAGCTTTTTCCAAGAACCACATCTTTTTTTAGGTCTACGAGATCAGTAGAGGCACTAACCAACTTCGTCAAGTACCAGCTTTCCACCGCAATCAACGAGTTCTCGTCGGAACATCAGCTCGAGGCGGCGCTGGATCGGACCAAAAGGAATATCATTGCCACCATGCGGAAAGATGGACCCGACTATGCCAACCTCAAGGTTTCGAACTTCGAAATTTTTCGTGGTTCCTAAATTAATTTTCAATGGCCTCTTTAGAAGGCACTCCAGGAACTAGTTTTTTTCAGTCCAAAGATTCTATTCACTTTAGGAGTTTTAGTGTTTATCTTTCTAGGTAATATTTTTTTCAAGAAATCTTCTCGATGAAGTGTTAAATTCACGAAATTTCAGAAAGTGGCCTCGCTTCTGCGAGAAGACTGCACCTTCTGGGTGCCAACAGACGAGCTCGGAGCTCAGAATTCCGAGAAGAAGCTGGAGTACCTCGACCCCGACTCTGCTGAGAAGCAATTGGTGGGTCAATCAGGTTTCTGTGTTAAACGGGGGCTCACAACTCTAAGAATAGACGTCTACACAGATAACAGCAGGAATCTCAATTTAGACCTGCCAAGAGTATTTGGGCAATTTTTTGAAAAATTCCAAGAAAACCACCCTTGTTAAACCTTTTTGAAGTTTCATACACAGCTGAAAAGAAGGATCTTCTTCCATTTTTGTTTGTTTTTCTTTCAGTACTCTGGAAAATTGGACGACTACGAGTTCCTGAAGCAGTGGGTTACTGACAAGTGCATTCCGCTCGTTCGGTTGGTCTTTTTTTTACCGACTTTCGATAAATTGTTTATTGAAGTTCCGTACTGTGTGATCTGGATTTGATTTGAGTCATTTTCATCCAATCCTGAGTTTTGAATTTTGAGAAATACCGATTAGAGATTGCTGGATTTTTGGCTTTTCAAGACTTTCCAAAGTTGAGGCATTATTTTTTTTTTTCGGCGAGGTTGCCTTCGAAAATGTGGAATATTTGAGTAATGTTCCTGATTTTCCTTGCAAAAACTGGAATTTTTAACTTACAGTCCAATTTTAAGAAGAGTTTTGGAGTTCTCGGTTTTCTAAGGTTCCCAAAATTGAAACTGATTTTTTTCAGTGAGGTTACTTCCAAAAAAGTGAGAGATTTGAGTCATTTTCCTAAAAAACGGATGTTTTGATTTAAATACACGATTTTAAGAAGGCTATTGAAATTCTAGGATTTTTTTATGGTTGCTTGAAGTTGAGCCATTTATTTTTTTCAGTGAGGTTACTTTCGAAAATGTAAAATACTCGAGTCGTTTTTCCTACGAAAACACTAAAAAAATTTTTTTGATTTAAATTTAAATTTTGAGTTCACAGCTTGATTCTGAAAAAGAGTTATAGAACCCAAGGGTTTTTCAAAGCTACCCATATTTGAGCCATATCTTTTTTTTGAGTGAGGTTACTTTCGAAAATGTGGAAGAGCTGACTGAAGAAGGAATGCCGTTCCTCATCTATTTCCGCGATCCGAACGATCGCAGCGGCGACAAAGCCTTCGCCGACGTCGTTAGTTCATTTCACACCTTCAAGCTGAAATTCGCACTTGAAACAGACGAAAAAGGTACATTTTCAGGTGGCTAGGGAGCTCTATGACCAGCGATCCTCCATCAATCCGCTCTTGGCCGACGGATTCAAGTTTGCGCATCCTTTGAAGGTATATTCAAGTTTCATTTTTTTGTTTTAAAAAAATGAAATGGTTAGATAAAAAAATCAATAATGAAAAATTTTTTTTTACGAAAATTGTTGAAATTCTAAATAGCTTGTATTTTTTTCAAGGTGCTGTATGATCCATGCAAATTTGAAAAAAAATTTGAAATTAAATTTAAAGGAGCAGGAGTTGCGCACCAAGCGGTATTTTGAAGCGAAAAATGACGCTCAAGTTGATTTTCATAGTTAGAAAATTGAGTTACAAGCAAAAAGCTTAGTTTTTCTCACAGTTAATTCATCGGCTGAATAGAGAAGGTTCTAGTTTTTATAAAGCTTAATAATTGAAAAATATGAAAAATTAGGTCTAATTTAAATTTTCAATAAGTAACGGGTGGGAAAAGGCGTATAAAAAACAACATTCAAGAAATCGGTCGCAAAATGCGTTTTTAAATGAAGAGGCCGTCATTCAGCCCCAAAAAAAATTAAGAAAAAATGTTTTTCAAGTTTTTGAAACGTTTCTCAACTCATTGAGTTATATTGTTTTTTGGGTTTTTGTACATTTTTAGTGTTGCAGCACCTCGGAAAAACGAAAGAAGACCTGCCAGTTCTGGCGATCGACTCGTTCCAGCACATGTACCTGTTCTCCGACATGACCCAAATGAACACTCCCGGAAAACTGCGCGAGGTTTTCCGGCTTTTTTGGAAAGCTTTATCATTTTTTCCGTTGCAGTTTGTGATGGACTTGCATTCCGGCAAGCTCCACAGAGAGTTCCACGAGAACATGGATCAGAGAATGATCGACCTGGCCAAGGCGAAGGCCGCCCGGGGAATCACCGATGATCACGGAGCTCAGGTGAAAACATTTCCTTTTTTGTTCAACGAGAAAATGCGCCAATTTTAATGGTTGGTTTTTCTAGAAAACGAAAAAAAAAGACTCAAGAAGATAACTACTTCAAGGTTGGGAAAATATCGCTTTTCAGGCCCCAGCCGCTCGGCCAGAAGAAACTACACCTCCACCCTCCGTCTTCAAGGAGCTCAAGCCGAGTGACAAGCGTTATTCGATCCTTCAAAAAACCGAACTGTAGAAAAAAAAAAACCCTAACTAGTCCTTCCTCCCCCAAAAAAAGTAAGCATAATATGCTTTCGAGATGAAATATATAATAATTATTAATTAGAAAAATACATGGTTGGAAAAAAATCTTCTTCTTCCCTTTTTTTCACTTTCCGGGTTCCCTCTGTCTTTTGTGATATCACGTATGCATTTTATGAATTTTATGTACGGATAAATCTCTTGAACAATGGTGAATCGCCTCTAATTGAATCTATTATTGTGCATTCAATAAATTATAAATAAATAAAGAGAAACACAAGAAAGGTCCCAAATTAGAGAGAGAAAGAGAGAAAAAAGCCCCAGACAGAGTGTCACGAAAAAACAAGAACCAAAAACCGTAGGTCAATTAATAAAAAGAAGGAATAAATTAAGAGTCTGTTGGAAGTCGGCCGACTGAATCAAGGGTCAAAAACACGAGTAATTAGGGTTATCTCTAACTATTTGACACGATACCGGCAATAAAAAAGGCATTCCAGCCGTGCGGCGTTTCTTTTTCTTCTTTTTGCTTTGGAGTTTGATGTTAGGGTAATCGATTGGAGGCCGTTTGGAGAGGAAATGGAAGAGAAAAAGGAAGGATTTACTGTTGTGGATAGGGCTGTCCATACGAGGAGAGAGCATCTAAAAAAATTTTTGCTTTGATCAACAATTTCTGGAAAAAATATCAGCTTCTCCTAAGTTCTTTCTAAAAAAATATCATGAAAAAGGCAATTTGAAATTTTCTATTTTTTTCTTGCAAATTTGATCTTACTAGAGACGACGAAATAAATCGAAAGTCCAAGCAAAGATTATAAAATTGGCTTTAATTTTCATCCAAAATTTTCATTCTACATCTAGAAACGTGCAAGAAACTCTGACTCATCAGTGAAACTTGAAGAAAGAAAAGGTTTTTTTTGAACATATAAACTAAAATTCAACTTTTCCTGAAATTCTCAAGAAGGCTCATCATTTCTAAAGACAATTAACTCACTCGGAGGCGGGGCCGGGAAGTTGTTGGATGAAGGCGGCGCAGCCAGTTGCGAGATTCCGATGGAGCTGAGCGAAGGCATCGGGAAGTTCAGAGGAGGCGGAGTCGGCAGCGTCGATCCTGAAAGACAAAGTTGAGGATTTGGAGGAAAGCTGCGACCGACCAGCGGCGGGTTGCATCGGGGGAGCGCCGTAGTTGGTCGGCGCCGAAGGAGGCAACGACGATTGAGAAAAGAGCGAGGGCACGCCCGACGGGATCTCAGATCGGTATGGGGCTAAAATAACACATTTTCTGAGTTGAGTCATTCAATTTTCAATTTCAATTTTGGCATTGAAGTCCCCTAGAGTGAGCCATTCTGATAAAAAAAAACTTTTCTGTGTTAATTGTAATTCCCGTACTCTCAGAAAATCGACGAATCTGTTGATACAAAAATTTCCCTTGAACAAGTTTTACGAAGAAAGCATGCCTAACATCTTCTGTGTTAAAAGTAAACTCGAAGAAAAATGAAACTATTGTAGCAAGAGACTTTTAAAAATGTCAGAGAACCACTGATAAAAGCTTGTGCCTAACCAAAAATTCTTCGAAAAACTTGATGGTGGTTTCTATTAAAAAAAAAATCAACTAACGCGCAAAAGTGGTTGGAGGCGGTGGAAGAGGAGCGCCGTAGCTGGTCGGCTGTGCCGTCGTCGGTGGTTGAGAATAGTTCGGATAGTTATTCACTGAAAGAAAAGATAATATAACTGCAAAGTCAACGTCTTTTTTTTTAAAATTCCAAACTCAGATTACAGATTACAAACTCTGAAACGGGGTTCCGAGAAATTTTGCAATACTGCTAAAGTTTTCATTCGATTTCTGATACTCGAATAATTTCTGATAAATATGAACGAGATTTTAGAAGTAATCATGGTGTTTGCCAGAAACCACAGCTATCGGTTTTTAAAGCCTTGTCCCTCGACAAACTCGTTGAAATTCATGAGAGCTTTATGGAAACCCTACCGATAAAAATGAGAAAATTGTTTTAGAATAAAAACTATGTGAGGCACACGTTACACAGGAAACCCGTAAAGATTTTTCCAAACTTTTTTTTTCAATATCCAAGTCAAAACCCACCATTAGGAGGCGGATTGAGCGGAGTCGAACTCGGTGGCTGTTGATAAGGATACTGATGAGAGTACTGTTGAGAATAATAATCGGTGGAATGTTGTTGCGGAGGCGGGGCGTACTGCGGCTAGAATTTGAACAAAAAAAGGTTGGATTTAGAAAAATGAGCCTCAAAAATAATCGTTCCAAAGCTCTCATATATATATATAGAAAGAAAAAAACCTGAGGCGCTTGATGTTGCTGAGCGAAATAATTGACGGCCTCTTGGGCGTTTTGTTGATAATACTGTTGCGGCTGCTGAAATGTTCAAAATATGTTCAAAAATTGATAAATTACAATATTCTACAGTAAAAAAAGGTCGAATTCAATGATTTTTTTTCAAGAACCTTAGCATAATTCCTGAAGGGTTCATATCAAAAAATTTCCTTATTTTCACAAAAATAGATGATGATTCTTCTTTTTTCCTGCTTTTCCTATCGCCCATTTTTCTCAATACCCTTCGCATTACTATAAAAAAAAGTTCTCTATTTTGCAGGGTGAAAAAAAAAACGAACAGGAGTTGACTGTTGTGGCTGAGCAACAGGTGAAGGTGTACTGTGAGCATTTTCGTGCGAATGCCCGTGTCCATTGTCATGAGAATGTCCGTGGCCGTCATGAGAGTTTTCGTGAGAATGACCATGACCGGCGCCATCTAAGGAAAAGAGATACACTCTATGACAAGTTTAAAAAATAATACAGTTCCTATAAAGTTCAAAAATTATATACAGCTTCTATCAAGTTTTAAAAAAGACATCTTATCGAAATTGGAAACAAGCGAAGAAAAAAAAGATGTACTGTTGCCTTGGATGAGGATATTATAAGAATTCGGAAGACCGTAAAAGTTTTGAAATTCCGAGTTTAACTCATTCTGACTTCTGATTTCTACTAGAAAGTAGTCGTTGAGGATAAAACTGAAGAAATTTAAAATTATCATTCCCTTATTTGAATAGCCAGTTGCCTAGTCAGAAATGTTAAAATACCAAAGTTTGAAAGTTCGTAAGTAAAAGAACATTTCAAGCTCAAACCATTCTAACATCCGCATTTCATTCAAAAATAATCTGAGAATAAAAATGAGCGATATTCAAAGCTTTGCCAATTTCGGAATAATCTATTTGCAACGTACCATGAGAATGCCCATGAGCCGCGCTGGGCGGAGCCACCGGGACCTGTTGGAAGCCATTTTGGGCCGGCGGGACCGGAGAGGCTGAAATACTGGCCGGAAGGGGCTCGGGCGGATGGATGAATGGAGCCGAGACGTTGGGCGACGCGAATCGCGACGGATCCGGGAAGTTCGAAGCGGCAACCGGTTTTGGAGCATTCACCTAGGAATCGGGCAGTTTTTTATGACCAATGAAACTTAATGAGTTCTATATCATTTATTTAAAATAGCTATAATTAAATTATCAACGTTTCTTCCTTTTATCCAAAAAAAGGCTTTCTTTTTCAATATATGGCTTTCAAAAACTGAAGATTTTTGCAGAGCTGACAGGTCCTAATAAAATCTCACGAGAAAAAAGTGAAAACCCAAGGAACAGATCAGATAAAAATTCAAAGTATCTATGGAAGACCTAAAAGTCGCTTATTCTGAAAGAACTCACCTTGTCAACCAACGCGTTGCCTACGTATCCCGGCTGCACTCCCATCTTCGGAGCCGCGACAACTTGCTGAAACTTTTTCTTTTCTGGAGCTTTCAAGGGGGTAAGTACCTGAGGCGCACTTGGCTTCGATCTATCCACTGAGATTGGGATTCTGTGAAGGTATCCGTAGCCAATATCGCAGCCAAGGCAACCTTCGCCGCCCCAAGCTGAGTTTGGCGTCAAAGACACCTGCAAGAATTTCGAAAAATTTTTTGTTCAATCAAAATAGCTTGGCAACTTCCCGTTGAGTTTATTTTTGAATAGAAAATGGGTCTCACAGGGATATATCGTAAAACTTTTTTACGGTGACTTTCACGCGCAAATTTGAAATTTTCTCGAAAATGCTCAAAAAAATTCAAAATTTTTAGTTTGCGTGTAAAAGTGACCGTAAAAAATACACATCGCGATATATCGTTGTAGGGCCCTTTTTAAAGGCGATTGGAATTCTAATTTTGCCTATTTCGCGAAATAAATTCAAATAAATAACGCGTGAATATCGAACTCTCTGAGAGTACTTTAAATACAGCATGAGGATCATACCGAAGTTGAAATAACTTTTCAATCTCATTTTTCTGCCAAATCGGTGAAATTACCTCTCTGACGACATCGGTGTCGACGTTGTAGACGTAGAGTTTCAGAGGCTTTCCTTCGTTGGCCTGGACAAGGGCGATGAGGTCGTCGGCCTGGTGAAGAACGCTCTCTGCTCCGAGAATGTAGTCCGTGTCGGCGACCAATCCGGCCAGCGAGGCGGGCGAATTCGGCTGAAATTTATAGTTTCGACAAACATATAACCCCAACAAAAATATAAACTAAATGGATTTCAAAAAAAAAGAAACGAATTTCTTGAAGGATCCGCATGAACCTTGTGTTCTCTGTTTTTTCAGAGCTCTTGAGTTATTATTTTAGAACTAAAACCAAAACTATTCATTTTCAATAAGAGAACAACATTTGAAATACTTCTTGTTACAGAAAATATCCTCTCAAAAGCTACCTGCACAGAAACAACGTGCCAAACGTGTTGACTGGCTCCATCGAAGGAGCAAAAACGAATGGAAACGCCCAAAAGTCCTTGTCCGCCCCAACTTTGTGAAGGAATCACGCTCGTTTGACGCACAGCTTGGCTTTTGCTGCAAAAATTGTCGCATAACTTTAGAAATAAGGATAATATCCACACAAAGCGCTTTCGAAAATATTTTGAAGATAATTTGAAAACAAAGTAGTTTAATCTAGAAACACCTGTTATAAACCGTCACTTCGAGAGGACGATCTATGTGCTGCTTCAATATCTCTTTCATCGTATCATTGTCTTTATCCTGAACTCAAAAAGTTACATATCAGTTTTTCAAATCCTAAACTAACCAATCGCGTATTTCCAATACAAACGATGAAATCGAAAAATGGCTCCAATCCGGCCGCCGATCCAGGCGAATTGTCTTGTACCTGGTTGAAAGTAACTTTGAAAAATCATACTTTCTACTTACTCTCAAGACATGATAGCCCTCGGTGCCTCCTCCTGGTATCGGAACACTTTCGCCACTTCCCATGATTGAATTCTGAAAGAAAAATTCTACAATTGAAGAGCAAGAAAACAGAAAGCGACAGCGTTTATTAAAAATACCTAACAAATTTTCTAAGATTGTGCGGTCATGCTTCATTGTTTATTCAACAAATAACTATCGATAAATCACAATGTACGGGATTTGAGTGTAAAAAAGAAAAAAGAAGTAAAAATTTTCCTGCGCCACGCGTAGAGAGATGATTGCGGACCTGTGGGTCGCACGCGCAATTGCAGACAGGAAATAGCGGCAGGTTACGGTAACACTTAAGGTCAGCTTTTTGAGCTCAAAAAATAGTGGGACATGGTTCCTGAGTTATTGAGAATTTTAGTCAAATAACTATTATGATTCGCCACTTTCTAGCGTTCAAAACTATACAGCCGTGGCTGTAAAAACAAGTTTAGAAGTGTATATTTTTGTTCGGTAATTCAGCTCTTTTTCTTAGCTTCTTTTTTTAGATTTTTTGAACGAGGAAGGTGGGGAAAAAATATAAAAGGTAAAATAATGCCGAGAGAAGGCGGAATTGACGTAAAATGGCTAGTAAAAAATTCCTACGCGACCTTCGAAATTTCCTTCATTTTTTTAAAACTGTTCCGAAGTTATAGGGTTTTGCTGACCGTTGAACTCCTATTTTTCTTCTAGTTATTTGGTTTTGTTAATTGTAAAAAATGTTGTCGGTCAAAACTCTCTGCTGGGGTTTTCGAGAGAACTTTAAAATGCTTCGATATCAAGAGCCGTTATGTCTTGTACTTGTAATGCACCACTTCAGTGTCATGAAAAAAGAAAACCTTCGCAAGGAATTTCGAAAAGCACCATATTTAACAATGCCGCGTTTCCGCAGAATCACAAGGCTTGTGAGATCGATTTTTTTTTTCCAGAAAAGGAGCGGGACCTCGTCGGTGCAATTGATGGCCTATCAGCGGGGCCAGTATCAACTGAAGATGGAGAGGGCGGTGTGGACGGCGGAACTGGTTGACGTGCGCAGAGACACCGCGTCACCTGTGGAGACGCCGTCGTCATCGTCTCTTCTCTTCTGATTTTCGCAGAAGAGAGATATCTTCTTCAGTACCGCCAAAAAAGGATGGTCAGCACGCCGCCGCCGCCTCGGAAGCTCCTCCGAGCCACGAGCCTCGAATCTCCGCCAGAAAAGACCATCTTCCGAATTGGTTCGTTCTGATTATACCTTTGCTATTGGACCGACTCTTCTCTCAAATAACAAAAAAATAATAATCATATTTCCCTTTTCAATCGATCTATGAAGCCTTGAAATTTTTTTTGACAGCGTATATTGATTAAAAAACTTCCATGTTCCTTCCATGATGCATGAACTAAAATTTCCTCAACGGCTTAATTTGTAAAGTGCTCATTTCATTCAAACCTACCACCAATCATTTAAACTTATCTCGGTGATTCGTTTTTTCAATGTTTTATCACCGTTTCTCGCAAATTTTTTTTAAGTAAGCTAATTTAGAAGGAAAGCTGTGAATGTCAAGTTTAGCTTGAGAAAAAAAAATACAGAATCATGCGAGATAGTAGCAAATAATGTCTGGTTTTCAAAATGATTTTCAAGTTTGAATTTTTTTTTTCAAATTGAAAAAAATATCCACCTAGGTTTTATTTTTTTCATATTTTTGATTTCCAAGTTTCCAACGGAAAGTCTTGAAAAATTCTTGCACAGTTGTAAGACTCACTTTATATAATTTCGATTAACGTGGGAGTTTCAAAACTGTTCAAATCTGTTCAATTTTCCCTTTTCAGTGCGTTCAGTTGCACAAGAGTCTTGCACGACCTAAGTATTATCACTAAAAAAGCCTCTCTTTTAAAATGTTTATTAAATGAGTCCATGCTTCTCCAAATACCCAAAAAAAAACTTTGAACAATCAATAAAAGAGAACTCGCATTCACCTTGAATGCAATCCATCGATCAAAAATGAAAAATGACCTTTTCCTTTTCAGAAAATCAGAACCCTTTCTCTTATCGTGTTCGGGTGTTTCGAAACCATAAAAGTTATGAAGAATCTTGATTGGCAACACTTTCAAGAGATCTCTTGCGATCCTGTCATTGTAATCGTAAACAGCTGAAACCGCGAGTTTGTCACAAACAAATCAGAAGAATCCGCGTGAGAAGATCATAAAATCAATAAGATGAAGTTGTATAACTGTAATATTCGAATGAAATCGGAAGATTTGGATTGAAATAGAAAAATAATAAAGTCGAGGTCAGAGCTTGAAATTGGTTTTCAGGATCCCTGGATGATCGACCTCAGCCCTCGACGGTGCCGCCGTCGTATGCGCCCAGTGAAGCCGGTTCGTTCAATCATTATTCTCCCAAATTATCTCATTATTTCCAGGCCTATGGTTTTTGCTTAGTGTCTTCGTATGGAATTTCAATACTTATCAGAGGGCCATTGAATTTTTTTAAAAAAATTAATAATCTCTTTATTTTCAATTTTTCCTCTTTAACTTTCAGCACAAGAGATTCACTTATGTCATAAGTTATGTGCTTGAAAGTCTTCGAAACTCAGATTTAGAAAGTTTTTTGTTTTTTTTTCGACAACTTCAGAAAAATGAGAATCAGAAAAGTCTAAAATTTCATAAAAGCTTCCTGATCTTTGGAAATATCCCATCGATTATCGAGAAACTTTAACAGTGAATGAGGTTTAGTCTAACGTATAGAACCACTTTCAAAGAGAAAAATAGAATTATAGCTATAGTTCGAGCTCAAAACTTCTGTTTTTTTTTTCGAGTTTCTGAAAATAGGATAAAAAGATACTATTCGCCCAAATTTTCCAAATGATACGGTTCAAAACATTTTGAAAAAGTTCAAGCTGGGAAAAACTTCAATATTTGATCTCCTCGGGACTCATTATTTTGTTATTCGCTTCAAAATTTCAAAAACGCTGAGTATGATTTCCTTAAATGTTTTCTCTAAGCACATCAGTTTGTCAAAAACTTCGTGGATGATTGAATTTCTTAGGAAACGACGTTTTTGTTGGAATTATATAGTCGATCCGAATAGCTTGAGCTTATGTTTTGAAGGCGAAATGAATGAGTCTTGGAACGGTCAAAGAAATAACGGGAGATAGGTGGAAGCTCGGACATTGCCGAAATTATGAAAAAAACCGTACTTATCAAATTTTTTGGAAAATCCAGAAGAACTCAACCAGACTTCAAGAAAGACAAATTTCAGGAGATTTCTCTGTCCCTTCGGTTCTGTTTCCTTCGATGAGACTTATGTTGGCGGCGATGCTCTGCTGCTGCTTCATAACCCTCTCGATTTCGTCTTCGAACCTCGCCGTCGCCCTGATTTGCATGACTTCCTGTCCTCTTCATGGCTATGGAGGCGACCTCGAATGGGGAGCTCAGCAGGTCTGTAAGAAGAATCGAAAACTGAAAAAAATTAATTTGGTATTTTTGAGTATAGATGATTAAATTTAAGAAAAATGCCAAATTTGCTGACAAGGCTGTTTTTCTTCATATAAATCGCTCTAATAAGAAAAAAAAACAGGCTATTTTCTGTGTCTTAAAAGTTAACATTATGCAAGTTCCGTAGGTAAAGCGCTTAAGAGAAGAAAATTATTATCTCTCGTCCTTAAATATTGTGTTCAACTTGGAAAAAATGTCGAAAACCTGGTTAATTGCTTTTCAGGAAGGCTTTGTACTCGCTGCGCAAAACGCAGGATCTCTCCTCACACTGGTAACTGGCATGTGGGCAGATCGGCTGAACGGTAAATGGATGGTAGGTGTGCCACTGGAGAATCTCTTCTGAAACCGCAGGTTTTCGTGGCGCTGGTCCTGTGCTGCGTCGGAAATCTGCTGCTGCCGCTCCTGGCGGCGAAGTCGTTCTGGTACGCAGTCGCCGCCAGGGTGGCCGTCGGGGCCAGCGACGCCTGTCTCATGCCAGCTTGCAATTCTCTGATCACTCGGTTGGTTTTTCGATTTGATAGATCTCCAGGCATTTTTCTTTGCGGCTGGGAATTCCAAAAACTATAATTTTAATGTTCCAGATGGTTTCCGCAATCTGAACGCGCAGCTGCCATCGGTCTCATTTCTGGCGGAAGACAAATAGGTGAATCAAACCTCCTTTATCGCTTAACAAGAGGAGAACCTCATTCCCGAACTGATTACGCGAAAAGCGCTAATTCGATCATGTGAACCTTTCAAACGACTTTTGCGATCCAGTCTCGACTTACGCAATTCAAATCATCCAAGTCTTACTCATACACTATGGCTTGTCTGCGCTCTCTTTTCTCTCGCCTTCATAGGAAAAAGAGCATAGAAACTAGACCATAGAGCGTCACAGAGACATGAAAAGCCGCTCAAATAAATTTTCCAAGTCCTATAACTGACTCTGGCTCGTCTGCGATCTCGCTTCCCTCGTCCTAAAAAAGGGCATATAGAAAATAAATGAAACTTTGACGAAAGAGTGTCGTGATGAGAGGAAAATCCATTCAAGTATCATACTTCTCTCTGACCTGTCTGCGCTCTCTCTTTTCCCTCGCTGTCATATGAAAAAAGTATCCTAGAAAGATAAGGAGAGCGCAAAGAGGCCAGATTCTTTCGAGTCGTCACGAATGGACTATTCAGTTTTTTTCTAGGAACTCTGTTCATTTTGCCCACCGCCGGCTACCTGTGCACGAGAAAAGACGTCCTGGACGGATGGCCCGCGATTTTCTACCTTTCCGCCACGATTTCCATCATCGTCACCATTTTTTGGATCCCTTTCGGCGCCGACAAACCATCCAAGCAAGTCTGCATCTCCAGTCGCGAACGCGAGTTCATCGAGACTAGGTTTCGTAACTTCTTGGGGGAAAATAAAAGGTTTCTTTAGGATTGCCTGCGAATCGATTGGCAAAAGAACCGACAGGACAAGGCGCGTTCCGTGAGTTGGAACAACTTTTTCTGGAGAGGGAGATAATTTGAAGATACGGAGCAATGCTGCGCTCGAAGCCGTTATGGGCGTCCGTTTTCGCTCTGGTTTGCCATGAATATCCTCTCGTCATCATGTTGCAGGTTTGAAATCAGAAAAATATGAAGGGGTGTTTCAGAAATTGCTCTGAAGAACCGACAAAAAAAAAATGACGAAAGAAATGATCTGTAATCTTCTTGTAAAAATGAACTACGTGAATTACAAGCTTGGATGGTTGGCCGTTCAAAAATTTGAAAATTTGAACTTTAGCTGTATTTTTCAAAATATTGTTAGAATACGGTCTAGGAAAAAAACAATTATTCAAAAATTAAAAATTATTGTGATTTGGAATCATTTGAAAACAGAATTTTTGAGAAAATTAAATGAAATATTTCTTCACTGCGAAGCCGGAGTCGTTTTTGGAATGGCTCAATACGACTTGAACACCAGAAGTTCACTTTGATTATTTTTGTAGTCTTGCGGGAAACTCGTATCAGGTCGGTCGCAACAGCTACGTATCTAGCCAGATAAATCAGTAAATTAATTATTTTTTCATTTTAAAGAACAACAGGTGTTCTGGCTTTTTCTGACTTTTCTCTTAAGTTATCACTTAATTCAGTTCCTTCCTAACTACATGAGAGACGTGCTGGAGTTTGCTCCAACGAAGAACGGATTCATTGCGGCGGTGCCGATTCTATGCCTTTTCCTCTCAAAAACCTTCTCCTCCTCTTTCTCGACCTACCTAGTGACCCAGCTTCACTACGACAAGACCTTCATTTGCAAGGTAATTCCTCATTTTTTTTTCCTTTTTGAGAAAGAGGTTCCAGTGCTTCAACGGTGTGGCCTCCGGGGGTCTGGCCATCTGCGTTTTCATGGTCCCGCTTTTCAATAAAGACAGTGCAGTGCTGGCTGTCGTCTGTCTCTGTGGAGCTATGATCTTTGCAGGTTTGTATTTTGGGCACATTGAGGTAGGAATCGCGGACAGACTTCTTTTTTTTCATAGCTGATTCTCAGGCTTGAGTCATTAAAAAAAAGTTCTTGAAACTATAGGAAAAGAGGCAGTGTCTGGCTGGTGGAGGGCGCAGACAGGCCACACCCTCTCAGGGTCCCAGGTTAGCCGTGATTTGGCTATACCTGTATTTATTCGCAAAAAAGACCGGTAAATCAAAATTAACCAAATTTTCGCTCCGAGACCTTTTTTTACAGTTTTGCGGAACTTTTTATCTACTTTAGCTTTTTTTGGTTCGCTTTTAAAAAGTGACCTCATCACGCGAATCACACTATAACGTTAGAAGAATGCTCCCCTCCCCTCCCCCTTACAATGCACTTCTACAGTACTCCAGGTTACTGTTATACTATAGTACTGCTATAGTGCTGCTACAGTACGACTGAATTTAGAATCACTGTAGTATTACAGTAACCTGGAGTACTGTAGGAGTGGTGTGTCCCGAGGGGAGGAGGAATTTTATCAACGTTTTTTTTTCCCCGAGATTTTCCCTATTTTAGCGGCTTCTCTCTCATTTATCTGTTTTTCACACACTCTCAAATAAAAATTATAGGAATGCACACCCCTGGAGTGATCACTTCGATGGTGCAGCTGGCACCGGCCTTCTCGGGAATCATCACCGGCTGGTCTTTCTTTGCCGTCGCCTGGTTCAGTATCGGCAACAAGATTCTAACCAAACAGATTGTGCAACACGGTTTGTGGATTACTTTTTTAGTAGTAATCCGATTTCGAAACATTGACTATTTTACAGGCTCCGTTACCGAATGGGGAATGGTTTTCCGAGTTTCGGCCCTCGTTGCAGCACTTCCCGTCGTTGTATTCACTATCTGGGGATCTGCTGAACGCCAGGTTTGTGGAAAACGATATTTTCTTTGGACCCAACAAAAAATTTCAAATCGTTTTTTACAGTTTTGGGCCGCACCGTCGTCAAAGTGTTCAGTCGCTTCCTTCCACAGATCCAATACTAGGGAACGAGATGTGAGTTTTCAGCATTTTTCGGAGTTCTTCACAATTTTTAACCTATTGTCAATGAAAGGAATTTTTTTGAGCTGGAGGAAAAAAAGAAAGTTTTTTGAAAGCCAAAAAACGAACTTGGACTTATTTTCATCTACAAAAAAAGACCAAAAAAAATTATTGCAGCTCCTTCTTCTTGCAATTTTTTTGTGTTCTATGTTCGATTATTTAATTTTAGATTCCTTCAGCCTATTGAAAAACGCTCGAAATATTTTTAAGCGAAGTTGAAGCTTTTTTGCAGCTCTTACTTAGACTTATCCTTAAAGATCAAAGAAAATCTTCTCCTTAAACTTCAAAAAGAAGATTTTGACATGAAAATTTAGAATTAGGCATATTTCCAAATTTTTCAAAATTTTTTTCTATTTCTTCAGCTAACACGAGAAACGTCGGCGGCCACGTTGAAGAACAGCGTTTCGCAGCATTCGCTCTCCCGCTCGGCCTCTTTGGCGCGAAATTTGAACGAACGCCATCCAACGACGTCCGCGAATTGAAAAAAAAACCCTTGTAATTTGATTATGTACTGCATTGAAGCGCATTTTACCATGTAAATATACTAATTTGTTTAAAAAAATTATCATAATTTCTGTTAATAACCTGCGGGATCTCCAACCAAAGTTTTATGCGCTGATTTTGGCTCTAACTTTCAATCGTTTATTGTAATTATGTTCACCGGAAAATACGTGTACTGTATTGTGATAAATTCCTTTATCTGAATGGCGGCTTTGAAATCAAAAAGATCAAGTCTAATTAGACGCGCAAAGATCGGAGAGAGATCAAAAAATGACCTTTTTATAGCATATAAAAATTTATTTCCTAGCATGGAAAGTTAGCACCTATAGAGTCTTCTTTAGCGTTTTTGACATCACTTTGGGGAATACTATTAAGTTTATAATTTCCCGTGTTACTTTTCACACGTAAAAAGTTAATAATGAGGTAATTCTTGTAACTATCTTTCATGTTCCCTAATTTCTAAAGGTTGCAAAGTTTTTCTTTATCTAGTTTCTTGCTTGTTTTTCCTCTCGAGTGCAAGATTCTTATCATCTCTGCAATCGAAAAATGTTCCGAAATGGCGTTATTTTCAGAAACAGACAGCCTCGACCAAATTTGTCTTTACACTGATCTTATTTTTACATTTTGAACTAATTAATTTCGAAGATGAGTTCTCAGAAACTGGGTTCGTTTCTAAGTTTCGAAGATCTAGCTATTTTCTCTTTTTCCAGCTATAATTTCTGTGTCGGACAAGACGGACCTGATTCCATTGGCTCGAGGACTTGTCGATGTTGGTCTGGATCTTGTGGCTTCGGGTGGAACTGCTGCGGCTATCCGAGACGAAGGACTTCCCGTAAGGTACATTCTAACTGGAAAAATTTACAAAAAAATAAAAAAAGAAAAAAAGTATTCGCGTGTTCACACAAATCGGAACTAGTCTAAAAAAATTCGCTACTTTTTGAAAATAACATTTTGAAACTTTTCGTTGCGATTTTTGCGCAGATATGAACTTAAAGTGACCATTTTACAATAAGAAAGAAATGTTTTAAAAAATTTAAATTATTCTTCGAAAAGTTTTCGATGGCGCGCACTTTCAGTGAGAAGCGATTAAAAAAAAAGGAATTTATTTCGTGAATTTTCATATTTTTTCGTTGTTTCCAACTCGTTCTGCAGTATACATTGCTGTGGACGGTTTTTTCTCATAAATCTGTGAATAAAAAATGTTTTTCTTATGAAATACAATGTGTACATAATCTTTCACTAAGGGATTTTTTGTTTGTAAATTATTTCGTTTTTTTGTCCTTATATTTCAAACCTTCATTCAGAGATGTCTCTGACATCACCAAGTTTCCGGAAATGTTGGCCGGTCGGGTGAAAACTTTACATCCAGCCGTCCACGCCGGTATTCTGGCGCGGCAATCTCCTGACGACGTCAATGAACTTGAGGTTTGGCTTTAAAAAAAAAAGGTTTTGTTTCAAAAATCCAGGTTGAAATGTTAAAAACATATAATAATGCATGTAAATTACCAATATAAAGTAGCAATGCGCTGGTTTGCTGCTGAATCTTTCAATAAATTGGGCCTGCTCCAAGGCTGTTTGAATCGACTTTATATCAGTAATCTTGACAGAGAATTTTAATAAAAGCTGACTTTTGGCGTGTGTCCAAAAAAACTAATTAATCTGGGTGAACGGCTTCGAAAAATAGCTTCCTCTGCACTTCCCGTGCCTTGTCGGGGACAAGTCGAGCGAAAGACGTCGAGGCTTATAAAATAAATGTTTAGAAGGGCAGGGAAACATCGAAAAGAACTTCCGCGTTCGTTTCCTCAAGTCTGTATTTCCAGAGCCACGGATTCTCGTTGGTCTCCGTTGTCGTGTGCAACTTGTACCCATTCCGTCAGGCTACCAAAAATAAGGACTGTTCTTTGACCGACGCCATCGAGAATATTGACATCGGTCAGTTTGTTTTTTGGTTCTTTAAAGGATGCTTTGTAATTTTTTCAAATCTAGAAATGACCACTTAAGGGAAGAAAAACCATAAAAATATCTGCATTTTCAAAATTAAGGTTTTTTGAACTTCATCGATATTTTTGGATCTATTTTAATTTGATCAGGAAAACGAGTTGAAATCAATTTTTTTAACATTTATTATTACTGAGAATTCGCAAGCTTTGTTCTCTGACTGAAACTAGATTTTATATTATTATAAAGGCTTTCAAAAATCATTGAATTACTTTTTTTTTTCTCCCGCCGGTCTATCTATAGCGTTCTCTGATTCTTATTTTTTTCTGTTGCGCAGCCGAAAAAGTAATCAAAGATAGCAGTTTTTAAACGTCGACCAATTTTTCTCAATTATTTTCATAATTTCATATCAGACGGTTTTTGGTCGGTAGAACTTGAACTTCAAAAAAGTTTAAAATATATAATTTTGAAATTTTTTCTACTTCCGCTTTCAAGTAGAAAAGAATTGGTTCGAAGCTCGAAACGATTTATGACTGGAAATTTCTAATGTTTGGGTTTTTATGAGGGATTAGTGTGGCTGTGACCGACGGAAAAGTTCCTTTTTTTCCCAAGATTTTCAATAAACTTAGTCTTTGTTCTCCTCGAAGCATGTTTTTTCTTCTCTTTGAATATTTCGAGGATGATTGGCTTGAAATTTCTCATCATGGAAGTTAAGTTGGGAAAGTGTCTGCGGAAGTTGAGGCCAGAACGCCTTAGGCAATTGAGAAAGTTTATTTATTTTTCACTTTTTGAAAGAACGTCTGGACTGATTTTGGATAGGGCTCTGTCGACTTTTGGTCGGGATGATGTTTTTATAAAGATTTTTAGGTCGTTTATAAAGGTTTTTTAGGTCTCGGAGCTAGGTTTTCAACTTTAAAATGAAGTGTACGATATATTGGATTTTTCCGCGAAAATGGGCTGAAAACAAGTGATTGAAACGGAGCTTTAACAGGAGAATTTTCACGTTTTTTTTTTCTTTCACTGATTATTTTATGAATCTATTATAGTATGTGAGGTTTAACTGGACACGTGAAATGGCCTTTGGACTCTGTAAAGACTACTTTTTTCTCTATAAGGATCCTTTAAACTTTTCTGTGAGCCCAATTTTGATTGGAAATTCGAAGGCCGCGGCTTTGAAACTCATTGAAATGCATCAGATCAACTCAAAACGGGAAAATACCCTCCAAAGCTTCTTAAAGGACGATTGCAATTAAATAGGCAAGATTGAAGGCGGGTGTCAGACTTGCAGGAGGCGTCACTTTGCTCCGAGCGGCGGCCAAGAATTTCTCTCGGGTGACCGTTGTCTGCGACCCCATCGACTACCTCAAAGTCGTCGAGCAGGTTATTTTTGCCTCATTGTTCATAATGATTAATTTCATTCACACTCAGTGAAAATTCGGTAAATGAAAGATGAAACGGAAAGTTCACTTTGAGGTACCATAACTAGACTAGAACAACAAGGGCGCACTTTTTTCTAACTTTTTTGAGATCAGGGTGCCCTAAAACACCTACTTACTAAGTTTCATAAGTTTCTCAACACACTACCTTTGTATTTTCTGTGTGAGGTGAGCGAAAAATGAAACCCGACTATTATTTTCTTATTTGTGAAGAATTCAAATTATTGGGTTCCCTACTCAAAAAAATGTGGAATTTTTTTAGGAATTCAGAAAAAAATTGGAGTTGAGCTAAAAATAAATTTCTTGCATTAATTGAAAAAAATGCATTTGATTGGAAAAATTGGCTTCACATTGAACAGAAATTTTTCAAAATCCTTTTCTTTCAGTCTTTTTAAACCGTACTGTTTTCTGAAATAAAAAAACGAAAAAGTTGAAAAAAAGAAATGAGCCGAAAAACTTTTTGTGACACTTTTTCTTAAATTTTAACGTTGTAACCTTAACTTTTTTTAAAAAGTTTTTTTCAACTCTTAAACTTTTTTTAACAAAGTTATTGTTTTGAAAAAAAAAACTACGTTGCCTTCAAATTTTATTAGCCCTCTCAATATGAACAAATAGAGTTTACTTAGGGGTTCAAAAAAATAATAACATTCATTTTTGGACAACTTGTAAAAATATTCATAGAGAGTACCGCAAAACATGGAAAAGCTCAAGATGAAGCTTCTGACCAAGTTTTCCTCCATTGATATTAATTTTTCAATGCTCTTGCTTTCCGTCTTGTCTGTCCAACTTTCTGTTTTCTCGGATAATTCACTTTGCACCACACTACCCAAATCCACTTTTTCGACCCAAACGACTCGCATTCCCGAACTAGTTGCTTCCTCATTTGGGCACACGTTTGTCCAAAACAAAAAAAAGAAATAGAAAATAAAGTTGTCAGAAAAAGAGTTAAATTGGAGAAATCCAATTTGGCTGATCTCATTGAGCGCAGATAGAGAGAGAGACCAATGAAAAACCAGGGAGGTAATTTTGGTGTGAAATTTGGATTTTCTGTAAATTTGGTTCAACAATCTAAGGGGGTAGTTTTCTACGAAATGTTTTATTTTTAGAGTTACAATTTTTTCAGCGCAGTATTTGTTTTGTACTCTGAAAATTCATAAGTTCAAAAATTAAAATTTGAGCATGTTGTGAGTAAGAAAAAAATATTAAATTATCATATTTTTCTTTAGAGAGTGTTCGAGAATATTTTCTGAAAGTTTCGATCTTCTCTGTTAAGTTTCCTTCCTTGTCAAAGGAGTAGTAAGGTAACGAGTATAAGTATTTTTCAAAAAAATAGTTCATATAAAACTTTTTTTCATGTTTTACATCGAGGTTATTGGAAATTTCGCTGAAAATTCATTTCCTAGATGTTAGAACTTCACAGATTATTTAATGTAGTCCCACAAGGAAATTATTTATAGCTGATTACTTCAATGTCTTTGATTTTTATTGAACTTTCTAAAAACTCAAGAGAAAGGGCTCAGAGTTTATCTAACTGAAGGCTTTTGTCATATCTGAAATGAATTTCCGAAATCCGGTCAACTTCATTCACGACGACAAGTTTTTTTGGCCGCATGCAGAATGGATTCTAGCCTTGCGGTTGCGACTCAGTTTATAGGTTTTTACACTCGAACTTTACACAAAAACTCCTAGGTAGTATTAGACTTGTAACCACGAGACTTTCATTCATTGCCAGTGCGGCGAACGCGTTTCTGATCGGGTTTAGTTGACTATAGTGTAGGCTTCTTTTAAAAAAGTGATAGGAACCTTTTTTTCGAACTCGCTACCCTCAAAATTTAGAACTCTTGACTTATTTTCTAGAACTTTCAGCGTTCCGTTCACATATCCACTTACCATAACCTAAATCTAGAAAAAAAGAGAAAAGAGTGATTCTCAAGGCAGTTTGAAGGGTTTTCGTTTATGAAATGAAAACACGAACAAAAGAGATTGACAGGAATCCTCAGAGGAATTTGAGAATTCCGCCTTTTTTCGTGTTTTCTATCAACTCGTCATGCATCTTCCCTCCGAAAAAAAAATGTATAAAGGGTGACTGACAAAACTTTTGTTTCATTTTTGTTCTTTATTTCTTTGAGATCTCCGAAAAATTTCCATTGTATTTCTTTTAAGAATTGATATTTTTCAGCTGAAATCCGGCGGTACCAGCGACGAGTATCGTCAGATTCTGGCTTTGAAGGTTCGTTCGAAAGAAAAAAAGTTCTAATTTCTAAGCTATTGGGAAAAATTGAGTTCAAAATGGAGTAAATGGTATTCGATGATTGAAACAGCTGTGAAAAGGGAAAAGTTTAACAGAAAATGGATCGAAATTCTAATGAACTTTTCAAAGTTAACGGCGTGATTTAGAGGATGATGTTAATGAAAAAGGGAAGGATTGAAAGATAAAATCGGCTTTAGAACATGGAGTTGAGAATTATCGATGATTATCAAATAGAAAAGAAGATGGAAATGAAGGAGAGCTCAAGGAAAAGTTTTTATTTTAATCATTTAATTTGAAAATTCTCGATGTTTTTGATTTTTAATTAGCAAGGATTAGCTGGAGAAATTTTTGAAAAAAATTGTACGTAAAAATTTCCTGGTATTCAATTTCTCAGTGGCTATAAGGGAGCAGACCTTGGAACATGATAAAAATGTTCTAAAATGGAAAAATTTTGCGATTTTGGAGTACTTTTGGGTCTTGGGCTGGGAACTAAATAAAACGGAAGATCTCAAAAACCACGTTTTATTTTCCAGTTTATGGCTCTTGTTCTACCGCTAGACCTTGAGCAAATTCGCCTCTATGTTTTAAGATAACGCAAAGCTCAAGTAGTTTTTGGTCGGACACATTAAAAAATAAAGTGCCAATCTGAACCGTGTCAGTTCGATGTAACAGCTTCACGATTATTTTTTGACAATACCCATGTAAAAAAAAATTCAAAAACTGGTGATATTCTGTGGATCGGAAACTATTGCTTCTACTCCATAGTTTTTCGTAGATCTTTCTAAAATTCGATTTACCTGCAAATTACCTTCTGAGGAAGTTTCCCCTTTGTAATTCCCCTTGGCAAGCCTAATTCTTTTTTTTTTTTGGTCTGTTCTCGCAACTGATGCAATCGTGACGAAAACGAGGCGAAATTGAACTGCCAATTGAAGGTTTTTTTTTTGCTGGCCGTCCATAGTTTTTTGCTGGAATTGGCGAGGATCCGACTGGGATACAAGATGGGTTGTAAAAGGCCTCGTCGTTTGGAAACTTTTCCTACTCCAACAATTTCCCCTCCTTTTTTCTGTTCAACCTTGTTCCGTTGAAGCCATGTGATTCGTTTTTTGGAGTTTGTGTCGAGATGGTTACTGGATTCTTGTAGTTAGGATGATAATGAGATAGTTTTGGTGATCTTCGTCTTTTTGCAAAGCTTTTTAGTATTTTTCCTTTTTGATTAGATCAAATTTATTTTTAATCTAGGAGCAAGGCAAAAAAATATCTCATAAAATACGAGTTTTTTTCTACGAAAAAAATCGGATTCCTCCACCAATAGGCTTTGGCGTTAGAAAAAAAGGGTCTTCATAATTTTTTTGGTATTTTTCTTTTTTATGAAAAGAAAGCGACTTGATGAGACTTTTCGTCTAATATCCAACTTCATGAAGATGAAGAGTCTTTTGAATAATTAATTTTTTTAGAAGCTCGTTTTTGACGGCTCGTCCTCTGTTCGATTTTCAGGTCTTCAGCGTAAAATCCTAAGTTGATTTACTTAAAATATTCTGTTCTTATCATCAACTAACATTGAATGCCGGTGAATGTATATATTTTTTCCCTATTCACTCCGTTTCGGTACCAAATCACCTCATGAAGGCTGTAAATGTCATTTTTCAAAACCTCTGGATCTTTCCGTGCAAAGTTTTCTGGGTTCACAGTTCTTTAGAGAAAGACTTTTTTGTTTTAAAGCGCCTTTGGGAGCTTTTTGACGTAGTATTATGAAATAATAAAATTTTTAAAAACCAGGATCTTGTAATAGTATTTTCTGCTTCTTCAGAAGCTCCAGAAGCTTCCGGCTTTCCTTTAAGCCGGTACTTTTGTGAGAGATTTTTCGGTTTCTTCGAATGGTTGAGTGAGATCTGAGGAATATCCTCATTTTCGAACTAAGAAATTCGATAAGTTCTGTGGAAAAACCGGCGTTCCCAAGATGAGCAACAAAGGGCCATAAGAAGGCGTCGACGGAAGTGGGTCTAAGCAAATTACGGATGTCCCACGGATGAGTTTGTTTGGGTATATGTGTGACGCCGTTGAGCAAACGGCCGGCCAGCGAGATGGATACTCAGGCGCGAAAAAATTTCAATTTTCTTTCCGCCGTTTCCTCGAGCCAGTTTGAGTCGTTGGAAGCCGCTCCCGAAGCGACGGCAGTTGGTCAGAGAGAAAATCCCAACTGATTTTACTTTTTTATGGTTTAATTGCCGAGGCTTTGATGTTGTTAGCCGAGGAGATTTAGTCGCCAATTTTTTTTCTTCACAATTTTGGAAGGTCAAAATTTTCAGAGTATTTTTCAGCTTTCATAAGCACTTATAAATTTCGATCCACCTAAATTTCACCTGATCTTTTCTTTGCAAGACTTTTTCATAATGAGAGCTGGGTTACTGGCCGAAGCACAAAAAAATGAGAAAAAAAATTTCGGAAGCTCGAGGTGTCATTTTTGTAGATGCTTATTTCTAATTTGCTGGTTTTCGAGAGGCCTGCTGGCCCTTTTTGATTCATTCTGCCTACTCAAGGCGTATAACTTGTGAATTTTCCAATTTTCGGATCTAATTGCTATCTGAAAGTTTGGATTGGATTATTTTTAAAAAATAATCATTTTCACTACTAAAAGTTTTTTAAGCATTATTAAGTAACAGTATTAAGGGACCATTAAAACTGGAATTTGTTTCGAAAGTGTATTCAGCAGTAATGAAATAAGTAGGAAATTTCCATCAAAAATTGTTCGAATGAAAATTGAGTCGAGTCTAGTTGAATAATTATTTTTTTTCAAAATTTCACCCAACCCGTCCTTTTCTCTCCCACGAACAAATTTTTATTCTTTTCAACTAGATTTTCCCCGAAAGACGTTCACTTTGTTCCTTCCGACCAAATGAAATCTTCTCAGCTTTCGGGTTTCTCCGAACTAACGCGAAGACCTGAAACTCCGAAATATCTTCAAAATGTTCTTGCCGTATGATTATTCCTCGTTCACTCATCTCAGACCCGAAAATTGTCGTCGTTCCTGAGCGAATTCGCTCTTCCCACAGGGATTGCTGCGGAAAGTGCTGATGGAAGTGCGGCGGCGGCACAAGACTTTATCTAAGAGTTAGGTCGTCCCCGTGTTCTCTGCGAAAAGCGGGCCGTTAGTAGACCTGAAGCTATTTTTTCCAGTTTGACAAGGTTCAGGATTTTTTCGTCCTCTATATGAGTCCCGTTGGGTTCAACTTTTATATTTCTGTCCAACATTGGAAAAAAGGAGAACAAAAGTCAAATATTAAAAAATTATGGTTCGATTGTTTAACTCAAAAATTAAAAATAACGACAAAAAAGCGAAAAGTCGAAGCTCAACCTTTTTTTTAAATATCTTTTTACTAGCCCTATTAGAAATTTTTTTAATCCTTCAATCTTTTTCATAGAGTATTCCATGTCCTTACGTTCAACTTTCCATGTTCCACCACCAAATATTTTCTCGAAGACAGATAATTTTTCAACATTTTTCGATTGAAAACTCTTTTAGATCATTCGTCAGGACTTGAAATGGTCTGGCGAGTCTGAGCTCTATTTTTCTCTCACCAGCAGAATTTTCTTCTGTTGAAAACATCGACGATGAGAGAAAAAAGGGAGTAGACAAGTCAGACTTTTTTCGAGTCGTAGTGAATGTTGTATAACTAGGAAAATGGAGAAAGTATTTTACAAAAGAAAAAAAAATTGATTATAAAGATAATTTGACGAAACAAAATTTCATGTTTTTTTCTCTCATTAAAGTTTCAAAAAACGGACTCCAAGGGCTTTTTCGTTCAAAAAGTGTCACAGTAATGGCTTTAAGACTATCTCATTTCATGGAAAAAATTCGCAGATTTTTTTCTCAGTAAATTCAACTCATTATTATTGAGCGCAGTGTATGACGGTACTTCAAGAATTTTTTTTACATGAAACAATTTTATTTTATTCCAGTGACGATGAATGTTTGTAGTTTGATATTTAGAAAGATAGAAAGTATCAAAATCGAAACATTTCCGTTGGAAAAACCCATTGACGGCTCAACATTCACGGACCGTTAAATTTCACGACCTCTGGTCTAGAAATATCCTACTTCCGTCTTAAAGTGCGACTATGGAGTTCTTGACCTCCCGATTCTCTTTCCGGATACTGTGACATTAACCTAGGCCCCAAATTTTTCAGTGAACCCATTTCCGGCGGAAAATGTTGAACGCGCTTCAATACCTCCAATTTTATGCTCCAACTGACTTTTTGCTTTTTCGTTGTTATTTTTCATTTTTGAGCAAAACAGCCGAACCAGCATTTTTCAATTTAAAACTTTTATTCTTTCTTGTTTTCCGTGTTCGTCGAGGAGCATAAAAGTTGAAGAGAAATTTTCTGGTCTGGTTTTTTGAAGTTTCTCATGTAGTTCCTTTAAGGAAGGTTCGTAGGAAGAGGACTTTGACATTTTCCGAGCTTCAGAGACTTCTTGAACTTAAGCTTTTCAATGAAAATTCAAAAAGATCATTTTTATCATTCCTTTTTTCTTGATCCCTTTCTTCCTATTGGTTTATTTATAAGCCATAAGAGAGTTTTGAAAAGCAGTGGGTCAAAAGTTGCAAATTTTGAGTGCCACTCTTCCAAGACTTTGAACTTAGAATTGACTCTAAACTTCTCCTTCTTTTTTTTCCAAATTTCCATTCGTTTTTTTAAATTTTTTACGTAAGTCAAATTGCCCGTTAATTTTTAAGAAAAGTGGCCAATATTATCCAGCTTTTAAAACCTAGGTTTTTCATTTTGACTAGAAAATTTTTTTTTATTTTTGAAATTAGTCTTTTTGCTATCTGTACATCTATTGCATTATAATTAATAGAATAAATTTATAAAAAATTTAAATAAAGATGGGCGAGTTTCAAGAGACCATATTCCAAGCTCTTCAGTCCCGTTGATTCATTTTTTTAATTTTTTTAAGAAATTACAAATTTTTCAAAAAAATCTCTGATTTTTCGATCAAGTTCACCTTGACTCCTTGTTGTACTTCTCCACGGTGTATCTGTTGTTAATTTCGTACTTTTATTGTGATCTCAATTTTTCATCGTGCGTTCAAATATCGCCATGAGGTTATAAGCTTGAAGGAGTGCTTGGTGAGTCGAAGTACCGTCGTTAAACGTAGTCGCGAATCGCTGTTGGCGTGGCCGCGATGTCGCGGATCTCTTCGATGGCGTACAAGCGGACGCAGCCGCAGACGTCGTCGATCAGCGACGAGTCGCGTCACCGGTCGCAGAGCAACTCGCGACTCTTCGATCGCATCTACGGGCGACTTCAGCGCGTTCCCAAGGTCTGCGACCCACGGAAGTTCATCCAATTTCGTCTGAGAGGCCCTCCCGATGGTCTCACTACTTCAGAAAAGAACTTGACTTCCGATCATCTAGAGTTCTTTTTTTTGGGTTGAGCTTTCCAACAAGGAAGTCCTCGTAAATCTGTCTTCTAGCAAGGGTGGTCCTTTTAGTGGGAAGCTTGAAATTTTTCGTGATTTTCTTGAATACTTTTCCTCAAAGTCTGTAAGAACATACTTTGTAGCCGTTACCTGTGTAAGTATCGACTATGAGGAATCCTCATTTAAAAGTTCGGAAAAATGCTTGAGAAAATCCGAAGAAAAATTCAAGTTCCATGCAAAAAATCATCAGCCTTGTGAATATTTAAAGATTTTGTATTTCAAGAAAATAAATAAATCGTCGTCAATCTGTCATGTAAACTTTGCTTCTTTTTTTAAAAAAATTGAAACTAACTTTCTTTTTTTCAATTTTCAATTTTTTTAAGAAACTTGGTGAGTTTTTTTCAAGTTTTCGTGATATTGATCTTGTTGTCATTGTTCGAAATTTCAAAAAAGTTCAATTCTTGTTTTTTTGAAAAATCCTATTTCGTACCGGCTTTTCTGAACTTTTTCCCTAGAAACAGTCAAAATTAAAAATTTTCTTGAAAAAAATTTTTGATTTCTGTTCTGCGCAAAGAAGTTTGAAGGGCAATGTTTAAATGGGTACTTGATTATTCTATTTTGATTCAGTTTTATTTTCATCCAATGAAACATTGAAAGTTATAAACTATAATGAGATAAAATGAACAAGTTGAATAAGCGTTAGAAGATGAACTTTTCAGGCAGAGTAGGATTTAGCCAACCTTTTCCCGAGAAAAAGTTTCCGGCGATTCTTCTAATTTTGTTCTGTTTCTGTTTCCTCCAGAGTATTGCGAATGTGTTACTTTTTCACTTTCCTTTCTGACTGAGTGAAACGTCAAAAAAAGAATCTCTCCGAACATATATCACATAGACTTTATGTTTTTCGAGGCGTTCTCAATGAAAAATGCCTCTGAAAACTGACTCTTCAAAAAGAAGGTTCCCGATTAATCTTGGTCCGACCGAAACGAAAAAAAAGCACACGCTTCAACTTTTTTTCATTTCCAGTTGGTTGGAGTTGCCGGATGTTCGGGGTCGACGAGTTTTTTTTTTTTTGGGTTCCATTTTTGCCCTTGGTCTGTGTCATAAACAGAAACGTCAATCAAAGACCAGGGCATCAAACATTGTTATTCATTTTTGGGACTCGGGCTTGTGCGAGGGCCGGCCCGTCAAAGCCCGACACAGCCCGCTCTTTACGAGGCCTCAAGCAAGAAAGACCGGCCGAGTCCAACGAGGGCAAAGTTCCTTCAAGAAAAATGCCAGACTTTTTTTAACGACAAACATCACGCTTTTGATTCATTTTTAACTTGTAATTCAACGAAAACTACGCTTGAACAAGTAAAATTTTTTTAGTGAATGAATTGAGGGGGGTTTGACGCAGTCTGAAAATTTTATTCAAAGCCTAGCCCGATCAAGCTTCCACGCAAAAAAAAAAAAATGAGACCTAGTACACGGGTCGTCCCGGCCCAGGTCGCACAAACCTGCTTTGAGAAAGTTGATTGTAGAGAGGGATAATTCAGTTTTCATAATCAAAAATTGATGGCAAGGGACGAGAAAAAGTAGATAAAGAACGTTTTTTCCCTATTTTTAGTCGTTTTAGGCGTTCGAGCACACTTCTTCCTACGACGAATCCATCTCGGGCTTCATGCGACGGAGATTTGCCGGCAGCGGAGAAAGATCGCTTCCTCTGCGCTATGGTACGTTGCAAATCAAGGAAAAGACTATCATCAGTTTCTGATACAGAAACTTGGAAAGGGAAAGTCAAAATATTACACTAATTTTTTTTGTCCCTCTCCAATAGGAATCAGAGAAAAAGGAGTTTCATCATACGGGTCCGACTAAAAATAATTCTATTGGTTCATTTCATTAAACTCATTCCGTTTCTACCAAGCTGTCTATCGAATCTGTCTTACCATTTTGGTTTGATAGGTTAGATTGATAACAACAAGAAACAAGCTCTTTGAAAAAGGATAACTCGAAATTAATCTGAAAGACTGAGACACCCAAAATGATATTTTGGACTTTTTCGGAAGGGTACTGTATTCCGAGCAGCTGAAAGCCGTTATGTAGAATGGAATTTGGTATCATCTTTTCAAAAAAAAAGTTTTTTTGCGGGCAAAAGGAAGGGAATGCTTTAAATGACCCGAAAAAAAGAAAGAAAAAAGGCTCTTTACCTCGAAAAAGAATTTCATTGTGCTTTTAAAAGAAGTGACTCAAATAAAGTTCCAATACGAAGAACATGTTTCCTTTTTGGGTGTGAATTTTCCAGGAAATATATAAGGGACGGTCAAGGAAAAGGTACAAGTAACAATAAACTTGAAAAATTTTCATCAGCTATATTTTTAAAAATATTTTTCCTATTCAAGTTACTTTTTCAAACACCGAATGCTTTTTTTACTTTTTTTAAATTTCGAGTCATATTTCGTTTCTCTCATTGAACGCGCCCAATAAGAAATTCAAACTCACACGTTTTTATGGAATTTACTTTGCCATCTGAACCATTATTTCCATATTTCATAAGCTTTTTGGGAAGTTTTCAATGGTATCATGGCTCTGGGGAAATTTTCAAGAAAAGGGAAACGTATCGAAATTTTTTTGCCTTTCTTTCATTACTCCAGCTGACAAGTAGAAGCTGAGAAGTCGAAAAGCCGGCAAAAAAAATCTTCCAACGTGTCATAAGGGCAAGACAACGATACCCGAGGGAATCGACGTCAATTTTTGTTTCCGAGAAAGGCCTTTTGCACTAAATCCGTCTTGTTTTTTACCTGAATTGCTAGTAGAACATTGGTTGCTGAATCTTGTAACCGGCTTCGAAGAGGTAAACCGAAAGAACCTTTCGTTTTTCCCTGTTTTTGTCTTGACTTTATTCATAGGAAAAATCAGAAATTATGTTTAGAAAAGGGGAAAATTAGCTGATAAACCTGAAATATCTTGATCTCCAGTGCAGAACTTTTTTTTATTAGTTTTCAAAATTATATTTATGAGCACCTCGAGTAAAACTTGAATATTAATTATTTCCATCGGATTGCTTGAATTTTCAAGATTTGAAACATCATTTCACTGCAGGAAAATGACTCAAAACGTCGTAGTTTTTTTGTATTTTATAAAAAAATTTCAGAACAGGTAAAAAAATTTTTAATAATTTTTTTGAGATTACTCTCGTTAAATAGGAGTTTTTCTGTATAATTTCCAACTCCTATCTTTTTCCAGCAGAGCTTTTTTTCATTTCAGGAACGAATCCCCACCAAAAGGATGATGCTGAAGTTTTCATGGTCGAGGATGAGATGCCGATAAAAGGTTCACTAAAACTCCAAAGTTATGACCTTTTTTGATGTATAAAGATCGGTAGAAAATTCAAAAAGTCACCGTGAAAATTTTTCTCAATTTTTCAATTAAGAATGTTTGAAACGGGTTTTTTTTTCCAAGGAAGACTATACGTAAAAAAAAAGGTCATAGCATTGTTTTAGTCAAATATATTTAGAAATGACCGCTAGAACTTTTTTTTCCAAAGTAATTTCAGCTCAAAATAGCTATTTCGCTGACCCAATACCTCCTAAGCCTTGTTTTGGAATGTATAGAAGGCGAAAAACTTCGCTAGACTTGCCAATTTTTTGTTGATCTTTGATATTGTCGTCAAAAATTCATAGCGTTCATCCACTTGTTTGGTGGTCTTCGGATCTTTTGTTACTTTTTTTGGTCGTCCCTGACTTTTTTGTCCATTCCCTCAGAGTTTGAGCAATTCCGAGCTGAAGTGATTTGGAATATGACTGCTTCGGATTCGCTTGAGCGTAAGATTTATTATGATTTTTTGAACATGATTGAACATTTGATGTGAGTGATTTATAGAGTAGAAAACTATTTTCAATTGATTTTGAAACAGAAATGATTCAGTTTTGAACGGTTCTCCGGGGTACATCAACATTTTGGACGGCCTCAACGGCTGGCAACTCGTCAAAGAACTGTCCGAAGCGACCGGGTTACCTGCCGCTGCTTCGTTCAAGCATGTGTCGCCTGCAGGTACTCGGAGTTCCCTGGAGTGGTCACTTGAAAAACGATAGGATTTTTTGGGATAATAAGACAACAGGACCGAGTATACAGGTCCTTTGAGGACGATTACTTTAACCTTTTTTGAAGTTTTGGAAAGTCATTAGATGAGTAGTTCAGTTTTTCTATATGTTAGAACAGAGGTCTTTTTTTATTATTGTTATATTACGGTGGTTCCAAGTTATCTGTGTGAATTAAAATTCTAAATTTTGGAAAGTTCACTTCTAAGCCCTAGAATTCTTTCAAGCCAAATTTTGACTTATAGTTTAAAAATTTCCTATTGAAAGCAAGTTTCCGAATAACAATGAAAACTATGAACCAGAAAAACATTTTTTATTTTTTTGCATGAATTTTAGATTTTTCAAAGCTCATAGCCAAATCCTTCATTTTACTAAAAAAAATTTTTCTATAAGAAGGTTTTTAGTTTGATCAAATACTTTTTCAGTCAGTTGTGATAAAAATAAACAAGAAAAATAAACATGATTTGAGAGATACAAAAAAAGGCAAAGGAATATGATTTCCAGGTGCGGCGGTTGGAGTACCGTTGAACGAGGCCGAAGCGGCTTCCTGCATGGTCTCCGACCTTCCACTCGACCACAGGAAACCTTCCCTCGCCGCCGCCTATGCTCGGGCTCGAGGTAAAAAACTGAAATCCGCGTAGATTCAACTCGAATATTTTACGGAGTAAAAGAACTTGTCGTTCAAGACCTTGTCTTTATGAATAATGAATCTCTATTTTTCCAGATTTCTCTAAACTAAAAAAACCTAATTTTAGCGACTTCCAACTGGTTCTTGAGAAACGGTTTTTTACCTACGATAATAAAACTTTCTTCAGAGTTTATAATTCATTTTTTAAAACTTTAACGATGAAACTTAAGATTTAGATAGATGGGAAGCTAAAAAAGGACGAAAAGGCGATATTCTCTTTTTAGGATAAGTTCTTACAAGACAGCAAGGTTTTTTGAAAATGGGCTATGAAAAAAATAAAAGTTCACTTTTTTACATTTCTGATCTCGTACTTTCTCATTCTTCTCCAAACAGTCATTAAGGAATTTTTTCGGTCCCATATTTCTTTTTATCAGATCTCAATATTCCATAATCCATAATACTAACACAAGTCTGTGACAGTTTTACGTGTCTTTTCTGAATGTCCTCAAAGTCCTAACCGTTTTTTGGGTGTGTTTAAGAACAAGATTGGATGTTGAACCAAAATCGGCGTGACCAAGTTTCCACGGCACTTGGTAGGTTTCCCTTTGCTTAAAATTTGGATAAAGCCCATGTGATTGGCGCCAAGAAGTGTTATTTGGCGCCGCGCCAACTTCTCGTTCGTCTTTGTTCCTTTTTTATTCATTTTTTTCTTGTCCCGTTGTGAAAGTCGATCTTGTCGCCTTGTCTATTTTGAAGAAAAATTGTTTTACAACATGCTTACGATGTCAAGATATTAGCTATTTTAAAATTATAAGTTTTTTTTGAAGCTTGAGTAGTCAATTTTATCCCATCATTCAATACGGCTCAATGTTGTTGGAATCTCCCGAGCGAGAGGAATTTGAGCTGGTTTGAATGAAAATGACTGGAAATTCTGCAGGTGCCGACCGGATGTCTTCTTTTGGAGATTTCATCGCTCTTTCGGAAAAATGCGATGAACTGACCGCCAAAATCATTAACAGGTGCTGGAAAAAGTTGAGGACCTTGAAATATGTCGATTTTCTCAGAGAAGTTTCCGACGGGGTTCTCGCGCCGGACTTCGACGCAGCCGCCCTTTCTCTGCTGGCTAAGAAGAAAAATGGGAATTATTGTATCCTCAAGGTTTATTAATTGAATCATCATGATAATATGCTGATTTTTTTCCTGATAAATCTAAGTTTCGATCTTCCCTCTGAAGTTTTTTATAGAAGCTAGAAGACGCCTAACAGCCTTTTTGTGATGGGCTCAAAAATGTTTTGAAAAAAAGGCTCGCAGAGAGAGTGAGTGAGAGAGTAGCCGTAAATTGAAATTGAAATTTCCATTTTTCACTTTGAACTCCAATGTTTCCTTGGACCTTGGAAACCGGGCCCGGCGTTTCTGAGCATTCCTAGTGACCACTTTAGCGACGTTTGCACCTTTAAGAGATCCCTAGGAATTTACAGAAACTTCTAGAGACCGCCCGGTTCCCGTTAACGAGGTTCGAGTCATAAATCATTTGGAGAAACGTTCAATGAATGCTTTGCTCCTTCAAAAACCAAAAAAGAAAGTTTTGAACATCTTCACATGAAAACCCCATCTACAATGGCCTTCCAGATCAACCCACACTACATGCCGTCTGAAACCGAAGAACGGACGGTCTTTGGACTGAGACTTCGACAGAAACGGAACAACGCCGTCGTCAACAGCGACACGTTCAAGAACGTCGTCAGCAAGGCCAACTATGTCAGATTTTGGAATCTCCGACTTTTGAAGGTGGCGCTTTTACAGCTGACGAAGCAGGCCATCGATGACCTGATCGTCGCCACTATTGCCCTAAAGTACGCTCAGTCGAACAGCGTCTGCTTTGCTCAGCGAGGCCAGGTGAGAAAGCAAAGAGTTTCGCTAATCTTCCGAAATCTTCTGAGAAACATTTTTCATCTTGAGCGCTTGATGCTGATGGAAACATAGAGAAACGATCGTTAGTTATAAATAAAAACTTAGAAACATAAAAATCATCATTCATTTACCGAAAAAGAATTCTAAAAGTTTCAATCTGCACAAGTTACTAGTTTTCGAAAAATAAAAGTTCAAAGCTCCAAAATGGCCCATTTCAACGGATTTTTAGTGTTTTCTTCGACTTTAAGGTGTCCTTTCTCGGAAACTAGCGATTTTCGCAGGTTGAGACTTTCAGAATCATCACCTGGTACATCATAGAGACTCTGGCCCATTTTCATGAGAATTCCAAATGCAAAGTAAAATAACTTGCCTTGCAAGATGTTTGCTTATAGGTCATCGGTATGGGCGCTGGACAACAGTCGCGGATTCACTGCACCAGATTGGCCGGCGATAAAGCTTGCAATTGGTCAGTTTTCTCAACAGTTCAAGTATATACTTTATTGCGAAGACTTCAACATCATATGTGACGTCGCAACTGGGAATTTTCATCATTTGTACTGAATAATAATCGAGGAAAAAGATTGCGACACTTTTTCAAAGTATTCTCTTTGGTTAATTGGGCGGGGAAAGCTTAATTTTTGATTTTAGTCGATAGGGGAGTTAAAAATGTCTTGTGAAGATTGGCAAGTTGCATTCTGGGCCGCAGTTGTCCCGCACGCGTTTCCAGTAACCGATCGTTTTTCTGAAAAAAAAAAATTGATTGATTCAAACATGGTCGCATGCAGAATGGCTCAATATGTCGCGAACGCCTAGCCGTTAGAAGATGAGATGTTTCATTCTCTTGCGCGCAAGTCGTTTTGGGTCGGATGCGGATTATCAAGAGTAGAAGAAAACTCGGACCTGTCACGACAGCCATTGGCGCCTCCGTCGTGGATCCTCGCCAGAGTCTCACAATCGTTCTTGCCGTAACATTTGACACGGAATCGGCTTCCCAGCGTCTAAATTCATAAAATAATGACTCATGTTTCAAAGTCGTGAAAGTTAATCAGAAATCTCTTTTCTTTTTTCAAGAGTAATAGAGATAAACTAGAGCAAACTATAAACAGATCGAAATATTTGAAACCGCCTCTTTTTTTAAATTAAAGCGGTTTTGGACAGAGACGGTTTGGATCAATTTCACTACTAATTTGAAAAAGCTAAAAAAATGATTCAATAAAATATTCAAAGTAACATGTAGATTGCTCTGAAAATGAATAGAAGAAAAAGCTTTGAGCTTAAAAAGTTTTTTTTTTGGATAGTATAGTGAATCACTCAGATTTCTCCTCAAAAATTACGAAATTTTGTAGCCACTTCACAATTTTCTGAAGTCTTTATCATTCCTCTCCTGGCACAGGTGGAAGTACAGTTCAAAAAAAACGTAACAGGAAAAAGTATATTGACCGGTCACTCGAATATCATCGTCAGACTGTTTTCGATGACCTAGGAGTTAGATTTTTGATCTTTTGAATGTCCAAAAAAAGAAATTTTGTATATTTACTTTCGACGAGCAGAAAGCGTCATCCGATAGAATATTCAGAAAATAGCCGGTGAACCGGAAATTTCGAAGAATGATTCAAAATTAATGAATGAGTGCGTAGGCAAAGTTCATTGGACCATGAACTGTGTGGCAAAGGGGATAAATGAAAATAAAGCAATAGAAGAAATAAAGATAAGTCTTTTGATTATCTTTTGAAGAAAGGAAATAAATTAAGTCAAGATTTTTTTGGGGAGATTTAAAAAAACAGCCTCTTGTAGAATAAATTAATTTCTAGAAACGATTTTTTTAACGGCTTCAATGAATCTATGTGGGTCAAACGTATTGACTTTCAAATGTCCTTTTTTTACGAATCATTCTTTCGTTTTTAAAATTTTTTTCCAATGTCCGTTTCTGCTTATATCACTGCATTTTTATCTTGTTTCTATTCTAACTACTCATCTTTATACCGTATATAAAAAAATAACCTATCATTTGTGAGAAAAAAATTTTTTCGAAACCGGAAATATACCTTAATACACTGGGAAGAGCACTCGTAGTCTTCGGCGCAACGAATCCAGGCCGATTCCTCGTCGTCGACGTCTTTCATTCCCGGCTGGTAGCATTGCTGGAAATTATTTTACGAATCAATTGCTTCTTAACAACAGGGCAGGAATTTAGATGCTCAAACACGAGTGAAGCCTGTATTCTAGAAGTTATTAATAGAGGAACTGTGGTTTGAACCTCCCATTGTGTTTTCATTTTGTAGCCTTTTTGGAAAATTTCTTCACTCTGCGTAGAAATTCACCGCCAAAGATGATTCTGGACCGACTATAACTTGGAAAGTATTGGAAAAATCACAAAAATAGAACGGAAAACTCGGAAAAAAAGATTTTTTTCAATATTATTTGATTTTTTTGGTGTTTCAATTAAGATAAATAATTTTATTTTTTTGACCTGAGAAAAAAATGTTTTAACTCACCCTGAACTGGTAAATGTTGAGGCGGAAATAGCCGCAGCCTATACGGTCAAAGTGGTCGATTGAACAGCCAATCGGTACACATCCTGAGTCGGCTTCGCACATTGCCATCAAGCAGGCGCTTTCCGTTTGTACTGAAAAAAAAAGTCTTTTATAGTTTTTATTATTTTCATGGCTCATTTGTTCTCAAGTTTGAAAAATTTTAAAGAAATCAATGGAGAAAAAGTTTCGATTTTCGCTACTTTCCTCAAAAATTTTTCTGCAACCCGACACGCCTAAAAAAAGTCAATTTTTTTGTTTGAAAAAAATAGCCTGTTCAGAATTAACTAGTTGTTACCTTTTCCTTAATGAAGTATGTCAAAAATGCATTTTTTTTTTGTTTTTGTTTATTCTCAAAGCCTTCTATCTGAGATGAGTTTTTTAAAAACAGAACATTTATTAGAAAGAACAGAAAGAGGTAGAGCAGCTGAAATGAAGTTTTTTCGACCTTTTTAGGAACCTTTCCAGAACCGTTCAGAAATCCAACTACGACGAAAATTGCGAACTTTCGTGAATTTTAGAAGTTCAAATATAAAGACCTTTTACAAGAAAAGGCTGAACAGCTGAAAAAAAAGCTTCTGCAGTTTTCCAAGACCTTTTTGTGAGCTTCACCTCATTTTTTTGTTTTATTGAAGACTTTCCAAACTTCCTTCTACATTAAATTTGAAAACTAGTCTCTCATGAATATGGTCAACGTTGTTTGTATCTCATTTCCGCTTTTAAACTATTCAGCGCCGAAAAAGGCAAGGCGATTCCTTATCATCAATCAAAGGAAAACGATAAACCTCTATCAAACATCAGCAGGGCGGCGGACCAATGCGCCAGTGCCAAAACGAGCCAACAGCTGACCGACGACCTCATTTTCTCACCGTATAGCTATTTCGAAACAACAACAACTCGGCGAAACGTCCCACTTTCTTTGCTCATGGAGGACGCATCTGTTGCTGAAAATATTGTTCAGTAATACACTATAATTCGAAATAGGCTGGATGGTTTTTTTAAAGGAGCATGAACACGTTTCAAAATAGTTTTCGAGGCGGAAAGCTTTTTAGTGATAATTTTGGCTACAAAAGCCTTCAAATACTCTAGAAAACTGTTGAGTGGACTATAGTTTGGAAAGAATGATTGACAGTGTCTCGATGGTTGGATTTTGCGACGGCTTCATTTAAAAGAAAGCATGGGAAGAAATTAATGAGCAGAAACTGATATTTAGAATGAAGGTGAGCTTTTTTCATTTTCAAAAATCTTTATTCAAACTAAGACACGCCCCCTCCGAAAAACTAATAAATTTCGCGGCGTTTTTGACTTTTTTAAAAATTTTCTTTAGGCTTGTAAAAAATTTTGTTAATGAAAAATTAATGAGTCCGATTTCACTGGAAAAAAATTATTTTGTCTTTGAAGTTAATTTTTTTCTCTAGTAAAAAAAGTTTTAAAAAGCCAAAATATCGCTGAAAATAAGAAGCTTGCAAGGAAAAAGCTCAAGGCAGCTTACAAACGCAACCGACTTTAAACGACTTGCGCTAAATTGAAAATTTAAAAACAGAAATATTTAAGGTACCGATAAAAAAATTTTTTTACAAATTTTTGAAACTTCAGCTTGAACTTGAGCCATTATACATGTGAATTCAAATTTTTAAAATTCAGCTGGATTTTAGAGCATTTTTTTAAAAGTTTTTTTCAAGGCTCAAAAATAGTACTAAAAAAATGCATTAGAAAGGTACATTAAAGTCGAATCTACAAGAACATATTAAATAACGGCTGTCCCGCTGACCGTTGCTGTTGACAGATCAAAAACTGACCAAAGCGTTGAGGCGTCGTGTGTAGTAGTGGGCGGGGCTTATCTTCGAGGTACTGCACAGATTTGGTGCCTCCTTCTCGGCGGCCGGAGACGTCTGTGATGGAGACGCCGCGGGGCTTATTGAAACCGCCGACAGAGTTTGGCGGTAGTTGTTCAGATGAGAAAGAGGGGCACGCCTACTCTTTCTCTCTTAAAATAGTCTCGTAGTTCATTATCGCTTCTTCAGTTTGTTTCCGGTGATTAATCTTTTTAAAAAAAATGATAGTTCATTCATGGCTGGCTTGGAAAACGATCAAAATAACGGAATATGGAGTGAATACTTGTTCGACTTCAAGCTGGAGGTGAAGAGAGTATAAAAAAATTTTCATTCGCATAACTTTTAAGGTTTTAAAGGAGCATGGACAGATGTCAAATGAGGTCTTGCGACGGAAAGCTTTTTTCAGTGGAAATTTAGGCCTCGCAAGAATTTGTCACTTTGAGAGACCCTGGGAAACAGTAGTTTCAAAAAAATCGAAAAAATAGAAATGATATGGAAGAAGAATGCAAGATAAAAAAAAGTTCAACGGAGTCCAAACTACGAACAAGAGAAGAAAAATGCGAAACGTACCTCGGAGGCGGTGGTCGTCAGTGCAAATAATTTGTTGAGAAACATTTCGACGATTATCACCAATTGATAAGCGTCTTCTGCCGCAAAAGACATCATTACCATGCCCCCTTTTACGTGATTTTCAGTGCTCTTTGAGCTTCTGAACTGTATTTCGAAGTTTTAGAAAGGAAAAGAAAATTGAAATTTTCCTCGTGAATTGAAATGATAGGTCTTGATATATTTAAAATAAGAACTCAATCGAAGTTAAAAAAACTTCTAAAAAAGCAATAGAAAGAATTTTTTTGAAAAACTTTATCTAATATTTTAAATTTGTCAGCCTAAAAAATTACAATTTTGGTTATCAGGAAAAATAAATGTTGAACTATAAGATGCGAAATTGTAGGTGGCTCCGACAGCATCCGACAGTACTGACGCTCCCTTGGAAGCCGACGATCAAACGTTCGGAAAGATCCAACGCCATCGACGTCTTGTGTTCTGGAGTTCTAGGAAATGAGGTTTGAGAGAAAAAAAACCGCGAAATAACAGCAAAAAATGATTTTCAAAATACAGTTTCTGCGCTACGAGTACGAGTAAATATATGCGAAAACACAGTTTAAAACATTTAAAAAAAAAATGAAGAAAATGAGCGGAAAAGGTCCGCGGATAAAGAAGGCGTAGATGTTCCAGTCCAAAACGATAGCTTCGAGAGAAAGCAGTCATAAAGTTGTCTTGGAACGCGCTCCACTGATAATCAAAAACTCAGTTATCCATGGAGCGTACTTGAGTTTTTGAGCCTTTTTTCAGCGGCTCAATTTCCACTACACAAGTTACCGTTCTTCTACGATTTTTTCTACTCTCTAACTTGTGAATTTTTTCAGATTCCACTCGAACAGTGGCAAGAGTACTTCACGATTCCTGTGCCTCCGTTCTCCCAGGTAATTTCTCGTTTTTCTGCTTTCAAATAAGAGAAAATCATCTCGAAGAAGCTATTTGCATCAACCGACCGCCTGCGGCAAAATTCTCCAAATTTATTACTCATCTATTTTGAAGCGCTCACGTTTTTCAAGAGAGCAAAGATGGATTTCGCCAGTTTTTTTTTTTCTAAAAATAAAAATCATTTCTCAACATCCTGACAAGTGGTTCCGCCATATTTTTTTGTACTGAAAATCCCCCGGAAGGAATCTGAACCCAATGACGTCAGAACGATCCATCATTTCTGAGCTCGGGATTATGCGGCGGGAAAGACTTTTTTTTCGCCGCTGGACCTCTATTTTTTCGGGTTTGAAAAGAATGACGGGGAACCAGAATAGACACGAGTCACGAACGTCATACTTGAAGAAACTCTAAAATTCCCCCAAAATGGCCCAAGAAAGGCCTTTGTTCCATGCTTTTCAACGTGAGAAGTTGGAAAAAATTGCTCCGAAAATAGAGATTCTGAAGAATGCTGAAAAATAGAATTCAGGAGTAGAATGTATTCGAAGGGAAATTTTTTTCTTACCATTCTGGTTAGCTAAAAAGGCCACTTGATTTAAAAATTTTTTTGATTTTTATGATCTGGAAACTAGAATGATAAGATAAATGAACGTTTGTCCAGATAAGAGTAAGTAAAAAACTTCCGCATTGAAATTATATGGGTCATGTTCTGAATATGCAATCGAACTCTAGTAAATAAAATTTTGAGGTTTTCCCTGAAATGAAACGCAGCAAATTCTCGTTTTGAAAAATTTTAGAAACAAAGGAAAATCAACAAAACAACCATTCATTAATTTCCTAACCGAAAAAGTTCAGGAAGAGCGCAAAAGTTGGCTTCAAAAACAAACGGGTGTCGTCATGAGTTCTGACGCGTTTTTGCCGTTCCGCGACAACATCGACTGTGCCAAACAGGTGAGAATCAAGTACTGAATAGGAAGGAGCCAATCAGGCACAAGCTTCTTCTGCGTTAAAAAATGTTATCAACTCGATTGGAAAATTCTGTGAAGCCAACCAAACTCCTTAACCCGAGAATTTTCAGATTATAATCCATAGAAATCATAATTTGATCACTTTTTTGAATCATTGAGTCAAGTTTGAAATTTATAATAGAGACATGAGTCCGGATATCTTCCAAGAATAATATAACTTTGAAAATTTTCAAGGTTTTGAACCTATTTTTCTCCCAGATCAGCTTTTTCTGAATTTCGTTTCCTAGGCAACATTCGCCATGAACTGAAAAGTCGGTCATCTCTGAGCTCTCTCCTTTCTATCCGCTATTTCATGTTTCTAAGACCTAGGCGTTGAGATAAGATGAGAGCGCAGACAGATCAGAAAGTTTAGTTATGAAGTCGGCAAAAAATTCTACAATCTTTTTGGAAGCCAATCCCTGGACTGATTGAGCTCTGTACAATCTGGTCTCGCGACAGGAAAAGGCGGAACTTCTCTGCGACCCTCTCGCTTTGAAGTGCTATTTTTGTTTCTCTGACCTCGCCGGTGAGGGAACAGAGAGACGCAGACACTCAAAACATTTTTAGTCATGGCGAATAAACTATAGAAGAGCAGGAAGCTACCGCAAAGCTTCTAGCTGTTTCATAGCCATTCTTGACGAGCTTAGAATGCAGGGAACACTGTAGCTGGAGGCCGAAGACCGTGCTATTTTTCAGTTCGGCGTCAAGTTCGTGGCGCACCCCGGAGGTTCGGTGCGAGACCAGGAGATCATCGACGCCTGCGACGAGCACGACATGACGCTGATCCACACCGGTCTCCGACTCTTCCACCACTGATTCCACCATTTTTTTTTTCATTCCCATTATTCTCACGTTTCATCGATTTTATAGACTACGGTAGAATGTGTGCATCTCATTTGTACAATTGTTTCAAGGGGCTAACCCATTTTAAAAAAAGTCCACGCAATTTCTCGACAAACCACCGTGTTTGGAATATATTTATCACCGGACAACACTTCTTGTATAAATAATTACGTTTGCACAACCGAGCGAACTTTCCGACTACTGAAAATTCGTTACATTTTTAAAGCCACGTTTATTTCGGAATTATTATGCGAGTCTTGCACGCCGTTGAGATCATCGCGACTTTTCTCCGAATAGCTCGGCCTGAAAAGAATTTATAGGTTTTAAAGATTCCTGTGAGTTTTTCAATGAGGATTTCATAAATTCGTTATATAGTCTATTCATAATTTTGATGCCAATTTCAATAGCGTCATTCGAAAAGGCTCGCTCTCTGATTGGTTTACCGCGGCACTAGAGGCGGAGCTTAAGATACGACTTGACATTGAATATTTGACAAAGATGTACAATGATGAGTTTAAAAAGAGAAGCTATTATTTGAACTTTTAAATGGGAATGTGTTAAAAGAGGAGTTAAAACTGAATAACGCAAGTTTTTTTTTAAAGCATAGAGCAGGTGACTTTTCGTCGAATTTTGGAATGAGAAAAGGGTTTCAAATTTTTATCAACTTTCAAATTCGTCAAATTTTGAAACGGAAAACTACGAAACCTGATAAGGCCGCGTTGAAAAATTATCAAGCCAATCCTGGGGTCTTCCGCCGTTCAGGAAGCTTTCTCTGGTGAGCGATCGGTTCTGGACGACGTCTTGAAGCGATCCGATCATGCTGGCTGAAGGTATACTGTATCGTCAAGGAATCTTGAGCCGAACAAGAACCTCCGAGCCAAGACAAGTACAACTGAGAGTTGATGTCGTCAAACTGGTAGAATTTCACGTCGTCCGCTGTTTTCAACTTCTGTTGATCCGCCATCGCTTGAAGTTCTTCCTGAAGCCCGGTTTCGATAATAATAAGGTCAACGGTCATAGAAAATCAACCTTGAGTCTCGAGTTGAAACCGGGAAACATGGCTGAGCCGCCGGTGACCAAGATATTGGAGAACATTTGCCTTTTCAGATCGATGGGGAGCTTAAAATGACATTTTTTTCTATAAGAAAAAAACATATTATTTTAAATTTAATTTTATATATGTCAAGCGGTGCGGCTTAAAAATTCTAAGACCGCATTGGGAATGGCACAATGAATTTGAATTAGGCCCATATTTAACCGATTTTAAGCTTTCCATGACCGCTATGAAAGCTTAAATCGAGAATGAAAAAAGAAACTTTTCAACTGAAACTTTAAAAAAAAAAAACAACCTTTAACTTAAAGACATAGGGACAGTGAAAAACGGGGTTTGAGGTGAATATCTTGTAGATTTTTTCAGTGCGAAACGACACAGCTATGACTACTTTTGACGAAAAACGTGATTTTATTTTCCCGCCTTTTAATTTCGAAAAATGTTTTGGATCGCTGTACGGAAAACTGTTTATAGTAAACTTGCACGAAACCTGGAAAATAGTTCATATTTTCCAAAAAATCAAAGTTATTGCAGGTAAAAAAACTAAAGACTTAGAGAAAACGTGAGAAACGACAGAATTTGTTTTTTAAAATACTCTTTATTTCATATTCCCTAAGATTAGAGTCCATATAAATTAAAAAAATAAGAACTAATTTATCGATTTTGATCAAATTTGAACTTCAAACTTCATATTTCAGAGTAATTCGAATCAATTTTTCGAAAAATCATTCCAGGTCTAGTTTTTTTTTTTCAGAAAATTGTTCTTTTTTCTTAAAAAAAATCTGTCAAACTTCAAAATCTTCAAAAATCGTAAAAGAGCGCAATCTTTAACTGGAAGTGCGTCCATGGCGGGTGCAAAAAAGCTCAATTTTTGTAATTTTAAGCGTTTTCTTAAATTTTCGAGTGGCGTGCGGCGTAAACCGTTTCAAGTCGGTCGCGTATGGAATTCTTTCAAAACCGAAGTCGACAGAAACCGTCTTCGTTCCAATTTTTACCTTTCTCGACAAGTCGTGAAGGAGGTTCGGGAGAGCGCAATCGTCGCCCATTTCCATTGTCAATTCCTGGTCGAACAGAATTTCGCACGTCATTTCTCTGCATTTCAAGCCGGATATTTCGAAATTCCGCAGATTGATGAGGAACCTGACGTAAGGTGGGACGATAAGGGTGAGCCCGTCGAACTTGAGGACGACTTCTTCGGCCTCGGGTTCCGGTTTTTTCGCGCCGGGTTTTTTGTGGGCGAGAGCTCTTTCACGGGTCGTGCAGAAACAGTGGCTCACGACGATCGTTTCCAAAACGTTCGATTCCTTGAAATACGGTTCGTTTCGCAATTTAGAACGTTTTTCAATAGAAAATTGTGTTCACACCGCGGTTGGAAAATTTTTGACATAAAAAAAGGCTAAACCCTTTTTAAAAATTATAAAAGTCTCAACCTTCAAACCTTCTTGATTTTTGAGGAAAAAAAAAGTTAAAAAGTTTTTAAAAAAAGTCAAATAATACTTTCTTTGCTTTTTTTTATCTGTATTGTTGATGAACTATTACAAAAATATGATTCGGAAATTTTTCAAAAAAAACTTATAAATTCAGCTCCTAACGAAGAGATCTAGAAAAATTTAAAGATACACCAAAAAAAAAAACTAGAATTCAAACCTCCAGAATAGCAACAAAAAAAGGGCTCGAAAGGAGGCAAGAACTATTATTCAAACTATTTTTTGAAAATGATAAATTTATTTAAGGGATCAATCTGATGAGAATCGTGTCGTTTTGAGAAAAAAAAACCGAGACTTTGAAAAAGGAGTTTAAGGAGCGATGAAAAAACGCTACAAAACTCAATTTTGGCTGATTAGGACGCTTAAGTGATAACTCAACTAAGAAAAATGATCACTAAGGTCGCTTCTGGTGAACGTTACAAACGGCTAAAAAAACTTAAAAAAACTACAAAATAAAAAAAGTTAAAAAAATACCCTGATGATTCTCCAATCCTCATCTCTCAGAGCCGATCTTACGCCTTCCGGACTCTCTCGCTGACCGTGCGCCCGCATGAGTTGATCGCATCTCACTTCCAGATAAAGTGAGCTGACAGAACTGGAGACGTGCACGCAGCTCAGCAGGGTCACGCCTTCGGACACCTGAAACAGTGAAAATGTGTAGTCAACTTCTTTGGATTTGACAGTCGAGGGCTCAAAAAACTCAAATCTTGAAGGCTGCATGTATTCTTCAAAAACGCTAGGATTTTATGATACAGTTAGAAAAATATAATCAGTTGCTCACGAAATGAAAGGCGAGATACAATAGCGAAAACAGGTGAGTTTTTTTTGAGGTTTATCGTTCATAACTTTGTTAAAAAACGATTTTTTTGACCTGAAGCTTTAATGGGCTTTCAAAAAAGGGCAAATTCTAATCAAAGGATGCCGCAAAATGTGCTCTGTGGCGAATTCGCTACTTCAGTTATATTGACAAGGGTGAAGCGTTGCGTGTGCGACGCGGTTTTGGCGAGGAACTCTAAGTCTAATTTTCATTAATTTTATAATTTCATTCGTCTAACTGAGTCTTCCTTCAAAAAAAAAGATACTCCAGCCAAAATATCACGACGCGTAGTCACCCTTGCTAATTCACCCATTTCCCATTTCAAGTCGACAAAAATTGTCCATACAGGTGTGCAACAATAAATGGAACGTACAGGTAGAATGATGGTCTCAGCGGAGCCGATGTCAACGACGAGAGCGTTTGCAGTGTTGAAAGGAAAGGTGGCGCAAAGATGAGAAGTCACGAACCAAATGGAAGGACATTGGAGAACTTCCAAGATTATCTGAAAGTTTGTGGAATTAAATAAGCCTCATGTGGAAGCTCTGGAGGTTTTCGAAGTTAGGTAATTTTGAAGTCGAAAAAAACTATGAAGTGCTAGGGTTCTTTTATGTTTCAAGGTTACCGGAAAGCTGATGAAATAGGGGTGGTATGAAAAAAACCAGCAAATTTTCGAAAGGCGACTTTTCCGATTTTTTTCATATCGCTAGGAACTTCCCGACATTTTTTCCCTTGTATTTTTCGGTTTATAAAAGGTCTTTTAACATTTTTCTCTTTTTCTGTGCTAAACTATAGTCAATGTTTCCCGACTTGAAAGGCGAGGGAGGCGGGGCAAGGGGCGGGACGCGTAGCGTGTGCGTACGCGGTTCTTGGCACTCAGGCAAAACTGAAAAGTTCCCCAAAAGCTTTTCTCAAAAAAAGACCTTGAAAGGGTCCCCAGCAGATCTTTTTTACATCATTTCAGTTCTTTTTTGCGTCTTTTTCACATCCTCTGACAGAAAAGATGCTGGAAAGCAACAAAAAAGATCCGAGAGGATTCAAAAAGGATCCTCTGAGGCTATGAAAAAGGTGCTCAAAAGCTTTTTTACATCATTTTAGGAGCTTTTAGAGGAAGCTTTTTATCTCCCTCTCAGGATCCTTTGAGGATCCTCAAAGGAACTTTTCAGTTTTACCTATGCACAATTCAACCACCAGCGACTATTTGGAGAGCTCATTTATCGCTCTTTTCACTTCTTTTTTCAATTATTTATTGATTATGTTTATGTGTGCATCAAAAATAGTAGAAAACATTGAAAAAGAGCGGCTGCCGAGCTTTTTAAATAGTCGACGACAATTGAATTGAACTCGCGCCAAGAACCGTGAACGCACACGCTACGCGTCCCGCCCCTTGCCCCGCCTTTCAAGTCGGGAAACATTGACTATACCTATTTGATATAGGAAGACTCAAAACGAAGAGTTTATCAAGAAAAAGAGGCGGAAAGTTCCCTAACCCTTTGAAAAAATCGGAAAAGCCGCTGGTTTTTATTTTATACCACCGGAATCCGTGAGAAAGTCCTGGGCTTTTATTAAAATTTGGTAGACTCAAAGTAAAAAAAAACGCTCAAGTTTAAGAAGGATTTTTTCCTGAGTAATGATCTTCATGTCTTTTTTTAAAAACTCGAATTTAAAAAATGAACAAACAATTTCAGGTTTTGAGCCTTATTAACGTCATACGCCTAGAATTACAATTTTTGTTCGCCAGGATTTTTCAACACCGACAGAAGATGAGCGAATTTTTCCACAACTCGAATATGCTCCGGTTTCGTTTTAATGCAACCTTATTCATTAACCATATCTTATTTTTTTATAGCTTATAACTCTTGATTTTTCAGGATATTTTCTATGACATCAAAAGAAAAATCTATACTGCTGAAAAAAATTTTTTTAAATTGAGAAAGTCAGCAAAAAAATCCAAAAAAATACCAGTTATATTCAATAAGTTTCATAAAATATTCGGAAAAAAAGACACCTCGTTAAAATCGGCTGTTTCTCAAGCATAGAATGAAATGGAAGAGAATTTTTTTTTTCTCGAGAATTTTTAAATCACCAAAAACGTTCTGGTAGAATACCTGGCTGAGTTTGACACGGAAGCTGGTTTCCGTCAGAACGTTTTCCAACACGATGACTCGTCGATCTTTTGGCATCGTCCCCAAAACACTGGAAGAAATTTATTTTCAAGAAAAGTTGGAAAAAACTCACTCGAAAATGTTCTTTATGAACTTGACCAAAGCATTATACCCATTTGGGTCTAGTCTACTGCTTCTTGGTGACAAAAGCTGTACGCTCGTAAACTTCACGGAATTTTCGTCAACGAATTCCGTTCGGAAAATCGACCTCGGCGAGGAATCGCCTGCCAAACCGATCCTGAAAAACACTAATCACATTGATTCATCACAGTAACTCTTACTTTGTCGTTCTAGCTCCCAGCTCTATCACAACCGGCGATTTGATGTTGTCAATGGAGCTGAAGCCTGCCGTAGAAGTGACCGAAAAGTTGGACAAATTCGAAGTACTTCGGCGCGACGGCTTTGGATCTCGGGATTCTTTCGGTTCCCGCGAACTTGGAAGATTCGAGGACATTCTGTAAAAAAAAAGACCGTTTTTAGGGAAAAGTCGTGAACCAAAAAAAGTGAACAATATGAAAACTCGAATCTACATGAAACTCGTTGAAAAAAACAAAAATTGCAAAGTGAAATATAAAGTTAATTGAAATAAAAATTTGTCAATAAAAAAAATTGATCACCAAAAAACGAGGTAATTGTGCTCCACGGCTATATGGAAAGTGACCGTAGCGCGCGAAAGGCATAATTTTCTTTTTTCATTTTTTTTCACGAGTTCTTCGAGCAGATTAAGCTCAAAAAAACTTCATTCACATCTGGCATGAGACTATTGGAGTTGAGGGTCTTAGCGCTAAAAAAAAGAAAAAGTTTGCGCAAAATACCCCAAATTTTTTTTTTTACTTTATTCTCAAGCTAGCAGTGAGTGGAGTTTGATGTCTCATTTTGATCACTTTCTTGGCGCGGGGAGCTATTGAGTATTGGGTTTTCTGAGAATGTGCTACAAATCTTATCATACTCATGAACTAAAAGAATTTCTTTTAGTTTTCACTTTCTCTACTTCTTCGTTTATTGCATGTCTCTTTTCCATATGACTCTTCGCGAAATTCATTGCATTTGACTTCAGATGGACGAAAATCAGTCTTTGCTCATAGATGGGGACGAAGAAAACCGATTTCAAAACCCGCTGAATAGTACAGTAGTGGACACTGATTTAAGCGGTTGTAATGCAGATCAGCCCAAAGGTTTTCGCGTAAATTTTTTATCGGAGTTTGATTTTTTTTAGAATGGAAGCTGTCACCAATAATGGCCGAAAAGGAGGGTGAGAAAGAAGAAGAAGATGGGCTCTTTCAAAAGCCAATTTTCTCTCGGAGTATGAAGCGTTTCCAAATGCGAAATCCGTCTCCACTAACTATTGCCCCAGTAACACCGTCTCGTTTAACTTTCAGATCTCCATTTAAAGATTCTAATCAGGTATTGTTGATGGAAATTCTTTCCGGAAAACGTTTTTTTAGAAAGAGTATGGATCGAGTTATGATAAATCTGTGGAAAGTAAGGAAAATTCAGCTGTAGATTTGAAGAACTCAATGGTTGGCCATTTTTCGACACCGAAAAGTGATTCGTGAGTATATTTGTTTAAATCCAACTTGTTCAAACTCGGGCAAAGTCGGAATGGTGTATAATGGCTGCTAAAAGGGAGAGGCTCAAAAAAGGCCGCAGACAGGCAGCAAAAAGGCAGCGAACGGCAGCAAAAAGGCAGCAAAAAGGCAGCAAAAAGGCAGCGAAAGGCAGCAAAGAGACTCCCTTTATCGAGCCTTCCATTTTTCTGGGATTTTAAAGGCTCGAGAAATGGTGGAGAAACGGAGAGGCAGCAAAAATGGTGCATAAGGGCTGAGAACAAGGTGCAAAAAGGCAGCAAAAAGATAGCCTTCTTCACCCTAAAAGGAACATTTCTATGGTCCTTTATGGACCCTCGGAGGGTCCTTCCGACTTTGCCTATGAAAATATTTGCCGTTTCAAGTGTTTTTTAGGTAATGGAAAGTTTTTTGAACAGAATTTGTGTTTTGTGGCTTCATTATTTTTTATTTTCAGAAAAAATTGCTCGTCCATCTCAAAAATCAACATCTCGACGATTTCGCCGCTGGAAATTTCCAACAAAAGTCTAAATCCATTTGATTCGTTTCTCCTCACTTCCATCCACAAGAGCACCAACTTCAGTCCGAGTGTCGTTTTCAACAGCGTCCATCATGTACACTTTCTTGGTTCCTAAAATTTTTTGGTGTTGAATAGTTAAAAAAGGGTTTTTTTTCAATATTTTTTTCTCATGGAGAACCTCATGATTTCATAGTAGGATTACATCAAACGTTTTGAAAATTCAAAAACAGAGGCATAAGTGTTGTGTGTGCCTTTAATTTTTTTATTTTTTTCTAAATACTCGACAAAAAAATAGTGCCTATTCTTGGTTTTAAAGCGTTTTAAGAGAATTTTGAGATCCGTTGAGATTTTAGTCAATAAACATGTGTTAGATATTTCGAATCAACTTATTTTCCTGGAAAATTTTGAGTTTGATCATATTTTTCGCTCAGAGAAGCATTATTTGTCCTGTTGAATTTGTATATTCCTAAAGTGAACCGGGAATTCATCTATCCACCTGGAGTTTGAAGAGCTTCCAATCAGAAAAACTACCTTTTCTTGGATTATTCAATTAATTTTTTTTAAAGCCTCGAGAGCCTACTTCAGTCGAAATTTTATTCACTTTTTCACTTTCTTATTTCATCATTTAATTTTTTCAGTACCTTTTAATTTTTAACAAGAAGATCTACATATACTTGCAATGAAGCATTTTTTTGAAGGAAGAACACGACGAAGCGGCTGGGACCAGCTTCAAATGGACCGTCGAACAGATGGCGATGCTCAAGCCAGCGAATATAACGGACGAAGAAATCGCCGCGAGTTATAATTCGCCGTCAGTTCAATTCTTCTTTTCTTATAATCTTTCCTGATTTTTCAGGAACCCGGAAGTTGAGAGGAAACTGCAGAAGCTTGTCGATAAGTACTGGAAAAGTAAACCGACTCGTATGCTCTCGCCAGACGTTCAAAGATCTGTCAGTTTTTTTTTGTTGTTCCTCGTTCAAAGCCACGTTCAGGGAAATTGATTGAAGGAATTTAACATATTCGCTGCGCGCGCGTCAAATTAGCTTTCAATCAATCAATTATTCATTTTGTTGTAGATGTAATCCAGTAGGCGGTTAGCAGGAACTTTCAAACTCATATTTTAAAAAAAATCGCCTCTGGCGAATTAGAAGCTCAAAGCGTAGTTGATCGAGTTGGAAGCGTGGTCTTGCGCTCCTTCGCCTCGTTCTGCGCGTAGTCCGTTCAGTTGCGCTTTAAAAGCTCAGAATATAGCTAGAGCCTAGATACCGCCTTCCAGATGAAAGCTTCAAAATATGAAAGACCACGAAAACTTTCCACGGAATCGGAAGCCTTGAACGCGGTTTACTGATTTCTTTTGAAAATTACAGCAAGAAGTTTCGAACGGAGTTCTCAAAGCGAGTTCTTCCCACAAAAGCCACAACGAATCGGGTTTCTGCAACGCTGTCCGCACTTCGCAAGCCATCAAGGCCGCTTATTGCACCTCGTCGCCTAAACAAAGGCCTAGAAGGTGGGATTTTAAAAAAAAGTTTGATGGATTCTTCGAATGCTCTACAAATTCCTTCTACCAAGCCAAAGTTCCCTGAAAGAAGAGTTATTTGAATCGCTTTAAAAAATTTTTCGTTGATGTCTTCTATCCCATATTTATTTGCATGCTCAGGTCAATCAAGCGGGCGCGAAATGTGAACATCCAGACGGATATCACGATACCTCCGAGCTCCGAAATTGATCTGAAAAAGATCCTGGGTAACTTGGATAAACTACTCTGAAAAGTTTGATTGATGGATATTCAGGCGAAGCATTTGTGTACAGACAAAACGACGAAGAGGAAGAAGATTTTGACGTTTCCATGTGCTCGAATTATTCAACGAGAAGACGGTTGTTTCCCGGAGTTTTGGACGGAAGTAGCAATGAGGAGGAAAACTCCTTCATGTCTGTTGACCCGAATGAGTCGACCAGCTCTTCTCAAAACTTTGTTCGTTTTTTGAGACTTTTTTCAAAATTTATGGCTTTGATTGTAAAAAAATAACATGGAAAAAAATGAGGTTAACGTTTATTCTTGTCAATTTTCTCATATCGAAATTCTTAGGGTTTTTTATTCAGTTTTTTTGAACCTCAGCTACTACGGAATTTTATAAATAATTGAAATTACCGAATAATTCGATTTTAACAAATTTTTCGATTTTTTTGAAGGAGATCGATCGTTTTTTTCACGTGCTCTCACAAATTTTTTTGCCCATTTTAGAACTTTTTAAACGTATAAAGAAGGCAAAACCTTGATTGAAAAATTTTGAAATGGGAAAGATTATAATTATTCTCGGGGAACCTTTTTGAAAGTTTTAAGTACAAATATTCAGGAAAATTTTTTAATGTTTCGAAAAAAAGTTTTTAGCTTGATTTATTTTGAATCACGTCATTTTCTGTCGAAAAAATCACAAAATTCAATTTTTCTATTCTCTATTCAAAATGAGCTCCGTTAAAGGAAGAAGGAATATCTCCTGTTGAATTTTCCGAAGTCAGCAACTCGATTTCTTCAATTATTGCGCAAATAACGACGAACGATGAAGTTTCAGTTGAGGTTCCAGCGAAGAATGTGAGTTTTTTTTTTCAAAGATCGAAAAATTATTATTAAAAGTTTGTATTGAATTTTTTGAACAATTTTAATCAACTTTTTGAACTTCTTCAGGCTCTCAATGAAGCCAACGACAGAAGTTTACACCGGCAGCCGGGCACGCCGACGCAAGAATTCGACGAGGCCGAATTTCAGCCGGGATCTGTGCTCCGTCGAGAAGACCTCGACTTTACGCCGCGACGCGATGCCGCAAGATCCGGCGATTTGCGACGCTTCCTTCTGGAACTGTCGCCGATAGATTTCAACGTTGAGAGGGTTATCGAGGAGTACGATTGAGCCGGAAAACTCGATTTTTTCAGTTCCCTTGTGAAACAAGGTTCAAGACCTTCACTTTTCCCAGTTAAAATTTTTGGTCGCATTTGGAATGGCTCAACGCGCCGCGGTCATAATGCGGTTTGATCTCGATTTTTAACGTCTTGCTTTTCAGTTGACTGATTCTAATGCCGTGTTCGAAGTACCTCCGCGAAAATCAAAATAGCTGTTAGAGAATGAAAAAATAACTAACTATTTTTTTTTAATTTCGCGGGATTTTGGAAAAAAAAAATAGCGTAAAAACAAGCCGTTTTTGGTCGGGCGCACTTTCCAAGTTACCCATTTGTCGTCGTTTCGCGTTGAGCCATTCTCCATGCGACCTACATCTTTTAAAACTAAAATTGAGTATAATCGAATCAAGTTTTTCTCAACTAGTTTGTTTCCAATTGACTCTTCTCGATTCATTATGATTCAAAGTCTTTATATTCGACCTATTGTACTACGGCTACATCGATTTTCTATGTGATAATTGCGATCTTTTTCCTTTACTCATTTTTTTTTTCCAGTATTGCACGTTTAATTGTTTAATGACCTAAGGTTGTAGCATTTTTCTTCTATTTCTGCTCTCAAATACTCATCAGGTTCTTTATAATGTTATATTGATGCCAGGAGTTGTGGCACTAAACTTTTCATCGCTAACCTTACCATTTTCACTCATCGAAGCTTCTGTATTATGCAAAACTTGTTAATTGCCGCCCATTATCTGTTTTGTAAATAATTTTCTGTCAGCTCAATCTAAATACGAGACATTTTTGGCCAAACTGCTCAATTAGCTTTTTGATCAACTCGCTTCCAATGAGACTAGCTCACTATTTTCCTTCCCATTTCGAAAAAAAAAATCGAAAGAAGTTTGGTTTTCCGGCTTGAAAAAAGGGAGATTTTATACGATATCAGGGTTCCTCCAGTCTTTCAACTAGAAATAACGGCTTCCTGCTGCTTTTCAATACTCATTTCAACTCGTTTCTTTTGTATTTTTCGAGATTTTTGCCGTTTTGTGTTGATAAACTCGTTTGAATGTTCCGTCTGAACTTCTGAATTTTCGTTTTTCTTTTCCGTTATTGCGGTTTCATATCTTTTTTTTTTGATTTCGCGTTCAAGAAGAAACGAAGTATGTTTCGAAATACAACCTTTTTTTGTTCTTTTAAAAATTATTTCTCTTTTTTTTATTGCTGATATACTGAAAGTGTTATATTTCTATTCTATCCAAATTTTTCCAGATGAAGCTCCTCACCCACAATTTCATGTCTTCTCGCTTCCTGAAAGGGGTTAATGAAGGCTATCCACTGCGTCTTCACGTAACGAAAATGGAAAATCGCGACGTTGAGTTCAATGCGGAGTTCGTCAAGAATATCATGTCGAAGGTAAATCGGAGATTTCTTAAGGGATCACTTAAGAGTTCCTACATTTTTTTAAACATTCTCAATCTTCTATCAATTTAAGGCAGTTGGGCGTTCAAAAAATCCTGTTTCGCTTGCTCATTTAATAAAAAACTTTCAAAATCTCTTAAATGAATTTTTGATCAATAAGAAACTTTCAGTGCGACTACGGAGCCCTGAGAACAGCTTGCGAGTCGATCAACGAAGCTTCCAAACTGCCGGCAAACCTTCCCGATGACCTGTCTGAACATGACGATATCCTGCGCGAGGTTCTTTTTTCATATATTTGAAATGGGCGATAATTTAATAGATAATGATAATGATTATAATAAGATTATTGAAATGAGGCTTCAGCTTCACCGTGTCTTGTTCTGCATCGAGGTGATCGAGGGTGAACTCGAGTGCCCGGACACCGGCCGCCGTTTCCCCATCCACGACTCGATTCCCAACCTCCTCGTCGAGGATAATGAGGTTGTTGAATTTTCGAACTTTCATTCCACTCAATCAGAAAAGGCCTTGAAAATTATTCAAGAAGTTTGAAACGAGAATTTGAGTAGATTTTAACATACCTTCAAAGTTGTGGATTGACTCCTTTTGAGCTTCAGTCTTTTCAATTTTAAAAACGATTTTTTTTGTTTAAAAAGAAAAATACGCGAATCTAGCAATGAAGAAGAGTAGGTTTTAAAAGGTAACGGTGATTTACGCGCGAATTTAGAATTTTGGGTCATTTGATTCTTTTTTAAGTCCAAATTTCGAGTTTCCCGGGCAAATGTCCCGATCGTCGTTTAGGACCTTATTTTCTAAACCTAATTATCACCACTCTGTTGGTTTGAAACACCGAATTTTTTAGCTCAAAAAAAAGGTAATTTCAGTAGTAGAGCTATTGCGTAACTCTGCTCAACAGGCAAAAAGTGCATAAAATTGCAAAATTCAAAAAAAAATCCGTTAAAATTTTTTTTTTTAGAATCGTGTGTGTAAGATGTATTGAAAGAGAAAGAAGGAGGTTTGAAAAAATCGGTGTTAAGAAAATGATAAATTTTTTCGGTTGTACTGAAGAGAATATAAAGGGAAATTATATTCGATTTGAACGAAACCCCCAGAAAAAAAGTTAGAAAATAACGCCTGATCACACTAGGAACACGACGAAAAAAAGCAAGTTGGAATCGAGAAAAGTTTTCATCCAAAAAATCCTATTTTTTCGTTTTTTTAGTTTCACACTTTTCAGTGAATCACGACCTGTTCATCATGATAATCGTTCTCCACATTCCCCCGAAATTTTCATACCTTGTTCCCCCGAGAATCTGAAGTATTCTTCGTGAGATTATCATATTTTGTACACTTTCTTTGAATCCGTTTTTTGTTGTGATGGCTGTGTGCGCGTTGAAAATGAAAATTTCCAAAAATTGAAGTTTTTATTTCTACAGCTAGACAAAAAAGAGTTTGTTTCAATGACTGTAGAAAGCAAGTCGCCCGTAAAACAGTGGAGAAAGGGAAAAGAAACGGTGGAATTGTGGATTACTGAGCCTTGGCCTTGGTCGGGCTTCGCTTCTTGATGTAGGCGTTGTAGAAGAACTCGGCGAACAGGTACAGGTAGCTTAGGTACATCAAACCGCCGATCGAGAGCACATTCCAGCTGAAATTTTGGATAGTTTGTGTTTTTTTCGACAAATTTCATTGAACGGTTTGAAAGAAATCTTTTGAGAATGCTCTCTAGCTTTTAGGCCAGTCTCTTGATTCTTCTCACCTATTTTTTTTATGTAATTTTTATTTTGAAGCCTTTTTCTTTCTTTCGCCATTAATTCAGTTATTTTTGACCTTTGTGATCCTTCTTGAGTATAATTATGGAGCCTGAAAGAAGGCCCGTAAAAAGAAGTGTAAAATGTTGCAAAAAGTCTACTTCGGGTCAGTTTTTCTCATTTTTGCGTCATTTTATCAGCTGATTTGAACCTTTATCAGTACCGCTTAAGCACGAAACGGCTCAAAAGGGCTGCAAACTTTTAGTGTCATTATTGCTCTTTATTTAGTCACTAAAGCGCGAGGATTGCCGGATTATTCTATTTGGTCTCTTTGTTTGAGCTTGAATCCATTGAAAAGATAGTTGTTGAAGAAAATATTCATTTTTCATGCTCCTTTTTTGCACCTCTTTCAATATGAACTCTTTCCAAGGCTCACCTGACAGCGCAGTCGGGAATGGTGTTGTAAGACTTGATGTAGACGAGATGTCCGAAAATGTAGCACGAGATGACGAACTGGACGAGCTGGATGGTGGTGATGAACTTGGCCACCGGCTTCGGGGTTTGGATGTTGAGGGCTCGGACTCCGAAGTAGCTGGAAGCAGGAGGTTCATGGATTTTTGAAGTTTCGTGTTTCAGAGATGTATTTGGGACATAACTTTAGGAAACGTCATAGAGAAAGCTTCTTTTCTTTGCAACTTCTCAGGAAAAATTTCGGACTTTGGATGGTTTTTCATAGGGATTCCAGCTTTTTTTTTGGTCAAAATAGGAAATACGGCAAGAAAATGTGATTATTCAACTTCTGACACGGCTCTGAGATTTCATAAGACTCCAGAACAGTTGAAAAATATGCATTTCTCGAAAATCAACCATTTTTCAAGCTTTCAAGCAGTTTGAGCAGCGAATAGAGTTACTCAGAATCAGTTTTGATTTTTGAGAAAGTGAGCTGTTTGGGAATTTTTTTCACGTGTTAATGATCCTATCAACACTGCCAGAAAACTGATAAGACTTCAGTTTTTAAAATGTGGCAAAATTGGACTTACCCTGCTTTTTTTTTAACGATTTCTATGAAGAAAGAGCTTCTCAAAAGAGCAAATTTGAGAAAAAATTGAACTTTTTTACATTCAAAAAAAAACTGCCTAGAAGTGGAAAATAAGGAAAAAAGACTCACAAGTACATGATGGTGTGGACGAAAAGGTTGAGAGCGAGGGACCAGCGAGCCCAGGCCTGGTGCTCAGAATAGGTGAGTTGAGCGTAGACGAAGGTGAGCACGTGGTGGTACCAGTGCATGAAGATGACCGGCCGTTTCCTCAGAACCAGGAACATGGTGTCGCCGAGTTCCGGAGCCTTGGACATGACGAACATCCAGCCCCAGAAGCCCGTGGACGGGTTCGTGTAGTAGGTCTCGTTGTTGCAGTAGGAGGCTGCAAATCGGAGGTTTAGTTATGATTGATAAGGTAGCTATCCGGACTCTTCATTTGATCTGAATCTTTGGAAATTTGAGATTTAGATATTATTTATTGGGTAATTGTGCAGGCTAGTCTTGGGCTGACTAGTGAGTTGAAATTCTTTATAGAAGTTATGAAAGGTCCTTGGAAAAAGATAACTTCATTATCTTAATATAACAAGATAACAGGAAGAAGCAGGTTGCAGATGGTCAAATAAGACTTGAAATTTTTTTTTTCGAAAAAAAAGTGTTTGTCGATGGTTTTGCAAAGAGTTGCTACAGAAAAAATGAGTAAAAAGCAATAATCTGATAATTTTCAAGCTTTTACAGACTTATTGAGGATTTTGAGTTGGAAATTTGGATTGGTAGGCAACAGCTCATGCTCAGAAGCTTGGAAAAGTTGCTTCATCGTGCATCGGAACATTTTAGGGGTAGTTATGAATTTTTGGGGTCCAGGAGCATTTTGAGATTGGAAATAATGTTAATAAGAGCTTAATTATGCTCAGGAACTTGAAAAAAACTGGTCTGACCTCAATTTTAGCTTTTTGAGAAAGTTAAGACTTCTTGAATTGGTTTTCAGGAAAAACTTTAACTCGATCTACCAACAAGAGTCTGGGAGGATTTCCAACGAGATAAAATAAATCCAGTGCCCTTGTAATCCAAGTTAAAGTCTGAAATAAATAACTAACCAACGAAGCCATCCTTCCGGAAAACGGAGACGAGCTCAGGGATGAGCTTGTAGGCGGCGATACCCGAGAAAAGCGAGAAGGCAAAGTTCCAGACGGCCAACGTGCCGTTCAGCTCCAACGGCTTGACTCGACTCATGAACTTCTGGCCGAGGAAGATCAGCACCAGGTAGGCGACCGCGATCTGACACATCCAAGGTCTTCCAGGTCCCATAAAAAAGTCCTAACCTTGTAGGAGAGGGGCACCCATTCGGACATGAAGGAGTCGGTCTTGGCGAGGTCCCATTTGCCGAGGAAGACGTCGGTGAAGGAAGCCTGTGTGTTGGCCGTCGTCGCCATGTTTGTTACCTTAATTTGGTCGAAATTCGTATGTAGTTTGATCAGTGCTGGTGAGGGACAAAGGCGAGATATTGTTGGAAAATAGGGGGTTTAGAGTTTGGATTTTAAAATGGGGACTAAATTTTATTCTTTTTAGCTTCACTTTTTGTGAGATTCAAAAGTTCTCTGGCTGATGAATAAAAGGGTCTTGAAGCGATGAAACAAGAGTCTAGTTTTTAATCTTGACAAGTTAGCCACGAAATATTGAATTGAAACAAAGACGAAATTTGATGAGTTCAGATGATTTATTAATTTATGAGTTCTGAATAGAAAGTTTGAAGAAATCTTCTTGAACGTCCAAACTTGGATTTATTTACAAAAGGAGACCTTTACCTGACTTTTGAGAGGTAGAAAACGACTTAGAGCTCAAAAAATCTGGTTTTTAGAAGATTCGAAGCGGTTAGGTTAAATTAAAAAGTTGAAAATAAGAGACTTCCATTTGTGAAGCCATTTGTGACTGAATAATCGTAAAATCACCTTAAATAGAACTCAAGAATAAACTAAAGAAGGATAAGGAACCCCTGAAGGCTATTCCTAACCAAAACCCAGAAACTTCCAGTCAAACTTCAAAAAAGCACCATCGGCAGCAAAGCTAAAACTGTTTTCCTCCGATGGTTTTATATGGAAATTCCAAGCCTAAGAAGCCCCATCACGCCATTTTCTCGGCTATGGTGATAGTAGAACATGTGCGTCGAGACGGTTTCTTATCTCTCAACCATCATTTTTCGCCCTTTTTTCACGGGGGTAGTTCCTAAACAACCATTTTTTCCGTTGCAAATTACGGCTAGAAGTTCAGAGAATGAGCAAATTTTTGAGGAAAGAGAGAAAGTTCATGCTAATAATGTCACTAAATCATTAGTTTATTATATTAGATCAGAAAAAGCTCGGTTTAAAACTGGATGGATCGAGGAAAAAATAAGTCAAACCTCAAAAAAAAACTTGATTCACCGCTACCTTGATACTTAAAAGAACAAAAAAAAACCGAAAATGGGTCCTGAAACGATGAAAAAAGGCGAGAGGACATTGAAAATTAGGTTTTTGAGATAACGAATTTCAAAAATCTTTTTAGAACGCTTTTCAGAGTACTTTTTCGCAGTTTCTTGATAATGCTAACTCAAAATAATCAACTAAGGTATCTTTCATAAGTTCAAAAGCATACCAGAATTATTTCTAATCAAATAAAAGTATTTGAAGCCCTAAACTCAATAGACAATCGAAAGGTTGACCAGAATGGCTTAGCCGAGTGGGATGACTATTTGCTTTGTCTGGCCAAACTCTCCTAAGTGTTTTCCTATGACTTGCCCTCTTGATTAATTTTTTCTCAATTACCTTCAAATCATATTTCGAAAAGACAAGGTATGAAAGAAGCAAAATTTGGAGAGAAATGATGGGAAAGAAGCAAAAAATCTGGGCGAAAAATGGCTGAGCCATAACTCCCTAGTGTATTCTGTAGATCTTTCCACTTCTCTCTTCATTTTTTGAAGATTTTGAATTTTTAGAGAACCTCGAAGAATCAAACCAACCTGGAGGAAATTGACTTTAAAGTCGAAGATTATCAAAAAAACGACGTCAAAAAAATTGATAAAAAGATTAATTAATTTAAAAAAACTCTTTTTCTCACAAATCCAACACTTACGCCGTAAGCAGACTAAATTACATGATAAAGGAGACATTTTTCGCATTTTAATATAAAAAAAAACATTATTTCGTTTATAAATCATCAAATTCCTACAAAAAGAATTTTGGGAACCTTCTTACAGGGTTTCAAAAGAGTGGTCCACGAAATTAGAAAAAAATTCTTTGAGAAGAGAGTTGGGGCTTCGAAAAATGTTGCATTTGAAGTTCAAAAAAATCATCTATTTTTTTCCAAAAAAATCTTCAAGTTATTAGTTGAACAAGACAAAAAGAGGCACCTAATTTGTGAGATTCCAGAAAAAAATTGTTCATTTCATTTTTAAGTCTTTCATTTTTAATGAAACCATTCCTCATGCAAAAAAAAGATTGGAGCATCTGAACGTCTTTTCTCAAAACTCAGGTGGTTCAAAATCAAAAAATCGTCCGACTCAATGAGGAAAATGAAAGTCTCATGATAGAAAGATGAACTGCTGGATTGATGAAATGAGATCAAAGGATGAACTTTTTGAAGGAGAAACGCTTCGAAATGGAAAACGGAGCAGAAGGAAAAAGGTCGCTCTTCGCTTTCTGTCGAGGTCGTCGAGGTCTCTCCGGGTGGAGTTCTCTCTGAGCTGAGCGTTCTTTCCTCTCCTCGCCTCCCCCCTACCGATTCTGTACACTCTCTCATCGATGGTGAGTTCTCCAGAAGTCGGATTTTGTCCTCCCATCTACTCCAAACTACAACAAAGGGCAGATATTCTGCAAAAACAGTGGAAAAATAAACAAAAAATAAATTTGCAAACAGCTGGCCGAAGGGCAAGTCCAAAGGTGCCTGCGGAAGAAATGGCGCGATTTTTTCTCTTTTGAATGGTCTGATCGAGGCAAAATTACGGCAGACGAGAGAGAAATAAGAGAGGCTTTGTTTGAGGGAAACAGAATCTGGAGACATTTTGAAGATTAATATTTCACAAAATCGCCTTTATCTTTTTGTAGCTTGAAGTTTTCATTGAAGTTGTAGTGATTTTTGTGGAATTTTTTTGGAGAAACTTGGGCCTTTTTCCACTTTTTTCGAATAGAGCTGTTCTTCTAGTTATAAGCAGTTATTTTGAGAATAGTTTATTCGAAAAACCATATTTGGAAGAAAAAGCTTATAGAAATTTATTCAAAATAGACCAAAAAAAGGAGAATTTCGTCTCTTTTAAGTCCTTTTTTTATAATTCCTTTTTTTGAAAAACGTGCTTTGCCTGAGCCTTCAACTGAAGCTTTAGTTTAAAAAACCTTCTAGGTCTTGTTCAACAAAAATTTTTTTGCCCCCCCCATTATTGAGCTTTTTTTTAAAGTCTCTTTAAAAATCAGCTAATGAAAATCCATCAATTTTTATTTTAATATTCAGCTTCGTCGCCAATCTTTATGGATTCCTAGGAATCGAAAGTTTATTTCCTTAAGACAAGGAAATCAGATGTCATCTCGAAAAGAGTGATAAAAAAATCGACTTCGACCCTATTTACTGCTTAATTGATAAGATTGAAAAATATTCTATCGTGTTTTGCTCGCGTCTAACAGCTGGCAAATGTTCGAGTGGTTTCAGAACTCGAAAAATTAATAGTCTTCAATAAAAATCTTTTTGGGGCTGTTTAATTTTTTTAGAAATTTGAATGACCTGAAATTATACAGGAAAAACCCTTTTCTTTTTTTTTAAAAATCACTTTTTAAAAATTATGAAAGATTTTAAAAAAATACTATTGAAACGTTCATAAACTCAATAATATATTCAAAAAAATATTGAAGGAGGTAAACATCTATTTTAAAAAGGAACCAAAAAAATCATCCTCTTGAGATTTTTTTCGGATCATTATTCAAGTTTGTGAAGAGCAAAAACAGTATTTATTGAATAAAAAAATGGAATAAATTATATAAATACACGTTATTTTCGAAGTTTCATCCACGCGCCGCTCCACAATCGCCCCAACTGCACAGGACGCCGGTTCGGGTTCCGATGGAGAGTCCGTCGCTCAGAATCTGAACGAATACCAGTGAAAAATGATCAGGAAGACACTATACTCCATTCAGAGCTTGCTCGAGTCAAAATTCGAAATTTAGGTAAATTTCAAAGCAAAAGATCTCGACAAGGTAGGTAAAATAGAGTGTGAACCGTAGAGGTTTAGACACAGCCAACTAAGGTTTCTTTGTGGGAATTTCCAAACTTTCTATTTTTTCGATAACTGACGGAAAGTCTAAAGAAAGATTCCGGATATCGTGTTTCTGCGCAAAATTTTAGTTTTAACAATGAACACTATTTTAAAGCTTTCAATTTTGCCAAAGATTATTTGAATCAACAAAGAAAGGTTCCTGAGTACCTGCGCAAAATTTTAATTTAATGAACGTGAATTTTTTAAACTTTGAAATCAAAAAGATTCACAGTTATACATCTCCAAAATTCAACCTATTTCAAAGTAAAGAATATATCCAGAAGTTTTCATATAGTCCGTAAGCGATGTTCTCAGCTTTACGAACTTTATAAGTACTTCGCAACTTTTTTTCTGTCATTTTTTGTGCTTTCGTGGTTTTCCTGTAACCAAGTCTAGCTTTGCATTGGCTTTACTGACCACATATTCCATAAATCCAAGGCCTTCGAGGAACGTCGATGATCTGGCGTACGGTTTGACTCCGGTTGTCGGGCACTCTTTGAAGACCTAAACCAATAATTTTTGAGAGGGATGTATTATTGAGAACTAAGAAAAGTTATTTAAACTAATCGCTCTCTAAGAAAAGTTTTGATAATTGTGAAAATTTAAGAAATGTCCTGAAGTTATAAGATACGGAACCTTTAAAACTTGGGAGCGTCAGAGTGATCCCTAGAGTGGAACCTTAGGTGCACATGAAGGTTCCCCTCCAGGGATCTCCTTAAAACAAGCTGTTGGCCCATATGTAAATTTTTAATTCGTCTTTTTATCTTTTAAATCATAGAAAAAATTAATATAGGGACCACTTTAGAAGTCAGACCCTATACCTCTATAAGGCCACCTTTAGCCCTCATAGACTATGGAGCACTATTTCGTCCCCTACCCGGGCTTTTTTCCCTAACCGCTCTAGGGACCACTCTGGCGTCCCTAAGAAAACATTTTGGGACATTTTCAATCTCCGCTGACTCGATAAATGCTCAATTTAACACGAAATATGGAGGTTAGTTTCAGATATCTTCAATCTCTCAGTTATTTGAGTTTTTTTCACGAACCTCAACAATCGTCGGCTTCATATTGCAGATCAGTCCTTTCATGCGCAATTTCAACGTTTTTCCATCTTCGTGGAACTCGTATCTGAAATTTTGCAATGTTTACTGGAACATATAAAGAAACTCTGAGTTTACAAAAATTTTTGTTCATTTTTCAAACTTTTGCGACATCGTTTCAAGAGAGTTGAACTGGTTAACTTGAGAGAATCATGTTCAAAAAAACAACCAAGCTTTGTGAATTGAAAATAATTTTTAATGCTCGTGTTTCTGTAAACTTATGTTTTTGCACACTAACGTTCAATGACTCTTTTCTTGAAAATTCGAAGTTTTTCCGAGTTTTTCCGACAAATCATAGTTTGAAGATTAAGGCCAAAGTAAGAATTTTTCGTTTTTTATCTTTCACGGAGTTTTTTTGGCGACGGCCCGCTCATATTTTTCCGTAAAGTATAGTGTGTCGTGTTCATACACTGCGGCGCTCCGGCACACGCCTGGTTTCAACGTAATATTTTTTTAACTTTTTTTAAAAAATTTTTTTTCCCCAATTATTACCTTTCTGATAAGATCAACAAAAATCTATTCTAGTTTGAAAAACCGCTGAGAGAGGGTAGCCTAGAATCACAAATTGAGTCCAAAATATGTCAAAAAAAGTTGCAGATAAAAAGTTTGATGAGACGAAAGTATATGCGGAAATTGAGAATTTCGAAAAGGAAAAAGAACAATACAAAAAAGCGAAACTAACACGTCGCTTTTAGTTTCGTTGAACCAGGTGACCTGGACGTAGGTGTCGTACCAGGTCTGCGTCGTCAGTCGCATCTCGATGTCGCAAGCAAAAACGGCCACGGCCATCAAACTCGCTGCTAGAATGGCGTGGAGCGCGTTCATTTTCGATCTTTAAAATGATGATAATAGAAAAAAAAAACAAAAACAAACAATTTGATTATAGACGAAAAAACTTTTCTGAAATACCGACCGCTTCAAAAATATGTGAAGTTGAAGCGATAATTTCAAAAATGAAGCATTTTGAAGAAGAACAGCCATTTTCTACGTTAGCTATGGATATTCAAGAGTTAATCGCTTTTAAAAGTTTTAAATACTTTAAAAGGATTTGCGGTGAATGAAGTATATCACATAAATTTTGAGAAACCATGAAGAAAGAAAAGTTTCAGAAACGAAATGAAACTAAAGAGGACGCTGGAATCGGAATCGAGGGCATGCTGATCGGTCAGTCCAACCGTTCTCCAGGTCGATTTTTCCGTTGATTTGTGGCGATTCTGCCTATCAAGGGCATCCGTGACACGCGAGAAATTATGACTCGATTTGAATAGTTAATTTTGAGCTTTAAGAATAAGATATCTTCCGTTTCGAGCTCAAAAAATGCGATGTAAAAATAAAAAAACGAAGAAGTCAAAACGTTTTTTTAATATCTTTTTTTATAAATTTCTATTTTTTTGTTTTAGTAAATTCACAAGGGCTTTTGGAAACTAAAAAGTATTCTGTGGCTGAAAAAAATTTTAAAAAAAGATCTTGTATTAAATGAATTTCAATTTTTTTGCCTCCCACGCTCCTTTTTGACATGAAAGAAAGTGGTTAAAAAGTCAATTATTTTTCTCAATTATTTATATAAGTTTTTACAATATAAGTTTTTTTATAGACGCTGAAAAATCGCTACCATTTTTTTCATGGAAAAAAACCGTGTGCAAAAAAATTCCTCCAGATTTACGGATAAAAAGTTTTTTTTATTTGACCTGAAAAATTTGAAACTAAAAATTAAAAAAAGTAGTAAATTTATCCACTTCCAAAAAAACTATAATTCCTACGTTCAGAGTTTAAATCTCAAGCAGGAAAGCTGGAAAACCAGCTCCGGGCAATCCAGTTACTCGAAAAACCGGACATTTTGCCGGTGAAAGGTCAGAAAAAGGCGATTTGGCTCTCGAGACAGGCGGCCGTTCATAATTGGACGCGTCTTCGGGAACTCCTTGTTTCACTTTCCTCCCTTCCTTGGGCTTTTCCTTCATTTTCGCTTTTTCTTGTGCATTTGTGATTTTCAGATTTGTATGAGAACGGCTCTGCCAGCAGGGCTGCTACTGGTCCTGTTCCCGATCTTGACCTCGGGACTCAAAGTGCTTCTTTTTGTCCCGACCTTGTCCCACAGTCATGTCTCTTTCAATGTGAGACTTGGAGAGTCTTTGGCCAGGAAAGGACATCAAGTGGTTGGTTCTCAGGAAGTTTCTCATAGAACAGAAAAATTCAGACTTTGCTACAAGCTCTCGTGGATGACAGCGTTCATGTCGGCAATTCATCAAACGTCGAGGTTATATAATTTCCTAAAGATTTTCTCACCATAATCTCTAATCCGGACTATCTATAATTTTTCAAGATGCTGCGGAAAAACGTCGGCGTGGCGAGTGGAACTCTCCGCGACACTCTTTGGAGCAATCCTGGTCCCTATGAAGACAGTTCTCCCCTCAATCCGATCATTTTCCGAAAATTCCTGAGAGTTTCTTCGGTTTTCGTTGTTGCTTGTAGAGGTTCGGCTTATACAATCTGTGTGCCACGACTTGAAATTTCACCGAACGACACTCCGCGGTTCCGCTGCGCGCCTTTGCGAACCTTGGTCGCGCTTTTAATTTTTTTTTTAATAAGGTACTCTACTACATGTGATCTCACAGCAATAACAATCCATTAAAAGAGTGACCTAGATTCGAAAGACGCTTCGCGAACGCACGCAGTGGAACAGCGGAATGCCGTTTCGTGAAATTTCAAGTCGTGGCACTCAGACTATACTATATCCTGAATTCTGACTTCTCTGCGTTCTGTTTTCCCTAGCAGATGTTTTTTAATCCTTGTATGCCCTCGCTGCTGAGGGAAAAGAGACGCAGACAGGTCAGACTATTTCAAGTAATTTTTTTTCAAAAAATGTCGGTTTTTCCAGAACTCGTCGAGGATGTCGAGTTCTTGAGGACTTTGGCTTCTTATGAGTTTGACGTCGGCTTGGTCGAACAGTATGACTCGTGCGGGTTTGTGTTGTCTTTTCTTTTTCGTTTTTCAAGTTTAAAAAATCAATTTCTCAGAAACCTCCGGGACGAGTCCGGTTTGCGTTAACAAGATCCGAGTAGATCAGTGTGAACCTTAAAGATTTCACTTTGATCATAAATTTCGGGAAAAAAAACAGAAAAAAAAAATTGGAAAATCAAGTCAGTTTGATTTGAAAGTAAAGTGACCAGTGACCATTCTATGCACTTGGGTGATGGCTGGATTGAAATTGGGTAGTAAGTTTGTTTCAAACAGGAGTTGCTTCGAACAAAAAGTTATTGAAAACCGTAGTCGCATTGAAAATAGAAAAGTACATGCATTTTTTGAAGGTTCGGCTTGTTCAAAAAGCTGAAAGTCCCAGCGACAGTGTGGCTGAGTGCAACGGCCATTTTCCGGCCCCAGACCACCGCCATGGGTGTCGATTTACCCTTCAGCTACGTTCCTGGTACTTTTTGTGTTTTTTTTTCGGTAGAAGAACTTCAAATTTCAGAACTATTCGCTTCATTCAGCGACGAAATGAGTCTTCTTCAAAGGGTTGAATAATAAAGTTTTGCTTTACTTATGAAATTTTTTTTTAAGACGCAAAATTTGCTCATCGGGACGGTGACCAACTTTGCTTTTTCGTTCTTCTCCAGAGCGCGACAGTCGGCTCTGTTTGGAACTGGTAATTTTTTTCAAATATTCTTTATCAACTATGAAAGTTTGAAGCTAATTACATAACAAAAAAGATATTTTAATGTTTGAAAACATTGGGTCTGAAGCAAAGAGTTTCTAGATTTTACAACTTCTACTCTCCTCCAGGAGCTTGGTTCTTCAAAAAAAAAAAGTTTTTTCAAAGGAATCGCTTTGTTATCGAACTATGCTCGTTTTGAAGAACATGCCATCTTCTTCAGACCTACTAGCCGAGTCGAGACGATCCTCTTCAGTTTTTGTCAACTCGGCCCCCTCCTTCGACTACAGCGCACCTTTGTCGACGGAAATCGAGCATATTGGAGCGGTGACAGTGGATCGGAGTTCAGAGCCTCTTTCCTACGTGAGAAAGTTTTTCTAGACGACTTTAGCTGAGGGCGGCTGAACAGAAATGCATATTTTTGGGGTGAATTAAGTTGCATAGTTCGTGAAAAGTAGAAGTTCAGACGATTCTGTCGTGTTTTTACAAGTCTAGCGGTACTTTTGACTACAAATTTTTCTCAGTTCTGGCAACAAGTGGCCGATTCGAGTCGTCACGGCTTCGTTATCGTCAGCTTCGGAGGAATCGCCCGAACTGTCGATATGCCTTCAATTATGCAGGTTCTTCTTCAGCTTTCTTTGTTACTCTGTGTCTGCAAATCATAAGCTTTGAAAGCGGTTTCAGATTAGCTTCAAATTATAACTTTAGAAAAAAAAAATCCAATCTAGCCTTCCCACTATGAAAAAAATGTAGCTATTGAAAGTGATGCTCAATTTTTTCGAGGTGGACTATTTCTACCTTTCAAAAACGAGTTTCATCGGAAAATAATAATTTTTTCAACTTTACGGAGCCCTAAGTTTTTCTCAAAGACCTCCTTGGCTACCCTGACAATTTTAAATCTCGAATTCGGAATAAACATGGGAAACTGCATCTAAGTTGGATCTCGCCTGGTTAGCACATCTAAAATGACCTGAAAATCTTGGCTTCTCTGCGCCTTTCTCTCTCTTACGTTTCAGTACTGTTTTTTACATAATTATGATGATGAGAGAGAAGAGGGCGCAGAAAGGTCAGGTTGGTTCAAATCAGAAAAAACCATCTTCTTTCAAGGCAACTTTTAACCGTTTGTAATGGTTGTTTATATCTCATTGTGTTAAGTGAACATGTGCTCTTGAGTGACGAATGCCTGTGGGCGTTCGCCCCAACTTTCTTGACAACATCACTCTGGCGTAGCGCACTGCTAGCGTGCGCTACGGAATAAAGACTTATATGCCGAGTCGGGCTTGCTCCCAAAGGAAGAATGGAATGATGCCGAGGAACATCATTTTATCCATTTCATGGAGGTCCCGGGAACTTCCGCCATGTACCATCCGGCGGAAGATCTACTCCAGTCTTCCTCATATTCCATCTAAGAAAGCTACCTCTACTCCTTGATTCGCTACCAGTCCATTCAACAACTACTTCGATGATATTAACTGTCGCTCGTTCTTCTGTGGCTTATTGCGAGACCTCTACGAAGTAGCACTCGAGCAGATGAAGAACAACTGTCTTGCGGTTCGCTGGGTTACGCAAGTAAAACTTTTTCTGCTTGAATTATATATCTCTGATGTGCTTTATTTAAATTCGTTTTCTAGGGATACACAAACAACAATACATGATTCTCAAACTTATTACATTTGTGGTGTGATGTAATGGTTTATTAATTGTTCGGTAAGCGTGGCTGTTCAAATAAGAATTTCGGATGTTGTTGATTAATTTGCATTTTGACAGTTAGTGTGGTCTGTTAAAGTATGAATTCGTATCACTAAGATGTTGTATTTTGTAAGACCTCCATCAGAGATTTTTCCACTCAAAATTATAATTTCTATCCTTTTCAAATCGAAGTAGCGAGTCAATTGTTGAGCACCGAACTCAGGCATTCAGAGTCCGGCATTTATTCCATCTTGTCTTTATTTCACATGTTCACTTGGACAACCATTCTCCCATTTCAACGAAGTCTCGGGACGAGACTTTCGGCGAACGGGGGGATGTGATAGTCCTCTTCTATATTTCCCAATAGTATTGAAATGTTAGGTATCTCCCTTTTATCCTTCTTTTCCTATGTCTCTCCATAACTTTTTTCAATTCGCTCTTAATATCTTACATTTTTTTCCTTTGCTTCGGGGACGAAGCATCTTCCGTAATCGGAGGGGATGTAATGGTTGTTTATATCTCATTGTGTTAAGTGAACATGTGCTCTTGAGTGACGAATGCCTGTGGGCGTTCGCCCCAACTTTCTTGACAACATCACTCTGGCGTAGCGCACTGCTAGCGTGCGCTACGGAATAAAGACTTATATGCCGAGTCGGGCTTGCTCCCAAAGGAAGAATGGAATGATGCCGAGGAACATCATTTTATCCATTTCACGTTCTAAAGAAAAATAAAGCTCTCAAGGCAAGTTAGCTTGAAAAAAATACCGGATTCTATAGATTTTTCCTATTGAAACCTGTCTTTAGAAAATATTGTTCTCCTCCTTCGCCCGATTCGCGCAAGTCACGTTCATCGTCAAATTTGAAAGCTCCAACACAACTTTTGCGTTGCACGACAACGTGGTGACGGCCGCATGGATCCCGCAACTCCAACTCATGCGTAATAATTAATGAAGCAAGATTTCCAAGTAGAACTCTCCGCAGAGCATGAGAACTACCGAGCAATCTTCACGCACGGAGGCTGGAGCAGCATTTTGGAGACGGTGATGCATGGACGGCCCATGATTCTGATGCCGTTGTTCGCAGGTTGGAGTGGAGTTTTTTCAATTGTTTTTTTAGACTGTTGCGTTTTTATCAGAATCGATCTTCAAAAAAAAAAAAAATGAATATCATTGTTTGGCTCAGATCACGCCAAGAACGCCAGAGTTGCTGAATCGAAAGGTGTGGCTGTGGTTCTGGACAAAATGAGGCTTAATCAGAAGACCATCATAGAGGCTCTTCATCGGATTCTATTCGAAGAGAGGTTAGTCAAGGATCTATCGCGGATTTTTCAATTTTCTTCTGAGCTGCCAAGTTTCCATGATTTGATTCCCAGCAGGATCGATTTACAAAAAAACTTGGTGGTATGAAAAAAACACCAGCGAAAATTCAAATGGCGACTTTTCCGATTTTTTCATATCGCTAGGGAACTTTCCGACGACCACCTTTCCGACGAATCCCTTTTCGACTTTTTCTGGATAAAATATTCGTTTTAAATTTCCTATATAAAGTAGGTAGTTGGTTCATGATTAAAAACACAAAAAAATAGGGTAATAAAAATATGTAAATAGATGTCTTATAAACCGAAAAAAATATAAGGGAAAAAAAGTCGGAAAAAAATTTTCGTCGGAAAGGTGGCCGTCGGAAAGTTCCCTAGCGATATGAAAAAAATCGGAAAAAGTCGCCGTTTGAATTTTCGCTGGTGTTTTTTTCATACCACCAAAAAACTTGATAATGAGAAAAATTATAACCGACTTACCCGTTGAAAAATTTGAAAAATTTTGGAGATAGGATAATTTATTTTAACTACAGCCAAGTTGAGGAAATGTCTTACCGTTTTTTGTTCCACCCGTCATTTAAAAGTCTGAAATGGGTTTGGATCAACAATTCTTGATATTTCCTAGACTCACAGTTCAAATACAACTCAAAAAAATTTTCAATATTATCAAAAAGTTTCCGTTTTTAGCTACACAAGGAACGCTGAGAAACACAGCAAAATGCTGTCCGACCGGCCAGTTTCCTACGACGATTCAATCGGATTTCGTGTCAGGACCGCCGTCAAGAATTCTTTCCAACGATTCCGCAAGAAATACGGCCTCGCACAACGACAGAATCGTTATTCCATTGTTTCTCCTGGTTCTGCTGAGTTGTTAGCTCTTTTTGCCATTTTCATCTTTATTTCTTCCCATTAATCAGTTTTTTTCTTCGTAGAATTTACTCACAGATCTCATTCTTCGTCCTTGTTTCCTTTGTTATTTTTTAAATTAATAATTGTACAGAACTTTGTTTCATAATGAAAAAAAGAAAATCAAATCCGGACATTGGTTCTGCGTCTACCGCAAGTGTTACGTGTAGAAACCGTTATCACTGTTTTTATCAGTTGTCCTCTTCTACGGAGCTGCCGCGTTCGGACAACGACTCCTTAACGCAGAACCCATGAACTTATTTCTGGTGTTTATCGTCAGTTTAGTCGTGACAGGTGATTTATCTTAAATTTTGAAGCTTATACACCTTAAGGTATTGTGCAAGCTCCCCTATTTGTTATTAAAAACAAACTTGTGAGGTTTTCATCGCTTATTACTTTCGCCTTCTCACGTATCCCTCAAATTTGTCTCTGAATTTCGTTTTTTTTTTTTCACCAATGAATTAAGATTTTTGAATGAAATTTTTTTTATTAATTTAAGACTTGGAATCTGACAGCTTATCAAAGCTTTTCATGAACTTTTTTATATTTTATGAAAATTTGAAGCGTGGTTCAAGATTTTATTTGAATAAATTTTGGAAATTTGACAGATTTTCAAGGTTGTAATTTTTTGCGCGGGTGGGTGCAGGATTGCGTCGTTCTGCAACTTAGTGTATTTTAACCTCGGATTGAAACTTTCGATTCAAAATACCTTTTTCTTTTGATTTTTTTTCAAAGCATATCATCAAAATGAAAATAAGTATTGTTCCTTTGTTATTAATTTGCTATGAAGTAGTTGACAAATGATGAAAAAATTAAAAAAAAAACGTTAGAAAATGGATAGCTTCAAAACAGATCCGTTCAGAAAAATGTCACGCAGCAGCACACGAGCCGTTTTCGAAGCCGGTAGATGTGTCTCCGGAAAATATGAGAAAGACTGTGCCTATCGATGAGAACAAAACAAGGTGTCATTTTATTTATTTATTTACTTTGTCCCACTTATGCACAAATATACTGTACAGAAAAGAGATTATTTGAGTGGGAAGATCCTATTTTAAAAGGATAAATTCAGACTTTTAATCGTGGACTACTCGTTCCGAGCCGAATCTGTGATCTACGACGTTCTGGATCACAAAGAAGACAGTCCTTCTAAGGTCATTTCTGGGAATTTCTCATTTGAAACGCTGCACCATGACATGGAGGGCAGTATGTTGGCGAGGATATCGGTTGATTTTTTGATTTTTTCAGTAGATAACTAAATTTTTTGAGCTTACTCAATGCAACACTGGGAATTGCGGAACGGTTCCACCTGTTTTTGTATCCTTTCGGCAAGGAGGCAACAACGTTGAAGAAGTTTTGGTCGACCTGAGGTTGGTTGATTGGTTCAATCGATAGATATGCCGCTGATTCAAATCCGTGTTAGTTCTTCTTAAGACGACTTGAGAGAAAAAAAAAGTGAAAAATTTTAGTTTGAGTTTTTTCGACATACTTTTTCACTCATCAATCGAACAATTCCGCATCAGAGTATACCACAGCGTTTTTTTGATGACGCCCCGCTCATATTTTTACATTTTGTTTCGTATAATGTAGTGTGTCGTGTGCATGCATCGCGGCGCTCTCGCACATGCAACGCTCAAAGTAATTTTCGCGAAATTAAAAATCATATCTGAATTTCTGAAATTCAATTATATTTTCTCACTCTCTGGTGGCTATTTTGAATTTTGCGGAATTACTTTCAACCCGGAATGTGTTGATTCAAAAATTAAAAAAAATTAAACAGAAAAAGCGCGTTTTTTTTTGAAGGAGAAATAGATTCGTCTCATGACCTATTGATGATTAATATTACCTGTTGTTTACGCTCAGAGACTACAAAGACTACAAACCGACGTGGAACTTTATTTACGGAATCATCAACACGATTTACACCCCTGCAGAGTACGGCGAAGGAGATGAACAAGTCGTCGTGAGTCAATCCGAATTCTCGACCCTTTCCATGTCTGAAATGTTCAGAACACTGTTTATGGCAGATGTCGGACACAGTTCGGCCGTCCTGAGGACAAAAGGTTCCGTCGCAAAATCAACACTTGCCAGTTGGGCTATAATCAGTTGAGAGCTCTTGGAAAAATTCAACCAGTGGGCATTTTTCAGAAATTTCACTCGTTTCCAAGGTCTAGAAGTAGTTGATTACGACCAGGATGTATGGTACACGTGGGTTTTGATTTTTTTTGTTTTCTCTCTTGGATCGCCAAAGTGGTCCCTGAAGTGGTTACTTTGTAGTTTCTCCCCAAGAAACGATCTTACCTCTCCCTAAAAGGGGCGTTAGAATCGTAAAAGTGACCACTAAAGGGGCCACTCTAGACGAGCATGTGAGTCGTTTATTGGCATGAACTCTATGAGAATAAATGTTCAAGGGGAAAGTTTTAATTAGCTGGGAAAACTTTTAGTGGCCCCTATAGAGGCTTCTCAAGGACTACTTGGAGAAGGCACTAAAGTGGCCACTATAAAGGCTTTCTGTTTAGCGGCCATTTCAGTAGTTTTTTATCCAGTATTCCTTCCAGTAACTCTGATGATTTCAAAACAAAGATTGGACTAGTTATGTTGACCTACTGACCCCTAAAGTGACCACTACTGTTTTTAGTGGTCTAGTAGTAGCACTTAGACCTCTATAGCGGCCACTAAATTTTAACCCCCTAGGTAGCCACTAATTTGACTATTATAGTGGCCACTAAAACGTCGAAACCTTATAGTGGCCACTAACAATTTTCCTAGTGAAAATTGATTTTGCGATGGAACTCTTATCAATTATCTTCTTCTTCTTCTTCTTCTTCCTACGCCTTTGTACCGCTTGAGCGGCGTCGGCGCCCCAAGTCGATTAGCCGAGGTCCTATCCTGATGATAATCAGTGGACTGGCTCCAGTGACATATCCGTCCTTGTGTGTGACGGCTGGGGATTTTGAAGTCGTGGTTTCCCACTACCAACATTTCTTAAACCCCTTGGTTGGGTCGGGGCGGGGATCGAACTTGTGACCCTGTGGACCGTAGACAGGCACACAACCTGTTGCGCTACGGCGCGCCCCTGAACTCTTATCAATTATGAAACTTAGAATTTCTCAGTGAAAGATTTTCAGACAAAACACGAAAGTCGACGCTGATATAGTCATGATTGACGCCATCGAATCTTTGTCCTTCCGGACTCCTTTTGAAGGAAACCATGGCTTCCAAGTTGAAAGCAGGTTTGAAGGAGAAGATCCTTGTTTCTTGTAAAAGTTTTCTATCGGGGTGTTTATTCATCTTGGAATTTATGAAAATATAATTCTGCGAGTTCATCTCAAAAATCCTTGTGTTTCTTGAAAAAATTCGAGAATTTCAAACATGCAGCCGATCTAGTTGAAAACGGTTTCACGGTCCTTCTGCGCATAGTTAATCCAGTTAAGCCTTGAAGAGCTCACAATGTAGCGAATACTGTAGCTGGAGCTCTTAGACCTTCTTGGTTCAAGCTTCGAATGAGAGGGGGGGATTGTTCAAGCTTTATAATTGAAGAAGCCAATTACAGAAGTCTTCTGACGGATTTATGAATATTTTCAGAACCCACGTTGAAATCACCAACCGAACGAGACTTTTCGTCGACAAGCACTGTCCCACGGAAACCACCGCCGCCGAATGCGCCAGGTCTAAATTCGGAGCCACGACCGTCGGAATGAAGCTCTACGAACACGTCAAGTTCGCCCAAGATCCCTCAAAGGGAAAAGTAATTTCATTGAAATATTCCCGCTCAACGTAATCTCCTTGAAGTTGACCAATCTTCTGGAAAAGTACCGCGAGCATCTGCACGACATGGGCGACGCTCACATGTGCGAAGATCATTCTTCTCTTTTCGCCGACATCGTTCAGGCAGCTCGGACAGCTCCACGGGAAGAGTGGGAGCACGTCATCAGGAAGCCAGAGAATGAGCCTATCTTGTGAATAATCCTAATTTTTGATAATGTCTTTTAAAAGTTCTTTGATAGAGTTCGGGGAAAGTACTCAGAAACTCGTTTTTGGTGTTGATTTTGGTCACGCATGCGTCTTCAAAAACTCCTGAAAATATGATTTTCCGAATTTTCGCTCATTCAAGATAGCTTCTGCGTTTTTCAATAGTCTTCTCTTCGAAAAAAAAGAGAGCTATAGCTGATTTTTTTAATTCATCTAGTTTGAGTTTTTTTTTTAGGAAAAATTCCTCTTTCATGTTTTTTTCTGACCGCTCTGACTCTGTCCCAGCAGAGTGTCGTTCGGAAATTTGAAGCGATTTTTTATTTGAATAGTTTAGGATTTTTTTCTTGTTTTTTTGATTGCCTTTTTGGAAAAAAATGCCCACGTATCAAAAAAAGATGATTTTGGAAGTAGTAAAGGCATAGTAGGAAAAATTTTTTTTTGTCGTTAGTTTTTGATTTTTTTAGTTTTTCCACTCAAATTCAAATGTTTGAAAAAAATTTTTTTATTTGCTTTTGAAACCCGTTTCTGAAACAACCAGATTAGCCATTATTATCCTTATTCTTTATAAATATCGCTTGAAGCCGATAAGCGAAATTGAATTAATTTTTTTTAGATATTTCAAAATAACTTTGCGTTAAATTTGAGAAGAAAAATAACCTCATCCATTTCAGACCTCTGATTTCGAACGCTCTCGGAGGCGTCGGTGACGTCATTTCTGTCCAAATTGCTCGTGAAGTTCTCCTCGTCGAGGCTCCAGACGCCCTGGACGACTTCCTTTTTGGCGTCGCTCATTCATCTTCCATCAATGAGAAGTGGCACAAACAGCTAATGGTCTGGAAAATGAGTAAATCGAAAAATAAAAGGGAATTTCAGTACTGGCTCGCGGCGCTCGAAGAAAATGGGGAAGAGTATTGGAAAGTGGCCAATACTCTGGCGACAGTTCTAAGAAGACGCTGTGAGGCTTCAGTTAGCAGTAACAACGCTTGTACTAAAGAGAAAGATTTGGTTCGTTTTCCCATAGTTCGCTCAAAGCTTTGCTTTGCCTAGAAACGTCAGAGTGGTCACTAGAGAGGTTATAGGGAGAACAGCCCCTATAGTTGACAGAATAGTGGAAAAAACTAGAAATTGAAACTAGCGAAGATTTTAAGACAATGTAATTAGCCAGTAATTTGAATAATTTTTCAGGTCGTTAAAAAGTTCGTGACAGATTTGACTTCCGTCGCCAAAACTGATGAAAAAACGCTGAAAGTCCTTGAAGTTCTTTTCAACTTGCCGACGACCTCGTGAGTCCTATTACTGGTAAAAAAAAAGAAGCGAGAGAGATGCCAGAGAAAGAGAGAAGAACCGATTGTCTGGTGTCTCTTCCACTTGCAGAATTAGCTGAACAGACATAAGTTTGGCTGAAGCGAGAGCAACATAGCCTGAAGAGACGTTAGAGAAAAAAATTAGGATTTTCTGGTGTCTCTCCAGTTTTCTGTTTCTCTCTTACCGTGTCAATTTTTTTTTTCTAGATAATCAATAAGAAATTTTTGTCCCTTCTTTTCGAATGAGACTTTCAGGTAAATGGAAAAAACCGAAAATCCATTTAAAAATTTCCTATCAGACTATTAGATTATAACCAATATGGTAGGGCCGTCAAAAATCAGAAACAAGAGAACTAGGCGGCCTGAAGAGACGTCAGAGAAAGAGATGTCTTAATAATAATTTATTGACAGATCAGCGTGAACCCTAACGAGTTCACTTGGATCTAGAATTTGAGAGAATACATTATACAGTTATACATCATTTGAGTCGTGGAGGAATAGACAAGAAGATCTCGTGCAATGGTAGATTGACCAGTAAATTTTTTAAAGACTTGGGGTGGTGGCTGAATTGAAATTTGGAAGTGAGTTTGTTCCGAGTAGGAATTGTTTTAAAGAAAAAATCATTAGAAAAAAGTCTTGTTTTGTCTGCTGCCTCTTCTCTCGCCCTTTCTTTTTCTATTCTCCGTAAATTTGAATTTATTTTTCAAGAAGCTTCGAGTTCGCAAAAAACCATGTCTGTGGCTCGTCCAGCTCCGCCGTTCAAACTTCGGCGTTGAAGTTGATTCGTCGATCTGATCCTCATTTCTATGAGTCTCAGGTGAGCTTTATTGGGCGGTGGAATGGCTAAAAGCGTCGCGGTCGCGTTGCGGCTCCGCTAGCGTTTTTTAAAAGTGTTTTATAAAAAATTTATTGATAGCCAATAGAACGCTTTTTCATTGATAAGTTTCAGAATACCAAAAACTTGTTCCTATAACAATTTTTTCCATTTTTCTGAGAAGTTCCGACAAATAACGCAACTGTGAATATGCAACCTTACACATTTTTTAAAATTGATATGTTCCTTCGCAAGTCGGTTTGGGTCGGTCGCGCTTAAAAGTAGCCTCTCCGTATAGAGCCATTCCAAATGCGGTCATGGATTTTAATTTTTATAAAAACTAATACCTAAATAAAGTTTAGCTCATTCAAAAACTCATCAAAGTGTTCCGAAACACTTGTTCTCGGGAATCGACGACTTCTGAATCTCAAATCGCCATCGACATTTTACTCAGGTTTTCTTATTTCGAAAGCTATCAAGATAAGTATAACTTAAAGATGTCTTCCTGAACACCAAAACGTGGCTACCTGGATTTTGAGGTCGGAAAATCTCATTCCTGATGACCAGGAGAAGTGGCAGTACCTGTACAAGGCGATTCATGCTTCTGGGCAAAAAGATGAACTGGTATTTTTTTAACGTTTCAAGGCGTCTTTAAATGGTGTGATCACAGCGTCCTAATTTTAATTTGTTTTTCAACATTCACAAAAATTCAGCCGCTTTATGATGACTACTTTTGATTCACTGGTGTGTGGAATTTTTTTTTTCCCGATAGTTTAGACATTTCAACATTTTGTGAATACATAATGCTTCTGAAAAAAAAGAATGTGCCCAGTTTTCAAGTTTTGAACTTAAAATCTGGCCAGTCGATGTATATTTTCATTCATTTTTCCTCAAGTTTTCCACAGGAAAAAATATCTCTTTGAATTTTGTTAGAAATTGTTTTCGTGACTTTTTTTCAATCGATTTGAGCTCAAATTGGGAGTTTTTGAACTGAAGTTTGGTCATAAATCACTAAATTTTTTTTTGACTACCTATTTTTTTATTTTTTTCTTACTTTCAAGGCTTTCATAACACTAGGTATCGTTTTTATCTATTATTTTTAGACCGGAGGAATTTAAAAAAATCAAATTTGCCACCCATTTTCTGAAGCAACACAACTGAATTGAGAGAAAAATTGAATAATGATCTTTTAAAGTTTCAGAAATATTTAAAAAGGTAGACTCCGCAGTAATTTTGTCCCAAGTCCCCAGCAAGATATTCAGAAAGAAGAGCTTTGGAAACGGATGCGCCAATTCAAAGTCTTCAGGCCAAATTATCTCCACAGATCGCTTTCGGCCGATTCTTATGCTCATTGGCAACAAATTTTTGGTTCTAGAAAATCATCTTTCTTTGACTGAGTAACGGAAAGTTTCCAGAAGCTTCCGGCTTCAAAATATTCTCCTCATCGGCTGCTGAATTTGCTGGACCTTCATTCAAAAGATCCGATTTCGAGTTCAGCGTCAAAAAGAACAAACTCGAGGAGAATTTGTTCTCGGTATGTAATAGAAGAGATGTCTAAAACAGAAAATATCGTTCAATATAAAAAAATTTTTTTCAATTAGTTGTCAGAATCATCTTCAACGTTCTGATAATGTTCAGGCGATTGAAAAATTTAATTTTTAATTTTTTCGATTTTCCCCTTGAATTCGAATTCTTCATTTTCTACTTCACTACAGATCATAAAAGCTTGAAGAAGAAAGTTCAGTATCAATAATGATCAAGAATAAACTTTTGAATTTTTGGTTATTCCTGTCCCTAACTTTTTAGGACCCTTTTCTTCTGATGTGTTATTCTGGAGCTTTTTCGCTAGATTCTATGAATTCGCCTGATATTTTGAATATTTTCTCAGCTGTCGGTAGTATCAAACGGCCTGGAGCAGTTCGTTTCCGAGGGAGCTCATCAGAAAAATGTCGATCCGGAGGCGAGTTGCCGATTGGCCCTTCTTGGTCATGCCCTACCGGCGGTCACCTTGTTCAAGGTATGTTTAAAAATCTATTTTCCGTTCAGAGATCTTTTCACTCCTTCTAGGGCAACAGCGATATGCTGTCTGCTGTTTGGAACGCCGATGGGCAGACCCTCAAGGCTTTTGAGGTAATTGTTGCGACATTGTCCGTTTCTTTGCGACATGCAAGTGTCTGCGTCTCTCTGTTCCCTCACCGGCGAGGTCAGAGGAACATGAAAATCGCTCGCCGAGATGAGAAAATCGCCGAAAGACTAGGAGGGCCCAGAGAAGCCTCCTTGAGTCGCGAAAAATGAATATATGAGTCCGAAACCTCTTTTTCCCAAAGCTCTGAAAAAAGCTACCAAGAGATATGTAAATTTTCCAGCTCAAAAGATTCTTTCTTGTTCAAAATTATTCAACGAAATTCAAAATAGCCGTCAGAAAGAAGAAAATAATCAAACTCTGAAGGGTCAGAAAAAATTATGAACTTCACGGAAGTTACTCCGAATCTGCTCTTCATGAGCGCACACTTATATAGTCAATGTTTCCCGACTTGAAAGGCGAGGGAGGCGTGGCAAGGGGCGGGACGCGTAGCGTGTGCGTACGCGGTTCTTGGCACGTGTTCAATTCAACCGCTAGCGAGCATTCAGAGAGCTTATTTATCGCTCTTTTTCACTTTTTTTAAAAAAATTATTTATTGATTATGTTCATGTGTGCATCAAAAAAATAGAAGAAAAATACAAAAAAAGAGCGGTTGCCGAGCTTTTTTTGAATAGTCGGCGGCGATTGAATTGAACTGGCGCCAAGAACCGCGTACGCACACGCTACGCGTCCCGCCCCTTGCCCCGCCTCCCTCGCCTTTCAAGTCTGGAAACATTGACTATAAAAAAATAGCAGAATAATTCTCTTCCATCATTAAGTGTTCACTTAAGGGTCATTTGCCTCTGAGAGACACCCAAATCGCTCTCCCACTTCTCTCCGGACTTACAGTGGACGTCGAATCTCGCGGCGCGGCTTTTTTCCGAATTCTCGGCGCCGCTGAAGTCTCGCTCTGGAACAGGGACTCTGCTGCTGCCATCTACGCGAAGTTAGTTATTGAAACTATTATAGTCAAAACTGCTGTACTATCGAATATTTGAAGAGACTTTTGTCGGTTCTTTTTCACAAAGAATGGCTCTGATACCATCTTTTTCTCAAGACCCTATAAACGCTGAATATTAAATTATCAAACTTTCCTGACTTTTGAGCAGTAGTACCGTAGTAACTTATCGCGGTTTTTGACGGGAAATCGAAATTTAAATGCAAGTCGGCTTTTTTAAAGCTCTTTTTGCTTGTTTCCAAAAATGTTTAGATCATTTTTCTGAGATTGAAAGCGGCTTTTTTAGTTGGATTCAACAAACTGTGAAAGTTGATTTTCACCATATTTTTTCAAACTCGCGTTTATATATTTTTTTTCTGTCTGTGGAAGCTTTTTGGTCATTTTTTGTTCCTCGTTGTACACGAACTTGTCTGATTAACTAAAATATTACAAAAAAAATTTTTTGCCTCATTTACGCTTGCGTTTGAACTTGTAGCTCCCGTCAAAACCCGCGTCGCGACCGCAACTAGTCACTATAGTGTATCTGCACCTTTCCAGTCTACAAAATTGTGATAGAAAACTAGATTTTCAGCATTTCGACGACCCTAGCCGTGACGGCGACCTTGTCCCATCACGCGGTTCCGATCCGCAGGGTCGCCTCCCAATTTTCGGCCTTGACGACGATTTCCAGCCACACCGACGTCGACTTCAGCTCCATGCCGTACAACTTCTGTCTGACTTCCGAACAAGGAGACATCGCCACAAAGTTTAGAAGGATTTGTTGAGTTTCTGAAGAAGGCATTTCCAGAGCGACGACGGTTGTTGAGGACATCAGCCGCCCGCGGAAGAAGAAGACGTGGACTCGTCGGAGGACGTGGCCCGCCTTCACCCATCGACTCGACGACACTACCCTTCGGCAATGTAACAAATATGCCCTTCAGGCCCAGTAGATCTCATTTGTTTATTGTTATTATGTTATGAAAAAAAACTTGAAATTTCAACTGAATCTTGTTATGAAGCCGACTGCTCTTCCTCTCTGTTCATCTCCAGTTCTGCCTTGGCGTCAGCTATTTTTGGGGCTCTTCGATTCCCGAACATCTTCTGAAATTCATAAACTACAAGGCTTGTGCTTCAAACTTGAAAAAAAAAACCGAGTGATTTTGAAGGAATATGAATTATTGCTTGGAGGGCCGTTGCAGAAGCTTATATTTAATTTTGAAAACGGTTTCAGGGGGTAAGAAAATATTGGGTGACTTATTTGAAGCCAGGGGTTTGTTGTATGGTGTAGCTCAGTCCCAGAGAGCTCGACTCTAACTCAAAGGGTCAAAAGTTCGATCCCCGCAGAAGTAAATATAATTTTTGCGCTTCTAAATGACTATACTTTTTATTTTTCACAAACCTTGCTATTGCCGGATTTTTCATTAAAAAAAGTAAAAATAAATTAAAGTGATTTTTCCATATAAACAAATGCCAATCTCAAGTTTTAGAACAACAGTAAGAAGAAGTAACCAGTATTGTAATCGTAACTATTTTTTTCTTCTTATTTGAGCTGTCCAAAAAGTGACCTGCAAGGCGCGTTGTCTCCGCTGACGGCTTTGAACAGCGATTTTTTTCAAATAATAACAAGTTCCGATCCAAAAAAGGGCAAAGATGAACGCCCCCAAACAACCGAGGAAAACCTAAAGAAAAAATAACTGACTTTCCGGGGAAAAAAAAACCGAATTACTTTGAAACGAAGCGCGTAGTACCCTTTCGAGTACGTCTCATCGGAAGCTTTCTGAAGGATCAAATTTAAAAAAAAACTTTTTAGGCTTACCCAGGAATAGTAAGAATTGCTTCCCATTGAGTACCTTTCAAAATATTTTTCAATATTGTCCATCAAGGGACGATTGTAGTTGATTTTTGGTGGGGAATAACCAAAATCTAAATTTCTTGAAGTTTGGAAAGTTTTCTAAAGCTTCAGAGAAACCTGGAACAGGTTGTTGAACGTCGTAGGTGATGTTCTTCTCATCGCAAATCCGAAAACACTCGGAAGGAACAAATTCTGGAGTTCCTTTGCCAAAAATCGTACCAGTCGCAGCACGCTTTTCATTAATTTTTTATAATCGAATTCACTTGACTTGGGAATTTATGGTCGCACGTTGAATGGCTCAAAACGTCGCGATTTTCGGTCCCATAACGCGGAAGTCGATTCATTTTTAAGGAACTCAACCGTAACACGTCGAGCTATTCCAAGTGCGGCTCTTTTTAAAATGAAGAGAAAAAACCTTGGCAAAACACCATGGTCCAGCGTCACCATAATGAATAAAGCCTTTGACCGGCATGCTTGGGTCTTTTTTTATAACCTGGAAATATTTCGTGGTCGCACATAGAATGGCTTTAAAAGTTGCGGTTGAAAAAAAAAAGTCATAAAGCGTCTTTAAAACGAGATTTTCAGTCGTTTCAATTCTGAAAAAAAGACTAGCCATTCTAAATGCGACCATGGACATAAAATGAGAATAAATTTATTCAATGTTAGCTTCTCAAATTTTTAAAGCTCGCTCTAACAAACCGTTTCTTTAAAGGACTTTTTGCTCGGACTTCGGTAGCCAATACCGGACTGAGCAGTTCTAGGGGTCACTTAAGAGTACTGGGCGTGTCCTGCCAATAAGAATATTTGTCCGTTGGGGCGAATTTCAAAACATTTCAAATTATTGAGGAAATATATAAAAACCTTTGTGAACGGATTCCTGTTGCTGACTCTGACTCGACGACACTTGTTGTGTACCATCTGCTCCGTTATAGTTGTTCTGTCAACTTCCCCTAATTAAGAAGAAAATTGTTTCTTGGAATACAAGTAGTCTTTTGGCGACTTTTTGGCCGGAAGCCACCATTTCAAGACTTGATCCCAGGCCTCGCACTCGATCCCGTCGGCGTCCGTTTCTTTGTTTCCCAGGTACTGGTAATTCTTCAATTCGCCTTTTGTAACACATTCGGCGTCTAAATTGTGAATTCACAAAAGCTTTCTGAGACTTTTAAAGAAGCGATGGAAAGTCGAAAAAGGTCTCGGAGGGAAAATATTTTCTCATCGCTTTATTTGAGTCAAGACTAGACTCCAGAAAGTTGAAAAAAAGGGTTTCTCCATTTTTCATAAGTGCGAAAACGGATACCAACAAGTTCGATTCTTCACGTCGAAGTAGCTGCCGTCGTAAAAATCCGCAGAGCCAAAAACAAGAACCGATGAAACCAAGACAATCCAGCGCATATTTTTTCAAAAATGAAGCGTGAATTGATTTTTTGAATGACGAACCAGCAGTTAATTTTTTTTTTCTTGATCGGAAAGTCAAACATTTATAATTACATTCAGAGTAATTAGAAGTGAAGGTTTGTGGGAAGGAGATTGGAATCGCCTGAAGTGCCGATAACAGAAAATTGGGGTTCAAGTTGAAAGTGTCAAACGATGTGAATGTCTGATTTTGCGGTTGGTTTGGCCAGAAGCGATTCGCGTTCGTCGTCGAGAATCGGGGCGAATGAGGCGCGGGCCGACTTGGAAAAGTGAACTGGCCTGTCTGCAGAGGCCGTCGATATCGTCCGTTTCATGTCCTGTAATGGAAGGTGTTTCAGATAAGTTGTCCCTTGAGGGATCTGAAAACTCTAGAAAAAGACTCACGGTCTCTTGTTTTAGTCCCGAGGGGAAAATATTTATCTATCATTCGAAACTCAATCAATGCTTTCTTAGGAACGACAGAGGGGTCCCTATAGGAGTGAGATGAAAAAAGCACCTATTTGGGTCAAAAAGCTAATTTATTGAGTGCTTCTACTCATATGCCCCTAGAGAAGAACCTTCAAAGGGCCCTTAGGTTGCCCCTACAGAGATCACTCTGGCGTTCCAAGTTTGTGAATAGTTTTCTCGTAATATTTAAATAATTTTATCTAAATTAAACCTGCAAGGGAATGGCTGGCGGCTGGCCGCGGACAGTGTTATCAACGCTGTGATGGCTGACCGGAGCACTTGCAGAAATCGCCAAATGAGGATTGTTAAGAATGTCTAGAATTGGGGTCCAGTTCAACATTCGCTTATTTGCCTTACTGATGTCTTCTCGAATCTGTCGAATAAGATCATTCGCGTCGGCTTCTAATAAACTGCTTTTGGTCAGGTGATGAATGATGCCGGCGCCGAAACCGTCGCCCAAAACGTTGACGGAGGTTCGGATCCGATCCCTGGTTGAAGGAAGAACTTTTTGAAGAAAAATTCATCTTTCGACTGAATTTCAAAGATTCCAGTCTGTTCAGATTTTGAACCTCGTTTCATGGCTCAAGCCACGCCCCTAATGGTCAAAAACCAATCGGAGAGTTAGTCATTCACAGATCGTTTTCGAATGACGTCATTCTACTTAATATTCAGAATCTGAACAGACTATAAGAATGAGGAAAAAACTAGGACGTTAAAGAAAAACTCCAGAGATCATGAGGAGATCAAAAAAATACTGATTCGAGCATATCACATTGGCTTGAAACTGTCTGGCCTCTCTGGACTCTTTCAGCGATAGCGAGAAAAGAGAGGAAACTTACAGTAACCAATCCACAGTAAGCAAGAGGCTCAAATCTTTTGCGGGCAGGCCGACAGTCGTCAAGACGATAACTATCGTGTCGAGACCCGCCGGTACTGATCCGGATCCGATCGACGCTACGGTCGTCGTTATACTGATAACAAAAAACTTTTAAATTTTTTTGCCTCATAAACGAGTTATGAGGACCCTTTTTTGAGCATCGAATTGGAATTTCAGTGATTTTTGAACTCAAACTAGAGAAATTTTTTTTTCAATCTATGTCCTTATTATATTACTGGGAAAAACTCTAGTGGCAACTTAAGAGGTTCCTCAAGAACTACTTGGAGAGGACACTAAAGTGGCCACTGAATCACCTCTTTACAAGTTACTACTCTGCGTTTTAGGGACCACTATAGTAGTTTTTCGTGGTCTAGTAGTATCACTCAGACTTCAAAAGATGGAAGACCACTGGATTGACTACTACAGTGGCCACTGAAATGCCAAAACCCTAAAGTGGCCTTTTAAAACTTTCTCAGTAGGTCCATGAATCACTGACTTTTCAACTCAACTCTCAAAAAAGACTCCGTCAAGGCCCTCGTATTTAAAACCAACCTAATCGTGAACAAATCATAAATACTCAGGTTGATATTGTGTAGCTGAGCGATGAAAATGACAGCTACAGCTTCGTAGAGCGCCGTCCCATCCTTATTTATTGAAATTTCGGGTTAAGTTAGGAGAAATCGAAGAAAACCATAGTGATTGTGGCTCCGAGGGGTAGGACGAATCGGGTGACTCGCCTGTCGATTTTCAGGTTTTCTTCCAAGGCGCGGAAAGTTACCGGAAGTGTGGCACCACTGAAACACTCTGTGTTTTTCCAAGTGAACACTAAAAGCTTTTCAGTGATCATTTGATGGCTCAGAGAAATCCAAAGTTAGAAAAGGCCTGACTTTTTTTTCTCAGTCTATGAAACTACTGAAAATGTTCAAAATCGTTGACAAGACCTCGAAGCGGTCCCGAAAGCCGTGGCCAAAGCCTGAAGCAGGCCCGTCATGAAGGCAAATGGGCTTTTCTTGGTGACGAGAAAGTATAGAAGGGGAAGAGTGAGCAGAGAATGGATCATAAGTCCGCAAATTACCGTCACCACGTACATCGCTAGCGCTAAAATATTACAAATTTTGATTTTTTTATATTGTTCAAAAATCAATTTTTTTTCAATTGTTCTTGTTATAGAATTTAAAATTTGAAAAATTCCTGAATTTTGAGAAAGAAAGGTCCAAAATTTCAGCGAAAATTTAACCAAACAATGAAAAAATTTGACAAATCAGTCACTAAGAAATCGAGCAAATTGAAACTTTCAGAGTCTTCAATGAGTACAGAGAAAAATTTAAGTGGCCACTTTAGGGTATTCACGTTTTAGTGGCTACTATAGTAGTCGAATTAATGACCGCTCAAGTGGCTAAGATTTAGTGGCCTCTTTAGAAGTCTGTGTTATACTACTAAACCACTAAAGCTACTAAAATGACCACTTCGCGCAAAAAAATGGCTACTATAGAGGTAGTTTCAGTGGCCACTTTAGTGAGTAGCAACTTAAGTGGTCACTAGAGCTTTTCCAAGTGCACCAAAAATAATTCCTAATGAATAAAATGAAGGAAACCTTGCGCAGTTTCCGTCAAATTGTCAATGTCTACGATATTCTTACAGACGAGCGACAGAATTCCAATTGGATAGCACCTAAAATAAAATGGGATTTATAGAAAACTTAATGATTTCTTGTACCACATGAGCGCGCTGATCCACCTCATGATGATGGCGTCGAGGACGATGAAAAAGTTGATCATCAACCGCGCCTGAAAATCGACGAAAACAGAATATAGATTCGAAAATTATCGAACCTGATCTCCCAAGATGCTCAGAATAACGCCGAAACCACTGCAAAATACGATCAGACCTAAAACATAAATTCAAAAATGTCTCAAGAAAGTTTATAACATCTCTTTTGGATACCTTTTAAAGTTTTGTAAGAGCTGTAAAACTGAGATTCAAGGTAGACAATTCTATAAATTTCAGTTTCCTATCATGAAGTTATAGGCGCTTCACGGCTAGCATGGGGCTGTCTGCGCTCTCCACTAACTAGGCACTGTCTCTTTTTTTGATCGTGTCAGGACCCTTTTTGAAGGCTCAAGCCAGCCGTGATTCAGCCATAATTCGAAAGAGTTCAGAAATAATTGTTTTTTTGAAAAAAATTTGGCGTTTTTAGAAGAAAAATTATACTTTTTTTCTTAAAAATTTCTGATTGTTATATTTGGATTAGGTCGACAATGATTTTTTTTTTTGAAGAAAGTGATTCCGAAATCCGAATGGAAAAAGTTCGAAAAAATTCGAAAAGCATAGAAAATGGCATGGTTACTTTCAAATTCTGTTCTTTTTTTCCTCATTTGTGGGATTTGATATTGCAATATCGACCGACTTCGTACATAAAGTATAGGCATATTCAATTTGAATTTGATTTGAGTTTTTTTCTTTAAGTGTTTTTTTCATCTGTCAATCTCAAGCTCCTCAAAAAAAAATCTCAAAATTCATTTCTACTACTGCCAAATATACTACAATTTTGAAGTTAGGAACGTCCGAGTGGCCCCTAAAGGGAATAAGGGGGAAAACAGAGCATTTTATAGATGAAATAGTGCTCACTCTAGGGGTAGAATTTGAGTGGCCCCTAAAGCTTAAGTGGTCCCTAAAGAGGTCCCTTTTTTTGTTGTTCAGATTACAAAAATAAAACGACAAATTTAGTCAACTCCTCCTCTTTTCAGAAAAAGCTTATTCATTGATTTGATTTTTCAGAGCCTTAAGGTTGCCTCTCTAGGATCCACGTACTTGAGGATGCGCAGAAGCTATCCCTTCTTCAATATGAAAAAATCTTTCAAACCCAGCAAGTTGAGCCAAAAATTGTTCGAAAAAACAAACCCAGGACATTCATCTCGTTGGTATAGGTGAGAGTTTGCTTGTGAACCACTTCAGTGATGTTATAAGTTCCGTTGATCCGGACTCGGACCGGCTTCATAGGCATATACTCTGTCTGGACCTGCTGGAAGGAGGCCTGGATGATGTTCTCCGGGAACATGTTTCTGAATAAATCCCCCTTTTTCTAAAATCTCTTCAGAAAATACCTGATCTGGTCTAGGAAGGTGTCGAGAGTGGAAAGAGCCGTGTTTTCAAGAGTTCCCTCGCCGAGAGCGTCAATCAATTCTGGATCCCCCGGATGGATGGAAGAAACCAAAATGATTCCTGTCTAAAATATTTGAAACTTGGACTTTGTTTAGAGAAGTCGAAGAAGGGTGAAAGGGGGATAAATTGCTTGAAAATAGATTTTCACTATTATTCAAAAATAGCTCTAAAAATTTCCTTTATCGAAATACTGCACAAAAACTGTTTGATGTCATAGACGAGGACCTCGGAAAATCTCAAACTGTACAAATTCTCAGGTTTTCATTTTTTTTAGAAGGTTTTCAACTACAGACTTACAAGATGCTGTACGAGAAAAAGAAGTTTCAAAACTTTTTTTTTTGGAAAAATACGTTCAAATTTTTTTTCATTCTGCAATTTAAAGACCTTGATCTACCACATCACACAACGTTTTTCATAATTTTAAGAAAAACTTCACAAAAATATCCCTTTTCGTTTCATTTTAGTTCATCAAAAATGTCGGCTTTAAAATACTTTCTGAAAAAAATGTTGAAGAAGAGAAACACCAAAAATGATTTTCAAAAAAACCCAGGCACATTTCAAAAAGCTTAAAAAATCTTCAGACAAGATTGAAAAAACTGACAAACGTGGACAGGAAGGTGGTCGTCATGTAGTAGATGATGGTAACAATTCCGATTCTTCTGGCGTCCCGAGCTCGAACTTGGGCCAAAGCTTTTCAAAAAAGCTCAAAATTGGACTTGGAAAACCCTTACCAGAAATAACTGAAGAAATTATGAGTGGCAGGATCATCATCTCGACGATCTGCATGAAAATCTCACCGGGAAAACCGATGAGACTAATCGTGTCATTGCTGCAAAAAAAAAAGTTATCCCAATTTTTTTCTATTTTTAGGAAACCGATACAGGTTCTAGTTGATTTGAAAAATTCTCACGTCGGATTGAAAGGACGGATGACGAAACCAAGAACGACGCCGATCACCACGGATTCGATGGTCAAAACCAGCAGCAAATCCTTCTTCATACCCATTTTCGGCTCTATCTCATTGTCATGTACCTCTTCGAAAGCTGAAAATTACAATAATACTCTCAAAAAACTATAAAATGTCTGAAAAACGAACTGTATCAAAAAGGACACCAACTACGGCGTGAAACGAGAGAAGAGCTCGACGATTGTCGTCAATGCACGTCGCCGCCTATGTTAATATGGTAATCCGACAGTTCCTGTGACGACAGCGGACAGCCATTTCGGGAAAAATCGCTTTTTTCATCTCTGAAAAGTACTTTCGTTAAATAACGGAGAAAAAAAATGAAACGTATGTAATAAATGCAAGCAAATCTTTAAAAAAGCTTTTAATGGTCCTAAAAACTCTTTCGTTATATAACTTATGATAGATTACGTTTTAACTTTGATAGAAGACTAGAAAAAAAATTTGACCTATTTTTAATGAAAAAACACCAAAATATTTTTTTTTCAGACGTTGTTACCGTATTTCGCCAGACCGCATTACGTGAACTGGCGTACAAAGCATCGTATTTCACGACGTGACCACGTGTTCCGGATTTTTTTCTCTTTTCATTGTTACTTTGTGCCGTGTTCAAAGTAATTTCCGCGAAATGCAAAATGGTCTCTGACCCTCCAAAATTTAGTTATCTTTCTCTTTCTCTGACGGCTATTTTGAATTTCGCGGAATCACTTTGAACACGGCATTGCAGTTTCTCTTTTAAACAGTCTTTTTGTCGAAAACGCAATCAGGTAGATCCGAATACCAAAGGATAGGGGAGTAATATTTAAAAATTAATTTCGCTTGTCGGAGACTAAAAACTGATCTCTTTGAACTTTCCAAAAAAACTTTTATTGTAAAGTAAAATTAAAAAAATGATTAAGTATAAACACTTGCAAGTTCGAGTAGCTTTATTTCATTCCCCTACGATCGTTATTTGCCCCTGAGAGTATTTCCTTCAATAGACTTAATTTGAAGATAGTCAGTTCTATTTACTTTTTGTTGATCGTGAAGAATTTTTGAAAACACTATAACGGTGTAGATTCCGACTGGTTTCTGAAAGATAACTAATTATGCTCGAAACCATTTCGAATAAAAAATGGACCTTGTCGAGAATAATTTTTTCAGAATGGCGAATAACTTTTTGGGACACCACTTGTTCCAGTTTCTTGTCTTATCTTGCTTCTTCTTCATGGCTGTAGCGGTATCTTTTGTCATTTTTTTATCCATGGTTCTAATCGAAAAAATAACTATATAGAACTTTTAAAAATAGTTAATACAGTCTTTTTCTCGGTTTTTGATCGTATCTCTTTGAACAATCTTTTTCAGGCAACCAAACCTCGTCTTCTGGTCGAAAAAACTCATCTATCGACGATTTCCGTTCAAGGGAAACCCACCGCCGTCGAGTACAAGGTGTACAACGTCGGCGATGCTGAAGCCACTCACGTAAAGATATGAAGTTTCAAAACCTCTATAACTCTTTTTCAGATTTTCCTCGACGATCGCTCATCCTTCCCGACTCAGGAATTCACCATCGAGAAAGGCTTTCTCTACGTTCAGTTCCCAAAAATTGCGGCCAAATCCAACCTCACTCATGTCGTTGTGGTTGGTTTTTTTTGTCCGATCAAATTTCTCGAAAGAATATACTGTAGAAAATGCTTTGAGATGAAAATACAAGTTTTTTATTATTTTTTTCTATCCCTAATAAGGATAAGTGTATCGAAGTTCGTTATTGCGACTCGTGCTCAGTATCCCGAATAATTGAGCGAATTCAAATATTTATGAAACTTATATATGTACTCATACTTTTTAATGAATAATGAATGAAACAAGATAACTTGCCTGATAAAAAAAAAACAACAGATAGATTTTTCAGCTCGATTTTTTCAGTGCTTGTTTAAAGTTTCCAGCAAGATATTCCATCAGAAAAACCGTTCAAATCCCCGAAACCAAGTTTTGAAAATTCCACATTTTTCTTTTAAGGTGAAACCAAACAAAATGGGATCTTTCGAAGACAAACCGGCGCGATTGACTTTTACGGATCCGAAGACCGGAGTGCCAGAAGTGGTCTACTCCACCAGCATGGGAAAAGGTTTTCACCAATCTTTCCAGCAATGAAATCAACTTCTCGAACTTTCAGTGAGCGTCTATCGCCAGAAAGAGTACAACTACGTCTTCGGGTCGAAGGCTGAGCATTTCCTCAAGTTCGCCCTTATTGTCGCTCCTCTGACTTTCGTGCCCCTCGGCTTCGCCATCAGGTCCAAGAACAGATACACGCTTGTCAAGAAATCTTATTGATTCCAGATTTATTTTGTTCTTTAGATAATGATATATTATTTTTTTCAGAGAATCAAGTTTTTTTAAGTGCATTTTATTTGAATTTTTGTAATAAATCTATTGGAAAAAATTAGTTAGCACAAAAAAATTTCTTCTATCTTCGAAATTTCAGTATTCAGTACGAATAAAAAAATTAGGTTTTTTTCATTTATCCTTTTTTTGCTTCACCAATAATAACTAAAAATGGCCTTTTTCTTCAGTCGATAAACCAGCTTCTTACAATACCCCAGGAAAAGTCTTTGGGTCAGATTGTATCCTTTTCAGCCTCAATTTAGGTTTTTCCTACTAATCGCCTTTTTTAAGATTCTAGAAAATAGTCACAATAATAATTCACGAAATCTTATACATTTTCATCGACTTTTTAGGAGAAAATCCTGAGAAAAAACCCCGAAAAGTTCATTCAGCAAATCAAAAACAAGATCTAGACAAAAAAGAAGTTCAACGATAAATTCCCAAAGTTTGAAAGCTTTTCCAACATTGTACAGCGAATGTCATGTCTGGCGGTTGTGATTGGCACAAAATCTTTACAAGATTGCAAATTACAACCCAAGTACAGTTCAGTGATGGATATGAAGAGGAGAAAGATGTGGCACATAGTCGAAAAGAATGGCAATTGAACCTGTTACTCAACTTATTGAGAAGAAGGCACACGGATTTTTGATTTTATGCCATGGAAAGATGAGGAATTCACAACAAACAGCGAGAAAATAGGATTATGCCAGGAGAAATCAATCACTGGAAGGAGAGTTCGTTGGATAACAATCAATATGCGCCTATTAAAAAGTCCAAACATGCAGAAAAAAAAAAATTAACACTAAGGATTACTGAATGAGTTTAAATACATGTTAACGAAAATGTTATGATCCATCCAATAGAAACATTTTCTAACACTATCGAAGAATTACGAAACCGGAAAAAAACCCAAAATGATAAACATATATATATATATATTAGAAGTTTGCAAACATCTAAAACAACCAAGGGATAAATATGAGTGAAAACAGGGTATAACAGGGAATCAGAAGGTCTGGAAGAGGACTTCGGTGCGAGCCGTCTCCTGGGTCTCGAAGCGATCCGAGTTCATGATCCAGAAAGGCTCGGTGCCAATCGCCGCGATGAGTCTTTCAAATAGAGCGACGTTTCCTTCGGAACAGCCTGTGCCAGTCTGGTTATTGTTGTTGCCGACGCTGTTCCTCTTGATCAGGTTCGAAGAGCCGTTCATCTTTCCCAGTGACTTTCCCAAAGAGGCTACTGGGGTCAAACTGTTGCCCAGGTTCTTCTGCTTCTTGTATCTGAAAATGACCATTTTTCGAGATTGATCCGTTAAGAAAGCTTCTAAAAGAGCGTAACCTTTCAATCAGAAATCAGAAAAGTTCTGAAAATCCGAAATTGTTGTTTGAATTGTTTCATTGAAACTTTTCGCAATTTCTGTTTATCGAATTTGAAGTGGAAAATTCTAATTTTCGGAAATTAGAGAGCGTTCAAAACTGAGAGGGCAGGATTTTTTTTCTTCTCTGAATGCCCTCATGTTTACCAATGCTCTCTAATCTCGAAGATTCGAACCTAGATTTTCTAACTCTCTTAAACTTCTTATTTTGAGCTCAATCATTCAACCACTTCGCAACCGCACGCGTCCCAACATAAAAATGATTGCATGTCTAGTATTTTCGCTCAGCCGCCAAATGATTTGAAAAAACGAACCTTTCAAAATATCCCAACAAAAAGCCTTCGACGAAGTACTTCTCGAAGCAAAAGGAGACGAAAGCGTTGATGGCGGCGATGAGAAGGATGAAAACTCGGAATTGCCAGGAGGCCAACGGCAAGTTTCCAATGATGTTGCGAACGAAGTCCGGCGGGAAGGCCGCAACGAAAATCGACACCTGTTTTTCATTTGTTGAAAATTGTCTAATTATATTTAGAGCAAAAATGCATGAGACTTCACGCAACGTAAATGCGATAGCGTAAATTATTTCAACTTCCTTAAAATTCATTTACGCTACGCTAACGTTCACGTACATCGCCTCAGAACTTACAGCAGTTGTGATGCAGAAAAGAACGCAAAGAGGCGGGTTGGTGATGATTGAGCCTCGATATGGAGGTCCTTTCGAGTAGACGGCCGCCAGGATGATGTACTGGAACATCGAGACGCAGAATACGGCGGTTCCCTGGAGTTTGAGAGTGTAAGATATATACAGAAAGGATAAAAATCCGTTGAAGAAGGCTTTTTTCGAGTCCATATTCCTACAAAACTAGGAATTTGTGAATCTTAAGACTTTCAGGATTCTCTTTTGGTAATTCAAGGAGTGTTCTGGTCATATTTCAGGATAATCCCAACCGACCTTCCTTGTTAAGAAAATTATTCAATCAATGTTAATTTTCGCTCACAGACATTAACCCTAGAAACCAAAACTAGAAAGAAGTCCTAAAAATTGATTTGCAAAAGCTAGTTTACTCCAAAATGTGCTTTGACTTATCGTCAAACCGAAAACCTCGAAAGTTCAACTGGTAATTCTACACATTATCCATACCTGCATGCTTCTCTTGTCCTCGGGTCCATCAGCCGTCGGCGGCGCGTAGGGAACGAACCAGGGCTGTTGAGCTGTCGCGTTGAAGACCAAGATCTTAGAGCAGAAAATTGTCAACTTTCACTGGCAGAATGGGATGGACCTTCTAAGGTATTCTATAACTGTTCCTAGAAAGGCGGAAGAAAGATTTCGTGAAAACTGAGGTCACATCGAGAGAAGACTTGACCAAGTTTGTACCAAAATGATTCCTTTTGCACCCTTTTATCAGCCTACATTGACCCTTTTCGCTGCCTTTTCCACCTTTTATTAAGCCTTTAAATTCTGGGCAAAATTGACAGGCTTTAAATAGGAACCCTTTCAGCGGCTTTTTTTGCGCCCGTTTTCAGGACATTCGACCATTTTTCTCGCAAGACAAACCTGAGCAAAAGCCATGATGAAGAGTTGGCCGATGACCGAGGCGATGCTGGCGAAGGAAAGAAGTCGGTTTGGCGGTGGCGTCGGAGCAAGTCTGTTCGAGGCCGGGGTGTTTCCGAACAACACGGCGAAGGTCGTGATCAGGAACAGGTCGATGTACATGAACTGAAATAAAGCAAGTTTTGAAGTTCTCGAGGGAGGGAAACGATGGCGCAAGTATATGGTAAATAGTCTACCAAAAAATGTAAATAACCGAAAATCTCAACCGTAAATTTAGAAACAGAGCCTTGCGTGATAGAAAAACATCTATGGCTTTAGACAAAAGAAAAAAAAAACTAATTTTGATCCCTTGAATATCAATTTTGAGTCAAGAATGGTTCACGTGAAATTGTGAAATTACCAAACAAAAAAGAGTTTTACGACAAGAAAATTTCAATCTAAAGGTTTTCTAATTGTATTGAATGTCTTTCAGCTTCGCTCAAAAAACAGCTACCTAATTTTTCCTTGTATTTACCTGTCCATCGGTCAGAATGGTCGAGATCCAGTAGAGCTGCATGACAGTGAGGAACTGTGTCAGTGAATAGCCGGCCATGTATTTGAAGACTCCGAAAGACGTGACGAGAGCGGCTCGGCCTTCGCTGATCACAGTGGGAACACACCGGATGTCGGCCACCTAGAGTTTTCTTTTTACCCGAGGAGAGTTTAGTGTGAAGTTTAGAATTCTCTATCTTTACCTCGAGGGGTCATTTGAACAAAAATATATACTCTATAAACTATAATCAACATATACTAGAACTGCACTGTCACATCAAAAAAATGAGAAATACCTTTGAGGTGAAGGGAGCAGCGATGGAAGCCTCGGCATCAGAGAGAGAAATTCCAGCGTGAGCAGCCTGGAAAATGAAAAGCTGGACGAGGTCGTTCAGTCTCCTGACCTTGAGAGCGGCGCAGTCGTTGGCGCCATCGCCACACATGGCGACCGTGTAGTCGACGCCTTGGAGCTGCTCGACGAGGAACTGTTTCTGGTCGGGCGCCATCCTCGCGAAAACGTCGCAGACGCAGACAAACTTCTCAACGAGTTCCGGGTACTCGTGCACCACCACGGCAAACGTTGGTCCTGGAAAAGAGAGGAGGTTATCTCAGAAGTGAGAAAAATCCAATCGAAACTTGGCACTATCTGATGTACTGATTGATAACTCCACAAAATAAAATTTTGAACTTTCAAAATTTGATCAAAGAATGCGCAGAAAATGTAAAAATGAAGCGAAAAAAGTCGAGTTAAAAGAGAGCAGCCACGTGCTGAAGAGACGCCAGAGAGATTTTTGACCTCTCTTTCTCTGCAGTCTGTTCAGATCCTTCTTTTTTTTTCTGAAGCTTGGAAAATTCAAAAGTAAATTCAGTAGTTTGAGTGCACTTCAAACTTTTTAATAGCCTTTACCTTTTTTTTCAGTTTAATGAAAACAACGAAAAAATTGAAGAAAAATTGGAAAGGCAAAAAAAAAAATCCAAAGTTAAAATCTTTCTCTAAGGAGAAAACATGATAATCGAAATTTATTGACCAGCGACGGATAGGTGATAGCTGCTGTTGGTGGAAGACCCAAACTGTCCCTCCAAGTCGAAAATATTGGCCGGCGCGAAGCTGTGGCCGTTGGGCAAGTCCTCGACGACGTCACCCGACGAAGAGACCGACTGAAGAACTTTCAACGTCTTCAAAGGTCTTCTGGAGCTGGACAAGCCTGCTGGACGACGAGGAGGGTCCGACCGCGGGAGTCGGTCTGGCCAGGCCGATGTTCGACGATGAAGGCCCGTTTGGTGGGTCGAATGATACCACATTCCCGGGAGACGCTCAGGGCCGTCAGCAGATTGTCCCCGGTCACCATCACCGTTCGGATGTTCGCTCTTCAAACACATAACTTTGAAACACTTCTTGTCTTTGAATTTTGGAACTTTTTGCCTTGGAGAAGTTTTGACCCATTTCGTGCATACGCTTTTTTTTTTGAGATCTCAGCTCTTTGCGCAAAAACGTAATTTAACCACCCTGCCCCCCTATCAATGAGGCTCAAATTTCGTTATAATTGTTGGTCAAAAATAATTTGAAATGAGAACATCATATCATTTGAAGCCTGAAGAGTAATTTTTTTAGAATCCACTTTTAAAAAACTTCAAAAATTCCTTTGTCAAATTTTTTTCTGATAAAAAAACCTATTGAGTTGATTTATCACGTCCAAAGTGACCGGCTTGACACGGTTCTCCATGGCAACAAGTCCGAGAAGTTCCAAATCGCATTCAATCTGAGAAAAAAACCGAGTTGATTAAGTAGAAAAGAAATCAACCGACCGCACTACGGGAAATCTTAGCAGCCTTGTTGAAATTCATGTCGAGTGATTTTCGAGCGACGGCAATGAGACGAAAACCGTGTTGGGCGTACTGATTTACGATGGACTGGAAAAAAATTGATGAGTAAAATAGATGTGAGAAGAACTCCAGTGGCCCCTTTAGAGGTTCCTCAAGGGCTACTAGAAGAGGACACTAAGGTGGCCACTAAAACCGCCTCTATAGAGTCCGCTTTGGCTTCTTAGTGGCCACTAAAAATTATAGGGTCTCGTAGTACCACCTAGACTCCTAGAGAGGCCACTACAATTTTGCCTCTTAAGGGGCCCCTTCGACTACTATAGTTTAAACCTCAAAATTATACAGTGATCCTACTAAACATTTTCAAAGAATAGAACAAAGTTCTAGTCAAATGGAAATAAAAAAGACCAGGTAATCGGACGGAACAGTTTCTGGTCTGCACAACGAGAGGATCATCTCCGGCGAGCCCTTCGAGTAGAGCGTCATGTTGTGTTCGGAGGCGGCGTTCGGGTCGAAGACGATCACCGACATCCGTTGCAGAGAGGAACTTCAAAAAAGAAAATAATTTGAGATAAGTGGCAGAAGAATACAAACAAAAAACCGATTTCTTTTCAAAAACTAGCGAAAATTTGGATTTAGTCTGTTGAGATTTTGAATTTTATGGGTAATAACGTTCTTTAAAAAAATTCTTTCTGATTCTATTATCCCGGCATTAGGGGCGGAGCTTGAGGGAGGACAAGTTTGAAAATTCAAAACATGAGCAGACTTTATGCCAGGGTTCATAATGATTCCGCAAAATAGTCGTCAAAGAGTGAAAAAAATAAATTTTGGAGAGTCTGAGATAAATTTGATTTTCGAGGAAATGGATTCGAACACGGCAATAGTTCAGCCCATTGAAATTTTCGACATTCTAATTTCTCACCTCTCTTCTTTTTCCCTACGCATAAAACTTTTACACCGAAAAAGGGTAAAACCGAATTCAAGATTAACAACAAAAATTTTAAATTTTGGAGATTTTTAGAGAAGCGCTAACTTGCTTCAAAACACTGCGAATCACCTGAAAGTGAATTGGCGAATGACGGAATATTCTTCACGTGAGTTTCCCGTTTCTTCAGGCGGAGGCTTTTACGATAGATGGCTGTAAAATGGAAATGTGATAATGTAATGTTTATATTTTTTTTTATTGAAAAAAAAAATCTTTCTGGACTAATTTAGAGTTTTTTTTCCTACAGCTCCGTCCAAAAAAAAGCATGAAAAAACGGTTTTTTGATCACAACTTCTATGTATGGAGTTCAATCGTTCTGGAACTTTCTGGAGTTTTTATGAGCGTTTTTTGTAACACTCCGGCGAAACTTTAGATTGCAGAAAAAAAAAACGCAGCTTTATAGAGTTTCAAAAAGATTTAGGTCCACACGAGAAAGCTGTGAGCAAAAGAAATTTTTCGTAACTTTTCTGTCGGTACACTTTCAGCTTCCCAAAAAACTGAGAAAGATAAAAACAACAGAAAAAGATTATTACTGTAAAACTTCCCTGTAAGATGCATGTATATTTCCTTTTTTCCTTGTCCAATTCCTACCTGAACATTATCGAAGAGCATCGTTTCCTCAGCAACTTCGCCTTCTTCCAGAGACCAGCCAGTTTTCAGGAACAGGATCAAATCCAGCGGATCCCCGTTCAGCTGTCCATTGATTCTGAATAACTCCCTCTGTTGAATTTTCTCGCTTTTCAAAGGAAAACCTGGTCAAAGACTGGCAAGTCGCGATGGCCCTGATCATTTCTCCGTCTTTGGGCAACTTTGCTCGGTTCATTTCTTTAGTTTCCTCGCGGAAACGAAGAGTTTTCTGATCAGAATCCACGCAACGCATCAGATGAAAATCCAGACCGTCTTCGGTCAAAGTTCCCGTTTTGTCGAAACAGACCTGATAATTTCATTTTCGAGGGGTTACCTAACTTCAAATTTGGTAATGCGGCATTAAAATTTGCTCAAAAATTGGGATTTTTCTCGTTAAAATAGTATCGAGGGATATTTTCTGACCATTTCACATTTTTCAGCAAGTAAAAAACTCAATTGGTGCAGGAGGAGAAGTTGACTTACAAAAACTTGAAAAACTAGGTATAAAATTTATTTTCAAGATCAGGAAGGCCGTGGTGGCAAAAAAAAACTCGGGAGGAGGGATGTTTCTAGTATAAAAGCGCGCAAGTAGTATCAGGTCGGGCGCGTCTTAACCAAATAATGCATTTTGAACATGCGTTATTGGACTTCTAACCATGGTAAGCTAGATCAATCAATCAATAGGATCATGATAGAAATTATTGTTTTTTTTTCAGTTTTTTTACTGGTGGATTTTATCCTATCTTTCGATTATCTACTCCATACTGCGCGATTTTTTCTTTTTCACTATCTTTCTCTATTTTAGTCAACGAACCACATTGATTGCTCCGCAAGTGTTGATGGTCGAGGGAGAAATGCAATAGATTTTCTTCTTTTCAAGCCGGAATCTCGCGTTCAGAATACCCACGGACATGGCAGCTTAAAAAGTGGTCTCAAAACTTGTAATTTCAAAAACCACTGTTTTTCGATAGTATTTGAAAAAGATCTACTTCAAAAGGGTTGCAAAAAAAAATTTCAGGCCGCGTTTAAATTTCGTAGAAAACGGCTGATTAGAACCAAGGGATCCCTAAAGTGCTTTCAAATATTCTCTAGCGGCCATTCAGTAATTTACAAAGTGAAACTTTTAGAATCAAAATTCTCCTGAAAGCTTCTTAAAAGGTACTCAAAGTGTGGCAAAATTTTCCTGACGATATGAAAAAAATTCCGACGGAAAAAAGACTGCTGGGACATTTCTGATAGGCTTCTAGGATACCTTAAAAAGCTTAAAATCTTGATTTTTTTTCTTAGCGATCTTGCCAAAAATACTCGGCCATAGAATGAGTTTTTTTTCCACAAGATTTTTAGTCTAAATTTGAAAATTATCTCATAAATATATGTGTTTTCTAAGCTTGTTATTTTCTCATAGTTTTCTCATCAACATACCAGGAAGAGCTGGAGGAACTGTGATGGTGATGATGTCCAGGGCACGGACGATGACTTTTCGGATCGGGTTTCCGCGCTCGATCATAATGACAATCGTGTAAAGGAACCCGCAGCCCGAAATGCATCCCAAGAAGAGGACAAACTCAAGGGAAACTGTTGATTTTTTGAACTAAGAGTTCGGAAACTTTGAAGAGGTCCTTGGTGAAGCGGAAATCGACGGGTTTCGGGTACATGATCGAGCGGACGAGTTGGCCCTTCAACGTGGAATAGGCGGTGCGGAGGACTATCGCCTAAACATTTTAGGTGCTTCTCTTTTTTTGATTTTTTTCGAGATAGTCAACTTGATTTTTTTCTAAATTTTGGCTCCAAAATGTTCGCAGAAGTCACATCTTTCGGATGAAAAGCTGAAAATGACCAAAAAAAAAAATTCAGAGCTGCGTCAACTCGAACTGTAGAAACTCAGCAATGTCAACACTTTTATCTAAATTCAAATTGAAAGAAATAAACTGGGAAAATAAAGTTACACTATTTTTTCTATTTTTCATTTACCTAATACTTCGAAGAACTCACTGATTATTTTAATCAGTAAAAATTTGTTTTTTTGGGAAACGCATCACATATTAATCAAGGGAGGCGAATTTTTCCGGTTCACAGTGGAAAAATACTATAAAATTTTCTCGAAAAGGCGCTAAAAAATCTTAAAAGAAGCTATTTTGCACCGTTTTTTTTTCACTTTTTGCTGCGCCTTTTTTGAGCTTTCTATCTGTAAAATTGGCTTCTAGATGTCTAAACATCAGCTTTTGTTGAAAAATTGCAGAAAAGCTTGAGAAATGGAGGCAGATTTTTCAAAGTCAAAAAACACACATTTCAAAGGTGATTTGACTATAAACTCCAAAAAAAAAACAAACCTTGACTTTGCGGCCTTGATAGAAACGCGTCTGGAGCACATGGGTTCCGCAGAAAAGAACGTGTTTCGAGTGTTTTTCGATGGAAAAAGCCGTTTCGTGGCCGTCGTCCGTCAGGGCGACCTTAGAAAATAAAAACACTTTATTTACTAGAACTAGATATTAGGGTGGCAGGAAAGAAATGCGTGTTTTTGATGTAATTTAATTTTATCATAAAAACAAGGTTATCACAAATCAATTCGAACTGTAATTCCCATCTGTATTAGCACCTTGTCAACAATGCTCACGCAGAGAATGGATACTCTCTCTGACAGACTAGGCCGCCTACGAGTCAAAGAAGTTGCACCCCCAAATTTGGACTTCATCGGAGTTTTTCAATTTTTTTTTGGCTGTTTAGCGATCCAATGATTCGGACAGATGATAAATGCGAAGAGCCATGTCTGAGCATTGTAGCGGGAAAAGCAGAAATTTGCAGAACAATTTTTCTGATTTTGGGCTAACTCATTTTCGCAAAAAAGCGAAAAAGCGATATTGTGAACCCATTTTTCATTTCTCCTTTTTGCACTCCACTACGTAATAAAACTGTTTTCTCTTGCAGCTATGGGTGTGTATTAACTGATGAGCCAGTTTCACAGGCGTCTGTTGTGTATCCAGTCTAATGGCCTTTTAAAATCGCCTTTATCGTCGATTTTTCCGTGTTTTTTGATTTCAAAGGTCTTTTCGCCTAGTGAAGAGCGCTAAAGCAATTCAAAATATTAACTATCAGAAAAAAGCATCAATGGTGATCATAATATTGAAAGGTGCCAAGCTTCTGAATTTGATTTGTACTTTTTGAAATAACGCGAAAACTAGGTCCGCGAATATAGTTTTTTTGAAAGAAAGTTTTTCAGAGCTATTTTTTTCTTATAGAAAGGCGGAATGAAAGTCAGCAAACTATATATCCAATGGCGCACAAGGACAAGCCCTTTTCGACAAAAAATACCGTTCTAAATAATATTGCTTCTTGGATGAATTAGAAGCCGACAAAAACGAGCCGCATTTCTTTCATGCCACCCTAATAAATAAATAAAATTATATTTTGATTTTTTGGAATTTTCAAGGCTTAAAGCTCTTCTCAGTATTCATTCGACGCAAGATCGAAACTTTCGGCTTTAAAACTCTAGAAAACCGTTTCAAATTGACTATAAGCCAAATAAATGGCTGAACAGCTAATATGAATTTTTCTATTTCACGAATTCGATTCAAACATGCAAACACACAAAGACCCTTTTGAAACTACTGAAGATTTTTTTCCTGGAAAAACTCCTAAAAAACAAAAAACAATCTTTCCAGTGTTCCGTTGATAAAAATTCTGGAGGATAATCCGGAAAATTGGTGAATGAATATAAATTATCGATTGATAGTTTTCGAAAAGAAGGAGTGAAAAAGTGATCACTTTAGTGATTGGGACGGATTCTCCGGTGAGAACACTTTCGTTGACGATGACCGTTCCGTTCATCAGTACGCAGTCGCACTGCATAACGCCTCCATGCGGGGGAATCAGAAGAATGTCGCCGGGAACCAGCTAAAAAGAAGCGTAAAATTCAAAGTACTACAACGCTAATTTTTCAGCTTTCTGTGGGTTTTAAAGACCAAAATGTGTATTTCTTCAACAACAAAAAGCCCTATTTCAGCTTCAGGCTTTCGCCTACTACAAGATTTATGGCTGTAGCTTGTTTGAGAAGTTACTTGAAAAAAAGTCAAAAAAATATGAAAAACAATCTTTAAAAAAACTCATAAAAAAATTATCCGCAAAAAGGCTAATTAAAAGAATATAAACTCAAAAAAAGTCGATAATTTTTATCTCTTCATTTTTTTCGCTGTATGATAGGTCGCACAAAAAAATGAAACTAAACTTTTTTTGTTGTATTTTATTTATTTATTTTTTTAATGGTTGTAACTGTATAAACTCCTCATACCCACTTCATTTTTTTACCTTCGTATCCGTCAATTTCCATTTCTTCTTAACTTTTTTTCATCCAGAAAAAAATGTGAAAAATTATGCAAAAAAATTTGTTTCCCATATCAAAAAAATTCACCCGCTTCCCACGTTTTATTGTTGGATGGGAACCAAAAAGTCAAAAAATTGGTTTTTTGGAAAGTTAGAAAAACTCGGTGAGAATCATGGATTTTGAAAAAAATTACTAATCTTACAGAAGAAACCAGTTTCATTTTCCGTTTCGGAACAGAATTAATTCAAAATGTCTTCTTTTTGAAGATTTATTTTTTGACAAGAAAGTTATTTTTGACTTTTAAAAAATGTATCTCTGTTCGATTAACAAAACAACTTTCAAATAAAAGGCAAAATGTTTTTGAAACAGAAAAATCGTGTATTGGAAACCTGTTCGCTTCCGATCCGAACGACGTCTCCATTATTCCGGAGAACCTCGACCTCTTCGCTTGAATGGACCATATCCCGTAGACTAAACCCGGTAAATCAATATTTTCGTATTAGGACTCGACAAACGCTTTTTCCTGTTTCCGGATCTGGTAAACTTCGGTGACGATAGAAATCAAGGAAATTGCGACAATTAGCGAGGCATAGAGGCAGTATTCGTCATTGTACCAGACAGTGACACTAAATGTCGAAAATATTGGAAGTTCTCACAATTTTGGGAGAATCTGACTTGTCTGCGCTCTCTTCTACCTCACCGGTATAGTTAGAAAATGAAAAAAAAAAAGCTGTAAATATCTTTTTTGAGTGAATGTCTAGCAGAAAATCGTAGTTTTTTCGAAAAAAAAAGTTTCTTCATTCGAAGTCAAACTTTTCACTTTTTGAATGGTTTTTTCAGAGAAAAAAAAATTGAGAGGATCGCCGAGGGAGAAGAGAGCGCAGAGGAATCAGAGTTTTCCGAATGAAAAATTAAAAATCAGCTAAAAAAGCACCTGAAAATTTGGAAAACGTAAAAAGGAGTGATGACTTCCATGACGAGCAAGTACCATAGAGGTCGCAATTTTACTTCGATTTCATTTCGACCGAAAAATTCCATTCGGCGGGCAACCTGGAGATTGAAGACTTCTCACAAGGAAAAAAAAAATTTCTCTCACTTCAAAGCCGTTAAGGACCTTTTAGAAAGACGTTATTTTTCCTATTTTCACTCTTTTTTTTTAAATTTTCGAATCCAAGCGAATTCTGTTAGGGTTTGCTCTTATTTTTCAATAAATTATTATTAAACCAGAATTCTCTACTAAAATCATTGAAAAACTTACCTAGATTTCATTAAAACTACTCTTTGAAACGTATGATAGAGGGTTAAAGTTCGAAGTACCTCTTGAAAAAGGAAAAAAACTCTTAAAAATTTATTTTTATCCTTTTTTTATTTTTTTGTGAATGATTTCTTACCTTCAAAAAAACTTTATTGAAAAAGCACAAAAAAATTGTTATATATTTTTATTACCGTCCACGAGAGGTATAACTCATTTTTTGAGCAATTTTTTTTCATAAATTCACAAACCTCGTCCATCGAAAAGCCCTTGGATTGTTCGGAAACGCTCAGGAACCACGATAGAGGTATCTGAAAAGTTTAAATTTGAATGAAAATTCACAAAAAGGTTTTTTTTACCTTGCTATCAATGTCACTGGCGGCGATCCATCGGCCGCATTCCTCGTCTTCATTTTCCTCCAGTTCAACCCAGACGTAGCTCAGTTTTCGGAACACGAACCAACGCATTTCGGGCACGTTTTGCATGGTTCCATCGCCTTTCGGCATCATCTAGGACCATTTCATGTTCCGATAAAGTAATTTTTTTGAGTTATAATTCCTCAAATTAGTCAAGAAATAGTAAAACTTTTTGAAAAAATGTATTCACTGCAAAACTGCCACTGATTTTGGATTCAAAACCGAATTTTTAAGTTAAAGAACTGAACTTTTCAATTTTATTTGTATTTTTGAACTTTTTGAGCCCACTCCCTTTAAAAATAGCTTATCTTTAAAATCGTCATGATCTTTTGGCATTATATAGGAGCATTTCACGTCAAAATTAAGTTCTTTCTTTTGAGTCACGCCTTAAATTGATTTCAAAAGATAGATAATTCTTGAAAAAATCTCGGAAGCCCTCAAATTTTCTTAAAGTGGTCGTTTTTTTTCTTTCTCAAACGTTATCCCTTTTTTTAAAAATTCTTCACCATGAATGAGAAAGAAAATCTCAACTAACAATGGAATCTTCATTGGAACTTCGTCTCTTCGTATAAATCCTCTGGAGTTCGGCGACGCCGTGAGAGTCTCTGAAATTATCCAAAAATGAGATTTCTAAAAATTTGTGTGGGAAAAAAGGTGATTTTTTTTAGCTTGAATCCGTTCAAAAAGGTGCCGGAATTTCCGAATTATCTTCAGAATCCATTTTCTAGATAAACTCACATGATATGAACGTATTCGGCGTAGTGGAACGTGCATGGGACCATGCAAAATCGCACGCGCCATTTCTGTTTCCAGTGAAGGATCAATCGAAAAGTTCCAAGCGTTAAGACCGACAACGCATAGAGAAGCACCTAAAGTTTGGTTTTTGTGCTTAAAACGATTGATTCGAAACTATACGACGTTTTCATCGAACAGAATTAAACATGCTCCGAAACAAAAATTTGAAACTCGGACCTTGTTAACGCAAACCGGACGTGTCGGAGGATTTCTAGTGACCACTTTAGTAGCGTCAGCACTCTTCAGTGATCCCTAGAACTGATCAGAAACGTCCGGTTCTCGTTTAGGGTCGAAAATGATTCCGAGCAAATTTATGGCGCCGATGAAAACTTTTTTGCGTTTTAAAACATGTTCCGTTTCTCCGACGAACACGGCAATATAATTTTTTTAGAATAACTGAAACAAACTCACTTATTTAATTAACTTTTTCTTTTCTTGATGACCTTTTTTCAAGTTTTAACTTTTGTAGCAGTTAAAAATGCTTCCTCAATTATTCTCTCTTGAATCAAAATTTTATTTTCGAGTAATAAAGGAACAGAAGATTTTTTTTGAAAATAAGTCTCTTCAAGACTATTGGAATGCCTGTATGTGTATTTCTTTTTCTTGAAAACCAGAGAATTATTTTTCTTTTCATGGTTTTTCATGAGCTCAGCCTCGATAAACTTTCTTTTTTTCGAGATTTGAAGCTGCTAACTTTCTCACTAATAACAAGTTACTAGCTCAGAGGATCAGTAAACTCAGAAATGCATATCTTCAAGCCTATCATTATCTTCAAGCCTATCATTATCTTCAAACTTCATCCAAGCCTCTGAACAACTTTAAAGCAGTATCAAAGAAGAGTCACATTGAAAGAAATTCTCTTGCTATAATAAAATAGAATTTATGATTAATATAAACATTTACAATGATTTTGTCAAAAAGATTTGATTTAAAAAAATGAGTAAGAGCTTGAAATCAAGATTCTCTGAAATGAAAAAAATACTTGTATTACATTTGAAGAGTTATGAAATTTCAGAAAAATTACAAGAGCTGTTTTGTAAAAAAACCTAAAAAAATAAAAAAATTTTCATACTTCATTTTTTTCGCGATTATTCTTGGATTATTCACAAGAAAAAAAGTTTTGAATTTAAAGCCCTATAAAAATCATTTTATGGCCCTTTTTTTCAGAGCAATAAAATGTAAATGTCACAAGATTTGACGAGAAAAAAATTGAGTGGCCAAAAACCAGATTTCTTTTTTTTGAATGAAATCATGTTGTAAAACAGCAGAAGAGAAAAAAAGAACATATTTGAGGCGTGAAAAATGTTTCAAAAACATAGAAATTTCATATTTTTTTGTGACCAAGAAATCGAAATTTTTGTTTCAAAAACGGCATTAAACTTGAGAATTTTTAAATATAGAGGAAAAAAATTAAACTCGAAAATGCTCAAAAGAACAATCAAAGATTGAAAAAAACGGCGTTCAAAGTAAAATCATTGAAATAGAAATGACCACCAGATAGTGGAAAAAGAAAAACTGAACTTTGAAGAGCCACAACTCACTTCTATTTCACCAAAATCATCAAGAAAAAACAGGAAAAAACCGAATGAATCAATGAAAAACCCAGTTAAAAATCTCAATTTTCTACAAAAGAAAAAAAAACCAACTTTTCGTAAAGTGCTTGACCGATAGGCGTAAATGTCGAGTGACTGTTCTCCCGATTCGAGATTCATGTGGTGGCGACAGGCGCCACCTTGCTCTCTCATGCCCTAAACACCACCGATTCGGTGTTAACCCCCTGAAAATTTGAATATTTTCGAAATAACAACCAGAAAACTAAAAGTCCATCAAAACAAAAGAAGAGAATGAGAAGAAATACAAAAAGAACGATTTATCACCGCTACAAATGGCAGTATCACATGTCTCTCAAGTTGACGTTTTATGAAGAAAAAAAGCGGAACCTTTTTTTTCATAACCTGTCCTAACTTTTCTGCATTGATAGCGTGAGAATCGAAAAATTTTCTTTTCTGACAAAGGAACACGTCTCAAAAGAAAAATAACAAATTCAGTTTTGCAAAAATGCAAAAACGATGTGAAATGATATGTTTGCACTGTGCAGATGTTCCCAAGCGAATTAGCAAATCGTTCCACAACGCCCTTTTATTTCTCACAATGAAATTTATTTTTTATAATGAGTTGAAGAGAAGAAGAGGCAAGAAATAAGATTTTAGTTTCGTGAAGATAAAATGCAGTACTCGAATGAAGTGGATTTCGAGAGCAGCGTAACTTTGTGCAAAATTGCGAAACTGATGGCACTTTTGATATTAAATAAAAAACAAAAAACCAGACGCTATAAATTTTTTTTATCTGCGTAACTTCACAAAACTTCACAAAAAGGTTCCTTGAAGTTGGCCCACTTCGCAAGAAAACTATTAGAAACTGAAAAAAAAAGCTAATCCTTTTGCGCAGAAACTATATCAATCAAAAAAACGTCAGAGAAAGTTCGGCAAGACAAATAGAGAGACGAGAAATAAACGGATGAGAGAAAACCGGAAAATTTGACACCTTTTCATAACTCGTCAAGTGCGCGCTATCGACAGGCCCCTAGAGGGGCCGCTTGGAAAAAACTCCTTTCGAATTTGTGGTGTTTTTTTTTTCAATTTTCCCATTTGTATTTATTCTTTGATCAGGAAATATTGAATAGAGAAACCGGGAATACTTCGTATTTGCAGTACAGGTTTATTGGGTTGCTCTGAAAAAGTTTATTTCCCCTATTTCGAAGAATATTTTTGGTGTTTCAAAATTTCTTTTTTTTTCTGTTTAAAACAAAACTATGATATTTCTTTGTAACTTTTGTACATTATCCGCATCTTCAAAGTCTGTTTTGCAGCGCAAAATGTCGCTCTCCAAGTCATCATATACACAATATAACAGGAAGAACTGGGAGGACTCAGATTTTCCTATATTGTGTGAGACGTGTCTCGGTAATAATCCATACCTTCGCATGGTTAGTTTTTTACCATCTCTATGGCTACAAAACATTTTTTTTTCGTTTCAATGATTTTCTCATTCAGATGAAAGACAAACACGGCAGAGAGTGCAAAATTTGCGAGCGTCCCTTCACAACCTTCAGATGGCAACCAGGAAAGGGCGCCAGGTTATTTTTTCTTATAGATTTGAAATATTTTTTTGAAAATTCAGATACAAGAACACCGAGCTTTGTCAAACGTGCGCGAAAGTCAAGAACGTGTGCCAAACTTGTATGTTCGATTTGGAGTACGGTGAGTTTATAAAAAAGGTCTTGCAGTACATTGATGTCGCTTTTTCAGGGCTTCCCGTACAAGTCAGAGATCATGAACTGCAAATAGCAGACAATATTCCGAAACAAGGGGCGAACAGAGATTTTTTCCTTCAGAATGTTGAAAGGTTTTATACTCAGAAACGTATTTCATAAATGTTTAAATCTCAGAACTCTTGCACAAGGAGATGGCACGCAGCCAATCGCGGCCATTGCCGAAAACGTCGATCAGGCGGCTCATGACCGTTTGAAAAGGTATCGTGATTTTTTCAAAAGTTTTTTTTTCTTTCCGAAAGCGGAGCAAATTTTTTCCAATAGACTCAATTTGAAAGAAAAGTACGGTTTTTGGCTTCTTCTATATGTCTGTCTTTAGTTTTAATTGGCATTTTTGTGAAAGATACCGATCATTTATTGCTTTAAAAGCCATGAAAACTTGTCTCTTATTGTGAAAAACCACATCTATGTCTACTTCTAGCTCCCGAAAGTTTTAAAAATTTAAAAAGAAGAAAATTGATACTTTCAAGTGAAGTAAATGACTCACGATTTAGTTTTCTTAAAACTAACTTAATTTTTTGTAGTCCTGACCATTTTCCTTCCAGATTAGCCCGGTCGGCTCCCTACTACAAAAGAAACGCTCCACACATTTGCTCATTTTTCGTCAAGGGAGAATGTAAGCGAGGAGAAGAATGTCCTTACAGGTACTTTGTTTGAACTGAAATTGAATTATTTCCTCATTTAGACACGAAAAGCCAACGGATCCTGATGATCCATTGTCTCGGCAGAATATCAAGGACAGATATTATGGTACGAATGATCCAGTGGCTGAGAAGATTATCAACCGCGCGGCGGTATGTTATTTTTTCTTCCGACTCTTCAGATTTTGAAGTTTTCTGAAGGTTTCGATCGAATTTAGTATTTTAGGAATTTAAGCTCATTTGAGAAGCAAGTAATCAGATTACTTATTCGATTTATGATGGAAAACTTGAACCATCTGTTGAAAAAGTATTGTCTATGAAAAAGCTGGCACATGTTTTAAAATGCGCAAAATTCTACGTTACTTGGAGTGTTACTGAAAATGTGCGTCTCGAAATTTTATTGAAATTTTCATTTTGTTAAGCTTGATAAAGGTTCTTGATAGGGAGAATTTTTTCGTCTAAATTTTTCAGCTTCGAACTATAAGATTGATGAAGCATTTTACGTAGAAATGGAGGTTTTTAAAGAGGGGTTATAGTTATTAAAGGCTAGTGATGGCAAGTATCGGCTTTTTTTAATTAATTAAAATAATTAACTGAATCAAAATTTATTTGCTTAGTTCAATAAATTTAATTTTCACGTCAAAAATTTGTAGTTTTCATTACTTTCCCATCACTTTTTCAACCATTCCACAACGTTTCGAAACGGTCGAATGAGCTGTTTGAAACGAGTCTTTTCACTTTGAAAGTTTTCATAGATTCTATCCTTGAAGTTCTAGAATATCCGAGCTTAAACAATTATTTGAAGGCTCAACCGACGTTGGATCCCCCAGCTGACAACACAATCACCACGTTGTACGTTGGTAACCTTGGTTTGGCCGGTCCTTCCCAAGTCACTCAGAAGGAGTTGAAGTATGAGAAATGATTAAACTTCAAATCTCATGATCTGTTTCTCAGTGACTACTTCTATCAGTTTGGCGACGTCCGAAGTCTTCGCGTTTTGGAGCAGAAAGGATGCGCCTTTATTGAATACACGACGAGAGAAGCCGCCGAAAGAGCTGCCGAGAGATCTTTCAACAAGGCTTTTATCAATGTAAAGATTATTTTGATTTTTGCCGGTTCATACAGTTATTTTCAGGGCCGGCGTTTGACTATTCGTTGGGGACAGCCTCAAGCACAGAAATCTGCTGAAAATGCTGAACGTGCTATGATCAACCCAGTTCCATCGGTCCCTACGTGTGAGTTTTGGTAGAGAATCGAAAAAGGGATAGTCAAAACCTTGAAAAAAGTTAGAGTTAAGAACAATACATAGTTAACGCGTTTTTTTTCCACCTAATTATGATATTTCTAATCTTTCGCCAATCGATGCTGGATTGAGATTTATAAAGAAGGTTAAATTTTTATAGAGAACAGAAAAACAGAGAAGTTGTGAGTTTTTCTCATTGGAGGAATCTTTAAAAGTTCCTCTTTTCTTTCACTTTCTTTGAAAAAGAACTTTCAATGTTATCGGCTGTTATTTTTTTACTTTATACCCTTTTTCTCAGTTTTAAACTCTGCTTTTTTCACGACTTCTCATTGTTTTAGGATGAAATTAGTAAAACGTGAAAAAAAGTTCGAAGGATCAGCTGAAAAGCAAAAATTAAGCATTGAAAAAAGTCGACTCCGTATGAAAACTTTCAAAAAGATCAACTTTTTCGCAAATTTCGTTTCTTTAGTATTGTCAAAGATACTTTCTGGAGTGCTGGAAGTAGCGATTCTCAGATAAAATTTTAGACCATACATTTTCACCATAAATTTTCAAAGAAGCAGAAAATTCTCTTTTTTTCGTCGGTATCGCTTATTTAATTCAGCAAAGAACATGATCTTTTCGAGGCCTTTCATGTGATAAGCTAGAAAAATCTAGTTAAATCCAAGAAGAGAGAAATTGAAGCTTAGGCGATTTTTTTAGGAAAGTGTTGAGAATAGATATTTTTCAACAGTCTTCTCTTTTTTTTTTCACGCTATTTAAAAGATTTATGGATGTTTCAGTACCCCTACCCGACGGAATGGCCTCGACTTCTCGTGGACGTGACATCGGTGGAGTCCCACTTCCGCCGATGCCGCCAATCTTTGGAGGACCTCGGAAACTTGTCGTTCCTAACGTTCGGCCTCCAACTCTCGCAGGTTTTCATTTTATTTTCCTCATCGTCTTCAATTTTCTGAATGTTTCAGGAGAGCCAGGATCCAGCAAATCCGGCGTTTATTATCCGAGTCAAGATCCCACGCGACTTGGCGCCAAAGGCGACGTCATCGATTGAAACTATTCCATCTTTCCTTCTTTCTTACGTTCTTTCCCATTTTTTTTCAATCCTTTGTAATATCTGTTGAAACTGTTTCTCTTTCCTCTCTCCCGAGTTTTATTTATGACTGAATCGAAATAAACACGTTGCACTCGTTTGAATAAACATGTTTTGAGGCGTTTTTCGCTACGCTCTTTGAGTATTTATACACCACTGTGAAAGCTTCTCTTTTTTTTTCTTTTTTTTTGCGCCGCAAGCTTGCAAATGCGTCCCCGCCCGCCGATTCAACGGTTCGGGAAAACGTGACTTGCGGGAAAGTGTCAGATTTGGACTGTTTTGGTTCGTAAGGATCTTTTAGAATGAGAAAGCGAAGGAATTTCACCCTTTTTCTGGCTTTTCAAGGCCATTTTTTTGAACTTTTTCATGTTTGTTGTTATCAGAGGAGCATACTAGAAATGAATAAAGGTCTCGAGGCGAAGAGCTTTTTTATTTTGAAATAAACCTATCTTCTGCGCCTTGAATTTTGCGTTTAAATTAATGTGGGTGGACTTTTTTTCGAGGAATTTTTTTATTTTGACACTTTTTTTCATAGGAATTCAAAACTTTTTTTGTCAATTTTACAATTTTTTTGTCATTTGTTGAACCTGATAATAAAGTATACAAAACGGCGTTTCGAATGTTTTTCAAATATTTATTTAAATAATCCGAATCTCAAAAAAAGTTGATTTTTTTTAGTTTTCTTTTTATGCTTCATGCGAGTTTCATATTTCTCAGAAATATTGAACAGAACTCGTTTATTTTCGCAAAAAACTAATCAACCTTGACTAAACTTCACAGGAATTTCCTTTTTCAAATGCATTTCTTCGCTTTAAAAAAAAATGCGAGTTCCCAAAAAGAAAGTTTTTTTTCAGAATTGTGGCGCCATGGCGATGCTGAATATTGAGGCGATATCGCCTCAAATGGATGCCAACTTTAACGCCAAAGTTCTCAATTATAAGATTGTTGACGATGGAAAATATGCGGTGATTTTTTTCTGGAAACTGTTGGCGGATTTTTTTTTTGATCTTTCAAGTCGGGTTAACTTTTAGTTTTTCTATTTTTTAAAACTTGATGTGAGTTTTATATTTCTCAAAAATATCGATTGAATTTGAAGGTCTTGATTGGTAAATATTCGAGATTACTTTCGGTTTTTATCAAAATTTAGAAAAGAAATTAAGGAGTTGGCGTCCAGAAAAATGAGTATTTTCGAGGCTTGAGCGACGTTTAAGGCTAATTTTCAGTTTAAGATCGAAATAAAGAAGTTTCCAGCTGTACCGGATCCAGATCACCGTCGACACGTACACCTGGACCGTTGAGAGGCGTTATAGCGATTTCGACGCTTTTGATTCTGTCCGGTTCTCCGACCGGAAAAAATCCTTCCTGCCTCCCAAAAAACGGCTTGGAAACCTGGTTTGTCGTTTTTTATTTCATGTAATACTGTTCTTTTACCGACAAATTAGCCTAATTTTGAATATTTTCTTGGTCAAAATAGCCATAAAGTGAAAAAAGCACGAAAACAGCAAAATATATCTATATATTTAGCCTCAAAGATTTTAAGTTATTAGGGCTTTTATTCTTTTTATTTCCTTCCTTTGCAATCTTTGATTTCCATCAAGTTGTCACTCACGGTTTTTTTTTTAAAATCATCTTGATCGTTCTGTAAACGGCCTTCTTTTTCTCATACAGTTTTTTTTTTCAGTTGTCTTTTTTCTTCACTTTCGATTATGAGTACTTTTCCTAAATTTGGTTGAGCTCTCAAAGTTTTTTTTCACAGAAATGGATAAACATTCGATCAAGTGGATATATTTTTGTATTATTCTGGAATTTAATATCGATTCTATTCGAAAAACACCACATTTATCGATAAGTTTCATGAATTTTCTCATTCGAAATCGTGAATTCAACGAGCAAACAGCGTTTTCGTAAAGAACTCAGCTCAAAAATAAATTGGTTAATGAGTCGATCCCGATAATCATTTACTAGGAAAGAGTCTTTATTTGCAGGCGGACTTCTGAAAGAGACCAAGTTTACTAGATGTCGTTTTTCACGCTGATTCCACACCTGGTCTCAAAAACTGCCTGTGAAAAAAGCCAGAGGCTCTCAAAAGTCTAAAGTTTCAGTTTTTTTTATTCCCTTATCACGCGCCGAGCTTTGAAGAATCACATCTGAGCTTCAAGAAATTTTTGAGAAAAATTGAAAGTTTTTTGTGACTCAAGGACTACATACCCTCCAAAAATTAACTGAATTGGAAAAACTGAAATCTTCGACTTTCGAGAGCGCCTAACTTTTTTCAAAGACCTCGAGGGCCGGTTTTGAGATTAGGCTTGGAATCAGCGTGAAAAACTACATCTAGTGAAACTAGTTTCATTCAGAAGTCCCACTGTAAATGGAGACCATTCCATACTTAGATATTCCGTGCTTACATCCCCTACTTAGATATATATATAAAGGCAATGTGATATTGCCGTTTCATAGATTTTTTGTAATATTTTTTCAGCGCGCTGAAGAGTTATTAAGTCGAGACTTGGGGTTTGGGGCATTATCCAACTATTTTATTCATTCAAATTATTCTAGCTGATTTTTCAGGACAACGAATTTCTTGAAGAACGCCGTTTGGAGCTGGAAAAGTATGCTCGGGCCCTTCTAGAACTTGAAGTCGGTTTTTCCAGAATTTCTTCAATTCTCAATTTTTTTAAAAGTTTATTGCAATAACTTTTTTTCAGGTTTGGTACCAGAAACAAAGAAAAACTCAACTCCTTGCCCCTCATTTCAGCCAAATTCTTCGATTTCCACCAATATGTCAGTTCATTTCATTTCAAGTTTTTATCAAAATTGAAAAACGCGAAAATTGCGAAAATAATAACGAAGAAGCGGTGGCGAAAGATAGTTGATATAGAAAAGTTGTTAAATATAGTTGAGAAAAAAAAAATTTAAACGGGAGGCTGAACAATGACAAGAAAATTTCTAGGTTATACTAGCTTTTTTTTTAAATATCAATGACAAATTATGGCAGTAGAATGGTATTAAAACCAGGGAGAATAATAAAAAAATCAAAAAAACTTTATTTTAGGAGATTGAAATTATTCAAAAAATTCTCAGAAAAAAAGTGGACTTTAGGCCGAATATGTGAAGGTTCTCTGTTGGTAAACGAGTTAGAAAAAAAGGAAGTCGTAAAGTTTCTAAATTTAAAAACTATAGTTTTTTTAAAATTACGATTCCAACGGAATTTTTTTGTGGGTTCTGAGCTTTTTCAAAAATTTACTACGGTGGTGGATTTCAAGTATTCTAGTTGAAAAAAATAAAAAAAGAGGAATATTTAAGCTCAAATTTCCATTCAAAAAAATCGATCACATTTTGTGATTATTTGAAAAAAACAATTACTACTAACATAGCATATTTTAATTTCTACAGCAACGTATTCTAAAGTCCAATTTATTAGTAAATCGGGGAATCAGGACGGTTTTCGTGCGGTTCAGTTGTCCTCGTCGATCTGCGGCAAGGCGGTCAACTCGCCTCGAGACCCGACGGCTCGTCTTTTGAGTCGCCAGTACTGTAGTCGGGTCCAGAGCTCGCGAATCGCCAGGTAGATCACGGCGATGTTCTTGACGGCGAACAGGGAAGGGTCGTAGCGATGGCCGTGTTGTTCGACCTCCAGGTGGTAGTATAGGTATATCCTCAGTCCAAGCATCGGTCCGTTCACCTAGAATTTTGAAGTAGTTTGATAAAGAGGGTGGCCAATGAACGTGGCTGTAGACTGTTCAGGTTTTCAACTTCGAGCACAATTTCATCAAAAAATTGATTCAAATGAGCTTGGAGTTTATAATTTTGATGAAAAAAAAAGTAGTTTCAGTATGAAGCTTTGAAATCCTGAGTTTTTTTTTTGATATGTCTTGAATGTAAACATCATTGGCTTGCATTGATTTTTCTAGGTTTCAGAAGTTTTCAAGGCAATATCGTATTTTTTTTTTGATGGTTTTGAAGTGGAACGTGTACAGTGGAAAAGGTAGCTTTGATGCAAACGTAAAAATCGAAAAAAAAAAGGAAAAGAATTTTTAAAGTTTACGGACTCTTCGTAGACTCCGTCCACAATTCAATAGAGTAACAATAAAGAGATTTATGAAAAACTCACGATCAGAACGTAGATGAGAGCCCAGACTTTGTCGCTGACTAGGAAATAGCGCGGGAAACGGGCAAATCGCAGTTTGAGTAGAGAGAACGCCGGCATCACGAAGTTGACGCATCCGACCGCCAGAATGGCCACTTCGATCCAGTAGTTCAGGGTCCAGCTCTCTTTCTGAATCAAATGGGTCCTACTTATGATTGAAAAAAAGATAAAAACTCACCACAGCCTGCCACAGAAGGTCTAAGAAGTAGATGTTGTCGACGAGGTCAAGGCAAATGCTGACGAGGAAGTAGGAGATGAAGACCTGACGGTTGGACATGAGCGGCGTGTAGTGATGAGTTTCGAAGATGAACACGAAGATGAGGACGGACAACGACAAAGCGAGCTTGAAAGTCTGGTCGTCGAAAAGCTTGTCGTTGTTGTCGGTGGGCACGGGAGGCAGCTGAAGTCATTTTTCAGTAAGTATGCTCAAAAATAGTTTTTCAAAAAAAGTAATGGTTTTTTTGGCTAAAAGAATAATACGGATTCGAAAAATGACCAAAATGGGAATCACCGTGAAAAACTACATCTAGTGAACATATGCTCATATAGAAATCTTAATGAGGATTTAAAAAAAATTTCTCACCTCTTTGTAAAAAATGAAAAAACAGGCGATCAGCTTGGCGCTGAGCAGCAAGGCGTACGCAAGCCACGCAATGAAGGCGTACTTGATTCGGCCATCTAAAAAAAAGTTAATCAGTGTCGGTTAAAAGATAATTCGGGCTCACCAACTGAACAAACTTCTTCCATCTGCTTCTGATTGTACTTGATGGCGGCGACAGCCGAAATAATAAGGCCGCAGACGACGAGGGAGTCTGCCGCTATGAACAAAGCCCAGACGTATTCTTCGGCCATCTTGTAGAAGTAAAGGTCGAGCACGACGTCTTGGAAGATGATCAGCAACACGCTGAACGTGCAGGCCACGACGTCGATGAACGACCTCACGCAGATTCCTAAATTTTTGTCAGCCATCATTAAATCGCTGGATAATCTGGGTTGAATCGGCGGAATTCACTTTTTATTAAAGAAGCGCTGTTTCAAAAGTCGATTTCTGTGCATTGAGCGATAAAATTGACATTCAAAGCTTTTGCTTCCAAAAGGAATTGAATTTTGTAAACTGAGATTTCTATAGTTCACATGAGATGGTTCGGAAAATTCCCAGAAAGCTCTTCAGTTTCAAGTAGAATCAATTTTTTCATTATTATGTTCAGCAAATAAAAATCGAGAATGGATATACCTGGTATCACAGCCATGGTGTGAAGCTTTGCCGGTTGTGCAACTATGAGGGCGACTGTCTGCTCCTGCGGCTGTTTGACGGGGAACTCGTCGGCTCCTTCGTAGTACTCGTAGTGCGGGACAAACTCGTCGCCGTTCTCCTCGATGGCGTCTTCGATTATGTGTTTCGGATCTCGGCCTGACGCGTCGGTGTACGCGGCAGCTGCAAAAAATAATAAAGCTGATGAAGACGATCAAATTTATCATCTCTATCATGATATGAAATCGAGGTGTCTAAAGGTTCGGTGATTTATTCATTTTGGGCTAGCGATTGAGGTTTTTCTATTAGTTTATGAGCTTGAAAGAGTGCTTAGAAAATAAATAATGTTAGAAATGGATCTAGAAGGGCTATTAAGATAGAATAAGTCTTCAAATCGATTTGAAAAGTTCACTCAAATCAGGTAAGAGAAACGAGAGGGTACAGGTGGAAACGATTTGAGAAAAGTAGTTACCATGGGTGATTTCAAGAGTGTGAACGACTTGAACGTGTTCGGATTCTTCGTCCTCAACGACGGTGGTCAGATTATAAGGGACTGAAGGAGGTTGGCAGTCAGGTCGGACAGAAGAAAGAGCTGAAGGCTCGACGTCGCTCATTGGGACGATGATTTGAACAAAAAAGCGTTTCCCGGTATTGTGGCCCCTCCGAAAGTTTGTTCAAGAAGAAGACGAAGAAGACTTTTGGCGCGTAATAGGATTACAATGCTGTTTGCAGTTTGTATGTCGAAGTAACCGTTTTTTATGGTCTTCTCGGAGTTCCTTTTCTTTTACGCACGGAAAATGAGTGAATTTTTTGAGCTTGCGTTCAAGGAGACAACATTTTCTTATAATCTTTTCGTTGCTCGATTGGGGCAAACGTCAGTCTTCTACACTTCTTTATTAAAACACTTTTCTACTAATAATATGGAGATCCTGAGTTGTCTAAAGCCAGCATCAAATGAACTATTTTATTTTGTGGGTCTTTTTTGGAGAAGTGAGGGAAAAAAATCGAGAAAGTGTGAAAAACTGTCATGAGATCGAAACATTAAAAAACTGTATTAAAAAAAGTAAAAATCACAATCGCTTTTTCAAATTCCAATTTTCTACTTAACAAGAGCAGCTTACAAATGCCAATTGAAGAAAAAAAAACTTTTTGAAAAGACACTAGGTCTCAGGGTTAGCACTTTTAAGGGCATTAAAGTGGATTCTTATTCAAATTCCTCCAGCTCTACTCATAAAATCGTCTGAAGGACAAGAAAAAAAGCAAAGTTTGTAGGGATGCGAAGTTCTTGTGTTATTGAGAACATATACAGACAATAGAGTTTCCCAGTGGCAAAGGCTTCTCCTCGGCCAGTGTGCGGCTGAATGCCCGAACAAACAACTAACAGTTCGTCAGGCTTCGAGTTTCTTTCTCGACCAACGGTGCAAGCACAAACACAATAACTTAAACTATGTACACGCAAGTGTTTGAAAAAAAAATAGCTTCTCTTTGGATCTTTCGCAACCTTTTCGTATGGGGCTTTGAACTTTCTATCAGGGATAATCGAATTGATAATGAAAAAGGATAGTTATCTGTTCAAAAAAAAAAGATCTCACTTTGCGGGACTTAAATTTGAGCTGAAAGCACACGCTCGAAATTTCAAGTGATTTTTTTTTTGTCCAGGGGCTCATTTTGAAGTGAGAATTTGGGAAAGAAAACATTAAGGAAAAAAAGAGGAAACAGTTAAATAGTACAAAAAACTATATTCTAGGAGTTTAATAGAGGGAATAGCCTAAACAAAAATTTTTCATATTCTTCTATATATTCAAATAATAATTTTAAAAAGTTGAGAATCTCATTTATAAAATTTTTGTTCGAGCTAAATCAATTATTCAACAAAGAGACAAAAAAGAAACTCAATCAACGAAGCTATTCGGAAAGTTTTAGAGAATTTGTTACCGCATCAATATTTCATTCTTTTTGTTTGAAACTCAGCCCAGACTTGAAGCTGTTTAAAAAAAAAGTGAGAGTAAAGATGAAAAAAGGAACACCTAACTCTACCAAGAAAATGCCATTCCAAGACTTTTTCAGCGTTTCCTGGTGGAAATTGAAAGAACCCCGTTCTCTCACAAGCTCTGCTGATTTCCTCTCGCGATTCCGCGTTCCAATGTCCTAAAAAGGTGGTCAGTTGGCGGATTTGCTCCGTCAGCCCCCTCTAACATATATATTGGCCACAATAACGTCATTAAAGACGCAGATGGCGTCTGGTTGTTTATGGGTCTCATAGCGCGGAAATTGCAAAAGCGCAGGTAGACGGCAGACGAGTGTCACCAATACATCATTATCATCATCCGGTGTGTGTGACCTGTGCGTCGTAATTATCTGCCGATGTGCTAATGAGCCCATTTCAGCTACCGTTCATTATCCGCGCCTAACCTCACCTATCCTCTCCGCGGACAGGTGTGGCGGTGTCACCAGATGGATAATTCATAAATGAGGCTGGCGGCTGGCACGTTTCATCCCAGGATGTATCTTTGACGCGGGAAGTCCTTTCACCTAGTTTTCTGGATTTTCTGTAGTTTGTCTCAAACAATCTTCGATGGAAAGGACTCTCCAACAAAGTCGCTTTCATACCTTGGAAAATGAGGTAGACATTGATCATATATCTCTATAGGAAGATTGAAACACCCGACAATTTTCATCGTCACGAGATGGATAATTAATAAGTGCGACCGGGGGTTGGCACGTTCCCTTTCAGTATTCATCTTTGAGGGTGAAGGGCAAAAGTCACTCTAATACCTGATAGAATCGGATGATTAACGTCCGTTATCAGATTGATGTTGCCAACTCAATTTGAAAAGCTTCAATCAATTTCGAACTCAAAATGAGGGCTTAGCAATTAGAATTACACTTTCAGCATTCCTGGCCTGATTAGAAAAAAAGAAGAAAAATCAGTCTTTCGGAGAAAAAAAAACATTTCCTCTATTTCTGGACAGATGGTTTGATTCCATAGCGATTCTCGCTGGACCTCATCTCCAAATGGGCACTGAAGCATCATCGAAAGCAGTCATCCTTTCCCCCTCTTTTTGGCAACCGGCCAAACGGCTTTTCCGACCAACAACCCACACTGATATATGGTTGTTTTCCGGCTGACCGAACTAATGTTCTAGAGCTCCTTTTTTTGGGTGCCGCACTAGATACTCCATCACACACCATGAGAAAAATGTGTTCTGGGGGAGGTTGAAGAAGGAAGGGAGAAATTTTCTAGATAAGACTTAAAAAATCGTTTTGTGTATAGTTTGATCATAAAAAGCTTTGAGAAATACGGGATGCTTGAGAACGCTATATTAAAGTTCGAAAAAACATTTCAAGCTGTAATAATGTCTTGTATCTCTTATAGTCTGCAAGGGCAGAGTACCTATAAAAATATTTTGTGCTATAAAAATGGGGAGGAGAGCCAAAAAGAATCGGATGGGAATATAGACCTTTCTAGCGGACCTTTCTCAAGAAAAAAGTAGTAAAAGGAAAGATTTGACAAGAAAAAGTCATCGGCTGAAAGGCAAGTAGAAAAAATCCATCAGTGAAAAAGTGCAAAAAGGCTCTCTTCATCTTCTCAGAAGCATTTTGAGGAGCTACTTTTCTTTTCCTTTTTATGGTTCAACTTTCGGAGTTCAAGCAAAAAAGATGTTAACTCGGAACAAGAAGTCGAGTAATTTGATGGGACGGAGAAACGGCTGAAAATAGGTCTTATGTGTTCTCTAATTTCCGCCACCGACAGATTAGGTGGCGGATTGTGGAACGTTGGCTGCTGCTCTATATGTAAACAGATGAACAGACGGTCACACAGACTCACGCTCAAATGCACCACAGCTACTGCGTTCCAAGAAAGAGTATCATTCTAACCACATTGCGTTCTGTTTCGTCCTCGTTATTCTGTTTGCCTGACGGATTCCGTCGGTTTCTGGACCAAAGCATTTGGGCAAGAACAGATGAAGACGAGAAAAATGGATTGAAATTTGGAAGTTAATGAAGAAAGTTTGATAAAACCATCTTAATTGCTTGACGGACCACTTCGGTTACTGATCCAAGGAGTTTGGAAAAGATCGATTGGAGGGTGAATGACTGGTTTGAAGAATTGAGTCTCTAATGAAAGGTATAAAGAAAGTTTGAAGATACCGGCTTGCACAAAAAGAATGATGATTAAAAAATAAGCCAAAAAAGCCAAAAAGTGGTTAGAAAACAAGAATTAAAAAAAAGGATCATGCAGATAACACCTTTATCAGCTTTTTATTGTGTTTTGGAATTCTACTATAAATCCTGCATCAATCTGAAACGTTTCTCAATTTTTCCTTTTTGGCAAGGATTCGCTTGGCCAAAAATTACACGAACGAACTTTTCAAAAAGTGACCTCAGATATTTGATTTTTGAAATTATCCTCTACAAAACAGTTTTGAGTACAATTTTTAAAGCGCCATAAAAATATCTATATAAGGTGAAGAAGCAGAAAAGCAATATCCTAGTGTGAGGTGCACTGGAGGTCGTCCTGGACGAGCATGGCGATTCCCCTATTTATGTACATGAGTGTTCGAAGAGTCGTGCCGGAAATAAACGAATTACGCGACGGCTCTCTGAATTCCCCACGTACTTAGCAAATTTGCAATTTGATTACTAATGAAAGAGCTTTCTAAAAATATATTGTTGTTCTTAGTTGACATGATAATGAGATCGTGAAAAAAGTTAAAGAAGAAGTTTGAAGTCGGGTTGAAGATTTTTGTAGATAATAATAGAGAAAAGCTTTGGAAAGAGCGTTGGAATTTTTTGGAAAATAAAAATAAGTTAAGAAAAAAATCTAACAAAGAAACAATAGATATATATGCCTAACAAAAAAAAATGACAAAAACTTTTTGGGCGCACATGGGAATCGCACATGGGAATCGAACCCTCATCCCACCGCAATGTGGTTGCGATTACTACCCATTTAGCCATGAAGGCTCAGAAATTTGAAAAAAAAGGATAAAGCATTAACGGCTCAGTATGAAAAGAAAGTTGTACGAGAAAAAAAGCTACCTCCTTGGTCCATAAGACGGATGACGACTCAGAAGAGAATTGGTCCAGTTTCTTCGCTCTCAGTGAAGAAAACTAGCGTGAATTGGAATGGGTTTCGGGTTCAGCTGAGTCGGAATGAATGGAAGAAAAGAAGAAGGAGGATGGCTCTCGTGCTCTTCGATAGGGCCGGATGCGTTGGCGCTGCTTTGACCTCAGTCGAAGGCAGACGCTGGCGGAGGAAGTATCGCGCTAATTTGGCAGCCTGCCAGACCGTGAGGAACAAGGCAACTGCGCGCAGTGGGGATGAGCAGAGACGCTTGGATCTCGGGCTTTGGGTCAGTCGCCACGCCCACTTTTTCCTTGTTTTCTGCCGGCTCCGGAGGTCCGAGAAACGTCTGGAATTAATTGATCCAGTCAAATTACTTGGAAAACGGCAATTTGTTAGATTTGCTGATAAGTCATTCTGCGTGGAATGATTAAATTACTTGATGGAGTATCCTTTTCATTAGGATCGCTAATGACAAAGTAACTTGCAAACTTTTTTCACTTTGTCGGCGTTCTCGGAGGTTCAAGAAACGTCTGGAGCTGGTGGAACTATTTTTTTTCCAGTCGGAGTACAAGGAAAATTGCTATTCTAACTATCTGAAAAATTTCTTCATCGGAAATCCGCGAGTTGGAGTATTCGAAAGCTTTCTACTGAAGTTTCTAGAATCTCTAACTCCAGAGGGGGAGAGATTTGAAAACATCTGGAGCTAGTAAATATATTTAACCCCGTCAAAAACCAGAAAATCGCCATTTAGTCGGTTTTCAAACAATACATGATAAATGTTTGCTCTCTCTCTCTCTCTATTGAGGGAAATTTCTTTCCAAAAAACTTTAGGAGTTATTAAATCGAATATTCCGACTTCTTGACTTTCGTAAATATTAACACCAAAAAAAAATGCTCCTCTGACTTTTTTCAAAAACAGGTTTTCGCAACTCGGAATAGAACAATAAGGTTGGAAATGTGATACAAAAGTGGTGAAATGAAGTGGGCAGGTGAACGAGTTCCTTCAGGATGAATGGAGCACCACTGTATGCCTAGCTGAGGTCCGGCAGGTCAACAATTGGCTCCACTGAATCGCCAATGCCTTCTGGTTGCATAAATAACGGTTTTCCTCCTCTTTTCGCGCACCATGAAGCTTTGGAGGAGCGTTTTGGATGGCTTTGCGATTTCGAAAAAGGGCATTTCAAATATTTATAAGTTTCCACTACTTTCAATTCGGCTGTATAATCATTATTTCTCGGCTTGAAATGGCGGGGTGCAGCGATGACAGTTCAAAATAATTCACAGATTCAAAAAATAGTAATTTATTTAATGGAGACGCCAAAGTTCATTTCGAAAAGTTAATTTGAGTCCTTTCTCGTGTCTAGGGTGGTGTTCTCAAACTTAGGTAGTTACAGTCTTGACCGCTATGACGTCATATGACGTAGCGCGTTTTAAGGTTGCGACAGTGTAAAAAGTGTGCCGCCCACGTACCGCTATAAAACCATTTACTTCAATAGAAAAAAAAGTTTTTAAAGTAGAAAGTGATAAAATGTGGGCGGATCATTTTCCTTGAGCTGTGTTTCAATGCTCAGAAAAAAAGATATTTGATCCAAAGTATTCAATTTTATTAAAACCTGGGCAGAAAAAGGAATTATGGCTCGCGAAAAAACTCATCACTGCCCTCTACCTACCGTTTCTCTACCTACCGTTTCAACTGCCCTCTACCTACCGTTTCAAAACAAGAAATTATCAAGGGTTTTTTTTTCTGTGAGCGTAAAGTTGTCTTTCTTCCAGTCGGCTCTTCTTTTTGCGGCAAGCAATCGTTCTTCGACGTGCGTACGCATGTTTCTCTCCTAATTGAGAGCCTCGAGACATCGTGGAAGATTAGAATCCCTCAGGGTATCGCTGGAAGAAGCTTCTTCCCCGTTACACGGACGAATTACCAATGAGTTTTCGTCTCACGGCAAAAAAGTGGCTTCTATCCTTCTCTCTCTCTTCGCTAGCGCAATCTGTCACCGTAGTAAATTCAGTTTGGCATGGCTAGTTGATTTTCTTGGGAGTTCCGTCATAGAGGCTTTTTCTCCACTTTTAAGCTGTTTTTTGGCTCAAGTTTCTTCTAATTTAAGGAATTCGCCTTGATATTCAGTTGAACGCAAGAAAAGGGCAATGGTTGTGAAAATGGGAGAAGAGAAGCTTTGATGAATGATGGATGCACTACAAACGACAAGAACGCGAACGTCTTTGCATAATTGAACTTTGAGGGAAAAAAGTGAAAAGAAAAAAAAGAATAGTTTCTGAATAAGAGGAAAAAAAAATAGCGGAGAGACAAGCATTCGAAATCTTTGATTTTCAATTTTTTTAACACTCAAAAGGGCTCAGGTCAAGCTTGATTGTTGCTATTGAATTCTTGTCTCATGATTTTGAAGATCGATGGGTTTTTAAGAATGGGTCCTGGAGCGATAAATGAACGAATGGGCAAAAAAAAAAAATATTATTGTGACACATTGCTATTTCAAGAAGTTAGTCGTGATTTGAGTATGTAGTTTTTTTTTCGGAAACTTTCTCTGTTTTGTTTAGAGGATCATGGACTGTAACATGGACTGTGACAAACTTTTGAAAAATCTGTCAAAGAAGGGCCTCAAAGCAAGTTTCGCAGTACCTGCGCTAGTGGCCTTCAAAGTTTTCAGCAACCATTTATGATTAAAAAAAAAATCACTTTTGCATTTGAATAGTGCTTTTGTTAGACATGGTAAAAAAAATGTATTGAGCTCCAAAAAGACGATTCAAAAAAAAAAAATACAGAAATTGACCGAGCAATGATTTTTGCAACTTTTTTCCTGTTGCAAAAATGTATTCGACGTAATTCACTTATCTCTGCCGGAACTGAGTGGCTCAATATTCGCGCGCGCGTGCTCACAAGAGCCCTGCCCATGAATGGGAGGACAAGCGGCGCAAACAATCGTCTCTTCTCATTTGGAAGGAGGAGGGCGATTTCTAAAGTGCTGGGTGATGACCTCCAGCTTATGGGCCAAGTCTTGAAAATCTCCATTTTTGAGCTGAGACAGTAGTTTTGGCTTTTCGTGTTGATCTGATCACATAGAAACGCCACGATTTTTGAAAAAAAAAATATAAATATTGCCTTAAAATGGATGGATTGAACTAATTCGTCCCAACTTGTATTTCATAAGGGTAATAAGAACAGACGCGGCCGTGACGCGTCGAGCCATTCCAAATGCAAAAAAAGTAATCCAAGTTTTCGGTCAAGAAAAAAAAAGTTATACGTAGTTTTTTTCATGTCTTTGAAAGTATCGTTCCGAAAAACAAGGCTTTTTCTCTAGTCAAGCTCATTCCTTTGCGAAAAAGAGAAATTTTTATCAAAAAGGTACTCTTTCAGGAAGTCCACTCCATTGTCGATGATCTATCTGTGAGGCTCGGCGAGCTCGGCGACCATTGGCTCGACAACAGTCAGACGTCCCCCAAGTACTTCGAATTCACTCCCATCGAACTCCACGCCGTCACTGAACGTCTTCGACTTCCGGAACCCACGGCTTCTGGTTGAAATTTATGGAAAATCAGTGGAAAAGCGTCTTTTCAGACTCCCACATGGTGGCTGACATCGGTAATACCGTTGATTTCTTGCACCGGGTCCGCGCCTTGAAAATCCGAGGACAGAAAGGCTACGTCGGCACCTCGAACATCGTTTGGAACTCGTTGGACCTCAGCCTCAACTTTTGTAAAAATCTCCTCGCTCTTTGGGTTGGTTTTGTTATTTTTATTTCTCATATGAAAGGCATGCTGTTTTTTTTGTGGTAGACTATCTAGTACGCTGAGAAATTGGAATTTTAACAGAAGAAGTATATTCAATTCCGCCCTTCAGATTGCCGATTCTGACGTCGCTCGGATATCTGGACTTGGGAATGTTAGGGAGACGCTGCGACGTCTTGTCGTCCACTACTCGATGAAGAACGTTCGGGTTCGGATTCATCTTGTCTGCTCTTTTCCACAATTGTTGAACTCCCAGGACTTCCTGGTCGATGCTGAAGACGATGGAGTTCGGCCTGTAGAGGAGATGGTCAAGTGGAGCGGCCTCGAAGACGTCGACTTCTCTTTCAACGAGCTGAAGGGCTTCGATGAGAGTGTGGTTCGTCTGACATTTGGTCATTGCTTGGTAGTTTTCCGTCCATTCTTTAGAAATAAAGAGGTGAAAATAATTGATGAATTCGGTTTGTGGTTAGACTGAGAAAAAGCATAGCCCATTCCGTACCAGCTCTTTTTGTTTTTTAATATTAAACTTGCCCCCTGTTCTTACGATAACTTTTTTCTACCGACCGACTCGCCCCGAACAAACTATATTCAGAGATTGCTCGGCACTGTCCGATTGCTCAACTGCAGTTACAATAACATCCTCGACATTGGTGTTCATCTTCAGCATCTCCATAATCTGACCGAACTCGATTTGTCCAATAACAGTATCACAAAAGTCGACAAGTCAGTGTCTCTATCAGAATTATTAAATTCAAATTTATTTGCTTCGAGTTGGAACGAAAAGCTTGGAAACGTCAAGAAGCTGAAGCTCGGCGGTAATTCCATTGAAGATTTGACCGGTTTGTATTTATTTCCTGTTCCAAAAGGGAAAAATCTTCATTTGAAGGCTTGTCGAAGATGTACTCTTTGGAGTATTTGGACGTGAAGGGCAACAAGGTTTCAACGATTGGTTGGTTTCCTTTTCTTCAAGTTCAAAGAAGTTTCATTAGTCTTTTAAGGGTATGAGGATTTTATCAATATCAATATTTTTTTATTGGTTGTTTTAGTCAGATGGAATCGACTAGGCGGTGAAAAAGTTGCTCTTTGGAGCGGCACTAACACCGCCTTTGGCGAAAAAGAAGTCAAACGTTTAGTCGATCGAATCGAAAACATGATCTTACGGTCCTTCACCTCGTCCTTCAACAAGTAGATCCCTCAGTTTTGCGGGTACGGGCGCGGCGGGGATGGTGGGGCTCGGGCACGGACGTCGTGTACACTCTAGGGTAGCCTCGGGAGAGCTTTTTTGAGAGAGTTGAGAGAGCTACCACTTTGAGTGAAGAAAACACACGGAATTTTGAAGAGAAGCTTTTGAAGAACTTACCAAAATTTTCATGAGAGCATTTTTTCTCTGCGCTCTCTTTTTCTCTCAGCGACCTTCTCATGTTGACTTGCTATTTTCACTTTTCTCTGTCCTTGCCAGTGAGGGAACAGAGAGACTCAGACACTCAAAAACGTTCAAATTGCGGCGAAGGGGCTTCATTCTTCCAGAGTTCTTCCGGGTTTCCGATAAAATTTTTGAACTTTCCAAAATTGTGGAATTTTAGCTACAAGGAACTTGAATTTTTAGAATCCGTGCAGCCGGTTGGCAAGCTCCCCTGTCTAGAGATTCTGATTCTGAGGGAGAATCCGATTCGAAAGGTCGTCGAATATCGGACCCGAGTTTTGGAAGCTTTCGGCGAGCGGAGCAGCGAGGTGAAGCTCGACGGAAGAAGGACCGACTCCAGGGAGCTTGATACTGTCCGCGTGAGAATGGCTCTGAGGAGAGCCAAGGAGGAGAAAGAGGAGAAGGAAAGGAAGCGCAAAGAGCGGATCGATGAGAAGATTCGGTACGATTTTTCGAGTTTTTGCCGAATTCATTTCATATTCTAAAATACCCATAACTGAAACGATGTCTCTGAATATGTTAAAAAAATAAATCCGGAGATTCGAATTTTTGCCGTTTTACTATTTGCCTTTCTTCAAACAAACTTTTTGAAAAAAAGTTTCCAAAAAAATAGATTTTTTTATGGTTTATGATCCGAATTTTGAACATTGACTTTCCTTTTTTTGGTTTTTCGGCAAACTCGTTAAAGAAATAGATTAAAAAAATATTTTTTTGAATTTTGCAAATTATCAATAGCGATCTAAGTCTACAAGGTTGACAGCCAGTTAAATTTTTTTTGAAAAGTTTTTTAACGGCTATATCAAACGCTAAAGCATTCAAAAGCCGAGAAAAGAGAGTCATTTTTTGTCTGAAAAGAAAAAAGCAAAAGAAAAAGGTTCGAGAATTTCAAAAAAAGGACATTTTCAACTCCAGGTCAGGGTCCACTACTCGTTAAGAAGAAATCATTCTCGTTACTGGTTATTCTACTGCATTTTCGTCTTGTATTTATTATAACTACTCATCTTTCTACTGTATGCAGTTAACAAACCTATTATTTTTATAAAGCGATTCTCAAGCTTCAAAATTTCCGTTACAGCTACATTTCGGGTGACGACTTTGAAAACGATCTTTCAGCCCCTTGCGACTTTTAATTTCGAAATCTTTATCACAGTTTATTGCATTTTTGTCATCTTTCATGTACATACTACGGATATCAACATTTCGCTTGTTGAAAAGGATGCATCCTTAGATGCTAAACGGTTCTCAATAGTCATTTCGCTTCGAATTTTATGTTCTTTTTTTTGCATTTATTTGTACTGTATTTTTTCTCGTCATTCTTACTCGTACATACTGGGATTTCGTGTCAAGACTGTGCCAATTACCCTAATCTATTCGCTTGTGAAATACACGCATTTTTCTGGTCCCTCGTCCTCACTATGAGCTTTTTGTGATTTCCTCCTCTTTCTATCTCTTTCACTCCTTTTTCTCTTTACTTCTTACTCGCCTTCTTGTGATTCATTTTCCTCACTTATTTGTGTTCGATTTCATTATTTGGATTTCATAAAGCTTCCTGTGAATAGAATAACCTCAAAAAAAGCGTATATTGACTATAATTTGAAATTTATCGTATTCGAATAACGAGAAGCGCTTTCAAACGACGCATCTTCCATGCAAAAGGTAATCATTTTGTCGAATGACGTTTCCTGAAAAGTTGACTTTGTTGGTGAAGGGCTAAGATTTTCCTTTCAATTTTTTCGAGAGATTTTGAAGAGCATTCACTGCTTGAGCTCCAACCCCTATGTGTCGCAACCAACCAATCAGAGATCATTTTTAAATGACGTCATTGTTCTTGAAACTTTTTTTATAAGGTTATAGAAATATCTCAAAAATTAAATTCACATCATAAATGCCTCACTTTTCCCTCTCCTTTTCGTCGTCGGCCTTCTGTCGGTCGTGGTTTTCATCGTCCTCCCCGCGGCGCTTCTCCAGCTTTTTCAGAGCGTGCATCTTGTATTGCTCGATGAATTGCTCGATGGGCGCGTCGCGTCTCACGAAACTCTCCTAAAAGTTTTTTGGAAAAATCAGCTCAATCCATGAGGGCGGAAAATCTTCTGATTTTTAATTTTTTTTTTTCAAACTAGTAGCTCCAAGAAAGCTTTGAGAAAAAAACTACAAAATATATAATATTAAAAGAGAAAGAGTGCTTTAAAATTCTAATCAAGGTCGGAGAAAAGCGGATTTCATCTTAATTAATATATTGACAGTTCAGTGTGAACCCTAAAGAAGACACTTGGATCTAAAACCTAATAAAATACATCATACAACTCAACCTATTTGAAAAATCTCACCTGAATGAAATATTCGAGGAGGCAGACATGCAAGAACAAGTACTGTACGTGGGACTGGATCGCCTAAAAAGTTTGTTTTATATTTTTCGAAACTTGTGAAGTTTAACCTGGTAACGCATAGCTCGCATCTCTTTGACAATGTCAATCAGGTCGAGGTTCGGCTCTTCTTGCAGTCTTACGTTGGCATAGTCGATTCCTAAAAACAGTGGTTACTGAGTTTGAACAGAACATCAAGTTTTTCAACAAACTTTTGCCTTTTTATTATTTTGTTCATACATTCTTTGCTCGAGTTGGATTTTAATCATTTTTAATAAAATGATGCGAATTTTCAGTTGTGATAGGAGCCACTTGAGCTTCAACTCAAGCTTTATTATGACACCAAACCCTAAAAAGGCCACTAAAACTTTTCGGAAAAGGCTGAGTTTACCGACAAAAGTGGCGGTTCGTCCGACTCCAGCGGAGCAGTGGACCACGATCGGCGCATTTTTCGGATTGGTCTTCTGAATTTTCTTATGAAGAAGAATTTTTAAGGTATGCGAAATTTTATGTACATATAATCAACTTGCATGATAATTCCAGCAAAACCAGCTTCAAAAACTAATTGGAATCTTGGGCGAAATGAAGAAAGATTTCGAAAACCAGGCACCCGTTCCACTTCTACACTATCCTCATGAACACCCAACTCATTATTTTTTATCTCATTTTCATTTTACCTTAATAAAAAGATACTCGAAAAAAATCAAAAAAATCAACTTGCTTTTGACCCACAAGTAGAGTTTAACCATGGGCTTGGCGTCAGCTGGAGCAAGCTGGTCCGGCCACCACGGCACGATCAAATGGAGCAACTCGTGCTGCTCTCCTCTGCAAGAGAGTTTGACTCGTTAGGTCTCACAAGGGAGATGAAAATGAACCCAACTTGAAATATTTTTCCAAACGTCAAAGTCAAAGAAAAAAATTTCGATTTTTTTACTTGAGCCAATTCAAAAAAATTCAAAAAATATCGAATTAGTGAAGTTCTTCTATAGAAGTGATCTCTGTACAATATTAATAACCTTTTTTGAAAATAAATTTATGAAAAATTAATGTGGGCAACGCGAAACTCGACCAAAATATTAAAAAGCGAAAGATTTTAAACCGGCGCCAGAAACGTATCGCAAACGGTTTGCATATGAACTGCAAATGCAGGCTATTTTAGGCCAAGAAAAAAGAATTACTTCTGTGGAATGTATAGTTATAGGCACCATAACTTGACAAAAGTCGAGAGCTTTTTATTTGGATTTGATCTCACAAAGTGAATCTCTCCTGAAGACTGACGATATACTTGTAAAATGTAGGACCACAGGCCATTTTTTTCAAAACTGTTCGAAATTATGTTTTTCATACTATTCGATAGAGCAGACCGTCAATAATCATAATCCAATTATTTTTCAAAAAAATTTCATGTTCATAAAAAGAGAGCTTTATCAGGAAGCCCTGGAGAAAAATCTTAGCAAAGTTTCACGGAGATGAGCCTATTCATATGTTTCCTAGACCAACTTGTGGGTGACGTGCAGAACGTTGCAGACGACGCCTTCCACCGGCTCAGGCTTTTCCTCGACGAAATGCACTTCGAAACCGTCGTAGTTCTCCTTGGTGCCAACTTTTTCCGGGTAGTACAGAGCACACTTTTGGCCACCGCCTGGTGAATTTCGAGTTTTTTCACATCTTGTAAAAAGCTTTCGAGGCGTTCAAAGTTTATAAAGGTCTTAAGTAACCTGCAAAAATCAACTCTTCACTTTGAAACCCTCATGAAAACACTCTATGCGCCTTTAAATATCACAACAAGCTTTTACGACAGTCTAACAGCTACCTTCGACCAGATTACAGAGCATAATCACAAATTTCGGTTTCTCCTGATGGATCATCGCCCAGAAGTCGGCAATCGTTTCTGGCAGAGGGCCCTGGAACATGATTATTTCAAACTTTTTAGTCCTGTTCAATGATACTTTTACAAATATTGATAACGGGGATATTTTGTCGTGAAATTTTATTGTTTTGCTCCTCTGAAGAGAAGCAGTTTCAAAATTTATCTTGACTCTTTTTTCATGGGTCAGATCTAATTTTAACTTCAAGCTTGGGCAGTTAAACCAACGCCTATTAAAGGATCATCGTCGGGCGCGATAAAAATCATCGAAGCAAAAAAGTTTGCTTTACCTGTTCGACAAATTCTTAAAAAACTATAGGATCGAACAAAAAACGAAAATATAGATACCTGTGTACAAATGTAGCTGCAAGACTTGTCGGGCATCGTGATCCACGAGGCGTGGATGTAGTCTTCTTTTCGATTTTTCAAAATCACGCGTGTCGAATCGATGCACAAGACGTCGGTATATCTCAAAATAACATCTTATGAAGCAGTAAAACGAATATTGACTGATAGAACGGAAAAATATTTCTTCTCAATGGACCTGTTCTTGAGAGGGTTCGCGTCGTGGACCTTGTAGGTCTTGCCAGGCGCAGCATAACCCTTGAGCTTTTCCTTATGTTCCAGAGATATTTCTTTGCACTTCTAAAAAGTTCAGATTCTCAGGAATTCAATAAATGAATAAGTAACCCTCTTAGTGATTTTCGAAACCCAGAGCGCTCGGTTATCCGTTTTATCGGAAGACTTGGGCTCGCTTTTCGGTTTCTCCTTCTGGGTTTCCTTGGAAGCCTGCGAGAGCTTGGATGAAGGTGTTATGGCTGAAGCCTTGCTCTCATTTTTAGGGTTAGAAGGAGAGGTCGAGAGGATGGATGGTTTTTCGGTGCCGGCTGGAGTGGCTGGAGTTGTCGACGGGGGAGGCGCCGGCGTCGAAAGCGATAACGCGGTTCCTCGGCCTCGCGATGTCGCCGAACTTTCCTGTGTTGGGAAAAAGTTATATAGTCTGTGTGCCACGACTTGAAATTTCACGGAACGAAATTCCGCTGTTCCGCTGCGTGCGTTCGCGACGCGTCTTTCGAATCTAGATCACGCTTTCAATTGATTAATATTGCAAGTAATGACATTTAATAAGAGAAAAAAAAAGAATTAAAAGCGCGACCATGGTTCGCAAAGACGCGCAGCGGCACAGCGAAATGTCGTTCCGTGAAATTTCAAGTCGTGGCACACAGACTATATGGCAGAAATCGCAAGATTGAGCTTGGAAAAAATCTATAAGATGAGCAAGTATGAGACGATTTGATGAAAAGTCAAAAGGTTGGAAAGCTGGAAAGAGACGCGAAATACTAATCCTTAGAGAGAAGTTCAACACTTCATTCGTCACGCCTTGAAACAGTCTGACCTGTCTGCTCACTCTTTTCTCTCACCAGCACGGTCATGGAACATTGGAAGTACTGTGCAAAAAAATAACGCAAAGCAAAAAAGAGCCCTTATCAAATGTTTGGTACATATCCGAGAAAGTTTCGAGAAGTATGTTATTTTTCTTGATTTTCATCATTTTTCACCTTTTTCTTTCCTTGACACAAAGCGAAGGTGCAGGCCACGAACAATCCGATGAATATCTGAAGTATTGAAGTAACGTCCAAGCCCATTGTCGCGCGGGCGGTAGACATTCTGTGAAATGGCCAGTGATGTCCACGGAAATTCTTTCCAACTCAAGGAGATCACGTTCAATTTTACGTTGAGTTTAAAAAAAAGAAGTGAGATAAATTAAAAATCCTGACCTGTCCGAAACTCGAAGTTCATGGCTTTAAAAGATGGATTTCTTGATCATCAGCTGAATTTTCCATTCTTCATCATTTCCATACTGAAACTTCGTGGTCGCACTGGGAATGGCTTCTCGCTTGGTGGTCGCGTCGCGGTTAAATCAAGGTCTGTGACTGATTTCTTATTAAACCTACACGTGAACTTTTTCAGCCGTTTCTCAAAGCCTCTTCTTCACTACCTGTACTTGTTGAACCGTTCCAAATGCCATAATGACCCGGGAATTGTATTCGGTCGTAGTGGGTATTTTGAGTGAGTCCAGGTTTTTTTGATTCAGTTTTTTTTACTCTGACTTTATTCACAGATCTCCTCGGCGATTTTTGAAGCCATACTTGGAATCAGCGTGAAAAACAATATCCGGAAAAGTCTCATTCTCCCCCCTAACTTATTCTATCACACCAGAAAACATTCTGACCCCAAATTCATCGACATGAGTCATGAATCTATCTTTCTTTTTTCGTAATCGTCTCCGTGCGAGTTGGTTTTGAATGAAAAGTGTGGAATATAAATAAAAATCGATGGGCGCGAGGGGCTTATTGTTGACACAGTGGTCTACCTGTTTCAACCTTTTCTCCCACCTTCACTCCGCCTCCTTTTCCCTATTTTTCCTTTCTCTCCGTTGCCGCGTTCGGCCGAATCAAATCGGCTCAAAGTTTGGTCTTTTTGATCAACTTTATTCTCGCCTGAACATTTTTCACCTTTGGAAGATTTGAGATAGAAAAATATAATCGAACTTCTGAGATCTCTCAACGTTAAATTTTCGAAAAATTTTAGAATTGTAAAAAAGCTTCCTTCATTGTAACTTCATACTCAATTTAGCGAAAAATGAAAAAAAATATAATGAGATCTTCGTATTGCCCTTAACAACACTGAAAATCTGATCTTCGCTTCAAGACCTTTATGAATTGAGTTCATGCTCCTTTAATAACAAAGTTAGAGAAAAAATTCAGAGCAAACTATACTAAAATAACGGTAGGATATGTTTCAAAAAAGGCTTGAACCCTTGAAACCCTTGAAAAAAAAATTTAAATATATAGCATGTCCCAAAGTCTCTCATTCATTATTTATAAAAAAAAGTATACTAAAAGAAAAAAAAAGGAAAAAAAAATTCTTCCCATTTTCCAAGAAAAAAAAAGCAGCTTGAGACCAATTACAAGGCGTTTTCTCTCAGATGGCTGGGACAAGGTTTCCTGGTGTTTGTTTATTTGTCCGTTGTTTACGAAAGAAAATTGTTTTCTGGTCTTCGAAACATCTATAACAATTGATTTCTCAGTTTCGCCATAACGTTCTTTTCTTCCTCTTTTCCGTCATTTTTTCTATTTCGGATCTATAAATCTTAGCGCTTTTCTATTTGCTCAGCTTTATACAAATACAAATAATTTTTTGTTTTGCAGCGCCTTTTATGGGCTGGTATCGTTGTTGTTTTTTGCCTTATCAAAGCTAAAAAATGTGGAATAGTCTTTCGTCTGAACTGTACTTTTTTATATTAAGAAAGTTATAAAGTTATTTTTTAAGAAAAATGGGGCCAACTGCTTTCATTGAAACAAGCTAGAAAAAAAAAATTTCCACTTCGAAATTTTTTTTTTGAAACCTTACGAGTTATACAAAACTTGTTCAGCTATTCATTTAGGATAAATTACCTTCCAATTGGAACCTCTGGTCGCACGTAGAATGTCTAAGGCTTTTAATAAGATAATTATTCTAATTGAGACGTTCGGAAAATTTTTCAAAATGCAGCAGACCAAAAGCGACTTGCGCTAGCTTCCAACTCAAAGCGCAGCGTTTTCGCGACACGGTGAACCATTCCAAATGCGGCAAGATGATCTTTACACTGACAAAAACTCGAAAAAAAATACTGGATTCCAAATAAAAAGTTGATTGATAAGGATAGCATGTTTTGCCGAAAGTTACTTGTTTTTGGGTACTTCCGCGTTGGTTTTCATTTTTTTTTTCGAAATTTCTCATCTCGATTTTGAAATCCAACAATTCAGGTGAATGTCAAAAATTCGTCACCCTTGATTCTTGGTCCTGGCGTCACGTTATTCCTCTAACTATTGGGGAAAGAATGACTCATTTTCGTTTGCCGGCGTTTTTTTTTCTATTTTTCCGCGCCAAACAACAGACCCACTTGACAACCTCTCTATTTTCATACCTTTTCTAGGTGAAAAAGGCGTATTTCTTTCGTTTTGAAATAAAGTCGAGGTCACTTTAACGGCTCAATCCTTTTTTATTTCAAAACTGAATCTTTAAAAATTTCAGATTTTTTTTGTCCTTTTATTTACTGAATAAAAAAACTGGAGACTAAAAAAACAAATTTTTCGTGTTGATTTTTCTAAAATTGTGCTAAAAAAAGGAATTTAACTGTAATTATTGGATAGTGGGATAAGCTCGCGGAAAAACTAAAGACTTTTCAGAAAATTAAAAATTTCGTGAGGCAAAGTTTAAAAAAAGAGTTTTTTTGAGCATTGATATCCCGCTTTTCCTCTCTTTCCAATGAAACAATATCCAAAACGAGCTTCAAAATGTCAATTTTATAAAATTTTCAAGAAAACCATTTTTAAGAGTTATTTCCTCTTATTCTAAATTCATGAATAAAATTCCTGTTTCACTTCTTTTGAAACTTTTTTTCTGACACATTCCTTTTCTATAATTCTTTTTCCTTTAATTTTTTTTTATGTTGATAAATAAAAAAAGGCTCACTCTCGAAATTCCTCGTGACCGCCTCGCGTCCACTGTTGCTACGGGAGATTTGAAAACAAACAATAAATTTCAGTATTTTTGTTCCATTTCAAAGTCTTCATCGATAGCTGAAGATGTCCTATCCGCAGTATAACCAGGTACATTCTGCAATTAAATCCTGATTTCATGATAATATTGGTTTGAAGGGACCAACCTACACACAGCAGCCAGGCTACGGCTACCCTGGTCCGAATTACAATGGCCCACCGGTCAGTTGATCTGAACAAGATGATTTTTATTATTAATGACTTTCTAAAATTATTTTATTAATCATATTATTTTTTCAGGGATACGCGAACCAACAGCCAGGTTATGGATACCCACAACAGCCACAAGTCGTGTGAGTTTCGATTTTTTAATAAAAATAACGACATTAAAAGGTAGGAAAGTGAATATTTTTTTCTGCATTTTCTTTTGCACTGAGAAACTGAATTGGATTCCGTATCATTTTTTCTGTATGAATAATCAAAACTTAGATATTCCTGATATTTAGTGAACACGAGCTTTTTTTCATGGAGCCCTGCCTTTGAATTATCTTCGGGACACTTCACTTTTTAAGAGTAGAATTCAAAAAAAACCTCAAAAATTAAGCCGGAAAACTTTGTAATGAATATACTCACAGTGAAAAAAAAATTATAAGAAAATAATGGTAAGTAATGAAAAGATTTTTGGTTTGGCGGTCTTTTTTCTCGTAGGGCAAATATTTGCACGATTACTGGCGCCAAAAAATTTGAGGTAGACTCATTTTTTGGCGATTTCTCATTGTCGAGATTTTTTCTTTGGTATAGGATTGGCTGACGAATTTTTTTCACGATTAATCGAAATTAATAATTTTTTTCGTCGATCAGTTGAAAAGAAACAAAAAGCTTGGGACGTTAAGGGGCGTGGTCTGTCTGCTCTCTCCTCCAAAGGGGAATTATTTCTTTTATTATCGTGTCAGGACCTTTTTTTGGTAGCTCAAGCTAACTGAGAATTGATTACAGTTTGGAGAGTTCAATAGAAGATATTCACATGAACTTATGAATTCAAAAATCTCTCCTCTTGCAAAAAAATTTTTTTTATTTTTTTGAAAAATAAATAGACAAAAAAACGCGTTAATCTGACTACACCTTTCAAAAATGTTCCTCAAATTCTACAAGTAAACTATAGAAGCTATTAAAAATCGTTCATTCAAAAGTTTGGAAAGAAAAATTTTCAACATGCAAAATTGACCTAACTTCTCATATTTCATAAGAGTAACATAAATATGAACCCTAGAGAGTTCACTTGGGTATAAAAATTCGAGAAATTACATCAAATAACTTTAAAACTTAAAGCCTTAGAAAAAAAGAAAAAAACTGAAAAAAATAACTAACTAATTAATTTTTTTGTACCGTTAACTTTTTTTTTGAAAAATATGAAATTTCATTTTTCATATGCGTGGAGCTCATAGTCCCAATAAAGTCATAAAAAACAGATTTTGGATTCACCTAGATTGAATTTTTTGAAGACTTGGGATAATGGCTAGATTAAAACTTGCAGTAGCTTGAAAGGAACTGAAAATTTCTAGAGTCACCAGTAATTCTGAAAAGTATGAAAGATTGGTATTTTCAGTGTGGTTGAGCAGCGACACCACCATCACCGCGACAATTCTAACAGCAACTGCTGTTGGGTGGCTCTGATGGCCTGCTGCGCCGGGTGCTGCCTCGCCGATTGCTGTGACGGCGACTGCTGCTGTTGTTGCTGATCAAGTCGTCCGGACGTGGATGTTTTGAGCTGAAAAGTGTCCCTGATTCCTTGTTCTTTTTTATCTTCTTTGGCTTCGATTTTGTTTCTAGTTTGTTCAGATTTTGAATGTCAAGTCATCCCTCACGCTCCACCTACGTCCAGTCGCACTTCTTCAGCTACCCCGTTCTTCACTTATCTGTTTCAACCTAATCACAGTCCATTTTCCAGTACCTTTTTCGGTCTTCAAAGTCTTCAAAACAGCTGGTACCAATTTTTCGGCTTGATCTTTAAAAATTATGAGTAAAGTTCTTTGAAGGCTCAGTAAAAACTATAATTCTCATGGCTAACCCCCCCTCCCTTTCTTGGTTGTGATCGATATCCTTTCTTCTGAACCTGTACATTTTATGAAAAAGTAGGGATCATTTTGAACAAGTATTGTTAAGACATTTCATTTGACATTTTTTAATAAACGCAGCCCGATTTTATTTATTTTTGGTCAGATCAAGGAACCAAAAAAATATTCACAGAAAGAATATTGCTCTAAGTTCAGATTTAGTCAATTTTTCCAGACTAGAAAGGCGAGTTGGATAGATTGACAATAGTGAAGCGTTGCGTACGCGCCGCGGCTTTTGGCGGGAATCTGACCAGTGAGTTCAAACGCAATCATGGAAAAATGTAGAAAAAAAAATAAACGTTCAAACAAACCATGCTCAAATAGACGATTACAAAGTGATAAGAAATAAATGAAAAACGTGTAGATTTGGCATTTCCGACTGACTCACCTCTACTAACATGATGACTCGAAGGGTTTACGTCGCTGAACCGCAAGTTCAGTACATCGTCGTGTCAGTTTTCACCTATGATGTAGAATTTCGGAAGTAAAAAAACAAGGTCTCAGAGCCCTTTATGGCCTGTTCAGTTTTGAATGTCAAGCGCAATGGCGTCATCCAAAAAATCCTTTCTGGAGCTCTCGTCCTCTGATTGGTTCCCTATCAGGGGCGGAGCTCGAGGAATTACTTGACATTCGAAATCTGAACAGACTTTATATGGCTTATTCACGGCTAGCTTGAGCATTTGAGAAATAGGTCTTGACACGATAAAAAAAAAATAGACAGTACTTTTGGTTGGTGGATAGGCCACGCCCCCAACGGTCCAAGCTAGCCGTGAATCGACTATCGAACGATTTCAAGTTAAACCTTTTCATTAAGTTAAAAATTGATGAATTATGGTTTAAAAAAAATTCGGAAAAGAAAAGAAGAAAAACAAAAAGATGAAGAAAAGCCTCCTATTTATCAACAAAACTGTCTTTCTTTATTTTCTTTTTTGAGCGAAGCTTTTCCCTTTATGAGCTTTGGCCAATTGACGCTAAAAACAAGGATTCGAACTTTTCTTAAAGTAATAAAATAGACAAAAAAATACCAAATATCGAAATACATCAAAATTTCAAAAAATGTCGTAGCTGCATCAAATTCAAAAGACACAAATTTCCAAAAATGAATCACACTTCTCTGTTCAGTCGTCAACAGCCAGCCATGACTCCCGAACAACAATTCGTACTTCAACAACAGGCCCAGGCCCGAGCTGAACAGTCAGTTTCTTTCCGAAATTTCCAGTCCAAAAAAGGAATTCAGACAGCGGAGGGAAGAAATTTGCTGTCTGGGAGGGCTGATCGCCTGTCTCTGCTGTTGCTTGATGGCTTCGGCGGGTAACTGACCGACCTACTCGTTTCTTTCCGGAAATAAATGTCTTGATCGATTCAATTCACACTTTAAAAAAAGATAGGATCTTAGGCAGTTTCCTAAACGACTCACTAAGGCCTCTGAAATAGTTTCCTAGCGTAGTTTTATGAATTTTCAATGATAAGATCATCATTTTCGAAAGGAAAAGTGTTTCAGAGAAGAAAAAAAAAATTTAAGAAAAAGGGTCTCATCGAAAAAAGTTCCGATTTATGGAAAGATGAAACTTTTTGAGTCTTTTGGGTTTCTTTGAAAATCTCCAATTTGATTTTTTTCTTTCAAGGCTTTTTCGAAAAATCTGATATTTTTTTGGATTTGAAAAAAATAAATATTTCTCAGACAATGTGCAGTAAAGTCCATTCTAAAAAAACAACTATCCAAAAAAATAACTTCCTTTTTTTACTTTAAAAATTTTTGTTTTCGACCGCAACGCGACCTTTGAGCCATTCCGCAGGCGGTCAAAAGAATTCAAACCGTGTTTTATTGAAATTACCGGCCTTTTCTGAATGATATCAGGCTCAAAGACATAACAAGTTTTCAATAATAATAAATATTAATGACAATATGGTTGAAAACCCTGTTCTGGAACAAAGTGTTGAGAAAGTATCACGAATATTTATTCAAAGTCAAAACTCGGTTTTATTTCAATTTCCGAAAGTACGTACAAAAAAAATTATGATCAGTTTTCTCAAAAACGTATTCTTTGGATAATCACAACACAATCACAGGAAAAAAATTCAATATTTTCTCGTTCTTTGACTTTTTCAGAAGAGTTACTGAGAAGTCATGCTTCTATTCGAGTCCTGATACTGTGCTGTCGTGCTGACGCTGATGCCTGAAATGTGAATTTTAAATTTTAGATTTGAAAAACCTAAAAAACGGACCTTTTTTGCCAATACGCCCAAAAATGGCTTTCTTGAACTCCTTGTTGAAGCTCAGAGTGATCAGACTGAAATCGTTACGATATTTTGAGGAGCTTCAATAGGATTTTTGTACCCATCGAGAGAGTGTACAGTAACCCAGGCTACGGTGGTGAGGAAGAAGTTCTTCCAGACGCCTTGGACGTAGGCCGGGGTGATGAAGTAGGTTATGAGCTCGCAGACGAACACGAACGCTTGGAGACAGGCCTTGAAAATTTTCAAAATAATCTCTTTTGTCACGAAATGGAAAGTTTGAGCTTCATCTCTCTTCTCGTCATTTTTCTCTCTCATAATAATTTTCGCCGTTTTACTCGGAAAATTTTAAGTGCCCTCTCTAGGATTTTGACGTTTTAGTGACCACTATAGTAATCGAATCAGTGGCCACTTAAGTGACTAAAAATTTTTTGGCCAGTTTAGGAGTCTCAGTGGTGCCCTTTCACTAAAAATTACTAGAGTGACCACTAAGACGTAAAGTATTGGCTTCAATGGAGGTGGTTTTTGTGGCCATTTTAGTGACCTCTCCAAGCCGTTTTTGAGGAACCCCTTAAGTTGCCACTAGAGTTTTTTTTTCCAGTGTCTCTAGTTAGTAGATGCTCCAGCTCTCTTTTTTCAAGGACTTAAGAAAAGAAAAAAACTTTTTCGTACCGTACAAGAGCCCGAGAGTGATTTTTTAACATCCTTATACAGTTTTTCTACCCAGCCTTGATCATTAGCTATTTTTTGACAGCTCAAATGTCTAGACTCTTCTTTGAAGACATTAAATCTGGTATGTATAATGAAAAGAAGTACAAGTAATCATTCCCTGAATAGACTATACCTTTATCTATTCTCAAACATTTTATCTCTACCCTAATCTTCAAAGATTCGCTCACGTGAAGTGATTAAGTGTTTAGGTAAAAAGTAAAGTTAATCTGATAAACTTTATATGAATAATCCCGAGATTATCGTCAATACCGAATAAAAAACACATAAGCTCTTTTGAGGAACACTTAGGACGTTAACGTTTTCTTTGAGTCACACGTGAGGAATATTATTCTGATTAAGCTCTATTTTTCATGAAATTTTTTTTGTGCGGTTCAAGGATTCTATTTTCTTATGAAAGAAAATGAAAATTTGAAGAAAAAGAAGAAAAATCATGAAGTTGGGAATATTTTTGCGGTTAGCAAATTTTGGGATTCGATTTTTTTTTCTTAATTGCCAAAATTTTATAGTAAGCTCTAACGAACAGCCTCTACTTGTCTATTTTCGCCTCAAAAATTCAGGAAAAATCAGATGAAAAGTTCGGTAGAGCGAACTTTCAATACTTCGAACAATATTTTTTTCTGGTGGTTACTGTGGTCCAAATTTTAAAAAAACTCCCATTCTGAACATTTTTTTCATATAAAAAGGGTCACTGAAGATTTTCACTGTGAATTTTTTTCGTTTTCGATCTTTTTTTCAAAAAAATAAAAAAATCTTCACAAGCTGAGAAAAATAACCTTCAAATACTACAAAGAAAAATTCGAAATTTTAATCCGTACCTGCTTCAAGAAGTTGATCTCTTTGGCACGGCGAGATCTGCTGAACTGCTGGTTTGAGTTCACCTGAATATAATTCCGGAATATTTTTAAATTTAAAGATTCGAAAACCTGTTTGTTGGTGAGATGAACCTTGAAGATGGTGACCAGGTCGATGATGACGATGATGATGATCAGGGAGACGTACTTGCAAAAGTCCGTGTACCAGGTGATGAACATGCAGACCGGCGTCGTCGCGAACACGAATTGGAGCAGCGACGGATCGTAGTAAAATGAGCAGTCTTCTGAAAAAGATGTGAACTTTATTCGCCCCGTTGCTGAAAGTCTGGGTTCTCTGTTCTCTCTTTTCTCTAACCGCGAGACGAGGAATGAGCACGAGATATGAAGAGGGCACAGAGAAATCAGACGATTTGAAGTCATGAAAAATAGATGTATAGGAGGTTGAGAATCCTTGACGAATCGCTCTACCGAAGGATCTCAAATCGCTTGGGACTTTTATGAGCATTTCTGGTGATCACTTAAGGGTCTTCACGCTGCTTAAGTGATCACTAGAGATGCTCAGAAACGGTCGGGGCGCGTCCAATTGGCGTTACCGAGCAGAGTGGTACGGTTTTTTGGAGTTTTGAGCCAGTGGGCTAATAGATTACGAAGAGAACTCATAGTGACTTGAAAAGCTCGTTTCAGAACTCAAAATTGGGATAATCGAGCCGCCAAAAAGCGAAATTATTTAAAAACAGCATTTCAGGAAAGCCTCTTAACTATTTTTCAGAATAAAACAGGAGCTTTTAGAGCTCTTAAAATAAAAGATCAATGCGGAAAAGTGGTCTAGAAATGAAAATATTTTAATTTGAAAAAATACATCCCAATCACTGACCGTACTGATAAAAGTAGAAGGAAGAGAGGATGGCGACGGCCCAGGTGAAAATAATGATCTTCGTCGTATTTTTGTGACTGAAATCCCAAGTTTCTTCTGTTTTTTTCAGGAGCCCATCATACTTGAAGAGACGATCGTAATTGAGTGGGAAGTAGATGGCGCAGAAACGGTTCAGGGAAATGAAAAGATGAGAGTAGACGCTGATGTCGTAGCAGACAAGAAGGGCATGTCCGATGTGCTTCGAGTGGCTCCGCAGGAAAGTTATATCACTGAAATTTTCTCTTTTCGTGAGGTTTGAAGCGAGCTCCATCGAGGACACTAAGAATAAGTTTAAAAGACTGTGCAAAAAGCGCCAAGAAGTCTAAAAGCTCCTAAAATGACGTGAAAATCTTTTGAGCTCCTTTTTCATAGCCTCCAAGGATTCTTATTGAAGCCCATAGTATCTTTTTAGTTGGTTCCAGCATCGTTTTGAATTGAAAAAGATGCAATAGTGAAACAAAAAAGATCTGTTTTTTTGACTCTTATAAGCACTGAAAGAGCCTTCTGAGGAAATTCCCCGTTTCGCACGCTTTTTTAGCACATGACAAGACGAAAAACGAACAACATGAGCATCGGAGCATAGAAGAATCCGAAAAGAGTCGAATGGACGGCGTCTCCGGTCGCCTGACTCGCCGTCAACCTTCCGAAGGCGTTGTTCAGCGACGGAAGGCGTCGCAGAAGAAGCGCCACCGTCCAATTCGCCAGAACTCCTACCAGAGCCACCTGGAGACTTCCTGTACCTCATTTGCCGAAAAATTAATTTTTTGGTTGTTTTTCATCCGCTCTATATTACATCAACCGTAAGGGAAAATTTGAGTTTTCCAAAAAGAAACTTTTTTAATCGTTTTAGTGCGTTTTGAGGAATTCAGATCGAAAGTGAAACAACCCAAAATCTTCTTCATTCATATTATTGTTTTTAATAACTGAAAATTCAAACAAAAAAGGAACTAACCGGAAAGACGATTGCGCCGGCGATTTGCTCGTTGTCCATTGTCGAGCCTTTGAAGAAAAGAGAGTCTGGAAAACACCCCGACTGGAAACAGGTAAAGGTATTTAATACCGGAAGGCGGAGCTCCGGACAATGAGGCCAGACGTCAGGCATGTCACCGCCCCGGATTCCGTCCCACTCATCCTTCCAGACACACATCATGAGCCTTTAGGGCACAATTCCTTCAAAGTAATGCTAGAAAAACGGAGAATCCACACAAAAACCACAAAAATTTTGAAAAAAATTGTATGCGAAAAATTTCACCCGCCTGCTAGATGGTTGAGTGCATTAGCTCCAAGTTACTATCCTTCATAGAAAGAACGAAAAGTTCTATTGCCCTACCAGAAAAAAACTTGTTTTTTTTGTATTCAAAAACTTGGAGATTCGTGTTTAAATTCGAGGAATTCTAGGAAAAACCTAACAAAAGCCTACTGTAGGCTTCGATTTCTCTGAAAGAGTCTGCCATTCAGAAAAGGGAATATAAAAGTAAGAAAAAAAAACTCACCTTGAAAAATAGTCCAAACGAGGGTGATTCTTCTCGCTAGCTGCATGATACCCTAGAAGAAAAGTGAATTGAAACTTTTTATTAAAACATTTTTTATGCCATGTTCAAAGTAATTTCCGCGAAATGCGAAATTGTCTCTGAAAAAAGGTCTTTAAACTTCAAGATAAAGTCAATCATCTCTTGTTTTCTCATCATTTGGATTTCTTTAGATTTGAGAATGTGTTTTCTCAATTCATTTCCAATCATTGCTACTTTCCTACGAACTTCATCTCTTCTCATTTTCTGAAGATCTTTTTTCACTTAAGTCTTCTGCGGAAGTGAAAGAATATTGAATAATTTCTTCCATTTATAAATACATTAATTTTTTTCAATTTTTTTAATTTTTGAAAAATAATGTCTTTTTGCACCAAAGATAGTTGAAATTTATGATCCCCATAAAAGGAATAAAAATAATTGAATCTTTTTCTAAAGATAGGGACCGCAAAGCCACGCCCCTTTTCGCGATAGAAAAAGTGGCTTTTTTTTGGTTTTCAAATTTAATTTAGTTGTAGTTGCAAAATATGTGGAACTGGCTAATAAAATTTGACACACATGTACAGAAAAGCTTCCTCTTTCGTTTAAAAAATATTTCACGCTTTTTTGATGCGTTCTCGCGGAATGTCGTACAAAAACGTGAATGGAACTAAAAATTTTTGTCATTTTTTGCTTTTTCATGTGTTTTCAGGTCGAACGCACTCTTTCTTTTTTTCTATAATGATTTTGATTCAAGTAAAGGTAATTTTAAAACAATAAAATAAAAAACTCGTCTTTGCCAAAAATTTTAGGGAGTGCCGAAAGTCATAATTCGAAATATCGTTAATAAGCGAATATAATCGAGTTTTTGTTTTTTCAGAATTTAGACCATGGGCTTACTTAAATTTTTCTCCACAGCATATGTGCTTGAAAAAAGTTGTTTGATACGCAAAAAAATGCTCTTGAAAAATAGAGAATAAAAATTAGCGGCGTTTATCACACAGAAAAGCGGTCGAACGCAGGTTTTTTTCAAACGATTATATACATTTATTAGTAAAAAAATCTTTCAATTAAAAAAATAAAATAAAAAAATTCGTCTTTGCCGAAAAATATACGGGGCCGTTTTAATGCAGCGATCGTTAAAAAGAGGCAAAAAAAGCACTAAAAAAACAGTTTTTTTCGAAGTGAATTTCCACGAAACGTTCGAGTAAAGATTTGCGAACATATTCTGATAAAAATAGCTTAATTACTTCAAGTTTTTCTTTTTGAAATAGGCAATCTGTGCTATCCAAACGGCTCAAGGGTAAGGCGGATGGAAGCTCCCCGCGCTAGACCTGACAGCTTGGCGCAGTGCGTGCGCTGCGATTTTTCATTTTGAGGTCGCGAGTTCGATGCGTCAGTTTTTTGTTTTCTGCAAAATACCGACTTTTTCGGCAAACTAGCTGATTAGCATCATTTTAGCACTCTATTATAATTTGTTACATCATAATAGACCAGTATCAAAAACTTTTTTTCTAGAAGAAAAAAATCGAGAAAAAAATGTCAAAAAAATGGATAATACCAAAAATTTCAGTACTAAAAAAATGGTGCGCGGCGTGCCACATTTTTTTCGTCATAACTTTTTTTCATCCTCAATCTTTTTTTGAAAAAAACTAAACGGTTCTGAGTTCTGAATCGAATCAGCTATCAAACCATACAAAGCTCAATGCTGAAAAAAAATTTTTGAAAATTCGTCTGCGGTCCCTATCTAAAGAATAGAAAAGAACACAAGTTAAAAAATTCAGAAGAGCGCAGTAATTTAGAAAGTGTAGAAGAAAAATCGTGTTGAAATTTTTCAAACCAATATTAGAATCAAGTAAAAAAAGTTACAGGAAGAAATAATTGAAGAGAAAAAAATAAAATTGTGGAAACTTTGAATAGTTTTAGAAGTAATAACTCTACTAATTCCTTACCCATTGGTTCCTTACCCATTGCTAATGCTAAAAGTAGTCCAAGTAAACCACAGATTCAAGGAACTTCAGCTACAAAAGAAGTTAGTAATTTAATTGTTTCCTATCTTCAAGATAATAGTGATAAGAGTAATGCAGGATATTCTTTACGATTTGATAAGAATAGTCAAAAATATTCAATAGGTAATAAATTAGTTGAATTCAAGAAAAATATTATAAGTGTAGATGGAGTTGATTATAATGCAACAAAAGGATTGATGGAATTATTAACCAAAAAGTCTCCTGATTTAAATGAAATTGAAAAGAATGATATTTTGGATTACAGAGATATACTATTGTGTTCTGATGCTCTTTATCAAGGATTTGATAAGAGTAGCAAAAGATATAATGCTGATGCTAGTGATAAATGGAAGTTCATCAAAGACAATTACTTCTCACCAAGGTCTCAAAGTCAAACAAAAACTCAAGCTACTGAAAATAGTGCTACAACTTCAGCTTCAGGAAGTGCTATTGACTTTTTACCTCAAGATATCAATGCTCTTATGGATTCTTTAAGATTATCAATAGGTTCTTATCAAGCTGGAAATAATGGAGAATACAACGAAATTCACTCAATATTAGATGAATTATTACGTCAGAAAAAGATAAAAAAGAGAGATCTACCTTGCATTTATATGAATATAGGATTGTAAATCCCTTACCAAAGGTTATAGGACTTTAAGGAGTGTAAAAATCAAAGATCTGAATTGGAAAAAGTATACATCGTATTTTTTATTGAAATCTTTAAAAATTCTAATACGTTGTTTGTCCTTCGGTAGAACCTTTGATTTGTCAGATTTCAAGAATCCTAGAACCTTCGGTTTATCAAGAAGATCAACCTTTTTACTTTCTACTTTTACTAGTCCTTTGGATCTCGGAATCTCTGATTCTAATTGTTCTTCTTTGTCAGGTACCTCAGGATTCTTGGGAATTTCCTTCGAAAAAGTGAATTTTCCATGAACATCTCTAATTCTAGGGTTTTTTACACCTTTTTCTTTGTGAGCAATATTCAATTCTTTCATATAATTAGATACTGTTTTTTTGAAGAAATATTATATTTTCTAGCAAATGAAATCATTGAATTATGAATGAAATCATAGGAATGCATTAAGTCAAGTATTTCTGATTTTTCCATTCTTATTTAGGTAATGTATTTTTCTTAAGGAATAATGGAACGGAATTGTGGAATGGAATTGTGGATCAATGGAAATGTGGAGTATCGGAAATGTGGAAAAATAATTTTCATAATAAATAAGAATCTTCCTACGGAAATCACTTTGAATTTTACGAATGGAGAAACAAATAAATAGATACACACCTACAAATGAAGAATTAGAAGGATTAGATAATTTAATTTCAAAAATTCCTGATTTGCAAAATTTGATTGAAGAAAATGCTGATTCCTTAGACTTGATTATTAAAGGTATAGATACATTAAGAATAGATAATGTTTATAAAAAAGGTTTGAAACAACTTTTCATTGCTCTAGAGAAAACTCATGTAGCAAAAGAAACCTATAAATATTCGAACTTCAAGAATCAGGATACTATAGAACTTCTACTGGAAAGAGAGAAACAGTATAAATCAATTATTGCTAAGCAAGCTGAAAAACATAGTGACCATTCAGGAATTGAAGAGATGGATAGAATGTTTAGTACTTTGGTAATAAAACCTGAGAAAAATAAGAAAATATCTGCATATACTAATAAGAAGATCAAGGATATCAAATTCATTGAGGACTTTAAACCTATTTTTGAAGAAGAAGGTTCGAATGAATATACAAAAGAGGAATTAATGAGTATGAAAAGCAATCCCAAGAAAGGTCCCATGTTCAAAGGAGTTAAAAGTATCAACATTCAAAACACAAAAGAAGATACAATTGTAATCAAGAAGGTGTAAGCATAGCTTCCTAGAAGTGAAAAGCTTCCTAGAAGTGTTAGAAGATGTAAAAATATTTCAATTGCTTTCTAAATTTTTCCATCTCCTGGATTACTTGTTTTATCAATTGTTAAAAAAAGAATACTTCTCTTTCCAAATCAATGAAACCATTTCATGAAATTCTTCTTTCTTGATTTCTGAACAATGATCTCTGCAGATGTAATCTAAATTTAATTTATCTTGTGGGAAGATTATGAAAAAAAGTTAGCATTTTTCCCTGATAGTATTCTTGGGAAGTTTTTATATAATTCTGGGAAATGTAAAAAAACAATCAATATTATTGTGTCTTCCTCGAGTATAATATTGTTCTATTTTATTTTGTTTTTCTAATAAAAGATCATCAAAGATAATAAGAGTTTTCTTATCAGGATCTATACTAGAAGGATCTGGAATATCTTCTAAACATTCTGAAGATTTCACATTAATCCTAGGATTTTTCATCATGAGATTCTACTATGAAATTCTGATTATGAAAAACATTCTCTGATTTCTTTTTTTACTCAACCCATTTTGGAATCCATTAATAAGTGCTTGATAACAAGGTTGAAATAAAGTTGTACTGAAAATGTATAAATTATTGTAATCTAAATACTCAGAGCCATTGAATTGATCTAGAAGTAAATTCATCAATAAATTAGTTTTTTTCCACAACCTGATTTTTCCAATAATGCAAGCTCTGATACTATTTGGAAGCAAAGGATTATTATTTCTTTCAGGATAAAAAAATTTTTTTAACTGAATAGTTTGCAAAAATCACCATTATTTCTCTCATTGTCAGAAGAATAGTTCTTGATTTTCATTTTAAAAAAATTATTATTTAAATGACATCAAAAAAATTTGAATGTATATAAATGACATCATTTTTTCTTACAATTGATTCAAGTGAAAAAACATTCGAATTTGAATTCACACCAAGCTTTTTAGAAAAGCAATATGAGATAGCGTGACAAAATCGTCGAGTTCTCTCTTTCTCATTTACAATTAGTTCTTTCTTTCACTAGGCACTTCAAGAAAGCTTGCTTTCGCTGAATGTCAGATCCTTTGGTGTGACGTATAAAGGTCAGCAGTGACCTTCTTTTCTCTTCCTCACTGTGACCGAGCGCAATCACACATTTGCCGCAGTTGAACTAGACACACGCGACGCAACACGCAAACGCGTTGGGCTAGAGTGGAAGGCAGAGACGCGTGACCAGAGACGCAGAGGAAGCATCGCATTCTTCCATTAACTTCTGTGAATAGAAGAAAGAATTCTTTTTCTTCTGTAGTTCGCGTTTTTCCCCAATTATTTTATATTTTGAAACAGCGTTTAATTCTTGGCGTTATGTTTCATATTTTTTTAACAATTTTTTTGTTACGGATCACACTTGCTACAAGATTCTGATTTTTATATTGACGAATATTATTTAACGATTTATTGTTTCAGAAATGGCTAATGACGATCTACCTCTGATTTGGGAGCAATTTCTAAAGGCTGCAAAGAATGGAACTAAAAAAGGAGCAACCCATAGCTATAAAATTGGATTTTGCAAAACTGCCTTGAAACTGTCGGAGAAATTAATAGAACATGGGTACAACTGTGGAGAAAGATTTGATTTATGGTCAGAATACTTTGGCAAAGTCTGCGACAATTTAGAAGGAGACAAAGAAATGATAGAAAGTATGCATTTACCTATAGACTCTAAGTTAATTTTTTTACTTTTTTTATTTTTTTAAAAAAATAATTTTTTTACAGGAACTGTACGAGAATATTTCCTGGCGTTGCATTCTGGAGGAGCTTGGAATTTCTCAATTAAATTCTCAGGTAATATAATGTTGATATAAATACTATTTGTTTTTTTAAATTTTTTTTACAAATTCAACATGTTTAAATTTATCATTTTTTTAAGCTATAAAATTTTTAATGAAATGGTTTTTTTAGATAAAAACCGAAGGCATGTCGATTGGACTCGTATGTGACGTAAAATACTCTGGTCTGGATCATCGCTATTTTATAAAATGCCATCAACGTGGTCCACGACCAACCTCTTCGTCCATATCGAGTCGATATAATAGTATTAGTCGACCGTACATCCAAGAGTTATACGTCTATAAGGTATTCCATTGAATTACTCGAACAAAAATAACATTTTATCACATTTTTAGTTGCTATCGTTGATCCAAATCTGCGGTGAAGTTCATTTTCTATTTCCACAAACTTCCGCCACAAAGAAGACATTGTACATTGGAACTCAGGAGATCACATTTACAACAGCGAAACAGTTGACTTTTCAAGAAGCGAATCCTCGTGCTTTGATATTAGTGCACTTTCTTCAATTTATTTTGCGTCTGGAAGACATTGGGACGAATAGCGGGAACTACGGTCAAAACGATGAAGGAGAACCCGTAATCATCGATTTTTGGTAATTTTTGTTTTGTTAAAAATTCTAAATGTTCTATTTTAGGGTTACACCTAAAGAAGACTATACACTTTCCGATAATCAGATTGAGGATTTTTGGGAAAATCAGCATGGCAGTAACTCCAGACTTATCACCGAAGTATTGACGAGAGTGCCAAATGAGCAAAGAAGAAAAATTATACATGAAGCAATGGAAAAATGGTTGCTAATAAGGAAAATCGAAGAAGCTAAATCCGCCGTAGAAGAATTTCTCTTAAAAAGCGGAGAAAGGTTGGAAACAAGTGGAGATATTTGCCGATATGTTCGTGATATAAAGACTAATGTAATTAAAATGAGTAAGTAGTCGGAATATATATTGAAAAGCCATCTATTTGATTAGTGATTCCTGTAAATTTTTGTATTTTATCGATAGAATAAAACTTTTTATTGTTTTGAAATAGTTTTAAATTCCAGTAATTATTCCTTTTAAAAGTTCTTGGTTCTCTTTGGTTAATTTATTTTATTTGGTCTTTTAATAATAGTATGACTATTCTCCTTTTTTTCTATATTTTTATTATCATTTTGTGACAATTTTAAACTCTGATCGGAATCAGCTAATCGAGTCTAAATTTATAATACCTACTTCTCTTGGAAGAATTTGAAAAGGGAGAGTATCTCTCATAAAGATGCCACGGAAATTTTTGATTTCTAATGTGTTCACTAATTCTAAGAGATCTAGATTTGTCAGAGGTTTAAGATTTTCTGAAAAGATCATTTATTTAGCATTTTTTCATTCACCGTTCTAGCGCAATATTTCGACCATTTCGACCACTGGATTTCGACCACATTTTTTTAAGGTAGCGCATTACGACCATTTCCCCATTTTTTTGAAAAATTGTTGAAAAATGACATATTTTTCAGAGTATTAAGACACAAAATGAATGAAAATAAGCCTTAAAATGGCTTAAAAATGAGAAAATTGAGGATGGGCGAAAAGGTGCGCTAGAACGGCAAAATACATATTATTGTTGTCTAGAAATGAAAATATTTTAATTTGAAAAAATACATCCCAATCACTGACCGTACTGATAAAAGTAGAAGGAAGAGAGGATGGCGACGGCCCAGGTGAAAATAATGATCTTCGTCGTATTTTTGTGACTGAAATCCCAAGTTTCTTCTGTTTTTCAGGAGCCCATCATACTTGAAGAGACGATCGTAATTGAGTGGGAAGTAGATGGCGCAGAAACGGTTCAGGGAAATGAAAAGATGAGAGTAGACGCTGATGTCGTAGCAGACAAGAAGGGCATGTCCGATGTGCTTCGAGTGGCTCCGCAGAAAAGTTATATCACTGAAATTTTCTCTTTTCGTGAGGTTTGAAGCGAGCTCCACCGAGGACACTAAGAATAAGTTTAAAAGACTGTGCAAAAAGCGCCAAGAAGTCTAAAAGCTCCTAAAATGACGTGAAAATCTTTTGAGCTCCTTTTTCATAGCCTCCAAGGATTCTTATTGAAAAAGATGCAATAGTGAAACAAAAAAGATCTGTTTTTTTTTGACTCTTATAAGCACTGAAAGAGCCTTCTGAGGAAATTCCCCGTTTCGCACGCTTTTTTAGCACATGACAAGACGAAAAACGAACAACATGAGCATCGGAGCATAGAAGAATCCGAAAAGAGTCGAATGGACGGCGTCTCCGGTCGCCTGACTCGCCGTCAACCTTCCGAAGGCGTTGTTCAGCGACGGAAGGCGTCGCAGAAGAAGCGCCACCGTCCAATTCGCCAGAACTCCTACCAGAGCCACCTGGAGACTTCCTGTACCTCATTTGCCGAAAAATTAATTTTTTGGTTGTTTTTCATCCGCTCTATATTACATCAACCGTAAGGGAAAATTTGAGTTTTCCAAAAAGAAACTTTTTTAATCGTTTTAGTGCGTTTTGAGGAATTCAGATCGAAAGTGAAACAACCCAAAAATCTTCTTCATTCATATTATTGTTTTTTTAATAACTGAAAATTCAAACAAAAAAAGGAACTAACCGGAAAGACGATTGCGCCGGCGATTTGCTCGTTGTCCATTGTCGAGCCTTTGAAGAAAAAGAGTCTGGAAAAACACCCCGACTGGAAACAGGTAAAGGTATTTAATACCGGAAGGCGGAGCTCCGGACAATGAGGCCAGACGTCAGGCATGTCACCGCCCCGGATTCCGTCCCACTCATCCTTCCAGACACACATCATGAGCCTTTAGGGCACAATTCCTTCAAAGTAATGCTAGAAAACGGAGAATCCACACAAAACCACAAAATTTTGAAAAATTGTATGCGAAAATTTCACCCGCCTGCTAGATGGTTGAGTGCATTAGCTCCAAGTTACTATCCTTCATAGAAAGAACGAAAAGTTCTATTGCCCTACCAGAAAAACTTGTTTTTTGTATTCAAAACTTGGAGATTCGTGTTTAAATTCGAGGAATTCTAGGAAAACCTAACAAAGCCTACTGTAGGCTTCGATTTTCTCTGAAAGAGTCTGCCATTCAGAAAAGGGAATATAAAAGTAAGAAAAAAAAACTCACCTTGAAAAATAGTCCAAACGAGGGTGATTCTTCTCGCTAGCTGCATGATACCCTAGAAGAAAAGTGAATTGAAACTTTTTATTAAAACATTTTTTATGCCATGTTCAAAGTAATTTCCGCGAAATGCGAAATTGTCTCTGACCCTCCAAAATTTAGTTATCTTTCTCTTTCTCTGACGGCTATTTTGAATTTCGCGGAATCACTTTGAACACGGCATTAATCTTTCTGTATTGTACTGTGGGAATCGTTTCTGCGCGCACCGGAAGGAACAGCAAACGTTGAAAAATTACGCTAGTTTTATTTTTCCTTCTTTTTTTGAATTTTTCTAATTCATCTGTTTAAATCACTAGTTTACCGCTTTTTCAGTCTTTCAGCAAGCCTTGATTGTGTCTCACATCTATTTTTTTCGAAATCATAGCCGAACTCAGTAAGATTGCATACTAATATTTGGAAAAGAAAACTTTTATTTTTTTCGTTTTTTCTTCAATGAACTTATATTGAATAGCTTTGCAAAGTGAAAAAAAGTGCAAGAGAGAGTGTTTTTTTTCCAATTTTTCTTTACTCTCTGGCACGTTATTCTCATCGCACAAAATTAAACCTTTTCGCCTTTGTTTTAATTAAATTGAAGAGTTTCAGATGGGCTCACAAGCTCAATTTTCGCAGACCCATTTTGAAGAATCATCACTCACGACACCTAACAAAACGAATCACGTAATCATCCTAATGCATTTATTACTAATTTCATCAATTTCAGGTTATTCAATATTGTCAAACTGTTTGCTCACCCGATTTCGGATACGTATCAGAAGAATCTCACGAATGCATGATACATAGTATTTCATGTTCGCGTAGGTTTAAAGGAAAATCGAGGTTTCAGACAACATGAATGATTCTTTTTCCAAGCCGGTTAGAATTAGGAGGAAAAAACGAAATGAAATCAAGCCGGTATGAGAATAATTTTAAAAAAAAATCGAAATTTACTATTTGTAGAGAAAATTTCGCGATCATTTCGATACTCCCCACTCATCTTTGGTTTTGAGTCGGCCAGCTCACTTTACTGAAGGTTTTGAAGAGATTTAGACAAAATTCTCACAGAGGTTTTTAAGAGAACAAAGGCAAATTTTATAGTGATATCAAGGTAAAGACCCATGTTGTGTCTTTACCGAGATGTCTGCGCTTTAAAAACCCGCTAAAAAGGATTTTTGAAAAAAAGTTGCTTTAATTTATTTATTGCAGATCATCAACTCTATTTCTTGATAAAAACTCTTCGAAAAATAAAGTCCCGCCCACATTTTCTGAAGTATTTTACTGGAAAACTGAACTTGATGGACCTTCAAGAAATTTTAGAGGTTTCATTTTTCAAACGTAAGATCTCCATTAATGATGGCTTCAGTACATGTTGAAGCCCTATCCATGCGAAATCCACAACAATTATTTTTTTACTGCATTCAATCTCGTCAGACATTTCTGTCGGTGTACGATTGTTATATGTAATTTTGAAAGTTTTCGTATATATTTTTATTTAAATTTCAGGTTCTTGCAACATTATTTTGGCGATGACTACAGGGTCGGACATGGCTCCATTTTTGCCGTTCAGCACGTCAAAAAACGGGTAGAGTTTGTGTAAAATTAGCTTACTCAATGTTAAAAAAGATAATGAGAAGAACTTGAATCCGTTTTTCGTGGTATCTATATAATTTGACGCCCTGAAAAAATAGTTCAAATCGAAAAATGCTTCATTTGCAGGAACTCAGAAGGTTCCGAGGCAAGCGGTTCTTCATGTTCTTGGAAAAGGAGTATTTATTGAAAAGAAAAGTTTCCTACCTCGTGCGATTCTCCCTGACTCCAAAAATCAAGAGCAACATCAAAGTTTTCGTGCAAGTTTTCAACAACAGAAGTCCGAGGAGCAAGCCTGGATTGGTATATTCCATAGAAAATATCGAGTTGTTAGGAATTTTAGGTTGTTCGATTCGAGCAATTTATACAGGGAAGTGAAAGCAAATGTCGTATTTTGCGGCCTTTGATAATTCACGAAATTTCGGCAGACGAGGTTACTTTTGGTAGTCATAACTTTTCCCAAAGCGCTTGAGAAAGTAAATTCATTTTTTTTTTCTTGTCACTTATTTGAAACCCCTTCAAAAATTTTCTAGAGTACATACTTTTATTGTAAAAAAGGGAGGAGACTTCTCTAAGCAAAAAGCGAGAGAGTAGCGGCAGCACGAAGAGACGCCAGAGATTAAAGATCCTCTCTTTCTCTGGCCTCTCCTCAAAACGCTGTTGCTCTGTCACAACACTTTTTATGTTTAATAGAGTTTTCTCTTTTATTTTAAAGGTAAAACTCAATCCATAACTGAGAACGAAGAGTGAATATCATGGGAAAAGTGATAGAAATATCAATTTTCAAGATTTTCTAACTGAAAGGAATTTCATAAATTTTAAAACCTTTTTTTAAAGACCAAAAAAAGCCTTATCAAAAATTTCTGTTGAATCTTTCAGCTTTTTCGAGCCAAATTTATGTGAAGCTCAATAATATTTTCCAGACCGACTCGGAACTGGAAAAAGTGAGGCCAAACTACTATGGACTAGATGAGATCCTTGAATTGAGCGAAATTCCTGTGAAAAGTTACCCTGACGAAGTGGATTGCGAGATCAAAACCATGTAAAAAGAAACTTTCTGTATATTAATATGCTTCATAAACCATTCATTAAATTAACCAAACGCAACAAAAAAGGGCAAAATATTCAAAAACAAATGCTAAAGCAATTTTGAAATCTTCTCACGGATCGCGTTGGCCAGTGAGGAGAGTGGAACATCCTGAAAACAAAAGATGAATGAAGATGATTTTCAAAGAAAAGTAGCATTTTACCTCTTCCTCTCTTGAGGCGACATTTCTCAACTTGACTATTTTCTCCTGGATTTCTCGTTCGCCAATAATGATGACGAGCGGGATTTTCCGCTCTTCACAATATTGCAACTGCGTGAGAAGTTTGGGATTGGCTTTGTAGGCGAATTCCGCCTAGAATAGAGTATTACTCGATTTCCCAGAAAAAAGAAGGGAGATACCTTAATCCCGTCGTCCCAAAGCTCTTTACAAATCTTCATTCTTTCCTTAAGTAGATTTTTTTGCGCTGACGCAACGAAGACTTCAGTTTCCGATGTGCGTAAGACACTTTGGGCTGCCTTAAAGTTAATGAATCATGATGAGGGAGAGGAAGTTGTTGAAAAACCTGACGCGCTTCTTTGATCGCGAAAAGTCGTTCGATTCCGAAGGAGACACCGACACATGGGACGTTAGCTTTGGGAGAGAACATTCCGACAAGGCCATCGTAACTAAAAATAATTTCAGATATCATGGAGAAAGAAATTCTTAGATTTTTCTTTCAATTATTTTGCAAGATGGATCTGTTTTTTCAAGAATTATCTAGCAAAAACGAGATTTTTTGACCTTGTCAGCTCATTACTTTGTAAAAAGAACATAATATTATCCTAAAATTTTTTTTATAAAGACCTTTTCACAATTTTTTTTTTTAGAATAAAGGTTCACTTGGCCTTTCAGAACATTTGAAAAAAAAAAGTCTGCTCAGAAATTTACCGTCCTCCCGCAGCTACGGATCCGACGCCAGCCGGTTGACCTTCGGCATCTTCAGCTTTTTCCACAGCAGTGCCTTCCAAAGCTTCTAAAATGATATTTTAACATCCCTAACTCTTAAAATAGATCAATTTACTCGGCGCAACGGCTTCATAGATGGCTCCAGTGTAATAGTCCAATCCTCTAGCCAGGGCGGGCTCAAATTTCACCGACTTGATGCCGTAAATGTCACAATATTCGATGAGGACCTTGAAGTAAAATTTCATGAGTTAAGATAAATTTGAAGGAGCATGGGCGATGAATTCGTCCAGGTCTCGACGCGAAGAGCTTCACTCTCGATTTTGAATAACCCAGTCAGTTTTTATGAATGATCTACATACAATGCGCAACTTTACAGTTTGTTTTGTGTCTGTGTCTCTCTGTTTTTCAAGTCAGAGAACTATGAAAAGATCATGTAAATATGAGAGAGTCATAGAGAAACGAGGAGGTTACAGAGAAATTACAGCCTTTCGAGCCGCGGTAAAACCGGCGATACAACAAAAAATGACAAACCTGAAGCTCGGAGACGCCTTTTTTGAACTTGTCATTATTACTCAACCCTTCGAGCTCGGCGATTTTCGACAAAAGTTCACTATTGCTCAAGGTTGGGTTGATTTCTGGAGAACAACACTTTTGTTAAGTAGAAAAGGTCTTTTTTAAACCTCGGAACCGAACGAAGGCGCCAAGTTTCGTCGTTTGTTCACTGTTCAATCCCTTCTCCTTGATCATTTCTTCTTCGACTTCGGCCCAAGGAGTCTTGTCGAGTTTATCGACGGAGGAACATATCGTCTTGAATTTGTCTGCGGGGATTCCGGCGACTGCGAACATTCCTTCCAAGATCAGGCGGTGGTTCAGCTGAAGGAGAATCAGCATGAAACTATGAAAAATATGGTTATCAATGAATTTTTATGTGGCAATCAGTGACCGGGTTCCCATTGTGCAAACGGAATTCTTCTGACCATGGTAAGAAAAAAAAGATTATCACGAAATCTCTTTTTTATCTTTTGAGAAAAAAAAAATGAGAATCAGAAAAATTTTTTTGATAGCATCCTCGCTTATCATTGACAGAATTTATAGCTGTAAATTTTTTTATAATTTTCGTAGCTTCCCTAATTTTCAAATCACACACTATCTCACTTATAAAATATTTAAAAAAATCTGAAAAGAATAAGTTTATTTTCTTTTTGGAGATCTTGAAATTCCAAAAAAACCACTGATATCCCTGAGCAAACTTTCAGTAAAAAAGCAAGATTTTCTGGTTCTCATAAAGAATACATAAAACGAATCTGATTTAAGAAATACAAAAAAAACATGAAAAATACTTCTAAAATTTCTTCATAACTCACGTTCACATAGAAATCGCCAATTTCCAAGCCAGAAAGAACTTCGTCGACGATTTTCAAGCATTCCGCCTCGGGGAGCATCAGATCATACTGGCCAGCAATATCAAAATCCTAAAAAAGCGGGAAAAATATGATGATTATGAGAATATGTACTAACACATTGATAAAACTCTCTGTAACGGCCGCGGGTCATCACCGGCTGATCTCGTCGGTAGACTTTGGCGATGTGATACCTTTTTATGTTGGTGATCTTGTTCATCGCCAGGTACCGAGCAAAGGGAACCTGAACTCGTTTCTTGGAAAATGAGGATTTTAACAACTTTTTTTTCTTTGAAAAATCATCAAACAAGGTTAGGAACACCCATTGAATTCAGTGAAAGCCTGTGCAAATCTACGGAAGGAACTTTTGCCTAGACCGCGTATGAAAAAAATTGAAGAATGGCTCAACGCATTGCGGTCGCGTTGCGTGTCAAGTTATAGCTTATCTCGATGGCTTGAGTGGTTGAAAAAAGGTCTTTTCACGATTTGAAAAAAGACAGTGCTTAATTGGTGGAGTGCGCAGACAGGCTAAGTTTGCAGTGTTCCTTATTTAGCATTGCTTTTCAAGTTTCTCTGATCTTAAGCTGTCGCGCGGAAGCAGTTTCTGGTCGGCAGCAACTTCATTTGCTTCGTAACCTCTTCATTTCGATTGAAGGAAATAAACATATTATTATCAAATATAATAACTACCGTTAGATCATAGCGCATGGAGAGCAATTCACCGCCTTGATCTTGAAGGTCGTAGACGAGTTTTCCGCCTTCTTCTCCATATTTACCCATCAAGACCTGAAAAATGAACAATAAGAATAGCTGATAACTGATACGGAAAGTTATTTTACTTGTCGGTTTGGAATTTCCAACAAATTTGCTCAAACAATCTCTGAAGGTTCATATGACGATCCAACAACGTTGCAACCCACGCCAGAATCTAGTTTTCGAAATATTTGATTTTGAAGGTTGAAAAAAAAGACCTAAAACCAATTTTTCGCAACTTTGAAAAATAATATCTCAAAATCAGGTTTGCGCAGGTAGCGATAATGAGGGATCTTTATCTGGACCTTCAAAGAGTTTTTGAGCAAATTTGTAGAAAATTCCAAACCGCGAAGTAAAATGACTTCCCTTGTGAGTTTACTTCTTTCGTTATGAAAATCATTGATTCAAGGTTCAAAAACGAACTTCGACGCAGTTTAGTTTGACCATAAATTGAAAATATTTGTTGTTAATTAGCTAATTAACCTTTATACCGCTGTATTTGGATCAAAAATTAGCCTGTACCAAAATTAATTCGAATGTTTATGCCTAGCTGGAAAAAACTGGAATAAAAGCCTTCAAACATGAATTTCGAAACATCATGAGAGCTAAAATTTAACCTCGCGAAGTTCAAAAACTGGAGTGTCGATGGTTTCGGCTCCGTGTTTTTTGAAGGAAGCCGTGACTGTTTTGAGAACGGATTCTCGGACAGCCATCGATGCTGGGCCATAATCTCGGGTGCCTGAAAAATTCTGATGAGAACATCAAGTGGTTTTAAAAGTGTCTCAACAGAGTAAATATCAATTATAAAGCTTGTATTGGGATATTTGACTCTCTTATTATTAAAATTGATCACACAATCTAACGAAAAATCACTGAATTTTACTAGGAATATAATCCGGAACTTAATATTTTTCAATTTAATGAAAGTTTTCATGAAAAACACCTCAATACATCTTATTTTTTCACTGCGGTGAGACAACTACGCTTTGAAAGAACAGCCAGAAAAAAAGCTCTTAAAATTCTGAAAAAATGCAGAAAGACAGCAAAAAAGGTCTCAAAGCGGGGTCATTTTGATCAAATCGCATATGATTTTTCGGCAGAATATTGCGACAAGCTGCCGGGAAATAGACTTTATTATCGTTTCTCACCTTTTGGGGTCTTCAGGACAAATTTCCCAGAGGGCTGCTCGTCTCCGAGGGCGGCTTTCTTCTGGAGCATGGCCGCCACACGCTCTTTGATCTGAAAAATCATCATTTCCTCAGAAAAGTGATTATTAACATTTTTGTTTCGAATAAGGTCAATCGAAAAATAATTTTCTCAAAAATAAGCAAAAAAAGGCGCACCCTCCTTCCACCTCTTTGCGCGTAAACTCGTCTCGGCGGCTTCTCAATCGCCATATTAACGCATTTGCAAACAATCGAACGAAGCATTTTTTATTCACTAAACTTTTTTCACCTTATTCAGAAAATAGGGCGAAAAACTAACGAGTTGGGGGTCAGCTTTGTCAGTTTTCAGCGCTCGAATCTCATCACCAAGGGCCTTGATTTCGTCCTGAAGAGTTTTGCGTTGTGCTTCCGACAACGTAGAAGACATAGACGTTGAGAATTACTAGAAGTCTGTAAATATTAGAAATTGAAAGAGGAAATGTTAATAAAGAAACGATGCGAAATTTTAACGAAGAACGAGACAGAGAAAAGTGGAAAACGAGTGAAATTTTAAAAACATAATTAAAAATAAATTCGAGCTCCAAACTTCTCCCTCAAAAATCCTGGCTGGAGTTTTTCTAGTGAGATAGATCAAGTTTGAATAAAAAGAAGATTTCAAAAAAACACCATTAAGATTATCATGAAACTTAAACTAAAAAGATGAATTTTTTTCAAGTAACTTCATAGACGCGAATAAACTATTTTAACAACTTGCAATAACCATGCAAATAGTTAAAACTTTATAAAGAGCAATAAAAAAGAAGAAAAAGCGATAAAATAAGAAAAATTAACATCAAGACAAGGCCCCGAAAATAAAAAATATGACTTTTTCGGCACTCTCAGAAGTTTAAACCTAGTTCTCAATATCCTAGCTATAAAAAATCCAGGAAAAAAACAATGTACAGAAGACGAATCAGATCTTGTTAGGACTTTTGAGCTACACCGCTCGATTTGGCTACTTTTCAAATCTCGATTACCCTATTCAGCAAATAGAAAGACATTTCTCAACAATTACACGAATGAGGACTAGAAAAAAACTTTTCTTCTAAATATAAAGAGAATTTTTTTCAGGAATCAGTGAGGCTAGTTCGATGTTGTGGATGTGCGACGATTTTGTCGGGCATCCAGACTGGCTGGACGGGTCGGACAACGACGTCGCCGACCTGAAGACGTGTCGATTTGAACGCCGCCAAGGAGAACAGGGCCAGGGCGAAAGCGTCGTCGCTCGATACCACCTCAATTTTTTTAATTTTTATGAACTGAATTTTTTTTAAATTTATCTATGATTTGCGAGGTGATCATTGCAAATTTATATAATGGCCGCTAAAAAGAGAGGCTCAAAAAAAGGCCACAGGAAGGCAGCAAAGAGAGTCCCTTTATTGAGTCTTTCATTTTTTGGGATTTTAAAGGCCCGAGAAATGGTGACAAAGGGAACTTTGGAAAGCTCCAAAAATAACTTGGCTTGAAAAAACCGTCCCACCTCTTTTTTTGGCTTCTTATTCGCCAGGTTCTCAAAAATTGATACCATTTTGTTGCATTTTCACCTAAGAAAAAAAAAATGAAACTTGTTCCAATTATTAGGGAATTCCTAAAACGCGTGCAGAAGTTCCATTTTGGCCACTTTATTAGAGCTGCAGCCTGGATTTTTAAAAAAATTATAATTTTTTTGAATAACAGTTTTGAAGTTTTTTTAATACCTTAAAAATCTTACAAATGACTGTTTAAATATTCAATAAACGAATGTAGGTTTGAAGAAAAATGAATCATCGTATGCAAAGAGAACATAAACGATTGAATAAATATCCTTCTTGACCTAACTCTTTAAAAGTTGAAAACAACTGAAACCTTTCCAACTTTGTTTCCCTTCTCGTCGATGATATCGGCGTCTTTCTTCACGGCTTTATCAACCTTAAAAGGCAGGATTCGCCTTCGGATCACACCTAAACTGAAATCTTTAATGTTGAAATTTAAGGAAATGGAAAGAAAAACTTCAAAAATGATAAAACAAACCAGTATGTGCAGTTCGAGCCGTCAATTCCTGTCCAATATAACATCCTTTATCCAGAGAGACCATATTGAGCAAATCTCCGTTCGCCTGATATTGGAAATATGAGAACACCAAAATAAGAAAGAAATTACCTGGAAAGGTAAAAGTCCATCAAGTTCGTCGACACCTTCCGCAATGCCAGCAGACCTTCTCAAGGCGTGATAGGAATCGGCATTTTTGGATTCTGTCTTTTTTCCGAAAACTCGAGCTCCGAATGAAGAGATTCGAGGATCGATCAAACCTTAAGTTTCGACTTTTTCTCTTGAAGATTTTTTTCTAAAATCCTTCTCTAATTTTTTGAAGGCAACTCATACTATTTGAAAAAAAAGACGCAACTGTTTGAAGAATCGTTGATTGGGCCGGGAACAAAGGCAACCGCTTCATCACTTGCTTTTATGTCCACCTGAAAATATTCATATCAATCATCCATATTTTATTTTAAAATGACTTTTTAAACCAAAGCTCACCTGCTTCCGTAGTTTATACTTGTTGAAAAGCACTATAAGTTCGTCACGATGCACTTTTGAGCTTTCAACGAAAAGGTCGTCGTCGCCACGTCTCCACAGCAAGATGTCTTCTACGATCCGGCCTTTTGTGTTGAGAATAAACGCTGCTAATCCTGGTTGCCTTTCTAGCTTGCTAAAACTAGCAGAATCAAAAGATCGATTATGATAAACTCTTACTTAATATCATTCGTGATGAGTCCTTGAAGGAAAGCCTTGGCATCACGGCCACCTATCCGTAGCAAAGAGCGATGGGGCAAAGCGATTAACCCCGGTGACATCGAAAATACATTTTTGGAACCATTTTTGAACAATAAGAGCGTCTTTTTTGATGCAATATTGCGAAACATGGGTTGCAAAATCTTTGGTGTTTAAATATCTTAAACAATTCAACACGATCAGAACTCCCAAACAAACTTATGATATGTTCAAAGGCCATATTGTTGGTTTTCAAAAAAAAATAGAAACGAAAGTACGCTTCAAACCAGCAATCAGTAGTGAAAATCTCGAAGAAGAACAACGAGCTGCGTACAGTTGGCCTTTTTAAACCTTTACATCCTAGTTTATAAAGATCCAACAGAAAATTAGTTTGAAAAGATCTGAAAAGAATTTGAAAATCAAATTTTCTGAGTTCCCAAATTTCGAGTCCGTTTTTCCTTTTTTTGCAAGTGCGCTCCAAAGAGCTAGCAATGGAGCACATCTTCCTCAATGAAAAGAAATTCTCGTTTTTCCAGACTATCTGCGCTTCTTTTTTCAATTCCCACTTGAACTTTTCATATTTCTGAAGTCTGCATTGATAAAAACAGAAAAAGTGAACAGATTCATCACCCAGTTGAGAAAACTCCATACCCGCCGTGTGTGTTAGTAAAAAAAATGAAACGTAATATGTATCGTGACCTCGTTTGTTTTAGTTTTGAGCAGTGTAAGGTAATTATCTTAAGTTGTATGACCTTTTTTTTCTAAGAAGTTGAAAGTTCTAATCTTTCTCTTTATTCTTGTCAACTTCGGCACTACACATTTGGGATTTCTTTTTCGTTTAAAAAAATAATTCTCACAAAAAAATTATCTGCATGTTACGTCACTGGGAAAATTTTTTTTCAGAAAAAGAATGATTCATATCGGTTTTTTTAAATCAATAAGGTGCCATGTTTATTTGTAGGACACAAATCGTGACGTTTTGAAAGTTTTTTGTAAACAAGGATCTTTGAAGCCCCTCATTTCTTTCAAAAGTTTTCTTCGACAATTTCGGCTTTTTAACTTGAGATCGAACTAGTTTTTTTGTTTCGAGCCGTTATCTCTTCATTTTGGATAAATTATAATCTTGTTTTTTCAGAATATGCCGCGCGTGAGGCTTCGAAACGACGTTGGAAGCGGATTTTCGGGGGTATTTCACCGATTTTTAGGCGAAGAATCTTGCACAAAATACCACGCTCACGTTTTTGTTCATACCTTCTTAAGGTAATGTGATTTTCAAACAACCCTTTGTGATGAAAACATTTTTAAGTTACGCATTCCTGCATGCGACTCGAAAAACTCTTTCTACTGTGAAGCCTTCCCTCGTCTATTTGTGGACGCATAATAGTACCACAAGTGCGGCGATTTTCCCCACCGAACAAGCAGCGACAGAATTTCTGGGTGCTTTAGACACTGGTTTTATGATTGCATATGCTTTGGTGAGATTTCGACAAATCTCGGTAGTAGTTGAACGTTTTAGGGACTTTTCGTGAGTGGAGTTTTGGGTGACAGGTACAATCCGACTATTATTTTGTCCGTTGGAATGATGATGTCATCCTTGACGGTAGGTTGATTATTGATTTTCTTTATTTCGTCTTTAATCCTAGAAAAAAAGTCCTTTCTGTGGTTGTTCAAAGACTCAGAAGTCTTGCACTACCTGAAAAAAGAGTAAAAGGGCAGCTTTCCTCGAAACTTCGACCAAATTTAGATTTTCCCTTTAGAAGTGTATCAAGTTGCTATGAAGAGACCAATGCTTTTTTTTTTCCAATTTACTCGAATTATTTTCAGGTGTTCGCCTTCGGCTATCTCACAGAAACTTTCAAAGTCTATTCTGCTCCGATCTATGCCTTTTTGTGGATTTTAAATGGATTGATACAGTCGACCGCTTGGCCCACTGAGGTTAGATAGGCAGAACGCTCTTGAAAAATCACAAAGCCAAAAAAAACTGAATCATCTAGAAGTATGTTAATTCAAAAAGAAAAGAAAAATTGATTTGAAACGCAATATACTTCAAAATGATATGCATACTGTTTTAGTGCAATTTTGGGGCGCTAATAGAAACTTTTTTCTGTACTGAAACTTCCGTTTCCCTTTTAAATGAACCATGAAAGTTTTTAATAAATTTTTCTGGTATCATTATTCAAATACATTTTTGAAAAAGTCCTCAAAGATTTTTTTTCCCAAAAAAAGTTTCTTCTAAAATTCCCCTTGCAGTCAAAATTTCTTAAAAGATGATAAATCTTCAAGGTGAGCATAATGGGCAACTGGTTCGGACACAGTACCCGCGGTACAGTCATGGGAATCTGGTCTTCCTGTGCCAGCGTTGGAAATATTATCGGGACTATTGTCGCGAGTCATTCCGTGGAGTATGGCTACCAGGTTTCAAGAATTTTTAGGTCTTTACCGATTTTTTTCAGTACGCTTTCGCTCTCAACTGTGCCATTTTGTTCATTTATTCGTTCGTCGTGGTTATTTTCCTACCGGCAGCTCCCCGATCTTTAGGTGGGGAGGAAAAAATATTTGAAATTTCATCAATTTTTATTGCTTACGCTACCTCTCTGACGGCGGTTTGTTAATTTTTTCTACTCTTTCATTGTTATACAAACTAGTCCTTTTCTGCTTGAGAACCAGGTTTTTTAATTAGTTTTTGCGAAGCACGAACAAGACTGAACAATTTTTTAACTTTTTTTTTTTAAACGTTTGATCTCAGTTAACGCTAGTATTTGTATCCTGGACTCCAACAGAATATAACATTAAGGATTGCCGGAGATTGAGGATGACTTTGAAGAAATAATTGAAACCGAACGTCCCCCGCCACTTGGTTTCTTCAGAGCCTGGCTTCTTCCAGGCGTTTTGGCGGTGTGTTTTGCTATCTCAATCAATCAAACGTACTAAAAAAACATCATAAACGTTTTTTAGTATTCCCTGGCTTACGCATGCCTCAAACTCGTCAACTATGGATTTTTCTTCTGGCTTCCCTATTATCTCCACACGTTTATTTTTAGGTTATGAGGCTTATTTTTAGAAAATATCTTTAGAGCCCTCCATTGGCCTGAATCTTACGCCGATAGTCTTTCCACCTGGTACGATGTCGGAGGAATCATCGCCGCGATTGTCGCTGGAGCCATTTCGGTGAATTTGGGGTTTTCAGAAGCTCAAGTTTTTTTTTGTTATAGAAAACCTTACCATTCATGAGAAAGATAGGTGAAGAGCTAATCTAGCCGATGTATGATGGGAAAGGGTGAAAAATTATTAAATTTAGGCGTTTTCACTAGAAAAATATCTTATTACAACCTTCTGTTAATTTTTAAATGATGTCACTTTCAGTGTCTTTTTTTGAAGTTTAGATTGTCATTACAAGGTTTCTAAAGACTTTTTTTTCAAAGAAAAAACCCTCCAAAAAGTTGTTTAAAATGTTCCTCTCTTTCATTTTCATTCTAACTAAAAGAACGATTTTGAAGGATCGGATGTCTTCGCGAACTCCAATCGTTTTTGGAATGTTGATGTGTTCTACAGTTGCCCTGTACATCTATGCGCGTAAGTGATCATTTAATCAGTTATTTTATTTCTCAAAAACTTTTTTTTGAAACCTTTTTCTTTACTTTAGGTTGAGACCTAATAGTGAAGAAATCAGTCATTTTTTCGTATGTAACTTTTTTTTTGAAGATTCCCCGTCGAGTTATGCCTGGAACGCTTTTCTTCTCATCGTCGCTGGCTTTTTCATCGGAGGCCCGGCGAATATGATTTCCAGTTCTGTCACTGCTGATCTTGGTTTTCAATCATTAGATTTAAATAATGACAGCTAATTTTTTAAGGAAAATGCCGAGAAGTTCGAGGAAGCGCCGAGGCTCTGTCCACCGTCACAGGAATCATCGATGGTTGGATTTTTTAGGAAAAGTGTTTAAAATATAATATAATGTCTAGGTACTGGTAGCAGTGGAGCGGCCATTGGTCAGTGGTTCATTCCTTCGATTCAGCTCTGGTTCGGCTGGGGCGCCGTTTTTTATGGATTCATTTTGATGGTTAGTAAAATTCAATCCTTTTTATTAATCCAATACGTGGTCTTTGATTAGCAAAAGGAAATCACAGTGAGGAAGCTTATTTGAAAATTTAACTTCAAAACTCGGGAAATTTAGATCTCCATGGGGCCTATATCTACTAAAAAAATAGAGAAGTCTTGAAAATAAACGCGGAAAAATAGTTCGAAAAGGGAGGTTTTCAATTGAATTTTTTATTTTCAAGATGTTCTGCACTGCGCTTTGCATCTCGCCTCTGCTGTGGAAGGAACAGTGCGCGAAACGGCGATCAATTTCTCACAGAAGGGAAGAAGACGAAGAAGAAGCTCTGCTTCCTGATGAAACTACGCAACCTGTACGCAGAAGATCTTCTCAGAGTTATATTTAATCCCTACATTTTCATACTTACTTACTTGTTTGTATATTCAAGAAAATGCGTGTTTTCCTCGCCATTCCTGTCCCCTGATTGTGATATTCTTTTCGAAATATATTTATTGCATTATGTACAAAGCTTAATAAAGAATTTTTTTAAAATGCGTGATATAACTGAAAATTCGTTTCATAATTTCATTGACCTCTAGTTTGGTATTTGAAAGTTTCGATGATTTCGAAAAAGTTGCGAAAAGTGAAAGCATGAATCATATGACAATGTCATCATAACAATAAATCACAAAGTTGCATTCTACGAGATCTATTTTATAAATTATTCTTTTTTTAAATATTTAAAAAAAGACATCATATAAATTTTTTTTTAATGTTACGGTAGTTGTCTTTGGTGAATGCGTTTTGACTGACGCGCAAAATTCCTCTGCACGCCTCGTATCCTCATTTTTTTTCCGCATTCCAGCCAAATCACAAGCGTTTCCGATAATCGCGGTTCATCACATCTAGTGCTTTTAAAACATTCATTTTTTGAAACTATACGTGGGAAACTTCAAGTTTTCTGTTTTTAATGATTGTTTTAGACACTTCCAGAGCGCGGCAGGAGAAGCTTCCTTTTCTTGTTTGGAGGTCTGACGAGGTTTGTTATCACTTCTTTACGTGTAATAAAGTTTAAAAACAGTTTGCTGCTATGTTCTTGTGAATTATGGTAATAATGTATTTTGTTTTTTTCACGGCATGAAAGACATCAAAAGAGATAAAAATTAAATTTTGGCGTTGTTAAAAATATAGCGAAGAAATTTTTTTTAAAAATTATGTATTGATATTTTTTAACGATTAATATCTTAAGTCACAAAAGTTAATTTAATTGTATTTTTCAAGTTGCTCGACTGGGTTATTCAAAAAAATTCCCGTTGACTTTTCTTCTTTGAATGAAGAAAAAGTTTTCATCAATTAATTGAGATTTAAATCTGCGAATTGTTCCAAAGACGCGACCACTTTCAACAAAGGTCAAAAATTGTTCTTTTAAACTTAGTTTCAAAGTTTTTTTATAAATTGTTTTTCACATTTTGCGTGAAACTTACAAACAAATGTTTACATACTAGTTGATAATGAGAATAAAAATAAAAAACGACTGACCATGTTTGAAAAAGTTGAGGATTCATTTTCGCGACTCCTACATTCCACAAGCTTAGCTGGTATTTATGTTTAAAAAAATGAAAAATTGCTACTAATTCTCAAGAATTGAATCGAGAAATTACGATAAACAAATTATGCGATGGAAGAAGAATTTTTATATAAATCTTTTTTTTCCTTTTTTCGCGAAGAAAATTACAAAAAAAGCTGTATTTCCATGGCAGGAGGAAGTTTCTAATGATCATTGCATTAGAAAAAGTCGCGAAAAAAATGTTCAAAAAAAGGAAAAAAATTACACCGAAGTTTGCAAATTCGTTTTTTTCTAAATTCATTTTATCAAACAAATTTTGATATAGTTTCTTTTTTTACGAAAAAAATTTTTCAAGCCAAAGTTTAATACTTTCGTTCAAAAATCGAAAAAAACGAAATGAATTGATATTCTTTCAGATGACAGCTGATGTCAGGACGTTTGTCATTCCGAAACTCAAAAAGGAAGCGAAGGATCTCAGAAGGTAGAAAGAAAAAAAGTTCTGAAAAATGTGGTAAAAGTCTGCAAAAAAAAAAAAAAATCAATTTCTCCATACCAAAAAAAAATTTAAAGTTCTGAATTTTATAATATTCAGGATCTTCCGCTCCTGCCAAGGGTCTCGACAGTTTCATTTTGAAACGCGACGACGAAGATTTTCGAAAAATTTGTGACGTTTTGGAGAAGAGTTTCGCCGACAAAGAACTCTACAAAGTTCTCAATGTTCTGTCGATAAAGAGATATAAGAACAAATATCTCGAGTGGAAGGTTTCCATGAGAAACCTATTTCTTTTAACTTCGGCGGTTTTCAGTTTGATAATTTCAAAAAAGTTGTGAGAAGTTCTGGACAAAACGACGTAGAACATTGGGCTTTCCGTGAGATTTTGTCGGATAAAGAGGTACTTGGAAAGTTTTCGTAGAGTTTTTTAGTGTTTCAACGTTTTCTGGAGCTTTTAAAGGTACAGGCGACAATTTATTTGAATAGGAGCAAAAAAATAAGATTACTTCTTTATTTATTTTTTTCCTTTTATAGAAGACAATTTTGAGAAAAAAACCTCGTTTTCATTTTTTTAATAAAAAAACTTCTACAATAAAAAAATTCATGATAAAGGATAAAAAAATTATTCCAAAAAAATTTGGTTTTTTTCTATACTGTAGTGGTCACGTTTTTCTTGGAAACTATCGATTTCTGCTCGTTGAGGCTTTCAAAATCTTCTTCTAATACATTTAAAAAAACCTTTCAGTCATATTTTTTTAGAGACTCCTGGAATCATAGGAAGCATTTTTTTAAATTCTTTAAAACCTTATTTTTTTTTTTATTCGAAAGGTCTTGAAGGCGAAATGTCAAAATAAATAAAGTGAAGGCAAGAATTCTCTGAAAAATCAGCTGAAATTTGTCTTGAAAAGGTATTTCAGTCTTTTTTCCGAAATTTATAGATCCACACCATATTAGGGATTTTAAAAATATCAAAAAAGCGTTTCATTTTTCAGATCAAATCCAAAAAATTACAATAATGCGAAAATCGGGAGGAAAAAACTTTGATAGAATATATTGCCTTAAGTCAGTCCTAGATTCACCATACCTGAAAACGACCTGCGCCTTTAAAATCTCCAGGAAGCTGTTATGAACACACTAAATGTAATATTAAATGAAATAAAAGTATTTCTAGGAGTCGTTCATCGCACAAAATGGCGTTCTTGTTGGGAGCACATTTGCCGGAACCCTAGGAGATTCCAATAAAGGTCCCTTCTCATTAAAAACTAAAATAAACCTAATTTTTCGCTTCAGGAGTTCTATTGTACACCAATCCGGACCTCACAACTGCTTCTTCCTATTATCGATCACTTCCAATCACTCTGATGATTTTCAAGACTGTCAGGTTGGTTTGACTTTTTTTCATTTCAATCTCACATCTCTGATTCTCTGTTTCTTGCATTTCTTCTCAGCATTTTCATCTCTTGCAAGTTCCGTTTTTCTCAAGTCTCTGAAATTTTGAAATTCTACGCTTTCGTGATTTTTTATTCTAATTTCGTTCCTAACATGAAAAAGTATGAATTTTTTTGGCAGTCTGGATTTCACCTTTAATCTTCTCATTTCTTTTTTGATTTTTCTTTTTTCCACTATTTTTTGCATTTTCCCTGTTTATTTGGAAATATTGAAAATCTCAATGATTTTTGCTATTTTTTCTCTTGAAAATGTTCTTCCAGCTTACTTTTTTTGTCATCATCAGCAAAATTCAAATTCTCAACTTTTTCAAACATTTTTTTCATTTGCGATTTTTTCCTTTTTTTTCTAAAATTTTCATTTCAATTTTTTTTTAAACGTTGAGCCAAAACTTTAAAGATGGAAACTTTTCAAAGAGCAAGAAAGAGAGGCTAGAAACAGCCAAAACCAAGAAAGCCTTTTTTTCTGTGAAAAATATTATTCCTTTCTCTTTTCGGAAAAATGTGCAGCTCATTGAATGAATCGAATTTTTTGTTGATAGGCGTTTTTAGGGCTTATTTTCTTTCTAATGCTGGCATAGCTTCATTCTTAACTTTTTTTTCTTTGATTTCTTAACTTTTTTCACTGATTCTCATCTTCTTTTATACCTCAAATTTCTTAGTTTTGAATTACTACATTTTTCTTTCTAAGATTCTGTTTTAAGTGACATTTTTTTTCAACTCAAAGAATCCTTGAGACGAAATTTTTCAACTGGGAAAATACATGATCTACCATACACACCCAGTTCACTTTGATTCACTCCTCAATTTTCTCTTGCAAACTCGAAAATTTGAAGAGGCCGATCCTTGTTGGTCGATGTAGCCAAATCGTCGAAATACGATTTGACGCCGCAACTGGAAAACTTTTCACATATGCCTGTAGGAAGAGAACGGATGTACTCCCGCGAAACTCCGAGAAGAATGGCTCATCAACTTTCCGCGGTTAGTTCTATCATTCTGGGGCTGGTTTCAGAACATTTATCTATTTTAGAGTTTCTTCCAAAAATTAATATATCCTAATTTGTTAGTTTCATTGTCACTTTCTCTCATTCAAGTTTCTAGATTTCTTATCTTACCTGAACGGTTCATTATTATTCATCCTATTAAAGTATTTTTTTTATTTGCTTCAGAGAGTAATTTAACGTTTCTGTGAATGTCTCTGGTCTATTTGAGGAAGTCACTCGAATGCGAGAGACCAGCATCGACTTGAAGAGACGCCAGAGAGAGAAAAAAACTCGTTTTTTCTGGCGTCTCTTCAGTCCGACGCTGATCTCTCGTTTCGGATTTTCAGACTTATAAGTTTTTTTCACGATGTCACACTCTTAAAAGACATGAAACTTCTTTGGCTTGATGCAAAAACAAACATTTCCTCACGTTTTTGCAATTCGCCTTTCATAAAAGTATAATTAAGACAAATTTGCCTTTACTGAACCATTTTTCAACAACCTTCATGTCTAAAATTACCAGGTCTATCACTACGAACATACCTTGGACGGAGAAATTGAATATGTCCCAGCTGGCGTTTTGCCATACGCGTTTGTCGAGTTAGAAGTGAAAGACTGGAAACTGATGAATCTAGTTGGAAGACCTCCTCCAGCTCTGAGGTTCCGTCAGTCTTCATCCTCGCATTCAAATCATTCTTTAGCTCTATTTACTACGACTTCGCCCTCAAGCCAATGCTCAAGTTCGACTTGATGATCCCTGGTTACTCTATCAAAGAGGCCGACCTTTGCTCCGTTTTCGGACCCGGATTTCCTCTTAACGGATTGTTAGTGTTTGATTCGGATCAAAATGCGTTGGTCGCATGAGGAATGGCTCAAGGCGAAGTTTTCGGATATTTAGTACTTAAGTTCGTTAGGACAATATTTTAGAGGTCTCAGAAAAATCCTCGAAATAGTTCTGGGAAAAAATATTTTCCCCCTTCTTTTAGAGATGTACGGCATAAGTTGAAGACTAGAGTATAGGCTATTTGCTGAAAAAAAGAATGAAACACTCAAAAACGAACCGGAGCGCGCACGAACGCAACGCCCTGAGCCATTCCAAATGCGACCATGGCTTTTCATGGCGCAAATTTACGGAGGGAATTTAGTTGCGCCAACACAGTTCGCCTCGTCGACGGGCCTTTTTTCGATGCGAGCAAATTCGCAGAGATTCGTGGCATCGCCGAGTTGCAGAACAAGTCTTTCGGAGATTTGGCCTACTTGCCGGAAATCTTTGTCAGTTTCAAAGATGTTCGTTTGAAAAAAAAGATCTTCAGATAAAAGATAGACAAGTTTTCGCCGCCTATTCAGTTTTCAAAAGCTCCAATCCAGTCTTCACTGAGCTTATCGCGGATCTCTACTCGAATAATGCGGTTGGTTTGTATTTTTTTTCGAAGGTTTCGGGAAGTTTCTTATTGGGACCCATAGGTTTTTTCATAAGCATGCTCCCGAAATTTCAGAGTATTTTATAAAGTTATGTATTTTTGAATATCTATGAATCCAAGGCTTCTAAATTCTTGTAAATGTACGATTTTAAATCTTCTCAAAGCGTCTAAAAAGCCCCTTTTCTGAAAATGACCCGAATGAACTCATTTTTCTAACTCACCAAGGAAATTTTTTACCCCAGTAAAGATATTGATAAAACTTGCTGAAATGTTCCTTCCTTACGGAATTCACGAAACGAAAGTTCCTTTTATTCAGTTTTTGATGCTGGCCGATCCGACGAGCACGACTCATCTGGTGCTCCCATCGGGCCAACTTTCCTCATCTCTCGGTCTTCCGGCTTCTCGGGAGATCCTCCATGTTGTTTCCCTCTCCTCCATGAGCCATTTCGCCGGTTCCTTCAGTCTCGAACATCTCACCGCCTACGAGGACCGCCAAACGTTCGTCACACAGTTTATGTCAGAAAAGACTGGAAAATTTCTTTTTTCGCTATTTTCATGCGACCTCCTGGTGGAAAGAAAAAAAAAATTCATGCTTGCATTTTTTTAATGGATATTTTGCTGCAAGTCGATTTTATGGAGTTTTCAAATGAATTGGAAATATAAAATTCTAGTTGAATGTCCCATTTCGTTTTCCTCAGGATAATAATTCCCGAAAGTCTCTAAATATTATATAAAAAGTTCGAAAGAGCAAAATGACGTCTTCTAAAAAATTTTCTAGTACTCAAGTCAGTTAGTGAGGATTTCGAATTCGATCATCGAATATTCTAGTTCTTTTCATCCACCTAGTGAGTCTAATAAAAAAACCTACCCAAAAAAGTTTCAAATTTCATCGATTCCACGCTTTTCCAGTATGGAAAGTCGTCGGTTGGTGGCAAATGAAGAGCTGATTTGCGTGAGCATGGAATTTATCACGTGTCATTCGAGAAACGCGGCAGAACATGCCGACGCAGTTGAGGAGCACTCTCGTGGTACTCCAATCAAAATCAAAAAGAGATTTAAAGTATTCTTTTAAAGTTAAAAACGAAGAACCAACAATATCAGCTCCAGTAGAAGTGAAGAAATTGGCTCCGATAGCGTTACCCCTCGCCTCCTCCCAAAGGTTCAGTTCTCAAAAGTTGGAAAAAAATATTTACTAATTCTTTTTTAGGAAACTTGAAGCCTCCACTAGCGCCAGGCGCTGTCCGACCGGTAAGTTTTGAAAGAGTCCAAGAAAAGTTTCAAAATCCTCGGTTAAATTGAGATTTTTTTTGCAGAAACACACACGACGGGTGAACTGGCATCCTGAAACAGTTTTGGTTAGTTTTGATACCTCTAGTTGAAAAGAGTGGAAAAGAAAGCGTGTATTTGAGAAACGCCAGAGAAAGTGAGACTTTCTACTTCTCTAGAGTCTCTTCATTCTCTCATTGGAATTCAGCTGAGCTTGAGAAAAAACACTATAAGAACTTTCAGAACCAAAAGCGTGAAACGTCGGTTGACCGAGAAAAACGAAAACGAGAAGAGAAATTGGTGGCGGCTGAAGTGACCCCTGAAGAGGCTCAAGAATGCAACGCCGTCTTCAAAAGCGCCTTTCATTCCAGTGGTAATCGAATGACTGATTTTTGAAAAGGAATGGAAATGCGATTTTCCATGATCTTCATGATGGAGAGATCGGTCTTTAAAATGGAAGAAGCAGACAAAAAAGGAAAATCCGATTTTCCATGATACTCATAATGACGAAACGGTTTGAATATTGAGAAACAGAAAGCTTTTTTACATTTTCTTATTGGAAAACTGTGGGATCGTTTAAATATGATCCAAACTTTTTTTGATAGGTAGTCTAGAAGAAATTGAAAAAAAGGTTGCCAGAAGGAAGAACTCAAAGATTTTTTTCAGTAATTATTTTTTTGAAAAAAACTGCATGAAGATTTTACAATAAGAAATATGAGAGAAAAATTCGCAAAAAAATAGTTTCAGAGTTTCAAAGGGAGTTTTTTTGGTGATTAAGAAGTTTTTTTAAAAAAATCAAATCTTTTTGATTTCCTTATTTAGTTTTTTTCTCACTACAAAAAGTTTTGACTTGAGCAGCAGGTCTCAAAAATTGAGAAAAAACTTATAAGCCGACCTGAAATTTTTGTTTCCCTTCCAGAATTTTTCTCTGAATACAACTTTTTAGGAAGCGGCAAAATCGCCCCGCCGAAAGTGACCTCGACACTGGCTACGATCCCAAACAATGTAATTTCATTTGATGACATTAAAAATCTCTATCCTTGTTAGTACATATTTCATGTTATTTTGTCTTGACGCACTACTTTTCAACTTTCTTTCACTTTTTTTTTCACCGTGTTTTCTGTACTTCCAGCGATCTCAAATCACCCCTGAGCATGTTGATAGCTAGCATATATGGGCGGAAAAATTTTATATTCTGAAATTTTTGACAGTTTTTCAGCAAAAAATTTATAGTTTCGAAATTTTATAAAAAGTTTATTTTCCACTTGGACCTGCCCATGTATGACTTGCTGGCGTTTCTGTGTTTTTTTTTTGTTGTTTATATTCACTCACTGTGGATTTCTCCTCTTTGTTTTCTAGAGACGCTAGAAGAATTGAATTCAACCCTCTTTTTCCCATCAAACTAATAAAAGGAAGCTTTTTCAGCAATACTATTGCGAAATAGTCTTATTCTTCTATTATTGGTTGATTGCCGTTTTTAGAGCTTATTTACGCATGCACAGTTTTATAGTTCATTCAACACTTGCTTGCCTATAGACAGAACTTCTAGAAATGACAAGAAAATAACGTTCCTGCAAGCGAATGCTGAATGAACTATATTTTTTTATAATTTCAGTTGACACTAACTTTATATTTCATCAAGTTTTGAGATCTGAACCTAGGATTTCAGGGCCAGGAAGCTGTGAGCCGAGAAAATGCGGCCCCCACGACGACTTACGTCAAATTCAGCGAAATCGCTTCATTGCCACTTCCTCCAACTGTTAGTTTCGTAGAAAAAATAAACTCGGAAAAAGCAATTTTCAGGCCAACCGCGAACAGCGACACGCTGAAATCTTGGCCGGGGTGAATATTCCTGAAGCCCTTCTGATGAAAAAATTATTGGAAGAAAAATGGAGAACGTGTTTCTGAAAAATAAAATGATGGGAAAGAGATAGAGAAAGAAAATCTCAATTTTAGCTTTCAGCTTTTGGTGTGTTCGAAGGAGCATAAGTCGAAAAAAATTTGAAAATTTTATGGAGTAGACGCTAGTCACTAGAACTTTTCCTCGTGTTGACTTAGACTTTTCTGAATTTTTAACTTTGAGAAAACCTTAGAAAGATCTTATAAGTTCACTAGGCTCTGAATTACAAGGCTCGAAAAAAAAAATCTATAAAACATACTGAAAAAAATTATCTTCCACTCTATTCTGATTTAGTATCTTTCTCGTTGATGGCTCAGGCCAAAGATACCACGAAACGAAAGAGGAATTGAAATATTTTATCGAGTTAGAAAAGTTTGCAAGTATTCCTAACAGTTTTTGAGAAACTAATTCAAAAAATTTGCGTATTGTATGCTCATGATTCAATTGATATTTGAAATCTATAACTGATTCAAGGCTGACTTGGGCCATCAAAAAATGGGTCGTGGGACGTCCTGAGACGATGATAAAATTGATAGTGCCTGGCCGGTGGAGAGCGCAGGCAGGCCACGCCCCATTAGCGTCCCAAGCTAGTTCATTGAAACGCTAATCACAAACTCTTGAAAAAGTGAAAGTTCACCAAGTTAACGAAACGATGACGATGCAAGGAACTCCTACGGAAGATTGGCAAAAAAGAAAATACATAAATAAAATCCACTCAAAAACAGTTACAAAGCACAAAATCAAGTTGTCAACCGGATGGAGCTTTTTTTCAGATCTTCTATCAAGAAGAGGACGTCGCCATGGACATCGACACGGAAGATTCTGAAGAAGTTTTGGCTGGAGAGAAAAATGAACTAGTGAGCTAATTTGAGATGTAAACGAAAAAATTTCTGCTTTGGAACAAAAAAGTTTGGAATATATTTTTTGTAGGTAAGGTATCATCTTGTTTTGTTATTTTTTGAAGATCAGTATGTGGTCCAGTAGAGTTTAGTTTTTTTCTAGTATAGTAAGTTTTGCAAAGTAGATTTCTCTACGACCTCCTTTTTCTCGACGTCTCTCTCATTTTGACTTGCTATTTTCATGTTTCTCTGACCTCGCTGGTGAGGGAACATAGAGACGCAGACATTCGAAAACTGTCACGGCGGACTTACTTTACTCAAACAAATTAGAAGAGGGCAATTTAATAGCCAAAAAACATTTTTGCTTTACTAACTTCTCCAAAAAGGGTTTTTTCTATAATTTTTCATTGTTTTGAATTTGTTTGCTCTATTTTATCCTTTTAAAAAAAGATCTCTAAATTCCGAGTTATCAAATAAAAAAATCATAATGATTTGAAGTATTTAGGAAAAAGTGTTGAAAAATTTAAAAAAATACAACAAAATTTCAGGCGAAAAAACCGGTCATTGGGGAAGAAGATCAACCTCAAGAGATTCCAACTGGTTATTTTGCCAATTAATCTTCAGAATTTCAAGATTTAATTTCAGAAAACCCCGCGGTGGCTGCAGAGGAAGAAAAAATAGAAGAGGTAGGAAATATTGCGAGTTCAAGCTTCATTCTCAAATTAAGGAGGACGGAGATGACCTTCTGAGTTTCTGCCTTTCCTCTTCACGGCCAGCTCCTCCGGTGGTTGTTGATCCGGTCAAGGTGAGGATAGAGCTGGTTCACGGCTGGCTTGAGCCATCGAAAAATGGTCTTGACACGATAAGAAATGAGATAGCATCTGGTTTGTGGAGAGCGCAGATAGGCCACGCCCTTTAGCCTTCCAAGCTAGCTTCTAGTTCGAATGATGAACGTTCATGGTTTATCAAATAGAAAATGTTCAGAACGCTTCATTCCCTTTGGTCAAGGAAGACCCGCCAAAAACTGTCGTTCCAACTCTTCCAACCAACCTAGTAGCTGTTCCTGGCGTCTCAGAAATACTGTAACTATCCACCAAAAAAATCATTAATTTTCATGTTGTTCTTAGAAAAAACATTTCGGGATCGCAAATCAAGAGTTTGACCGAGTCTATATCGGCGGTACGAAGGAACCGATTTGATGTTGGCGGCACGGCTCCGCCGGCTGTAGTCCCTCCTCCTGGTGAGTTATTTTTACAAGGGAAGTCCAAAAAGACAGTTTCTGAGAATTCGCTTAAAGTTCGTTGGAATATACTCCAAAAGGTCCTGTATCGAGATCTCAATGTTTTTTTTTTCGGTTTCTGTCTTTGAGTCAGTTTTCCCCGATGGAAAGAATCGGTCTTCTCTGAGCCCTCTTTGTCTCTCGGCAACCCTCTCCGGCTGTTGTGTTATTTTCATGTATTCTGACCTCTCCAGTGAGAAAACAGAGAGACGTAGACACTCAAAACATTTAAATCTTTAAATCGTGTCGGACGGACTTTATGAGCCTTAAAAGACGCCGAAAACTTTGATTTCCTTTTTTTTTTTTAAATGAACGAGCTTCGGAACTTCATAGCTTGAGTGAAAGCAGAAAAACGGAATCGAGATTAAGATTCAGAGTTTTGCATAGTACATCCTAGCAAATTCTCAGAATGTATCATTTTTGAACTTTTTCTCGTTAGGCTTAAAAAAATTATAAGAATAAAAAAATTTTTAGGACAAGTCGGCTCCAAAGACGTTGATCTCAGGCTTTTGCCCAAAGCTGCTATAGTCGTGGTTTGCTTTCTTCTGTTTTAAGGAGAGAAAAAAATCTACTTTTCCAGCCACCCATGCCGATAGCCTTCTCGGTGGCCAAAATGGCACCTGTGAAAAAAATTGAACCTGTCCGAAGTGTGATCTTTAACCAAGAGGAAGAAGAAGAAGAAGAAGTTGGGAATAAGTCGGGAGTTAAGAAGGACAGAGATTACCGTAGGGAGAGGTGAGTAATTTGGACTAGGAATCGTCTTAACTCACAATGAGGCTTATGAATAAGTCCAGAATCATAAGATGCAGTTTTTACACTGATTTCGAATATTAGCTAGATGTGTCCTCGGACCTTTTTTTTACAGCTTCAGTTGGAAAATTAAATGCTTTTTTTTTCAGTTTTCAAACGATAAGAAATCTTTCACTGAAGGTCCAAAATGTCCCAAATGTCTCGGAGACCAATAGTTCACTAGTCTTCGTTGAAAGGTAGAGAACATCTTGAAAAATAAGACAATTTTATGAAACTTACCAAAGGTCCCAAATGTCCCAACTATCTCGGAGCTTCAGCTTACACATTTTCCATTTTCTTTCGAAAGAGAATCTTCGAGCCGAGGCATGATTTATTTCAAAAAGGGTCATAAGGTTACAGTGAGAAAGCATGTACTATGTAGTTGAATACGTTTTTCTCCCAAAATTTTGAGATCCTACTATTTTTTTTTTCACTGATTTTCCGCTAATTGAGCGTAGAACCGGATTCAGCTTAAAAACTGCATCTAGAGAATCTCGTCAGCATTGTGAGTCGCAACGAATCTTCAGATTTTCTGAAACTTCTTTATGTTTTTTTTTTCAGGACAGCTCCTGTCCCTAAGGAGGACAACGGGAAGAATAAAAAACCAGTAAAACTGGATGTGGTTCGTTTCGAATCTTCTTGAGCTGCAATTTTGCGAATTTTCTAGGCCGACATTCCGATGCCGCCACCCGTTCGGCAGATCAAAACCCAACGGCTTCATAACACTCTGCAAAGTTCTCAGTTTTTCGAAGACAGCCCTCAAAATGTTGATTTTGCAGCTGTTTGGAAAGCGAAAGGGTTCAGTATACCTCCGAATGTCGCGCCTTCCTTGTCTCAAGCTTCGACTTCTTTTATCGTTTCAGACTCTCCAGCTTCTCCTGAGAAGCAGCCTGTGCGTTATAGATTTATTTTTTTGAGTGTTTGAAGTTACCTTGGTGTCGAAAAGCATGCCTCAAAGCGTTGCGGTCGCGAAGCGGCCACGTAAAAACCACACAATTTTCTAGAGCTTTCATTTTTTCAGCGCTCGGCTACCCTATACTGGGCTATAACTCCATTAGAAAAGAAGTTTTCGTCTAAAAAGTTAGGCTGATTCTTGAAATCAAGATCACAGAACATTGAGATATAACGATTTTGTTTCAAATTTATCTCTCGCAGCAAGTCAAAAAATGGCCATTTTTGAGACAGCCGTAGAAAGAATCTCAATTTTTTTGTGACTTTTCATCTCATTTGAAAAAGAAAAAATGTATAATTTTATTATTTATAGAAAAAAATTAGACAGGAATTGACCTAAAAAAACGCAAGTTTGCGATTCCAAGGCGTTAAAAATCGATTGAACTAGATTATACGATTCAAATTGCTAATACAGGTTCCTGAAGTGGAAGAAATAGCCGAACTTGAAGAGCCAGATGATCTGATTCTAACGAGCTCTTCTATGGTCGAAAAACGAATCCCGACAGAAGGGGTTGGTTGAAAAACTTGATTTCGTTAATTAGTTTTCAATTGAAGTCTTCGGATTGGGAGGCTCGTGTTCAAGTGGAACCGACTTCGAAGCGGCCGCCTTCCGTAGAGTTGCCCAGTACCAGTGCGATAGTCCAGGTTAGAAAATCTTACGGAAAAAGTTCGAAACGTCTGAAAAACAAAAAAATAATACTGAGACAAAAAGGCTATTAAAAAGGTGTCCATGACTGTTAAACGTCAGGTCGAAACACCTTTCAAAAATATTTCAAAAACACCTAGAATTGAACACAAAAGATACAGACGAAAAAAGCCTTGAAAAAAAGGAAATTAAAGCCTGTTAAAGTGCGCTCCATCGCCAAATTTTGCTACGAATTGTGTTTGCTTTCAAAATTACTTGTTATATCAAAATTGAGAAAATATAGTGAAAATTCAGACCATCATCCCAACCGCCGCCATCGACGAGGAAGAGGAAGGAGAAATAATCAGCGACGACGAAGATCCACAGATTATCAAAGAAGTAGCTCCAGTCTCTGCAACGACGTCATCAGAAGAGCCGAATCCCATGGCAAATGGAGCTGTCGGACCTCTCATGGACAAGGACGATAGACAGCTCCCGCCTGGCCTCGTCATTGCTCAAGCAAAAGTTTGAAATAATTCAAAAATTCACATAAAATAGCTGATATGACAAAAGGGCTGCGAAAAATGAACTAGCGGCAGAATTGCGCTCTATCGATAAATGACGCCGTTTCCCCCTTTTAAATTTTGATTATAGCAAGTATTTGCCGATGGGTTACAATATTTTCGTAGCTTTCCCTTGGCACAATTTTGGTCATTTACTTTAAGAAGTTATTATTTATTAGGAGCTGAATCGAATGGGCTCACAACTGCCTCCACCTCCAGCCAGGACTTTTGGTGCGTTCTCGTCGATGGTCCCCTCGTCGGTTCATCGGCCCTACGCAAGTGCCCCGCCCCCTCGGCCGGTGAACGGAGTCCCTCCGGTGCCGGGCTATCCAGCTCCGGCTCATACGGGTTTTGGAGCCTATGCGCCGGTCAATCCTCAAGGTCATCTATCGAACGATTTTTCAGATTTTCTTTGAGTAGAGAAAAGACTGGAACCTTGAAAATTTGGTCGCACATTTTTCTCTTGAATGTTAGTTAGATGAAAAATAAAAATTCACAGAGAGCCAGTAAATCAAAAGTTCACGCTTTAAAGGTTTTTCCAGAAAATGAAAGGAGTCTTCATAGAGGCTAGTGATCACTGGAGGGATCAGATTGAACCCTTAGGGTGAACGAAATATTAAAATGGAGTTTTTGAAAATTAACTCGACCCTTTTCAAAAAGTGATCACTTCATGGCTATATGTAGAGGATTTAATTGAAAAAATCGCTTGATAGCAACCTTTGAAGATTTTTCGAGTAGATTGAGAAAAAAAATCCGGTCTAGAAGCAGGCTAGAAGCTATTTATTAGATCTTCTGATGAAGTTCAAAATTTCAGCTTTTGCTGCGCGACAGCCGACTGCACTGCGCGGTATCAACATCGTAGCCGACAACCTTTTGTTCAATCCAGCTGTGATGTACGTTTTTCTTCAGTTCACAAATCAAAATCTCAATTCCAGGGATGTTTCGAAGTTGGAAGCGTTGTTCCGAAAAATGGAGGCTCTGAAAGCTGGGACAAGGCGGCAGATTTCTCTCCTGCTCCATGCTAATCTACAAGAGAGTTTGAAGAAAAGGTTCGTGTGAAGAGAGAAAAACGTTCATCAAATAACTTGAGAAAAGATGGTCCTGTCAGGATTTAAAAAAAGATAGTTCCTCTTAGGTCGCGCCCCTTCGAGTCCGTAGCTAGCTTTAATCGGGTATATTTTGCCTTCAAAGAGTTAAATTCCTCGAAATTTTGGAGGACGTTCCTTGAAAATATTCATATCATTCATTTGGAAAATGTCTATCGGAAATTTTTCCAGTGCTGACGCAGTACGGCGTGGCTACGCCGCAGTTCTAGAAAATCCCAAGAACAAAGAATTCGTCCGACTTTTACCCAAACACGACTGCGATTTCGGGGACAAACGAGCGACGGTTTCTATCTCAAATGTTTCATTTTTTTGAATTTTACTGTTCAGAATATGGTTATGTGCTTGTCAGTGTTGGTTCGCACCAATAGAAACGCTCCGATCGACATCATCTATCTATCAAGTAAGTATTCAGAAAATATTTTCTAAGAATGTAAAGTTTGCTCTGATGAACACTTTCTTTGATTGGCTCTCTAACACCTTTTGGAAAAATTATTTTCATACAGAATTTTCTTACAAAGATCAGCTTCTTCCACAGAATTACAAGAAAATTTTCTGCTGCATCTAAATTTATGCCAAGGGCTCAATATCCTAAATCCAACCTAATTCAATATTTGAAAAACCTCGAGTTAATCATTTACCAGATATGAGCTCCGCAGCTCAAACGGGCGCACAAATAACTGGTCTCGGTGTGAAAATGATGAGACTCAATGACTTTTTACAGTCATAATAATAATATACTTGGTTTTTCCGTTCTTGTCTCATAGATATCGTGTAAATGTTCTCAATACCCTTTTTAGGTTCATTTTAGTTCTAAAGAATGAATCGATTTATTTTGTTCCTACTAAAGATTATTTTCCGAACCCCGGGTGAATATTTTTTTCCTTTTAGTATTGCTTAGAGCTGTTGATTGATTGTCGTTTTTTTCCCGCTAATGAAACTTTATCAAAGTTTAAAAATTAAGTTGAAAAGATACAAAGAAACTGAAATTGAAAAAAAGTTAGAATAAATGTACCATCGTATGAAGATATATTCTCGCAGTTGATTCGATGCACTTGAAATTTCACGAAATTTTTTTTTCTTGAGAAACACGCGATTTTAAGTAGTCCCTTGAAAGGCAGAAAAGGGGTTGAAATTTAAAAAAAAATCAATTTTAATCTTTATGCTCTTTAAAAAGCACCGGAAAAGAAAGTCAAAGAATATCTGAAACTATAGAAGTACGATCAAAAATTCGAAAAATTCACGAGACCAAGATTTTTCTTCCATGAAGCTTTATCAAAAATCAAGAGTCAAAAATTTTGAAGAAAGGTAGAACCTGAGGCTAAAAAAGTTAGATTTAATAAAGACGCAGAACGAGGATGTAGGTCTGAGTGTCGTGGTAGAAGCAGCCGTAGTAGTAGTTGCCGCTGAAGATGTTGCCGTTGCTGACCGACTGCCAATCAGGGCCCTGACGCTGGTTGGAGATGACCTCGGCGTGCACCAGCCACGTTCCGCTCTTCTTCACCTTGATCTGCAACAAAACTCCGTGATGTTTCGCGATTCCTCGGGTACCTGGTTGAGAATGTCGGTCGACAGGGAGCTCATGTCATGGATGTAGCGCGCCAGCGAGTTGTTGATGAAGCTGAAGGTTCAGAAAGTCGTCGAGGAGTTTTTTCTTTTTTTTTTCAAGTAGGATTGGAAAAGTTTAGCGCGTTTTCCGCGCCTTTGAAAATTTTTTTCATGTTACCGGAGAGAGAAAAGAGGCGCAGACGCGTCAGACTTCTTCAAGTAATGGCGAATGACAGATTTACCTGGCCAGGTCGGAATCTCTGCAAATCGCGGTCGGGTTTCCTCCTCCGCTGACGCGATTTTGCTTAAATTTTGAACTTGCAACTTATTCAAAAAAATCTAGTTTTTTTTCGACTACTCTTTATTTTTTTGGTTTTTTGAGAAGCCCTTTCAATAATGGCCTTCCTCTTTTTTGAATCTATAATTGCGGTCCTTGAAATTTCAAATTTGAACTTTTTTTGAACCGACAGTTTCTGTAGTCATCGAAACAACAAAAATTTTTGAGCCGTGATAAAATTCTTCACAGCTTCATCGCGGATTCAAAGAAAATTTACTTCGAAACAAATGGTAACTACTTTTTTCAATGTACCCCCTGCGTATAAGCGGTTCATCGTGAAAAAGGGTCCTAACACGATAAGAAAGGAGATAGTGTCTGGTTGGTGAAGAGCACAGACAAACCACGCCCCTAGCGTCTCAAGCTAGCCGTGAATCGACTATATTTTCAATGATCTTACCATTTTTCCACAAGCCAATAATCGGAAAAAGAAAATGCATAGTTGAATCTTACCATCTGATAGAGCAGACTGTTCGAAATTCAAATCGCTTCAGTTTGTTAAAAAGTTTTTTTTGAGCCGACGGCGTTTTGTATATGAATTTTCGGCTACTTTTTTCAATTTTCACATGACTAAAATGTACCTGAACATCAACAACGGCGGTGGAGTTGTAGAGATCTTGATAAGGCTTCGGAGAAAGGGCCAGACAAGCCGGAATCAACAGAAGAAGAGACAGGATCCTCATTTCGCGACACAAAGAACAGTCCTCCACAGAAATGTTTATTGAACGGAACGAATGTTTCTCTCAGTTTCAGTAGCGATAATAGCCAATGTTGTAGAGGTTGTCGAGCAGGGAGTTTCGCTTCAGCAGTTGCACCTCGGGCTCCGCCTCGCGCCCATCCATCACCTGAGTCACCATTGTTTACCTTGACCCACCAACGAAACGATCAAAAAAGGATGAGCTGGATGAACTTCTTTTTTTTAGTTCATTTTTCACAATTTTCTGCTGGGAAGAAGTCATTCATGGGAAAAAATGATATTAAACTTAGGAACGCCATAGTGGCCCCTCTAGGGGTTAAAGGAAGTAGCCCCCTCTGTAGGGGTGAAATTAAGGTGGTCCCTATAGGGGTTTAGGATCCTATCTCTTAGCCCCTAAAACTCAAGTGGTCCCTATAGGGTTTTTTTGTTAAGATTTGAAAATAAAAATAAAATCGACCAATATATCCACTGGTTTTATTCAAACAACGCTGATTGATATAGTTTATGAAAAATTTTTCTCATATAGTTCAAAACGATAAAATTTCCTCTATAGGGGCCACTTCAGAAAGCTTTAGTGGCCCCTTTGGGGACGTACTGTGTTATTTAGAAAGGAGCCTTCGAGGCCCTATAGAGACCACTCCGAAATAAGACTCATCGTCTTGATACCTTGGAAAGATTTTCATTTTTTTTCAGTTAAGAGGCTTTTAGCCACTAAAAATATGATTGGACCAGAAATTAGTCAGCCTGGCCTTCAAAATTCTTTTTTAATGAGAAAATATTTCAATGTGATTAAAAAAATTATACTGAAACAATGCATCTTTTAAATATTCTAATGTCTAGATAAATCTAAAAGAACACTGGCTTTGTTTTCGCTTTCTATACGTGCTCTTTGATTTTTACACTGAGAAGCGACGAACCATTAATCTCGACGGGTCGTTGATGTTCAAACCGCTGCAGGCAACGAACAGGAGCAGGGCGGCGAGGAAGAAGTTGAGCAGCATTCGGAGTCGACCTCTGAAAACATTTTTGAACAGGAAATGATGAATAAGATGCAAAAAACGCTCGGGAAAAGCTCAGAAAATTCAAAGAGGCTGTCCTTCCAAGGAGAAAAGAACTGCAGCATCTCTAGCTAACTTCTATGACCTCTTTGGACAAGAATTGAAAAAAAAAATGTGATCAAAGGAGATAGCCTAGATCATGAAAAAAATAATTAACTTTACAAGATTGAAAAAGTTCAAAGGTTGTTTTCACAGAAAAATAAGTACCGATGTATCTAGAGCCGACCTCAGAAAGTTTTTTGGACAGGAAATCTTCAAAAAATGAGAGAAAGTTCTCCGGGAAAGTCCAAAGCAAGCTTCAAAGCTGTTGCTACAAGAAAGAAAATTACGCAGAATCTATAACTAATTTCAAAAGGCTTTTTGGACAAGAATCAATGGAAAAAATGCGGAAAAAGACTCGGAGAAGATTCATAACAAGCTTGAAGGAATATGAGCCGTAAGAAATGGGTTCTGAGATAAATTTCCCATTTTGTAGAGCTCTTTAATGCGTTTAATCGAGAGTTTACAGGAGTTCCTGGTTTTGGAAAAAGAAAATAGTTATGATTCCCGCCGACAATTAATAAAAAACTCAAAAAGCATTTCCTCGATCTCAAAACCCGTTTTTACTGACCATAAGCCTTTAAAAATTATTTTTACAAGAAAAAAAGTTGAGCGAAATTTGGAGACGCTCTCAAAAAATTTTGTTTCTTCCAGAAAAAAGAAAGATTGAAAAGGAAAAACTTTGAAGGAGCTGGCAAGGGTGAGGCTTTCAAAAAACTTTTATTTCAGAAGAGAGGGAAAGTTTTGAAAAAGGAAGAAAGTAGAGAGCTGTTGAAATTTCAAAGGAAAGAGTAAAAAGTTCGGAAAAAAGTTCAAGAGCTTCAGTTCTTCTTCAGAAGGCCTCTAGAGAGCTTTCAGAATCATTCCTTGTAAAATGAGAAAAATGAGGAAGAGAGGGCACGAGTGTCAACACACGTCGGAAAGGGTAATTGGTATTCAATAGAAACTTTTAAAAAGACGTCAAATTAGCATTCTCAGAGTGAAAATGAATGTCTGAGTTCCATCCCAGAAGCAAAGGTTGAAGTACGGCTGAATAATGAAGAAAAAATACCTACCTGATTTCGAAAAAATAAAACCTTGCAAGATCATTAAAAAACCATGATTTCGTGCAAATATTTGAACACATTTCCAGCCAAAGACCAATTTCGGAATTTATAAAGGCATTCTGCAAAAACGATTCATGCATTTTGCAAATCCGTGCTTTGCATTTCGCACAGAAGTACCTCGCATTTTGCACTTTTTTTCGTCTGTACAAAAGTGAGCCCAAAAAGAAATGCGAAATGCGAGATTCTTCTGGGAAAAATACAAAGCTCTGATCTGCGGAATGCAAGCAACTTTTTTTGCAGAATGCCAGCATAGGCACTGCACTTTGCACGATTTCAGTAGAGTAGGCCATTGATAACGCAAAACGGACGTGCTGCGGGCGTTCCTGAGCAATTCTAAGGGTCATTAGGAATACTGACGCTACTAAAGTGATCACTAGAAGAAATACCCCAACACGTCCGATTCGCGTTACCAATGTCCGATTTTTCTCTTCTTTTTGGGGGTTTTTCATTCCCCGTGATTCCGCGAAATTCAAAAAAATTCTTCAGACAGTTTGTGGAAATTGCTTTAAACACGGCGGTATCTTCTTTTGTCGTATTTCATTCTTTTTGGTGTTCGTTCAATGCTTGAAATCTTGTCAGTTTAAAAATATGACGAGAAAAAATGCCCAGACATGTCCCAGAAATTCTCAAAAACGTTCAGAGCGCTCTCGATTTTTGTTACCGAGGTCTTAGACAGAGTTGTGCGAGGGCCGGCTCGTCAGCATAATGGTTAAATCACCTCAAGCAAAAACAAGCCCAAAAAGCTTAAGGTTTCTCCAAGTCGAACATCAGCTTTTTTTACGACAAAAAAATGTTTCTGGTTATTTTTTATACTCAAAGTTCAACAGAAACAAAACTTTCTGTCTGATCGTTGCTCTACTGTGCTCATTGATGGTTCTCGATCTACTTTTAATTATGCTAATACGTCTGGTGTCCTCCAAGGTACTGTATCTGGGCCTTTGCTTTTCTTGATATTTATCAACGACATTGTTAACTTGATCGACCCTGAAACCTCCATCTCACTATTTGCGGATGACATTAAAATTTACGGTTCTAACCCAGAATCTCTCCAACATAGTATAAACTCTATTTTTGAATGGTCATCTACCTGGGGCTTGCCCCTTGCCGCTAACAAAACATTTGCTATTCACCTGGGCCCTCACAATCCTAAAACTATTTATTTGATTAATGGAGTTCCCATCCCTCATAAATCTGTTGTACGTGATCTTGGTGTACTAATCGATGAGAAACTCACTCTTGCTCCGCACATTAATAATATTGTTTCTCTTGCAACGCTTAGATCCAACCAAATTCTGCATTGTTTTCGTACAAAATCTCCGGCTCTTCTGTTTCAAATTTTCAACACCTACGTCAGACCTATATTGGAATATTGTTCTGAAGTTTTTAACCCACCTATTAACTCTGACCTTTGCTACAAGCTTGAATCCCCACTCAGAATTTTTTCCCGCAAAGTTTACATTAGGTCGAACCTATCCTTTGATTCCTATTCAGATCGTCTAGAGCAATTTCAACAAACCCCACTGTACATTAGACGAGTTATTTCTGACCTCCTCACTCTCCAAAAAAATTTGTTTTCTGGTCATGATCACTTTCCTCAATTCGAAAAATTTTGCCCTCAGATCCAATTTAAGGCGAAATCCACTTCGGCTACGTTCTCAAGGTCAGTTTTTCTAACAACTTTTTTTCTTCAAAACGATTCCTATTTGGAATAAACTTACATCCAAATATCAGTTCACTCTTCCACCTAATTCTTTGAAAAAAATTATTGGTCGTTTTACCTCGCAACGAATTTTTTTACCTCTACTCCACCAAGACTTAACTGATTTCAATTTTTTTGTTTTTTTACTTCAACTTTTTTTCCTTATTTAAATTGTAGATCAAAGTGAACTCGTTGGGGTTCACACTGATCTGTGAATAAATTATTATTATTATTATAAAACTACGAATTTGGAAATATGCGTTTTTTGGTGAAAAATTCGAGTTTGGATACAATTTTTTCAAAAAGAAGTTTCAAAATTTTTCGAAGCCTGGCCTAGCTTCAAAAAAAAATTGGCGAAAATTATCCGAGCAAGACGCACAAGCCCGGACCTCGGTACAGCAAACCGCAACGTCAACCAGGACTTCTAAGAAACGTCCGGGACGAGTTTGATTTGAGTTACAGAGGTCCGAGCAGCTGAAGGCCAAAGCAATAAAGCTTGCGCGGGCTCGGACTAAGCCAGGCTTCAAAAAAAGTTCTCAAACTTCATCAAAAAAATGTTCATCCTAACTTGAAATTTTTACGGAAAAGTTACTTTTCGCTTGTTTCATTGAAGTCTATCAAAAGTTGTGGAATGTATTGAGGCCGATAGGTTGACAATCTGGACCCGCACAAGCCTGCTTTAACCAGGTCACAAACAATTTGCCTTTGAGCCATTGTGAATTCACTGTTATATATTTTATCCTTTGCAATTCAACACGGGAAAAAAAAACCCTCCGCTGCTTTTAAGAGCATTGGGCTGGTACCTGTTTTTGTTTAGCCGTCCTCCCAGTTGATCGACTTCCGTCTTGAGTTTGAAACCGTCGTCGCCACGTTGAGTAAGGAAGGCGGAGTTTTCATCATCGCTATTGACTGAATTTTCGAAGATAAAAGGCTTTCAAATGCGGAAAAAGAGGATATATAGTGGCGAAAATGGGTGAGTATTTTTTTGGTTTTCGTCTGTAACTTTTTCAAAAACAATAATTTTGACCTGAAATTCCAACCAATGAAGTAAAATGATGTTATTGATGATTTGAATTAGAGTTTTGAACCGATTCCAAAAAAATAACTCCGAAAAGATTCTTTTTTGAATGCTCATCAAATCGAAAAAAAAAGAAGATTGGATTTGAAAACAGAAACTTCGGGACATTGACTCGATAAGTTTGTATAACACGCTCATTGGGATCTTTTCTCAAACTTCTTCGTTTCACTTTTGAAAAATTTCAGGCTCAAAAAATCGCTTTTAACAACAAACTTCTTTAAAATTTCTGGCCGAAAATAATTTTCAACGAAGTTATGACCGAAAAAACCAAACAAAAAAAATTACTCATTTTCGCTAGTGTAAATACAAAAGTGAATCAAAAAAGAGCTGCTCGTATAGACGATTCACGGCTAGCTTGGGACGCAAAAAGACGTGGCCTGTCTGCGCTCTCCACCAACCAGGATGTGTTCTCTTTTCGTGGCAGGACCCTTTTCAAGATGGTTCAAGCCAGCCGTAAATCAGCTATAAAGTTAAACTATTTTTTCCGCAGCCAGAGTGTCTGCGGTCTTGAATCATAGTCTATTATTCATCGCGATCGCAAAAAATGTGTAAAAACTAAATTGAAACCCCCGAGTTTGGCCTGAGGGTTTCTAACAACCACTTTTTTCTAAATGTTTATATATCTCGGGCAAAGTCGAAATGGTGGATAATGGCCGTTAAAAAGGAGAGAATCAAAAAAGGCCGCAAAACGGCAGACAAAGGATCCCTTCATCGAGCCTTATATTGTTTCTGGAATCTTAAGGGCTCAAGAAATAGTGTAAAAAGAGAGAGGCAGCAAAAATTGTGCATAAGAACCGATGAAATGGCGCAAAAAAAGCAAAAAAAGATCTTTTGTGACCCTAAAAGGGAATTTTCTGTAGAGCCCCCTTTCCGACTTTGCCTATGCTGTCGGATCAAGGTTTTTCTGGGTTTAATTCAATATTCATAATGTTAAGCGCTTTTTTTTCATCATAAAAATTTTAAAATGTTCAAACCTCGCGTCAAGTGTTCCATTAGTAGTTGAAAGATTCATTTTCCAACTCGAAGTGGTTTCCTCCAGACGTCTTTTCTGAAGGAAAAGTGATTGAAAAACAATTGTTTAGATATCAAACTGCACTATTTGAAGTTGTCGTTGAGCCTTCATGGACTGATCCGGTCAAGTTCGTTGTAAGCATCTGCAATAAGTTCAAGATTGAAAAAAGCAAGTCGATTTCATCATTAGAATCACAATTTTTCGACTGATTAGCTATGTAAATTCTTAAGTAAGTTAGGAAAGCTTTATGCATTCAGAAGAACTAACTAGGCGGTGCGCTAGAGCTCCGCTCGGCCTTGTCATAACTAATCCTAGACGCCGAAGGCCGTGACGGCATTTTCCGCGGGGGTCCCATCATCGCTTTGTCAGCATCGCGCTGCCAACAGTTTCTGCTTCGGCCACTGGAATGGGCTTCAGCTTGACTTTGCGTATCCAGTTTGCAAGCAAAAAGGATCGGCACTCCGGGAGTCCCGCGGGCCTAATCTACTAGCGCTTATAACTCAGAAAACTATTTTGACAGTTAGAACTTTTATGAAGGCTCAAAACTTATCTTGACGTTGAAGAAGCGAGACGGAATCGTGTGGAAAGGAGAAATGATGATTGATCCCAGGTCATAAAATAAGAAATGACACGTTGCCACGTGGTTTATCGTGAAGGTTATTTTTTTTCGTCAAGAAAATGGGCTCACGTTTTTTTTTTTCAAAGAATGCAATTTTTTTTGAATAAAACTTCTCGCATGCTGATCAGGTGTCTCAACGGGTGTACCCGTATTAAACCCGTGTTTCTGAGGTTATTTTAGTCTCAGTTGGGCTAAAACGGGGGAACAACGGGTGTAAGAAAAATATGTAACCCAGCTGTGCTAAAGCGGGGTCTCAGTTGGGCTAAAAATTGCCAAAAGTTCTATCAGCTGGGCTTTTACGGGTTTAATACGGGGGCACCCGCTGAGACCCCGTGTTAGCACGGCGGGGTTACCCTGCTCAGCATTCGAGTTTGGGTCACATGACGCAAAAGGTAGAGCTAGTGGAGACACAAAAAAATTTTTGAACTCTAAAATTTTTAATTTTTGGGCTCTCTAGTTTTTTTTCCGCGGTTTTTCAATTCTTTTTTGTCTTGTTGTAGAAAAATAATAGAGCCAAATCGAACTTGCTGATGAGGTTAAAAAATGAAAATTTTGCAGTCTAACCCCTTTCAATCAATCAATCAAATCATTTATTTTGTTGTTTTAGTCTGATGTAATCGACTAGGCGGTGAACAAGAACTTTCAAAGCTATAACGAACAACCGCCTTTGGCGAACTAGAAGTCCAAACGTGTAGTCGAAAGAGTTGAAAGCATGGTCTTACGGTCCTTCGTCTCGTCCTTCTGCGCGTAGTCCATCCAGTTGCGCCTTGACGAGCTCAGAATGTTGTGGATGTTGAGCTGGAGCCCGGAGACCGTGCTCTAGGTGGAAGCCTCAGAATGAGAGCGACCACTTCGAGTGAAGATTTTACACGGAATGGATTTTTTCAGTTTTGATTTTTAGGTCATGGTAACGAATCTGGTCGAGACCTATCAAAATCGATAAAGGACATCCTGAGGATTGAAATGAGCTGGAAATCTCAGCTGCACACCTCCTAGAACTGGAAATATAACGATTTGAAATTATAAAAATCGAAATTTTCAAAATGGGAAAATCATTAAAAGACGTATAACTATTTTTCTAGAAGGTTTAGAACAGTTTTGTCTTCAGATTTAGACTAACAACGTCATTTTGTATCAAATAAAGTTATCAAATCGCACACCTGCTGAAACTTGAAATATAAGTTTTTTTGAAGTTATAAAAAAAGGAAAAATTTCAAAAACGTGAATTTTATTATGGCTTAGGCTTCTCAATCTGGTCGAGAACTGCAGAAACCGAACCTTAAATAACGAAACATAAGGTCACGATCGCAATCGGGGATTATCGCTGATAAAAACTAAAAAACCAAGTTGACAAAACATTTTCCTTGAATCTGCTGCAGAAAAGAGGTAAGAGAAGATATAAAGAAACGAATGAAGAACACTAATTAAGGCGACGGCTCAGATGAACTCGTCTTGCAACCTGATCGTTGGAATCGTTTTTGGACTGAAGGACATCAAAGACAAATTTAATAACAATATTGAGTAAATTATGAAATCGGCTTTCTGATTGCACAGATTTTGGAAAAAAACAAGTAAGACCTGTTGAAAGACTATAATTAAAAGTTCTTGCAAAATATCATTTCAGCTCCATCTTTTCTACTCTTTCGGAGAGAAAAAAGAGAAAGTTCTCCGGGACGGAAGTTAGCTTCCAAAGTTATAGCCTATAAAAAAAGCTATATGGTTTCCGCTCGAGAAGTCATGATAGCCGAGGCTATAAAAATAAAGGAGAAATGGATCCTAGCCGTGATTTTGTCGTATTTTTGTCCATTTTTGTTTTTCAATTTCAAAAATTTTTAATGAAGTTAGGTCAATTAATTATCGATCATGACGTCACGGATGAGCAGCAAGAATTTTGAAAAATTTTAATTCTCAGCCCATCGCTGTAGAGGAAAGATACGCGTACACATTTGCACAAAATGCGCAATAGTTCACGACATTTACAATCCAAGCTTCAAATTGCAGAATTTAGATTTGAAAAAAATTTTTTTATATAGTTTTTTTTTTTTTAAATTTATTTGCTTCGCACCGCGGTCATAGCCTTTTTTTATCATCAATTATTTCAGGTTGAAAGCTCAGTTAAGTTCGCCTACCATGAAAAATGATGTAGGACTTCCATGTAGGACAGAAAGTGCAGCAAAAGTCTCAGGTTTGTTCTAAATTATCAACTTGGGTAGAAGAAAAAAACACGTAGCGTTTCATTTATCAGGCGTTTATTAAAAATAATGAAATGAGTCTGTGAACAAGGTAATTTATAAATGAAGAGCTTTCTAATCTTACAAAAAAATACTCTAAAAATTTTTTTGTCAAGGAATTTAATCTGTACTTCGAAATTTTCGAATATTGCCTAGAAATTTATTACGATTTACTAGCGCCCAGTTGTATCAACTTTGGGTTCTTAAAAAAAGTCCTTAAAAAGGAAAAATAAAAAATTTTTATTTTTTTTTAAGAAAAACTTAAAAAAATGCAAGGTTAAACGACCTTCCTTACGATGTGCCTACCTAAAAAGCTTTTCCCCGAAGAGTTCATTTTCGAAAATTTTTCAACAAGTTGTGAGTAAATGACTCATTTGCTTCGGAACAAAGTAGTTGCCCGCAAATTTTCCCGGGCGAATTGCCAGGAAAGGCGCGAGTTCTCACCGTCTCTTTGGTGAGTCGGCGGCCGCTTTTTTCAACTCATCGTCAGAGCCGCCGCCAAATGCCCACTTTTTATCGTTCTTCTCGTCTTTCTCAAGATGGTCTTTTCCCTTTTTTCCAAACTTGGAGGTATCTTCATTCATATCTGGTTTTAAAAAAATATGTTAAAATACTTAGAAAAAAATCTTGTTTCGTTCCATATTAAATCATTTTTTTAACCAGAATTTTTTTCAATTCGCAGTTAGATTTCCGATAAGAGATAAAACTTCTCACGTTGTTTTTTTAGAAATGTGTGCTCTAAAAATCGCAGAAGAAATTTAAGAGAAAAAAATATGAGGGTTTAAAGTTTAAAAAAATTAACATTTTCGCTCATTTTTTTGAAAGTTACATGAAGCTGGCCTCTATGATTATGATAAACGGATTTTTGTTTTGAATATAAATTTAAATGGAGATAGGATTTTCCGAGATTACTCACAATCTTAAGGGTCCGACAAAAATTTTTTTATTTATTTTCAAAGTTTTTCTCGCGATCTTTTTTTGCAATTTCCGAGCACAGTATCGAATCAACCTGAGACTAGTCCTCATTAAAAAAAAGTAAAAAAAAATAGTTCTCAAAATGTTTAATGCAATTTTTAACTTTCCATTAAAAGAAAAATAAGCAAGAACACCCGAAAGATTCGTTTTCATTGTTGTGCACTTGAGATGGATGTTGCGCGACATTAGTGTAATCGTCGCTAAAAGTCGCACCTTCGAGTGTAAATTGACTGGACTCAACTCCTCGATTAATTGATGAATTGAGCGATTCCTCAATGTGAGCCATTGGCCGAGCAATATTGGCGGCAAATTGCAGTCACTTCCGTTTTCTCGTTTTGAGAAGGCTCTTCCTATTTTAACTGTAGATTTTCCCCTCTAAAAATGTTCCGCTGAGTTTTTTGAAAGCATAGAAAGACCGAGAAAACACAGTGGCTCATTTTTTTTCCGAAGAAAAATGGCTTTTCAAAAATAAAAAGCTGAATTTGAATGAAAAGAGACCCTCCTAGGAAGTGTCTAAATTTGTTTCTAAGGTAACTTAATGTTTAGAAATTCTTGTGGAGCTTCTCCAAGGAGAATAGACAAGTTTGGATAGGAAGGACCATTTTCAGCGCTGATTTGGATCATCCAAGGCTTTAAAAAAGTATCCTCATACCATGAATTGAGTCTAATTATTGTTACAAGGGATTGGAAGACCTCCTTCTGGGCTCCATTAGTCCTGCCGAGCAGGTGCCACTCCCAATTTGCAATTATTTGCTCATCTTCGTACGTCTGTCCATAATCTCCAGCCGTCGCATCCCATCTTATCTGCCCTTTCCACTTCCTAATTCGATCCAAGTTAGGCGCACTTCTCAGGGCTTTGGTATATCCTTAAATCGCCGCCAATTCTGACTGGTCTGTGCTCTCATCTCGGTGAAGAGCAGTTTTTTCTGGCTTGTCTGTGCTCTCTCATCTCTCGGTAAAAATCCTTTGAGAAGATTCTCTGAAGTTGTACGGTGAGTTCATACCAAGCTTAGAAAGCCTCATGTGTTTTTTTTAGCTAAAATCATGGAAGTGCAATATATTAAATTTTCGAATTTCGTTTCAAAAAGTTTTTTTTTATTTGATCGTCTCGCGGGGTGACTTCAAAAAACGAAACGTTTTGGTAAAAGAACTGTAAAAATTCAAAAAGGAACTTTTCGGATAACAAGCTTGAAAATTGAAGGGAAAGGGCTTTTCAAGCTTCCCTCCTATGATCTTTACAGTCTGGTGAAATATCCTTTTGTGAATGAAATAAATCATTATAATTATCCTGACTGGAGTTTGAAGGCGCAGACCTGAAATGATCCCGAAAACGGCCCTTTTTTCAATCAATCAATCATTTTATTTTTCCCAACATAGGGATTTTCAATGTTTTTTTTGTATAAAGTCCATGATCCTCTTAAATTTTCTTCCGGAGACTTTATCTTTCGAAGCTTCCATTATGACACTCCGCTGTAAACAACGTCAGTTTTTTTTTTTCGCAATTTCATGGAGGTTCCCAAGCAGCCATGCTAACAAGCGATCCGTCATGCTCGAAATGACATAATCCAGAGGATTCCGGTCTCGAGAAAAAAAACAGAGCTTCTACTATTGCCGCGGAACATTTGTCGGGTCTTTGAGAGCCTCCTCCTCCGTGTCCCGACGTCGTTCGTTATCACTTGATCTTGCGCTGTCCTTTCACCTGATCCGATCGGAGGCCAGATTCCATGTCTCGACACGCCTTTTTTCTTCTTGTTGTTTTTCGGTTCGGCTGTAGGATCTTTCTCTATTACTACTTTTCCAAAGAAACTTTATTAGACTAGAGTCGAAATTTTCAAATTTCAGAATTGATTTGACCTCCCAATTAACCTCAAGTGTCATTCTTTGCTCAAACATATGAATTTTTTTTTTCAAAATAAGCTAAAAAGGTCGGTGTGGAAGTTTTAAAGTCTCTTATCTTTAAAAAAAAGCTTCTCAAAGTTTTATGTGCATGTCCGAAAAGCGGCTTTTTGAAAAAGAAAATTTCTTGATTCAGAAAGGGCCGAGGGACCTTTTTAGTGAAATTCTAAGCTATCAAATGATTTTTTTCTTAAAGTTTTGAAACCGAATTTCCGTGCTGTTTATTTTTTTTCGAGAAAATGAGCTGTTTTTGTCCAAAAATTCTTTTTTTTATTCCATCATTTTGTGTCACTTCGGATCAAAAAGACCTTGATCTCAACAGTGTTTCTCAAAAAAAAGACACCCAAAAAAAGAAAGCCAACAAGTCGTTCACCGAATAATTTTGCACGTGCGTCGCCTTTGTCCGCTTCCGGCGCTCCTCGTCTAGAGGTCCAAGCCATTTTGAGCCATTCAGTCGAGAAATCGCTTGGTGCAACTCACTTTTTCCTCACACTTGGTTTACTTTGAGAAAAATGCCCTTTCCTAATGTTCGAATCCGTTTTCGTCACGTTTGATTTTTTGTTTTGAAGGACTGTAGCTCTGGTTAGAATAGGTCTCGTCGCGAAAGGAACAAATAAAGCTTTCTTATGCTTCTGTAAAGTGAAGAAGGTTTATTTGGGGATCTTGGCCATTTAGGATGATCGCTAGTGTCCACTTTAGAAGAATTTTCAGTTTAAAAAGGAAGTGGGAAAATTTGAGTATGAGAGGGTTGATGGTTGTTAGACAGTCAGAGCAGCAGAAATTATCTTGAATTTTGAAATATATTTAATATCCAGGTCTAGGTTTTCTCTTTTTTCCTTTTTAGGTAGATATTTTATGATTTCGACATAGTTTCAAAGCGTCTATATTAACTTTTTCCTGAAAAACTTCAGATTAACCTTTTAGATGACCTTTTTGAAGAAAACTATTACAAAGCGTCTACCTTTTTTGAAACTTTAGCTCAGAAAGCATCGAAATTATGACTTCAGTTTGATAAAAAAAAAAAATTTGTGAGTTTTCAGATCAGATAGGAGTTAAAATTCACCAAAAAAACAAGATTTTTGAAGTATTTTCCAATTTTCAGCCTTTACTTCACCCCTCTAAGCTTCAATTTTATGAAAATTTTTGAGTTTTGAGGCTTTCTAAACACTTTTATGTTACTCAGATTCATTCTCTGGTCTGTTTCTTCTTGTACCTCGTCTGTCCTGCCTATCTCCATCAAAATCTCCGTCGCCTCGCGCTCCAATAAGTTTCGAACTCACTCGTGAACCTATTTTCTTCAATTTCCTTTGAATTCCTCAAATTTCGCAACGACTTTCTGACTATCCGCTTCTCCAAAAAACCTTGTAAAATAAAAAAATAAGGGAAAATTAGCACCTTTCTTTCCAGTCAACGAGGCGTCTCCTAATTTATGTAAATGTCCAGAAGTTTTTCCACTGAATACAAGATGGGCACGAACCTTTTTTTCATTCCTCCCTTAGCCAAGGAATTTCTCGGAACGGATGGGTCCATCCTGAGTAGCTAGAAGCATAACATATTCAATATGTGCGTGTCCGCTTTTGATTTAATTTGCCGCGCGGTCGAAGAAGAAGGCGTTTAGGAATGGCTCGTCCAGTCCATCGCCACACCGTTTCTCCTCTCATTTCCGAATTGGTTTTCTAGTTTTCTGGCAGATTCCCAACTTTCGACACTTTTCTTTGACTTTTAATGCACTATGAAGTAAGAGTTACGGGTCAGAAGATTCGGAATCGTAACAATTCGAAAATTACCATGAGTCTAGTGTTGGGAGTAGTAGTTAAAGGTTTGAAGTTGGATTTTTTTTTTTTGATGGAATTTGGAGACTTTCTCCTTTAATTTTGATTCAATATAAAGTAATAGTTACAGAAGGGTCAAAAAATACAAAATTTCAAGAAATGGGTAAAGGTTGAGCGTCGGTAGCGGTCATTAAAAGCTGAAATCTGAAATTGAGGACAGTTTTTTTTGATACCTGTAAGCGCTGAGGCCGTTTTTATGCCTAAATTTCAAGTCGAAAAATGTATTTTTCATCGAACTTCTTGAAACGTTGGAAACAATCGAAATTGAGAAGAAGAGTCGAAAATTCATCTTTTTTATAGCTTCAATCTCTTTCCATATGAATAGTTGAGTCGTAGTTTCTCTAAACTCTTGAAAAAAATGATTTTTTTTTCAATGTAGATAGAACGGAAGGGTTTTAGTCTCTTTCTGTTTTTTTTTTTAAGTTTTATTTTGCAACTTTTGACATAGAATTGGACTGCCCTAAATCATATGATCTATGTTTTGATCATGCCATCCGAATTTCCACTTGAATCCTTTCAAGAAGCGAAGAAATCAAACAATTTGAGGGCTCACGGGGGGTCAAAAACGGGCGCCAAGTGCTTCGGTATTTGTCATCTTTTGGCCAAGAAGCGCTCAAACTGAGCCGCCGACTGTGTTTTTATTGGCCAAATCGGCCACACTTGGCCGTTCTTCTTTCGTCTTTTTTTCCGAAGCCAATCACGCCAATTAATCACTGCCTCTTTTTGACGCTTATCTTATCGCCTTGTTTCGTCGTGTTAAAATTTTTTTCTTACCTCCCTCTATTTCACATGATTTTTTTTGTTTTGAAAGTCGCCTTTCACTTTTGGTTTTATTGCTCGAAACTGCGATTAGTACACATAGAAAGTCGGGAATGAAGCAGCGAAAAGGCTTATGTCTGCTTTTGGCAGATTACAACCAAACGGAAGACGCATTTTTGGCTTAGTTCGTCCGAGGTTTAGCACCATTTCGTCTCGATTTCCTTATCCTGTTGAGTTTTTTTTTCACACTGGGAGACTTTGAGGTGGTCTCTATAGGTGTGGGTCTATCGAAAAAATCATTCAGCCTTTTTTTTTCCTTTTTTCTCTAGTTTCCTTGTTTTTTTTGCCGATTCCGAAAATTTTTCCTTGAAGGCTGGAAATATTTGGAGTGGGCATGATATGAAAATTTTTAATTTCTGATTTGATTATTTTTTCTTTGGTTTTAGATTTTAAAATTTCAATTAAAAGGGAAGTTTTATTTTGTACCGGCCGATGGCCATTCATAATGAGTTGTTTTATCAGGTGTTAGAAAACATTAGAGTGGTCACTGGAGTGGTAGTGAAAATTTAAAAATCACGCAACTTCCTTGGTGTGGAATTATTATTGAAGACTAAGAAAATATTGATATCATGAACTGTAAAATTTCAGTTCCTTCTGAGATCGAAATAACCCTAAGAGGATCACTAGAACTTTTCCAAGCGAAAAAAGCCTTTGTGATGACTTTTCACTTTGTTTTCTCATTCTTCAGCGCTTCACGGAACGAAAAATAGACAGATGAGCTTAATTTTGATGGGTTTTTCATTGGTTGGCTCTTCTTTTATTTTGGCTTTGAAGATGGGGTATTATGGAGACGATGTTAGCATATTGGGTGGAATTCGCTACATTTTGAAAATTTGAAGGATTTGAAAAATAAGCCTTCCAAAGTTTTTTTTTTGTTCAAAGGAGCAATTTTTAGCGTTTGAAATAGCGAATATGTATAATATTTCCAGGCCAAGAGTTGTTTTTACTGTTTTTTCTTGTCATGCACCATTTCTGAACAGAATATCACATTATATAAACTAAAACTATAACTGTGAAAGTTTTTGGTGGCTACTTTAGGCTTTGGACCTATTAGTGGCCATTATAGTAGTAGAATTAGTGGCCACTAAAGTGAATAAAATTTAGTTTCCTCTTCAGAAGTCTATGTGATACTACAAGATCATTTTCGGAGCCACTACTTATTGTTTCTTATATAGATAAGGTTTTAGTAGCCACTTTAGTGTACTTTCCAAGTAGTCCTTAAGGAACCTCTTTAGTGGCCACTAGAAATTTTCCCAGTGAGTTCCGATTGAAAGAGAGAAAAAATCAACGAGCCGATCGGTTTTGTCGGCGGCGTCGCAAACCAGATGACATTCCGAAATCACTGGGAAATTTATGCACGCTTCCCTTCGTAAATTTGACTTTTTTATGTTCCCTTTTGGCCGAAGGGTTGAAAGATTAGTGGACTTTCTGCTTGTAGAAATTTTTTTCCTCAATTCTGTCAGGGCTTCTCATGTTTTCAGCTGGAGTATGACTCAGAAATTTCGAATCTACTATAAATTTTAATGTGAAGAAAAAGCCTTACCATATCAAAAAAACCGGTTAATATTGATACCTTTTTCGCTAAAAAACTCAAAATAGGCAAAATATTCTACTGATGTTCTGATAACTCATTGAAAATTGAAAATTTTTTGAGTAAGATCAGGAGAAATTTTTTTTATAAACTTTCTGAAAAATGAAAAACGAATTTTTCCCTTTTTCAAAAGCTCCAAGAGCTCCATCAGAAGAAATATGATACTCCAAGCCCTAATAAATCTAACCGAAAAACGCTTTTTTGGGAACATTAGTGGAGTCGTTTTGAAACTTTTGTGAAGAGCCACATGGACTTTGTGGTAAGCCAAACTAATCCACCGCGGCCATCCCCCCCATCGGACCGCCCATCCGTTCTTTCTACCCACATATTTTTCTTCGTCCTCCAGATGACTGACTGTTTTTCAGCGGAACTCAAGCTTTTTCTCTTGATTCTTGAAAAAAAAATGAAATCGTCGATCACATATCTTTTGAAAGTTATTCTTTATTTTCGAGAAATTCAATTCTATTTCATTTTTTTGTCAACTAAGTTAAAAAAACTTATAACACCGTTCACACTCAAATTTTCATCAAAAAAATTGTATAATTTTTTTAAAAATTTTCTTTGAGCTCAAGGATCACCGCTAGCCTATCACAACATTTAAAAAGACCTTACTCAGTTCTCAGGAAATACTTCTAAAACGGTTGACGAGGTACTATGCGAAAATAAGAGAGTTTAGAGTAAGTTATCCAATTTTCTTGAAGGGTTTTTGAGCGTTATAGTGTATGTTGTACTAAGAAAAATTTTTTTCAAACTCGGTTTTTTTGAAATTTAAAAAAACGATAAAAAGTGAATGTAAGCTTCCTTTTTTAAAATAATTTTTTTCTCATTTTATCAGAAAAAGTCTTGGAAGTTCAAACAGTCACGACAAGGAAAATCTGAAAAATCTCAACTTTCTTTGGAACTGTACACCTTGAACCAGCATAATAATATAACGTTTGTTCTTCGTAACCGATACAATCACGCCGGAAACTATTGGCCTCACTATCATAAACCAACGGCGATAATCCGACTTTTTTGGGCGGTCAATCATTCGGCTGACCGGCGGCTGATGACAGGCGGACCGTCGCCGCCGGACCAAAACTCGGACCGTTCCCACGCCTTCCGTGTTTCCTTTGGCCCACGGGGCGTCGTTTCTCATCGCCGTTTGCTTTCGCTACGCTTTCCCATCATATTCTCTGATATGGATCCATCAGAGAGAATTAAACCTCATTCGTTATGTCATATCATGTTCTTTGGTTAGGTTGGCGGAAGGTTTTTGAACTTTTTTCTTCATTTATATAGTCGATGACTGGCTGAATTCCTCTTTTCCTGTCTTTCAATGATAAATTAGTACGTAGAGACTAAGAGAGTGCAGACTGGCTAGAGTCGTATTTTTTCTTTGTTTACTGGGAAAAACTTTAGTCAAGAGGCTTTTCAAGGACCACTTGGAGAGGACACTAAAGCGGCCACTGGACCAAATTTATAAAAGTCGTCATTATGCGTCTTAGCGGCCACTTCAGTAGTTTTTTGGGAACTAGTAGTACATATCAGACTCCTAAAGAGGTCACTAAATTTTTGCCTTGTAAGTTGCCACTATTTGGATTTCTTTAGAGGGCACTAAAACGTCAAAACCCTAAAGTGGCCACTAAAAATTTCCCCAATATTTGTTAATTACAACTTGGAACAGTCTGACTTGTCTTATTTCCCTTTTCCACTCACCGACCAATGAAAATAGTACGTAGGAAAAGCCTAGAGAGTGCAGACAGGCTAGAGTTTTCCAAGTCGCAGCGAATGAAGTATTACTTTGATGTTTTGATAAACCATAGCTGGAAAACTTTTTTTTTTTTGGTTTGAAATAGTTTAAGGACCCAATTAGAATCATTTTTCCGCCGTAAAACACCAATTTGCCAGAAAATTTCCATCAATTTAATATTTAAGAGAGATGTTGATAAAAATCAGCTTTTTACTGATATCCCAATAATTATTATATTAGAACATCTCATTTTGTTTTTTTTTCCTGTTAACAAACTCATATTTCATTTCATGTTATGCTTGCCAGAAACTACTACGTTTCAGCAAATCAATCATCGAGTGATTTGTACAAATTCTACACGGAAAACGATATTAAAACGTTAGTTCTGAAGATTTTTTTACTATCAGTGATTTTTACAATCTCTTGTCGTGCTGTAATGCTGATTAAGCTGAAAATACTCATTTCTTGAAAATTTTAAATGCTTGTTTGCTCTGAAATTTTGTGTTGGGGTTTTTGGGATCGATAGACGAATTTTTATAGGCCGGAAACGATTTTAACCACAACTTTTATTAATAAACCCGAAAAAATGCATTTTCTTGCTCATTTCCATAAGAAAATCCCTTAATTCTATATAAGGTACAGTTTTGCTCTTATTTTTCTTATTTTGGTCATTTTTCAATGTTCTACGGACAGTGAATCACATTCCCAATCCTCGCCAAATTAGGTACACGATAGGGCAATTACACGGCAATTTAGCAACCGAGCGCCCTTTCTTCTTCGTTTTGCGCCGACATTTACAGTTGCTCCGTTTTATGGGCCACAATGAGAAATTTTCCGAGATTTTCCGAGATTCAACAGAATTTAATCAATTCAAATAACAAGTCTTATTGCCTTCTCAACTTTATTGCCTTCTCTCGGCTAGGTAGACATCCACTTCGGTTACAAACTAGGGGTTTATTATCAGATAACTTCTTTTCGCGTCATATAACTCTTTGGAACATATTAATAACCAAATTAAATTTTTCGTGCCACCCCAAAACTTTGAAAGATAAATTATCTAGGATAGCTGTTAGCGAACTTATTATCAACATCCCCAATCGTCTTTTATAGTTTATCATTTTTTTTTTGTTCTTCTCTTTTGCGAACGGTCGCCATGCTGCTCGTTAGGGCACCATATGACCTTTTTTTAGCTTTGTTGTCTGTCCAATGTTATATTATTTCCTTTCTATCTGTACCTTAATTATTTACGTTGTTCTGACAATAAAGAAATATGAAATATGAAGTCAAACATTTTTTTTTTTGGTTTTGAATTTTTTCGTACTTTTTTTCTATTACGATGCTCCGCTGGAACGCATTCAGATCTTGATTTTTCGAAAAACTTTTTCAATTCAGTTTTTGCCCTAAAAAGCCATATTGGGTTTTTTTTCCTGCCCTTTCCCTGATTGGATACTTAAAACCAATCTTTTGCATTTTTTTTATTTGATAAGATTCTTTTTCCATTTTTTTTGTTCATTACGAACTTTCTTCTTGAAATAGTGTCTTCGCAAAGACAAGCTTTCGAATTTGCGGAAGAGAAAAATCAGGAAACTGAAACTCTCTTACAATTTATATCAATAAAAGTTTTATCATAAAATGACGTATGTTCGTTTCAGGGCATTTTCTATGAAATTCGCAGTTTCGTGACATACTGAAGGTCTTTTCTTCTCATTTTTTCCTCCAAACTACTTCGAGACTGAACTCTCTTTTCAATGAACAACCTTTTGAAGGACAAGCCTTTCAAATAAAAGAGAAAAAAACGTCTCGTCACATTTCTGGTGGCGCCGCGTTTGTCAATCCGTCTCGGCGTAGTCTGGAGCCAAAAGGAAAAAACCCAAAAAGCGACAGGTAATTCAACACCTGCGCGAGCACGGCTCTCCTGTTTTTGGGAGGGAAATAAGTTGGAAAAGCCGCGCGGCGCGAAGCAAAAGACCCACACCGACCACTGCAATTAAACGGCCATTTTCGTCAGTTTAATTGCCTCCCTACAGCCCATTTCTACTACTCGTCTTCCTTGGATTTTTTCTTAGACTCAATGAATCACTTGTTGTCTTTTGCAAGCTTCCGAATGGGTTTACCTATATATTTAGATTTTTCGTGGGTTTTCTGAAATTTAAGCCACAAGGTGAACTATCGAAAAAAGGCCTCTGATAGAGAAAATTTTTTCAACCAGTTGAAATTTTTTGAGCTTTTTTCAAAACTTCACCTTTTTCCTTTTTTTTCAGTTGGAGGTGTTCCGAAGACCCTTTTTCTGTTATTTAGGGTTTATATTACCATTATTTCATTTATATGACGTCCTAGAATCGGTACCTCTAATAATGGCTTTTTTTTGATTTTTCAAAATTTTTTTCTTGAAGTACCCTTGTCGAGCTAATGCTGAACGAATACTGACTTTGCTATAAATGAACCTTTCCCCTCTTTTTTTCCAATTCGATAACTTATACGTTTTGAGAAGGATCGCCGTGGGGAGAAGAGCTGGCGGAGTGGCGGCGTCGAAGATGCGATGAAAGACGGACGCGTCGTCGACGAGGTCGAGCCGTGTCTGCGGCATCCGCACTCGCAGCATGCCCCGCTCGCCGTCCTTCCCTTCGGAGGTGAGTGCTTAGAAATATACCGTTTGAAAAAACTACTGTATGGGAAAGTCCGCATTCTGACGTCTGCACTTTTTGTGTATGTACTATCTGAATTTTTTTCCAGCTTCAAGTTTTCTAAAACTGAATTTGTCTTTGTATTGGTTCAATAGTTCAAATATCGATGAACGATTAGCAAAGGAACTAAAAAGCATTGTTGAAAACTTTTAAACAAAACGTTAAACTCAGAAAGAGTAAAAATATCGTAATTTAAGATACAGTACTCTTAGGAAAAGGAAAACTCGCTCTCCTCGTGGCACCGAGGTGAAGATTATGCGCGAGAATAACCGTGACGGTAATTCGATACCGAGATTAGCAACAGCAACGAGTAAATATACAATATGGAAGGTCTTATTTGAGATCATTAAGTCAAGCTGGAACCGTTGCGGAAAAACAACAATTAATGTAGAGGGAAACTAGAAGACTGTAAGAGTATTGGTACATATCCTTTCATGATCAATGAAGTTTGTTGGGGATTTTTTACGAGCGTATTTTCTTAATTTTTGATTCCTTGATTGAAAGTTACTTAAAGACAATTAGGTGCTCTCTGCGCCTCAGAAAGTTAGAACAAGGCTTTCGGAACAGACTAAAGATATATATCATTGATTCGAGATGGGATAGGATAACATAATCAAGAAAACTTATTTTTTGTGAAAAAGTTATCGAATTTTTTAAGTTATGCATATCGGTTCAAATTCAGTCGTTTAGAAGGAAAAAATGAAAAATTTTAGAACTTTTTATCAGCTCTTCAGAATTTTTTTGTCAAAAACCTGTTCTGTTTGATCATTCGGAAGGCTCTTATTTTCTTCTTTCTCGAAGGTTTATGTCCGGAGTTAGTTTTTTCTTGATTATTCTCTTATAATCTCACATGAAAAAGTGAGAAAAAGTTCAAGTTAAAACTTTGGAACGTGAAGGATCCATTTTTACGCTATCTAGTTATCAACTTCGAAACTCTCGAAAACTTTTTGACTTTCCAGGATCGACGACCTCGCAACTGTCGTCGTCGGTTTCAAGAAGAAAAGCAGGCTTTGCTCGGAAATGTATAATAGTTCTCCTGATCCACGCAATCTTCGTCTTTGCCATTCTCATCGCTTTTCTGATTGGCCAATGGATCTCCGAAGAGAAAAACAAGACACCTCAGGTGAAATAGTTTTGGGAAATTTTCAATATCCGTCCTACTTTCTTATATATATTTTTTCTCACTTTTGTAGTTTTATGAAGCATTTTTTTTTGAATGAAATACTAAGTTTAAATTCCATTTATTGGCTATATAAATTTCTTCATGCTCTTTCTAAGTTTTTTTTATTGTTTTCGCTTCGAGTTTTCTCTGGAGAGCATCTAACCTTGATCGCTCACTGAAATGCTTGACCTCTAACTTTTTGTTTTGTCAAGCTTGACATGAGTTATATTGATGTTCCATTAACTTGATTATTTTCCAACTCTGTTGTAGAAAATTGAAAAATCCTTGCTGCAGAGTTTAAAGACGCAGATGGCTCTGAAAAATACTGAAAAAGGCTCTTCGCTTCGAAAACTTTGTGCTCCTTCAAACAATTTAAAAGTGATTTTTAAGGGATTCCTACTGCTTAGACCCCCGACCCAAGTGTTAACAAAAACCAAAGTCAGTACGGCCTTCTTCGAGTAATTCGATTTTTTTTCGCTCAAAACTGCCCTCAGAGCTCAAAACTGATCATTATGCGCTTTTCTCAAAATTTTTGCAAGTCAGCTTCTCCTCCGGAACTTGTTAAGCTTTGAACTAGCCCAAGTGTGAACAGGCTTTAAAACGGCCGCTCTAACCTCTAACGCTTGCAGACGTCCAACCAAAACCTAACCCCAAACGCCCGACACACTAACCCACCACGTCTCTCCAGCACCACGGCCCACACTGTCCGACCATCTCCGACCCTTCTAACAACGTCTTTTCTCCAGAACGCCAAGTCCTCTCCGCGCACCATCGAACGACTTATCCCAGTGAGGAAAAATGAATGATTAATGCTGATAATAACCTAACCTCTTTTTGAATCTGAAGATGTTTTGCCGAAGTCGATGACGTTTCTAACAAAAAATCTTCTCTGTGATAACCTAGCCACACGAGCCAGATTCTAGAAATCGGGCGATATCGCAAAAAAAAAATCGTTTGAGCTCAAAGCAGACTTGTGAAGGGCGAAATCGATTCGAAAATAAAACATTGTGCGAAAATCACCACTTTGCCTAAAACTACAAGTAGTTTCTTTTTAAATCCTTGCGTTCAGCTCCGAAAAGAGAAGAACTACACATTGTTCGACGTCCATCCATCGACCTTTGAGAATTTTGAACTCTCGGAAAAGCTCCACGGATCTCATTCGCGGAAAAAAGGCACAGATGCCCTATTGGTCCCCTTGCCGCTTTACATCCTTCCCGTTCATTATGACCTCACGGTTCGATAGTTCCAGGAAAATCTTGAAAATAAGGGTATTCAGGTTGACTTGAGCAACTTCGACACAACCCTCACAGCTCGGGCCAATATCACCATTGAGCTTGAAAGTTATGGCAACTCGACAGAAGACGAAATTCAGTTCCATGTCGGGTCGAATGTTCGGATCGAGAGGATGCGACTCAGAAAGAATGGTTTGATTTTTTTTCTAGGTTTTCGATTTTTTCCTTGTTGATTTGAGTCAATTTTCAAGAAGGATTTTTCAAAGATGTGGGAAAAAAAAAGATGCATTTGGAGTATTTTTTTATTGCAAGTGAGTGGTGTATGGAGTATATTTTTACTGAGCTTCTTAAATCTCGAAGTTTTGCTCTAAGCCGTGGAACCGAAATTCCGAATCTCTAGAAACCCAGGAAACTTCTTCGACAGACCAACACTTTTTTTGACTTTTTTTAGAATTTTGAAGAGCTGGAGACATTTTCAGACATTTTTTCACTTATGATTTTTTTTTTATATGCTCCAGACGCTTTATTTCTATAGATCAATCAATCAATCAATACTTTGTTTTGTTGTTTCAGTTATATATGTAAGTGACTAGGCGGTCAACAAGAACTATAAAAGCTATAACGAACAAGCGCTTTTGACGAACTAGAAGTCCAAACGTGTAGTGGATCAAGTTCAATCAAGAAATACAAACCTGTAGATGATCAAGTTGAACCGAGAAGTCCAAACTTGTAGTTGATCAAGTTGAGCCAAGAAATCCAAACTTTTAGTGAATCGAATTGAGTTAGGATGTTCAAACGTGTGGTTTATCTAGTAATATCAAGAAGTCCAAACGTGTAATTGATCAAGTTCAATCAAGAAATACACGCCTGTAGATGATCAAGTTGAGCCAAGAAGTTCAAACGTGTAGTTGACCAAGACGAAAACATGATCTTAAAATTCTTCGCTTCGTTCTTCTGCTGTTAGCTCATCCAGTTCCGACTTGACAAGCTCAAAATAAATCGGATACTGTAGTTGGGGCTTAGAGACCGTGTCCTAGATTGAAGATTCGGAATGAGAGAGACCACTTCGAGTGAAGATCTTACATGGAATAAATATATTTTTAAACGGTTCTTTCATTCCATGAACATTTTTCCAGGCAGCCGCGTTTATCCAAGAACGTTCAAGCGTGAGGAATCCAAAAAGTTGGCACGAATATTGCTGCGTGAAGCTCTCACGAAAGGAAGGTGAGCATGTGTAGAAATCAGATTCCTGTTCCAAGAAGGTGAAAGCTTTTAGCAAGAGAAAGAGTTTTTCAATTCAAGTGAAAAGCTGAAAATGGACAAGGTTCGAAAAATGGAAATGATAAGCTTTCAGATATGTGCTGGAAATAGAGTACAACATGACGATTTGCGACGATGTCAATGATGGCGTTCGTTGCTCCTTGGACTCTCAGGTCAAACTTTTTTCCGTATCAGAAGATGACTGAAAGTTAGGAAGTTGGTCAAGGAAAATTGAACTTGGAACTTCAGAGTGGTCCTTAGAAGGGTTAAGAAAGAAGAAACAGTTATAGGGGAGATAATAGAGCTGCCTAGAGAGACAAGATTTAGGTGGTTTCTACAGTAGGGGTTTCGGGTATGAGCCATGAGCTCCAAAACTTGAGTGGTCCCTATAGGGTCTTCAAACTTTTTCTTGAGTTTTAAAATTGAAGAGACAACCTTGATCTATTCATGCTCCCTAGAGGGGCACGTTTTGAAAGCTTCAGTGCACCCTATAGGGGGGTCAAAGTGGTCCCTAGAGGGAGCCTCCAAGTGCCCCTAAGCTCTGACAAGCGAATGTATTTTTCTGGAAGTTCTGAAAAAGGAATCTTGTTCAGACCAATTCCTCCCTGCTGGCGACGTCATTCACGACAATGTTTGAGCCGACGCTGGCGCGCACTTTTTTCCCATGTTGGGATGAACCGGGCATTAAGGTTTGAGTCCTCATTGTGAAAAAGGGTTCTTTTGTTCCTTGCAAGAGAATTTCACTAGAAAATAGTTTTTTATTTCTAGTCTAGGAATTTTTGAGATAAGGTTTCAAAAAAAGACTTTAAATTTTTTGAAAAATTCCTCACAGAATTCCTTTTTTTTGCTCTAAACTTTTTTCATTCTCTCAAGGCAACGTTCAACATATCTGTGCTGCACGCCGAGAAGTACACGGTCCTGTCGAACATGCCTTCTTTCCAAAACCACCACCGAAGGGATCCCTACAGGATCGTCACTACGACCTTCCAAAGAACGCCTCCCATCTCGACCTATCTGATTGCTTTTGCAGTCGGTTAGTTGGAGCAAAATTACTTTGAAGTTTTGATTCTTTTTTCAAGGAGAATTTGTGAAACTTGAAACGAGAACGGAGAGAGGGGTCGCTCTGACTGTCTGGACCTATCCGGAAGACCTGATGTCTCTCCAGTTCGCCCTTGACTATGCCCCTTTGGTTTTCGACCGATTCGAGGATACTTTAGAGGTGCGAAAATTAGGCTCTCAGAAAAAAGTTTTAGTGAGATTTTCGAATTGACTGAGCAGGGAAAAACGTTGATTAGAACTTCAAGAAACGGAAAAAATCGAATTTCGAAGAAAATGCGGAATTTTCTCAAAGTTTCCTTACGTTTGTTTAGTGTTGTGGCCGAGATCTGCTTTAAATATTAGAGAAATGTATATTTATTGATTTAAAAGCTCTTCGAAACTTTCTCCAGAAATTTAGGATTTTTCGGAAATTCCGTTCTTTTTTTTTGTTTCAATATTTTTATTTAGGTTCCATTTTCTCTCCCAAAAGTGGACCTAGTCGCGGCTAGGAACGTCCACACCGGAGGCATGGAAAATTGGGGATTGATCGTTTTTGAACACGCTTCCGTGGCTCACAACGTGCCGTCGAATGGTGAGAGCTTCAGGGCGGCCGAAAATTGAACAAAAATCTTCAGATCATGTCAACGAGACTGTAGATCGGATGTACTCGGAGTACCGGATTGGAAGGCTCGTTGGACATGAAGTTGCCCATCAATGGTAAGAAGACTTGCCAGGAAAAAATGAAGACGTAGGAGCTAGGAGGAAAGTTAAGAAGCATCTGGAAAGACTTGATTTCTCAAAAAATTTTGTTCCGACCACTTAGAAAGCACTTGAGCTGATTCTAAGCCTTATAAGCGATGTATTAGTTATTTTGAGGATGAAAAGAATACTATCTTGGAGAAAACCGTTTATGCGTTTTTGAAGGTTCGGCAACCTGGTAACTATGCGAGATTGGTCCGAATTGTGGCTGAACGAAGGGTTCGCCACGTTCAGCGTCCACGAGTTGATGTCCACTGATCATCCGAAAATCGCCGAGTTTGAGTACTACGACAACCTGCAGAGATTGTTTGATAAGCAGGTTGGGTTATTGATTTGCTTTTTTTGAAGCGGTGGGGGGGTGTGGGGGGCGGGGGGTTGTTTTTTTATAGTTTACAAAGTAAATTTTTTTCCAGACTTCGGATCACTGTAGAAAGATTTCACACTTTTAAATTTTAGTCTAGCTATAAAACCTTAGAATCTTGAAGCTCATTAGTGGGAAAACATTTTTTTTCAAAGCCCTTAGCTTTTTAGTTAAATATCCGTTTGTAGTTTTTTCTGTGTCCTTTTTTTTTAGCATATCCATGAAAATCGCTGTCACTGTGAATTTTATCGTCCACCGCCTAGTCGATCACTCACTTGACTAAAACGATGAATAAATATTGATCTAAAAGAGCTCAAAATGTAGCGTTTTTAAACGGTCATCGTTAATCGACACGAAAGATACTGTAGCCAAAAATTTTCAATTTGAATTTTCAGTCGAAAGAAGACGGAAATCTGGCTTTGGTGAGGGAACTGGCCACAGAATCGGCGGTCGATGAATCTTTCCATCCAACGAACTTGTACACGAAAGGTTGTGTCGTTATCAGAATGATCCGGGACTTGGTTAGCGACTTTGATTTCAAAGCCGGAGTTCGCAGGTAAAAGGATAATAACTAAAGGTGTAGACAGAACAGGAAAATTGAAGGTACCTTCGCCGATTCGCGTACAGATCCGTGGCCAGGGACGACCTTTTCAATAGTTTACCGGCCTATGCGGATCACGGCGCTGAGCAGGTTTCTTCGGCGATTTTTCTAATTTTTTTTAGGGTTTTCATTCAAAAAAGGGTAATTACCATATATATTCATACATATCCATAGAAACAGTAGAACTTTCTTTCAAAATCTTCTAGTTGAAGAATGATTGAAAAAAGCAGAAGATACAGAAAAAAACTTCAGGAAAAACTAAGCGATGTCCTCGAGGGCTGGTTCGTCAATGAAGGCCTTCCGGAAGTTACGGCAATGTAAAAAAAAATATCTTAATCTTTTGAGTAAGCAAAAATTTCAGACGCAACTACGACAATGATATGATGACCATAAGTCAGAAAAAGTCGGTCGCACACGAGTACAGGGCTTTTTTTGAGGGACCGAAAGTCGGATTTCAGGTGATTTTATCGCTTTTTGAGAATATTTTGGTGAATTTTTTTAAATAGTTTTTCTAGATTTTTTTCAATGAGCTCGTCAGAATTTTTCTTAAAGATTTAAAAAAAGTTTCTTCAGAAAGTCTATGAGTCAGAGAGCCATGGCGATTGAACTGAGGTCAAAAAAATAAATAAATGTTTTACTTCTTTGGAATCTCCCTTTTTTTCCGCTGCTGTCTCGTAAAATTGAAAAATACGTTCGTCAAGTTCAACCATTCTACTACTTGGTTTTTGTATCATTTTGTCATTTTTTCTTCGTTTTTTCACTTCTTCCCCTTTTTTTTTGTCTGAAATCAATGCTTCAGAGTAAAATATTGAAAAAATGTTATTTTTAGAACTCCATTTTTCTCCAATTTCCGTTACTCAAATTGTAATTCAATGTTTTCTAGGAGATTTTTGAGCCGTTCAGAAATCTTTGGTACGTGTCTCTTACTTTTTCCTTCTACAGAGGCTCTCGGGAACTTCCTGAAACTTTTCGTACCACCCACCTACTGGAGGATGACGTCTTCATGCGCGACTTCGGTATGAAAACAACGGAAAGAAGAGGAACACGTGAAGCTCTACCCGACGATACAACGGCCTTTGACGACTCTTTGTTCGATGGCTTCGTCCGAGAAACGCAAAAGCCGAAAAGGAGGAAACACAGGCCGACCAGGAAAAAGGTTTTATTCTTAGGAGTGCCATAGTGGTCCCTAGAGTGATAAGAAGATAAACAGCCTTTTTATGGAAAAAAGTATTGCTCATTACTAAAGTTTGAAACTTAGAAGGTCCTTGTAAATTTTTAGGGTCTGACCCTAAAGCCTCGAAGCTTAACTGGTCCCTATAGGGCTCCTTAAATTGCATATTATCAGTTGAAATTTTATAAGGCGTTATCAGAAAAAAAACCGTGACCTGGTTACGGTCGCCACCAGCGTATCTAAGAATTGATGAGTTTTCTCTAGGCAGGTCTATAGACTAAGGGGAAAAATCTACTTTTTACAGTTCCTATCATAGAAAAAAACATGTATCAATACTCATGCCGCATCCCGAACAAAAAGCTTCTGAAAGGTAAGTTTCAGTCGACCAGGGCTCCGCCACGAGTTCCGCCTCAGCCGATGATTTCTGTTTCGGCGAGAAGGGAAGAACTTCGGAAGCCGAGAAGGGCTGGAGAGCCGGCCGATTTGTGGAATATTCCACTATCCTACATGTTTGGCTCTTTGAAAACGACCGAGGGTCAGGTGGGAATATTTTTTTGGGATTTGAGAGCTTTTCGAGATAAATCTTGAGGAATGAGAAAATTTTAGAATGTCTGAACTTTTTTTGCAGTTTTTTGAAAATTGAAAAAAAGTCAATAATTCCGCTAGCTTTTTCAGTTTTATGAAGAGCTTCTGTTTGTGTCCTAAAATGAAAATTATTTTATTTTAATTTTTTGAAAAAATTTCGGCTAAAGTAGTTTGCGACGGAAGAAAATGGACTTTTTTCGTAAATTCCATGATCTTGACCGTAAATTCAGCTGTTTTGAAGAAAAATTTGAGCGAGTTTTAATGAATTTCAAGTACCCTTGTCCGTAGGGAACATGAAAAAAGACATTTTCAAGGTGGTCCGAGAGTTTTGGCTGAAGAACAGAAGCGTCTCCTTTGCCGACGGCGAAATATCCCCCTCTCAGTCGATTTTGCTCAATCCTGACTGGAAATACCCCTACAGGGTCAACTACGACCTCCATAATTGGAAGTTGCTCGCGAGAATCGTAGGGAAACAATCGTGAGGAACTACTTGAGGGGTTTTTAGCTTCACCAAAACCATGTCGATATTCCGGAGAAGTCGCGAATGCAGATCATCGTCGATTCCGAGTTTTTCCTGGCTAATTCCAATAACCCGCATCTCTACCTTTACATTCTTGAGTTGACAAGTTGAATAAAATATAAATTATTGTTTCTTTTTAGCTATTTATCCCAAGAAACAAAGCTCGACGTGATGCTTTTTCGGAATCGACGCTGTTCATCGGGTTGTCGACGCTTTCAAAGGTAGTTTCCTTGTCTTGGAGAACTTTGGGAGTTGAGGTTTTGAAAGGGTTGGAATGAAGGAAAAATGAAGAAAAATTGTTATAAAAAAATTTTTTCATTCCATCAATTAGTAGTGAAAAAAATAGTGATAAATAGATTCAAGTTTGAAACGGTTTTCAAATAACCCTTTATATCCAAAATTTGGGGGGTGGAAAGCTCAAAATTTCTCTTTTTCTTGTTTTTGTTGGATGGAATCGAGCAGAAATCACTAATTAATCAATTGAAAAATGATAAAATGATAGGCTAAAAATTGAGTTGAATTATAAATAATTCGAATTAACCAAGTTTCCTAAGACTAGTAATTCATTTTTTTCTTGGGATTTAGTGTTTCAATTTACCGATATCAGTACTGATAATCTACAAAAATATTGGTAACGTATTTCTATTTGAAAAAAATGCTGAAGATTGATTTGATTTGAGCCAAGATTTTTTTCAAATTTTATTTATTTTTTTCGACTCTTGAGCTGTTTTTTTGAGGAAAAAAATTCCTCACATTAAAAAAAAACTCTTACAGTTAGACCTTCTTTATAGGAACCTCAATAAACTCGGCCATCTTGCTGTACTTCACACCGGTCATTCGGCAAATGGACAAGTTATTGGCCGATAGCCAGACTGACGCCGAAACGGCGGTTCTTTGGTTGGTCCGAGCTGGAAGGTTAGTCTGACTATGACAACCAAGAAAACTTCAACATTTTTAGACTTGCCAAGCTTTATCAACTTCGATGTGCTGCCAATCTACCATCGTGCAAGGAAGAATACCATGTAGACTGAATGAATTCTTCAAAAAAAAGTTTGATTTTTCAGACACAACGTTGGAGCCGCGATCCTGACGCCTGGACTGAAGACGTCCACAAGCAAGTCACTGCCGTCTGTCATCATCTTTTCACGCATCCCGACAATAAAAAAATTGTGGGAATTATCAGAAAATGAGCTATTAATTTGAATTCCTAGGAATTTTTGGAGGAAGATTTAAAAAAAAAGCTGAAATTGGTTTCAAAAAAAACCGGAGCATGAGAAAATAAAAAATAAATAGAAAATCAGTCTTCGTTTGAATCATACATGGGCCAGACCAATTTTTAATAATGACGTCATGGCGCAGGACCCCCAGAAAATGTCGCACGTCCTCCAAACGTTAAAAGTCGACTTTAAAAAAAAAACTTCTTACACATGGAAACTTGTTTCCCAAATGGTTTCAATGGTTGAAACCTTTTGAAGCTAATCTTATCACTGAGCGGTAAAAATTGAAAAATTCTGGGATTTTTCAAAGTCCCCTTTCCCGCCAAAAATCGCGTTCGAGAAAATACTAGGCTAAAAATGCTTCCATCGCCTTTTGAGTAAAGTAGAATTGAAAATATGATAACCGAATGGAAATTGATTTCTCAGAACGATCTGCTGGAAAATCGCCTGAATGCTGACGGAAGTCAATGGACACTGGCTGTACAACTGGCCGCTTGCTCAAAAGATCAGCGGATCGTCAAAATGGCCGCAAAAATGGTCGTCAGGACCAAGAATGCAGCTGTCTACGCCTCCTGCTTACAGGTTACTTGGAAAAGAAGAATTTTTGGAAGAGAAAATAGGATCTAGTGATCACTTAAGGTTTTTGGCTTATTTTCTATTTTCTTGTTGAAACAATTTTTTGCTTGTTTTCATTCAGAAAAATGAGTAATTACTCTTCAATATCAGAAAATCATGAATATTCTTTTTAAAACTGTCTGGCATGTCTATTCCCTCTTTATCTCTTTGCTGCTCTTTTGTGTTCATTTTTCTTTGTCCTTGCTGGCGAGAGACTAGAGACGCAGACAGGTCAGACTTTTTTTAAAACCGGATTTTTTTCTTCGCTTTATTTGAAAATTAACTCAAAAAAGATTTCATTATTTTTCACTTTTCTTAAGCATACCCATTCTTGAAAACTTGATCTATAGTGAGTTTTTGGGTTTTCTAGAAAATTCGTAAGTTATAAATAAATATTTTCAGTCCGACTTTTCCCTGCACTACAATCCGGCGTTCCGCGAAGCGATGTGGTCGGAGATCGGTCTTTTGAGTCCCTTCGAGCGCACTTTGCTCTTCTCGACGAACAAGACGGAGGTCCTACTGGGCTCACGAGTCCTGCTCCACTCGGTGAAGACGATCGACGAGCTGCGGCAGGTCCGCTCGCTCATCTCCGACTGGGGCCGACAGATGTCCGTCCATCTGGAGTACCTTGAAAGGTACCTCCAATGGGTCCAAACCGTGTCCAGAGGCGTCCTCCACAAGTTCTTCTCCGCCGACCTTGCCAACTTGTAGATTTTCTTCTTTTTATTTCCTAGATTTCTTTTGAGAATTGGCCATAATACTTGTTGGTAGGGAATAGTTCATTCACCTCTGGCTTGAAACAAGTTTCTCGGATCAGTAGAAAACAATTTTCAGGCTTCGCAAAAAATTTTGATACTTCCTTACTCAAAAAATAAGAAGTTCAGCAACAGTCTTCTGGCCAATTTTCCTGAAAACTGCGAAGAAAAAATTTATATTTCTCACGAAAATCTCAAAAAACACCTCAGAGCTCACAATAGTATATGTGCAATAGCTTCCATAGTTTTTCATCTCTGGCTTTATCAGAACCTCAATTTCGATTCGCTTCTTCTTCATCCCAAATTTTCTACGGGTTCATTTCTTCTTTTTCGTGCAAGATTGCTCTACGGGTATATCTTTCCACTCTTGCACCCAATTCTTTCGAAAATTGACCGCTCAAAACGTTTCTCTGTGATATTTTTACAACTGCGCAATATTCTGTATAAATATTACAATGAAGAAAGTACACCACAGAAAGCCTAGGATCACGAAATCTATGGGGGATTTTCTAGAGAAAAATAATGAAGAAATACCGGGTTGACTAGAAAAAAGTATTGTGCTTGGAGAGTGGAGATCATAGAGCATTAGTAAAAGTGTTCAGGATTTTATTATCCATTTGCCAACACTTGAAAAAGCCTGACTTCTTTACCCTTTCTCTGCATTTTTCATGTTTCTATGACCTCGACGATGAGGGAAAGGAGAGCGCAGACAGGTCAGACTGTTTCAAGTCGTGGTAAATGGATTACAGTCGAAAAAATGTGCATCAAAAGGTGGGCAGCGGCACAAAGGCACTGGAAAAGTGCTGTGAATGAGCCTCAAGTGTTCGCCTTTATAAGGTCGCGAATTTGCCTGAGTGAAGCGGAGATCATTCGTTTAAACTTTGGCAGGTCGGTCCTCGGGTCGGACCGGAAAGCCGACGGGGCGAACAGAAGACGTTGCGGATGGATTGCGTAGGCGCAACCGTAGCCGTCTCTAACGACGGCTCCGTAGCACAGGTAGCTGTCGGGGATGTCGATCGCTGGGGTTACCTGTGAAATTTCTTGGTGAAACTGTTCATGGACCAAAAAGGGTAACCAAAGGTTGCGTCCTATGACAGTTGATATGATAACTTTTGAAGTTTTAGCGAGTTCTTAAGATTCTTGAGATTTACACAAGGACAAGAAAGAAATATTAAAGAGCGTTTCTAAAAAATTCCTGTAAAGACCTTCTTTTCCATAAGTTTGTTTCGGTTAAGGCACTTTTTAGGGATATTCAAATGTGATGCAAATTAATAGGCCGAACAAGTTTTAAAAAGAAGTGACTACAGAGAAAAATTATTCTTGCTTCAAAAGTTGAGAAAAGGTAGCCAGGTAGACAATTTCTTGCACCTGGATGGTTTTTGGAGAAATTGTTTTTTTTCTTCTACCTCTTAATTTGTGTATTTCTACGTTTTTCTGAGGTCTTCAGCAGGTCTCCTGGATGACGATCGCATTCAAAACCAAAAGTTAGATCAAACCTGACTAGTTGACAAAGGAAATCTCATCACGTCGGCCCACAGGGGATCGCGGAAAAGGGCCGGCATTTCTTCTCCAGTCGCTTTTTGCCTTTCGCGGGCCAACACGTAGAGAGCGCATAGATGGTTGTCGATCCCATAGCCGGTGATGTTCTGTGAAAATTTGAAACTGTTATGAAAATAAGCATTTTTCGCCTCTTTATTTATCGTAAAAATGATGAAACTGAAAAAATTGTGATAAAGTGGCTACCTACTTTCAGAACTCAGAGAGTAATAATGTAAAAAAATTTTACAAAGTTATAGATTTCCAAGACCAACCAGAGGCTCAAAATGTGACTATAGAAGAATATTAAAATTTCTTACCTCCGCTGTGACCTTCGCTTGCTTTTCGGCGGCTTTACGAAAAAGCTCGAACTTCTTCTTCTGAATGATCAAATCTTATGGATATCATCTCATAGCCCAACGTCATCAACACTCTTCGACTCCATGGCGGTGACCCATTCCAAGGCAGCCTGGGTGTTGGCTCGGATGTTGTCGACGCGACCTGATCTGAAGCGCCGGACCGACGCCGACTCGTACGTCGACACCAGGTAGCCGTGGGTTCTGCAGAAGTTTTGTAGACCTAGTCCAGCTTCATCCCCACTTATAGTGCGACAATTGGAGAGTCAGCTGTGCAAAGCCGTCCGGACTCACTCCCCAGTCCTTGATGGCGTCTTTGCCAAAGTCCTCGAACAGCAAGACTTCCAGCTCGAGCTCCCTGGCAAGTCTGCAAGATTCAATATCCTAAAAGTCAGAAAATGAGGGTTCAAACTCGTCGAAAGTCTCCGTCTGCTTCTGTAGAATCTTCCGGGCGGGCTGACTCACGTGCCATGTCAAAGTCTTTGGGTGGACGTTTCGGATCTCTCTGGATATCTGGAACTTTCAAATCGGGATGATTAAAAAAAAATGATCGGAGAGTACCAGTTTGGAATGGAAGTTACTCTGAGCGTGGCGGATGGCGAATTCGGCCATGTTTATGATGACGATTCCTTCCGCCGTCGAGTGCTCGATGCAGAGGCCATTCGAGCCGTCGCGTGCCACGATAAGCTTGAAAAAAAATTTAATTATAAGGGGGTGAACGTGACAAAATTATTGACAGTGTGAACTCTGACGGATTCTCTTGGATCTGAAATCCAGGTAAATAATTGAGTCTTGGAGATTGTATTCGAACTTGCAATCAGTTGAAATCGTTTCATGTTCTTTCGAAAATTATGTCAAATGTCGATGTGAAAATTCACAAAATAACAGTCTGGCTTCCTTATAATTTGTCCTGTCCACATTATCAAGAGATGTGTAGAACGGAAAGATTACCTGGATAGTGGCGTCGTACCAGCGATTCAGTCCGTTCTTTCCGCTTCCATGGCCAGTCAGAATGTGGATGCCTCGCTGGACAAAGTCCCTCTCGATATTTTCCTTGCTGTCCAGACTGTTCTCAGAGTCGCCGTCGTCCTCGACATCGAGACACACGACGAAAAGCGAATCTTTGACCCATTCGAACGATTTCGCATTTTGTTCCACTGAACATGAAGTCATTTCATTCAAGAAAAGGTCCAGGAACTCACCCAAAAACATCTCTTCCCAAAAGGCGGCCCCATCTTTCCGCTCTCCAACGCCACAGGCAGCGATTCCTAACGAGTTCTAAATTCAATGTATTTTGGAAGGAAAAACTACTTTTCAGTCTTTTTTTGAGTTGGGAGATTCAAAAATGTCACCAAATATGATGTTTTTACTTCTTGTATCGATATTAAAGGATAACGGGATGTTCAATCGACACGAAAAGATACTGTAGCCGAGTGGATGGAGTTTGCTCCTTGACATTCAAAACAGTAGGACTGGGAGGTTTGGCCCGGACCTGCCCGACACGGGCTTTGGGTCTTATTTTTTGCGGCATAAACTTACGGGCCAGACGTCGCACAAGCCTTATTTTTGTGTGAAAGTTCCTTGAACAAAATCATTTTGCACCTTATCGTTTTGAAAGCTCTTGGATGGTGTCTATAAAAGCGAATCGTTACCACGACAGTGTTTCTAGAGATCGATTCGATTTTAGTGAGTTGACTCTCGATATCCGCCTGGGGCAACATGGCGCCGTTGATCCGTGTGTGCATGATATACGTCTGAAACAGTTCCGATACCGACGGGGAGATGATTTTACATCGAATTTTATGAAAACTCGTTTCATTCCGAATGTACTTTAAAGGTTGTCTCCGACTTGGAGTCAAAGTTTTTGATTTTTCTTGAAATTTAGGATAATGTGCTTCAGAATCTCCATTAAGTACGTCAGATCTAGTAAATATTCCGAAAATTGCAAAGTGAGGTGTGAAATAAACTTCCAGGTAAGAAACAAAAAAAAAGGACTGTAGGACTGACCTGTTTCCGGCACATGACCAGTACATGCTCATTTCCTTGATGAGTTTTAGGCTTTCTGAACTGCGTATCTTCTTCGAAGCCGGGTTGCCTGAAGGAAGCAGGATTTTTTCAGCTTCGAAACTTTGTTATTCATAAAGCAACTAGAAAAGTGTCTGAGGATCGGTCAAAATTTTTAAAAATGCTCTCTTCCAGATTTGTGAAAATTGAAGATATTGAACCTGTCTATACAAACTCCAAAAAGGGTCCCACCTATAACAATTCAGAATCCTCTCGTACTGTTCCATGCAGAGATGGATCTTCTGCTTTCCCGTCGACACTTCTTTTTCTATTTGCTTCCTGTTTTGAGAAAATCTTGAAGTTTATAATCGAGAATTCAACTCACAAATCGATCTTATTTTTGTACTCCAACAAGCCCCGTGTGAGCAGCGCCGTGTATCTGGAATCTATCCTTTCAAAAAGAACTATAGTTGATTCATGGCTGTCAAGAAAATTTGCAAACGTTTTTTACGTTAAGAGCAAAATTTAAGGGTTTATATGAACCTACATACTTGATAATGATAAAAATAATTATTTATTATACTTGAACACGTTTCTGCTTTTAAAAAAACGGAAACTTTCAATTTTAAAAGCTTGGGTTTTTTTTTAACTTTGGTTGAATTTAGGCGCATACATAATACGTTTAAATATATCCTGAAGCGAAAACTACCACTATCTTCAGAATTTTCCTTTTGTACATCAAAATTCAGCAGTTTCAAACCTAATTTGCTCTTGGAGGTCTTTGAAGCGGACTTTTGGGAAAATGTAAGCCGGATTCGAGTTGACAGGCGTTGGAATTCGGACCCTCATGTACATTTCCGGAAGCCAATACTTGGTCACCTGGACTTTGGATATTAAAAAAAAATAAACCTACGTCAAAAGAGCTCGAGAAAAAGAACTAGCCGTTCCGATTCCCACAATGAAAAAACGTTTTCATTTTTTTATTTCAAAGAAAATCGAAAATCGAAGAGAATCTTTTTCTCGGCTCGAGGACAGAATTTAAGTTACCCAGTTGGGACTCTCATCAGCAACCGCGTAGAGTTGCAACTGAAGGGGTCCTGCTTCTTCCAGAAACCGCGCGGCAGCCGCGTGCGTCGTCGCCAAACTCCCTTTTTGACCCACCGCCACTACCGCGGCATATTCGAGATACCTGGGATAGGAAATTTTATCAATATTCCACCTGTATCCTTAATTTGAAATAAAAAAAAGGTTTTCGAGTAATCTATTGGCTCTACCGGTCCTCGATGAAAAACAAATACGATTGAATTTCCTGAGATGAAAAAGTAATGAAAATTTCGGTAATTATGCACTTTTTCTGTTCTATTAGAACCGTTTTTTTCTTTTTTTATTTCAAATTTAAATTCTTAAAAAAAGATTTTGCCCATTTTTATTTTTTTGGTGGCATGAATCCCTTGTTTTTTTGAGCAAACCATGAAGTTGGAATTTTTTTAAACACGACCCTTAAAAAAATCTATCAAAAAAATCCTTCAATTCTATTCATTTTTCAGAGAAGTTAAAAACCGAAAAAGTCAAATAAGCATATTTATATGGACAAACCTGTCCAATGTTGTTTGCAGGTCCGCCACTGGTGGTTTGGGCAGAACATTCTGAAGAGAATTTTTCACCAAGAAACCACAGAACTACTTTTAAAAAGAAAAACCCACCATTTTTTCAATTTTATACCCGAGAATCCAACACATTAAACTTCTCCACTGTTAGAAATGAAAATACTCGTGGAAAATTTTGATATTACTAGGCTTGGCATTTTTTTTAACAGTCATCTTTTCGTTTGGTCATATTTAAAGAAGTAGAAATATTTGAAGTAGTAGAATTTCAATTCGGTTACTGAAAAATATTGAAAAGAATCATCAATTTTGTCAATAATCGAAAAAATCGGATTTTTTCTAAGATCAAGCAACTGTGGGAGTAAATTTTTAAGATCATTCTTTCAGATAGAATTCGTTTTTTCGCTTTTTGTACATATTTCTAGCATTTAGGCTTCAAGTAATCCTCAATAAACTTTGATATTTAGATGTAAAATGATTTAAAAAAAAAAGCCAAAACTTCAAAAAAAGTTTCAATCTTAAAAAATGATGACCTGCTCTCCTTCTAAATGGTAGGTTTTGACAGAAAAACTTCCCTAAAAAAAATTTCTCATTTTTTCAAATATCTGAAAGTTTTTCTCTTCACCTTGACAGAGTGCAACCGAGCGCAATTGTCGCGAAAATGCCGCCGCAGCTGGAGACTCGGCTGGAAAGCGACGGCAAAGGTGCGCCACGGAAGACGCATGATTTTTTTGGAGGGGGGCTCAGATCGCAGAAATCATTTTTTTTTGTTTTGTCGGGTGTTTAGGAAATTGGACGCATCTTTTTGGAGGCGAGACTAGGCAATTATTCGTCGTCGGCGGTTGTCTTCGCCTCTGACCCCGGGCTAATTTCAAAAATTGCTTCCGAGCTCCTTCACATTTCATGTACTATTGGGGTTGTTCTGGAGAACTAGTCTTCCTTCTATAGGTCATTCTTCGCCAGCTTGTCACAGAAATTAAAGGAGCAGAGGATTTTCGAGGTGAAAGGTCCTGGAACTATCAAGAAATTTGAGTGGCGACAGGAACTTCCATTTTTTTATGATAGTGATCCATCATGAGCTCACTACTTTTCATAATTTTTCTACAAAAAAGTGAAAAAAGCGGGGTATTTTTGAGATTTTTGAAAAATCCTGTAAGTTTACTTCATCCGCGATTTGTCTCATTTTTCTGCGACGTCTTTTTTATAGACAACTCTCTCGATTTTACGTACTATTTTCACGTTTCTATGCGCTTGCCGGCGAGAGAAAAGAGAGCGCAGACGAGTCAGACTTCTCAAAATTGCGGCGAAGGATGTATAAACTTTTTTCACTACAACTTCAAAGGTAATGAAATAATTTTATGTAGCGAAACAATTTAAAAGGGCGAAAACCGTCTTTTTCTTAGTTTTGGACTGAAAAAGGCTTCTGGTTCTGATAACTCTCCAAAATTTCCCATGCACCTTTAAAAACTTCAAAGCTTCGGGAAAATCAAAATTGACTATAAGAAGTAACCGAAAAAAGAAATTTTTTTTATTAAGAAAAAGAGAAAAAAAACCGAGCTGCATCCAAGTTACTAAAACACCTTTGAAAAAAAATCAGGAAGGGAAAAATAGTGAAAGAAAGCCGCTGGGAATGGTCCCGCCGGCCGTAGAACTACCACTGAACCCCCAAGAAAAGGTTTAATTGAATTGGCGCAAGAAGAAACGCGAGAGCTTCTCCCCTTGATAAAAACCTTCTTTTTCCTCTGTTTTGCCGCTAATTGTCAAATGAATCGAATTACTTCGGGGGATGACTTCTGGCTTTTAGTGTTTTATGTTTTTATGGGTTGTAAGATTGAGATTGAGTCCTTAATTTTGAAAAAAATGAAAAATCAAGTTTGGTTGTTTTTTTCGACGATTGCCAGTCTGTGAAATGATTTGAAGCTTGAAACTATGAATTTTTTTCAAAGATTTCGATAGTTATAAATTATTTTTATTCATGCGGAAAAAGTTGTCGATGACAAATCGATGAATGGCCGGAGAATTATACAAATTTCTTTATTTATTATAGATTTGAACTTTAAAATGTGGTTTTTCGAAGGTTATACGAACTCGGTTTCTGTAAAGACAAAGTTAGCAAAAAGTTTGATTTGGTCATTTTTTCATAAGTTTGTTGGACATTAAGCTTTTTCTTCTTCTCAACCCATAAACAAGTCTTGGAGTTATTTTTTGGGATTTTTTCAAGATTGCCTTTTAAAAGTTTACTTGTCACTTTTTCTGAACTTATTATTTATTTTTTTGAAACGTCTTCGATTTATAACATCGTATCTAGAGACTTTCCACAAATTGGTAAAAATTTTTATCGTAATTTTCAAGAATTTTCATCAAAAAATGACCCTCTGAAACGATCCTCACCTCATACCAGCCGCAGCATCGTCGTTCGTCCATTTTTTACTTCTTTGCTTTCAGCTAAAAAATTTTCTCATTTCGAAACTTTTTTCGACTTCCATCCACCTTCAAGCTTTGTTCATGGTAACTTTGTGTAAAGTTTAATAAATTTATTCATTTTTTTCTGGAACAGTTAGACAATATAAGAAAAACGAAGAAACATCGGTCAAGGGGGTGTTTGGCTTTTCGGAGGCGATTCATAATAAAGACTTTATAAAAACTATTTTTTCTCTGACAATTTCTTTATTAGAACAGTAAAACTAACGGCTACCACTGTGGGTTCAAGGGATCATATCCAGCGGGGAATTCTGGTTGTGGTTTGCTTTGTTGGAAGCTGGCGGCCGGAGGAGCTTGATAGGACGAGTCCCAGCCTTGGTAGGAGTCATTGAAGGCCGTCGTCGCCGGAGCCTTTCCATTGGCGCCATCGACTTGTCCGTAGCCACCAGCAGGTTCTGGGAGCTGGGTGAGCTCCTGTCGCTCACTCAGGTCTTGATACCCGTGCACTTTCCGGAGCAAGAAAAGGACAGGGCAGTACAGGACATTGGTGACGCAAATGATGACGTTGAGAGCTCCGAAGCCGAAGTTACCGACGATCCAGCCGGCGATGATGGGTCCGAAAGCGTAGGCGAGCGAGTAGGAGATGTCGGCGATGGCGTAGACTGAGCCATAGACGGAGACGTGCCGAGTGTCGACCAGATGACCCAACATTGGCAGCAACGAGGTGTCGATGAGGGCGATTCCGAAGCAGACAAAGGAGAGCGGGATGATGAGTTGCAGGACAGAGGAGGTGTAGGGAATCATGAAGCAGGAGAGGCCTTCCATGGCCAAGCCAAGCATGGCGATCGCCCAGGTGTGCTGTCGGAACATTCTGAGGAGCTTCACGGTGACGTAGACTCCGAGGACGTGGGGGAAGAAGGGCGGAAGCCAAATGACGCCGACGAGCCAGCCTGGCGTGTCTGGGATCGCCTCGGCCATCCAGGTGGTGATGGTCGGTTCGAGGAAGGCCAGGGAGACGTTGGCCATGATGAGAGCTCCGGAACAGCAGGCGATGAATGGATCCATGAAGAGACGCCACATGGGAGTGCCTTGAACTCGTTCGCCTCGGGCGTCGGTCGGACCTCGGCGGTGGGGGTTGACGACCATGAAGACGGCGATGGCGTCAGCCAGACAGACGAAGGAAAGGATGAGGAATGGGACAGGCTTGCCGGCCAGGGAGTACAGGACAGAGCCGAACGGAGGTGCGACGAGGCATCCGAAGGAAATGAACGCCAAGGCGATTCCCAAAGCCGCGCTTCTTTCGCCTTCTTCCGTGAATCGATCCGCGATCATGGCCAGGCCAGACGTGTCGGCGAAGGCTGAGCCGAAACCCTGAAAAAGGATTTTTTTTAAATGATTATAAAAAGTGTGCGCAAACTATATTTTCCAACTATTTTAAGGTCTGCAAGCTAAATTTTGCAAATAAACCTGTTATTTTCAATTTTTTTTTAACTAGAAGTCTTAAATTTTCTAGTGAGAAAAATGAAAAGATGCAGAGAAGCTGCGAAAAAAACTACAGCAACAGCAAGGATTTTTTTTCAATCAAAAACAATTTATTTGTATCAGCACATCTGATAAGTGAAAAAAAGCTATCTAATTCGAAAATTCTGATTTTTCAACTTTTCAGAGCTCCTAGTTCTTGACCTCAAAAAACACGTTTTTCTTCAAATTTAGCATGCTTCATCCAAAGTGACATCACATCCTAAGAAAGGCTTGTTCCGGACTGGAATTGGCCTGGTTTTCTGTGCCGAGAGGCTCTTCGGAAGCAACTCCCTGGGGATTCGGAGGCGCCGCGGTCTTCTCTATCAGATAGAGCTTCTCACTCAGCGTTTCTCACATTACATACAAGTTTTTCCAAAAGTTTTCTCATATTGATTGGCTGAAAGTTTCGAGAGAGTTTCGTGGTTGCTTGAGTTCTCTGGAAAGAAAAAACCAGTGCTTTGACCGGGAGAAAAAGGGATGCTCGGATGCTTTCTTTCTAATTGGCTCTCATTTGTTTTGGTTGAGAATTCGAAATGAGATGGCCGCAATGCAAGACAGATCGACATGGAAAAGCAACAAGAAAAAAAAAACGTCTGACACCAAGATTTACGACTGACATCTTTTTTATTTCCTTTCTTGTTTTCAAGACGTTTTTTTTTTTGAAAATAGGACTCGATTTAAAGAATTCTCAATGGAAAGTGAACTTTTGGTGCAAGAAATCCTGAAAAAAAAAGTCGTTTTTGGCGGAAAGTAGGAGTATTTGAAACTGGAGCCGCCATTTGGAAAGTTAGTCATCCGTTCTTTGAATGATTGTTTTTTTCAGTTTTTTTAAGAAAAATAATATAAGAACTTGCTGTTTCTGAAACGACAAGTTATCCGTTACAATTTTTCGAATAAGTTTTTTTACTCATATTAAGAACTTTTTTTCTTTTTAAATTTTTTTAAATAAAAATTCAAAAAAATACCAACAAGCCAGTAAGAAACTCGATTTTCATGAGAAAAACCGTGAAGTAAGTTGGAAAAAAATTCTAAAATTCATAGCTTCTCAATTATTTACTAATATTTCAAAAATTTTTCTGTTTCCCACCAAAAATAATTTTTTTATTTTAGAGTAATACTATCAGAGAAAAAAAGGCATGAATTCTTGGAATACAGAAACTGAAAATTCTCAGATTGTGGAAAAAAATTATGGAGACTTGATTTTTTCAGTTTTATAACTATTTTTCGATTTGGAACTTTCTTTTGCATTAGAATGCCTCAAAGCTTCCGTACATTTCAAATTTAGCACGCTTTTCTAGTGCTTTTCGATGCTCCTCAGCTAAAGCCGTTTCGAGTCGGACGCGCTTTGAGTTACTCTAGGGGCTTGACGGAGTGATTCGTCGCTAGCTTCAGAAAAGAAAATAGAAAAACTTGTAAAGACATTCTTTCTATGAACTAACACGCTAGTCGTCATAAGCAAGAAGCGAAGGGAAAGCTCAAAAATAAGATTAAATACAAACCTGAAGAGACCTGGCGAAGAAGAGAACGGTGTAGGAGCGTCCAAGAGCGAAGATGGCGGTGGAGGAGAACATGACGACGAGGCCGAGGATCATCGGAATCTCATAGCCGACACGGTCGATGATGTAACCGGAGAAGGGGTTGACGAAGATCTGGAGAAGGGCCTTGGAAGCGAAGAGCCATCCCAGTTCGATGTCCTCGTCGAGGTACTCTATCCTCCCGCCGACCTCCCTGACGACGTAGGTCCCGTTAGCAAGCCTTTCCGTCTCATTGTGGTATCCTTCGAAGGCGACCTCGTAGTTGTGGATGTCGCGGAGGTACTTAGGAATGATCGGGACGATGACCATATAGAGCATGTTGTCGAGCAGCAACGCGATGCTCACGATCACCAGCACGACCTTTTTCTGGTTCTCCGGCTGGTCGAGCCATTTTTTCGCCTCCGCTTTGAGCAGCTCCGAGTCGCGGTTGATCAGCGGCACGTTGAACCCCATCGCTCAGCTCTCTCTCGCTCTCTCTTCTTCTCCTCTTCTGGAACACGGCTTATTAGGATCTTAGCTTGGTTGGGTTCAATTTTGAGTTATGACTAAAATTTGAAATAGAAATTATGACGGTTCTTGCTAAGGATGCTTTTCTACTCAAACGTTTCAAACTTTGTGAAAATTGACTGAAAAATTCTCAAAGTCTAAACCAGAAAAACTCCTATTTTTTTGAGATCGGACGTTCAAAATTAACTTTCCAATGAAACTTGCAAGAAACTGAGGCTTTGAACCGTCCATTTCCGAAAATTCGTTGGTTCCAGGCTTCAACTTGAAGAATAAGCTATTCAATCCAGTCAATTTTCCAAAAGTTTAAAAAGTTGAAGTAGAACCTTTCTCGAAGAAAAGTCTGCAATATCGCGTGCGTATGACCGAGTGTATGCATACCTTGGATTTTCACAGACTGAGAGCATAAAGCTCATCGTTTAAAAATTGAATACTCATAATCAAGTCCCGTAGGAGTTTTTTTTAAATAACTTGAATCTTGAAAAGAACTAAGTTGTTTTGAATCTTCTTTTAAGGGGTTCAGAACTGAAAAAGAGCGAGCAAAAAGAGATTTTCATGATAAAGTTATGCATACACAAGGTCATAACGCACGCAATGTTGCAGATTTTTCATACCGTAACCCGTCAAAAAAATCTTTTCTTTATACTGATTTTTGATTTATACCATCCTTAGATTAAATTCGAAACTCAAAAGAAGCGAGTGTAAAAAATTAAAGGGTAAGGTTTGAAAGAAAAGTTTGCGAGACCTCCGGCTCTCTCCCCAATTAGTCTCACCTCATGAGTCCAATAGGCTCCACAGAAAGAGACGAAAACGCAAAACAGGTAAAAGCATAGAGCGAAATATATTTCCTAAGAAAGCCGTGGACAGAAGAAAAAAAACGAGAGAGAGAAAGAGAGAGAGCGAGCCGCCGACGAAAAGCCCCGCCCATAAAGTGGGGCCGCTTCTGGTAGCGCGCCTTCTTCGAGAAAATTTTTCCCACCAAGAGAAAAATCATTCCATTTCATTTGCGTTGTCTTGTTTTCCACGAGAAACCTTTAATTTTCGAATTAGAGGCAGTGGAAATTTACGATCCGCGAAGGCAATGATGTACATAGGAATTTCGTGAAAATGGTTTCCAACTAGAGTGCACGGAGATGTGTAGAGTTTAGACTTGCTGATAGTCTGGTTTCTCCATGTTTACCATGCTCTCTTTTCATGAAAAAGTCTATTTTCTTTGTACGCACAAATAGGTCATTTCACAACAAAATCTTAGGCAATGAATTCCGCTCACTGTGGAGAGAAACGGTATTTTAATGGCTTTTTTTTTTTTGAAAATTTGAAAGGTCTTGCAATTCTTTCAAAACTTCATCAGAATCTCAACACATTTTGAAAATTTTTAGAAAGCTTTCAAGGACTTCTGAAGTACCAAGTAAAGAGACCTTCCTTGTAGCTAGGAAAAATTCTTAATTTTTTTTAAAACTCTTTACCGACCTCAAAAACTTCATTCATTCAGCTTTTTATATTTTTTTGATTCTTCTCATTTTGAATTTTTCTTTTTCCAAAAATTGATCATAAACAACCCTTGAAGGTGGATGGAAAACTCTGATTTTTCCCAAAAAAGAAAGTACCTAAGGTCCTGTCGATGTCATTGGTCGTCGAACATCACTTTGCGATGGCTGAAAAAATTGAATTAGGATAATTTTCAGAAAAAAAAAGAAGAAAGGCTCATCAAGAAGCGTACAACTTTTAACATATAAAATTATACAGATCCTTCAAAAATTTATCCTCGAAAAAATCGTTGAAGTTTCGAATTTTGTGACAAGGAAAGAGCCGAACCAAAATGAAGGTAGAAAAATAAGTTCAAGGACAATAATAAAGAGAGATCTTTGAAAAAAGGAAGCAAAACGAAGAAAGGTAGGATAGAATTTGAGACAAGTTGCTGGGCAGGACGAATCCTGCAGCCGCTTGGCGAAAAGCATTGTTTTTGGCACAATGCCAAATTTTCTATGCGCATCATTGATACGCAGCCACTGGGATCGCCGAAACCAAAAATTTTCAGAAAAAAAGATTCGCTTTAAAGCCGAGTTTTTCGACGCATTTAGAATACATGGCTCAATCAATTTGCGTTTTTGCAGCTAGATTCAATGATTTACGATACCCAAGAGCGCAAGTCGTTGTAGGTCGGTCGCTCTTATTTCACATGTAGAACGTCCTAAGGACTAGCAAGCATTAAAACTTCAGATTTTCGTTTTCGATCCAATAACCGAGTGAAAAAGACAAAGCCACCCCATTCTGGATACAAACCAAGCTACAAATTGGTAGAATAAATCTATTATTTCAGCTTTTCTTGGAATAAGTGAGATGTTTCACTGCAGAATCGTCAAAGAGCTTGGGAAAATGACGTAAATTTGAGGGAGGTTACTGTGAATATCCTATGACGTCATTCAATTTTCTTGAAACTCCAAAAATGTGCAAATAAATGGACGAAGGCTGAGAACTCGTCTAGGTCTTCACTTCAAAAAGAGCCTGAATAGCATAAAAGTAATCATTTTTGGTATTATATTCTTCTATTCGAACTGAATTTTCAGGGTAGATTTTAAAAAAACAAATCGAGTACAGTTTTTTGAAGTCTTTTTCTCAACTTTCAGTTCCTAATAATCATATTTTTTTCAAAACTCCAAGAACTGTCCTGAAATCCAGAAATTCTAAAAAACAACTTCAGAAAATCGATATTTGATGAAGCTCTGAAGAAGCACAAATTTTTTCGGCTTACACAAAAAATAAAAAATTTTGAAAAGCAATCAAAAAACGCCAAGGATTTCTCTTATTCTACCTCAAATCGGCTAGGTGAAGGAGAAATAAGTGTAAAGGAGTTGATGAAAATTTCCTGGAGCCGGATGAATTTCTCACGGTTTTGCTCGCAAAAACTTCTCACGACGAGAAGCCCAGTCGATTCAGGTCCGCCGAATCGTTAATTATTGCAATTGAACGTCAAAAAAAACTATTTCTCTGACAAAAAAGATAAATAATAAAACGAAAAGTTGGGCTCTGAAATGAGAAAGAGAGCTCAATTACGCGCAAAACGAAGGCAATTGTCCTACGGTCGTGGAGAAAAATCTTTCAAAACACGAAGATTTTCTCGGATTTCATGAATATGAGAAGCGGAAAGAGAAGAAAAAAACCATTATCTGGCCTTTTTTTTCACTCAAAAAAATTTTTTTATGATCAGATTTTTTTGGAAAGCAAAGAGATAAAAAAATTCATGGGCCAGAGTTGTCTGACTGGTCTGGGCTCTCTTTTCTCTCCCTAAAACGATGAAAAATAGCGAATAAGCTATTTTTCCGCTCATGATGCTGCGGCGGAAATTTTCAGGGTTTTGTTTGTCCTTTTTATAAAATTTCTTCTGCGAGAAAAAATTTTCAACCTTCTTTCACAGATTCGTCCGGCTTACAAAGGCTCGAAAATCGAATTAAAAATATTCATATCAAAAATTCCTTTTTGCTGATTTCAATGGACATCGAAATAATTTGAATGAAACGATACAAACTATTTCTACTATTCCAGAAAATATTGAAAAAAACCTTTAAAAAAATTTCTTTTTACAGATTCATGCGACCTTCAAAGGCTCGAAAATCAAATTCCAAAATATTCATATAAAAAACTCTATTTTTTGCTGATTTCAATCGTCATCGAAACATTTTGAATGAAAAGTGAAAAAGAAACAGTGAAAAGGAATGATGCGTCAAAAGCAAAAGACTGGCGGCGGCCGTGATTGGGAGCTTCGGAGAATTCGGTTATCCGTTTGGGCCGTTTTCCAGGCAATTCGTTTATTCAAGCCACGCAAAACTTTGAATGCCGTTTTTTTGTAAGCCGACGTTGTTTGTGAGGAGAAGTTGGAATCTCGGAGAAGTCAGAAAAAATGCCTTTGTTGTCAAAGTTTACATCGATTTGTTTTGAAGAGATAAGAAGAATTCTTCTAAATTGAGAATTTTGGAATGAATAATATGACGAATTCGGGTTGTTAAAAAAACACAATTTAGTTTTGAAAAAAATCTGAGCAACAAAAATCAAAAATAAAAGGTTTCATGCTCTAAAAATTGGATTTTTAGAATAATTTTTTTCAGATAGGTTGCATTCAAATCAAAAATCGGAGACAAAAAAATCAAAACCAAAAAAATTTATAAAATTGATTCTTTTCGACTTGAAAAAAATATGGTCGCACTGAGAATGGCTCAAAGCGGACGTAGATTGCAGCCGACCAAGTAACGAGTTTCGCGTGCCTAACAACTTTTTGAAGTTGATCTTGGGATTTTTCTAAAGAACCCAGTTCAAAAGCATAGCGTTGAGCCATTCCAAATACGACCAGATTCTTCGACTAAAGATGAACTCTGAGACTTGACGAAGAAGGTGGAAAGAGCGGGATCCTGTGATTTGGGAGCCAAAAAAAAAAGCAAAAAGAAAGAAAAGTGGAGGCTTCGATATGGCAGATCGAGTGGGCCCAGGGGAACATTTCCGGCGGCACCCATCCTTCCGAAGAGTTTTGGCCAGGACAGATTCGAAAAACGGAAAGAAAGACGAGCGCCCTTCTCGCGTATCACAATTCCCACACTACAAATGATCCTAACGAGCCGAAAGACGTCGGACTTCTCTTCTCGTCGTCTTTCTCAGTCTGTCTGGGCTCCTCATATTTGGGTAGATACACCTCGTCATCCTTAGTTCGGTTCTAAGTCATCCGAATGATTTTTGAGTCATCTTTTTGGATGATTCTGAAAATTGACCTTCAAACTCCGCTTCATGAGCATCAATCCAAAGCCTAGTAAAAAAAATTTTCATCAGAAAAGTCCGAAAAATCAGGCCGAAAGCCTTGTAAGCTACCCTAATTTCAATTTTGAGATGAATTTCGATATAGAAAGTCCAGATTATCAAACCAAAAAGCCCAACAAAAATCGGAAAAAACACCTTGAATTTCA